CGTACTACCTCCCCAAGCTCAACTCTGCGCTGGCCATCTCTTCCAACCGCCCTCTGCAGCTCTCTGTCCCAGCCAAGACGGCATCAGGTGTCAACGACCTCATCTTCGTTGCCAACGCCATGGGCGAGTCTTCTACCGCTGCCGCCATCTTCGGCGGCAAGCCCACGGCGAGAGTGGTTGGCCTGGTCCGCAGCTTTGATCGCTTCAACACAGGTATGCGCGCTGAGGGTAACATCAAGCGTGTTGACTACCTGCGAGGCCTTGCCGCCCTGCACTACGCGATGCGCGAGCATGGCTGCCGCTACGGCTTCATCCTCACCGAGATTGAGCTTGTCCTTGTTCGCGCAGGCACCGAGTCAACCCCCTTCTTCGGCGACTTGGAAATCACCTCCGTCCAGCTCAACACCGCTGCTTCCGATGCCGACCTAGACTCGGACAGCGTTCCCCTGACTGCCTGTCTCGCTCTCTGGGGTCTCTGCCGACTCGCCAGCGACCACACGCCCGCCGGCCACGCCCACTGGAAGGCCGAGATTGGCGCCCCTGCCGACGGCACCCGGCGCAAAGCCAAGGCTCGCGACAACTGGATTCCCAAGCCCCAGCTGGCCGAGAAGCGCGAGGCCAAGCGGAGTCGTGGCTGGGTGTGGCCTGAGGATCCCGTCGGGAGGAAAGAGATGGGCAAGAGGGGTGTCAAGTACGGTGGCTTGTGATGGGGGTTCTGCAGAGATGTTTATGCGGCTGGTTCCGTACTCTGCGCCCCGGTTGCATCCTCCAGAGCGAAAAGGCCGATGTTAGTAAATTTCCGTAATCTTTTCTCTCTCTTCTCTTGTCTTTTTCTCTTGTGGTTATCTTGGTTTTCTTGGTTTTACGAATGAAATGACCCAATATACTATATGTAGATAGCTACCTACTTAATCAGACACTCTTTGAAGATTTTTCCTATAATTCAATACCAGATGAGTTTGTTGTTCCTGGCACAACGTGGTTTCTCTCGTGATTTGAACTACTGTGTGGATGAGTGAATGAATGATTGAATGAAGATGAATGGTGTGGGTATAGCTAGAGTAACTGGCATAGTCATTACTTTACGACGAAATAGTTAAAAGAAATCCAATCAGATGACCTTTGGTGAATATGATGATACAGAGCTACGGGTAAACCGTCATACAATTCAATCAAGTCCACAACTCACGGGCCATAGGTCAAGGTATCACAAGAGAGCAAAGCACAGCATGACGATTTAGGCAGTGGTATTTTACTTTTTTTTTCATTTTCCTAACCAAGGACAAGGAAGAAATCACTACACGCTCCTCGGTAGAGACGCTCTTTAACCCTTGGCAGCACCGGCCTTGAAGAGGATAATGTCACCATCCTCGACGACGTAATCCTTGCCCTTGGTCATAATCTTGCCCTTGGCCCTGACCTCGGCTTCGTCACCGAGCTCCTTGATGGCGGTGTAGTTGTAGACAACGGCCTGGATAAACGTCTTCTCAAAGTCGGTGTGGATGACACCGGCAGCCTGGGGAGCCTTGGTGCCGTTGCGGATAGTCCACTGGCGGACCTCGTCGGGGCCGGTCGTGAAGAAGCTGCCCAGCTGCAGAGCCTTGCGCATCTGAACAATCAGCTTGGGCAGGGCGGACTCGGCGCCAACCTTCTTCTGCTCCTCCTTGGCCTCCTCCTCAGTCTCGAAGCGGGTCAGGCGCTCCTCGTATGAGACGGAGATGGGGATGATGGGGTCGCCCTCGGCGTGCTTCTTGATCCACTCGGCAACTGAGGGCAGGTACTTGTTCTTCTTTCTGACATAGTCCTTCTCAGACAAGTTGACAAGGTAGACGACAGGCTTAGCCGTCAACAGCAACAGAGGGTTGATGACCTCAATCTGATTGAAATTGTCAGTCTCATGGCTACCGCAGTAGAAGCTAAAGTAAACGCGACAGAGTTGTAAAGCAATGGGTTCAGAATATTTTTCTTCTCAGTATGTCATGGACATTCGAAGAGCTGGGTTTATATTGGTCAGGCCGTCAAGGCCCTTTGTCATCAGGGAAATTGCGGGAATTGAACGCGAAAAAGAAAGAAAAACGAGTTTGCTTACCTCCTTGGGACTCCAGACACCCTTGCGGACTTCGTTGCCGTCCTGAAGCCACTTTAGGATCTTCTCAATCATCTCCTGTTCAATCTTAGCCTTCTTCAGCTCAAGACTCTGGCCACCCATACGAGTCTTCTTCTTCTGGTTCTCGAGAGCCTTCTCGACAAACTCAATATCCTTGAGTCTCAGCTCCTCGCTGATAATGTCCAGATCACGGGTCGGGTTGACGTCACCCTCGACGTGAATAATCTCAGCATCGTCGAAGCATCGGACGACCTGGAAGATGGCATCGACGGCGCGGATGTGGGAAAGGAAAGCGTTTCCAAGACCAGCTCCGGTAGAAGACCCGCGAGTGAGACCGGCAATATCATAGACGGTCAAGTTGGCGGGGACGACGGACTTGGGCTTGTATTTCTCAACGAGCCAGTCGAACCGCTCATCAGGGACGATGACACGAGCTTCTTCGGGATCAATGGTGGCATAGGGAAAGTTCTTCAGGCTGTCAGCACCCCGGATGAAGAAAGACGGGCGGGGGGCTTCATACAGCTGGGTTGCCAAGGTTGCACTTTGTGATGGCCTGGAAGAGGGTAGATTTGCCGACGTTGGCGAGGCCGACCTGGAGCGCGGACGACGTGTTAGGAAATCTGAAGCACTCGCATAGCAGAGGAGGGGCAGGCAGGCAGCCGCTAGGGCTGGGCCAGAGAGTAATTGCTCACAATGCCACTCTTCAAGTTGTTGCCGGGCCTTCCCAGAGGAATCTTCTCCTCGACGGGGGCCTTCTTGGGAGGCATCTTTCTTGATTTTGCGTAGTGACGGGAGGGGATGAAGGGGACAAGCAGTCGAGAGGGCGGAAACGGTCCACGGGCTGCAGACCTTGCTGCGCGCGATGGAGAAACGAAGAGAAGAGAAGCCAAAAACGAGGCTGAGGACGTGACGGAGGGCGCCAATGTGGCCGTCGGGCTATTGCAAGCCTGGAACGACCGACTGGAGAGAATCTCGGACGCTGGAAGAGCAACGGGGCGCAGATGGAAGCTGGCCCTTTTTTGCCTTCTTTTTTATTTTTTATTTTTTTTTTCCTTGGAGAGGAGGGGAGATGGTGAGAATAAATTTGAGCATCGACCCCACATTGACCGGGCTTTAGCTGAAGCTCAGGTCGGGCTCGGCGCTAGATTTTCCCGGGTCTTAGTCAGGGCATGCGTCATAGGGCAGACAGACGGAATCCACAGCTGGAGCTGTTCGGCATTGGCGGCGCTGCCGGAAGATGCAGCTGAGAGGCGCTGGGCTGCGTTACTCGCTATTCAAGAGCTATTGAGCCGGGCACGATTGGCCGCCCCGGGGCCTGTAGTGTTGAGTTCAGGGTTCTTCTTTACAGGCATCTTCGGCTCTGGGAAGCCGACGTAAGCACATCCATCAATCCATCCCATCTCAACTGTTCAATCTCACCTCGACATCAACAAGCCGAGGTTTGAACTACTTACGCCGTTCTTCATTCTTACGTGCTGCTCTTGTTCTCGCCACTGTTCTTTGTTTCTGCACTTCTTTATCTTGTATCTTAAACCCCGGATCCCCGCATTGTTTCACGACTTACACGCCAGAGACAGACTACCATCTCCAACTCCATCTCCAACTCCATCCTCCATCCTCCATTTCCATCTCCGCGTCGCAATCGCAATCGCAACCGCAACCGCAACCGCAGTCGCAATGCCTTCGCAACAGCATCACCACTCCGGCCAGCGCACCAGCAGACATAGATCGACGCTGTCGCTGCAAAAGACGGAGATCAAGATCCACGTCTATGACCTTTTACCGGCAAGCCCACCTACACCCCCCAACACTGGGCTTTTCGCCACAGCTCTTCGTTGTGCAACGGCTTTGCTCCTCAGTGAGCCATCAAGTGCTCCGATCCGATTGCTAACGCATGCTCTACTTGAATAGCCCGGAAGAGTCGCCTCCGCCTTGTGGACGATAGGGGCATCTCTGCTTCACTCGGGAGTGGTCATCAACGGTCGAGAATACGCGTATGGCGGCCACGATAGGCGCGGAGTCACCGGAGTGTACTGGACAAAGCCCAAGACCGAACCCCCGGGCGGCACCTTCAAGTGCGAGATTCTGCACGGCTTCACGCTGGCCACGTCGGAGGAAATCGACGCTGCCCTGCGAGACGCCTCGGAAGAGTTCCTCGGGACTTCGTACAACCTGCTCACAAAAAACTGCAACCATTTTACGTCATATTTGTGCAAGAAGCTGACGGGAGATGCGGGCCCCGGGTGGCTGAATCGAGCCGCGAGCATTGGAGTCGCACTGCCTTGCGTCGTGCCCAGGGATTGGATCGAGCCTCCAGAGTACATAAGTGCAGACGGCGAGCTTGTCGATGATGAGGACGACGACGAGCATGCGGATGAGGGGTCGCGCATGCTGGGGCAGCAGAGGCCGCATCTTCTCTCGCAACGTGACAACGAGTGGAACAGCGACGACGAGCGCCGCAGAGGTGGAAACGGCAAGGGGAAGCAGATCCTCCGGGACACATCAGGCAGGCAGCTTCCAGCCGCAGAGAGGGCTATTCGGCCGTGATAACGGCCGTGTTCAGGACGCAATTATCTTTGTTGTTGTATCTTTTCTTCCTTTCTTTTTTTGTTGTGTTGGTGGGCAGATCAGATTGGCGTTTATGGCTCGGGCCTTTCCCTTCGTTTTCCTAACATTTGCAGGCTATTGGGTCGGAACGATACCATTATATTTCATGAGGGTCAGGAGTTTCATGTCATGAGTTTGATGTCGTCACGGTTTGCGACTGCAGGCTAGTTTGGGTGGTTCGTTTCTATCTTTTGTTTTTTTCTTTGTTCATTTTTCTTTGGTATACTTTGTACAAGATATGGTACATTCGGCAGCATGCCATCATGTAGCTGATGCAACCGAGCATCTACAAGCGTCTTGGCTTCTCGCTCCTTGTTCCTGCAAACTTGATCCTTGTGGAATCCGCAACCCGCACAATCTTGTCCCGCAGCACCTTGCCTTCCGGGCTCATCAGCACCTTGACGGCAGCCTCTCTGCCCTGGCCGAACCCTCGCAGAACCAGCTCGAGGCGCTGGATCTTCATTGGCCATCCCGTGTGAATCAATCGCTCCAAAACGTATTTTGTCAACGAGTAGGCCGAGTCGAAGGTGCCCCGCCGTGATTTCCTGAAGCCAATGTTGCCGCATGACATGGAGATGATGGGTTCCCGGTTGGGCTTTGTGCATGTAATGTGAGTGTTGTGCTTGTGCGAGTAGACGTGGAAATGGAATGGCTCCAGCTCATCCTCCTTCTTCTGCGCCGACTGCGAGGGACCGCCTGACAGGACGCTGGTGTCGATGTTGGACTTGCTGAGGGCCTGGAAGACCATGCTTTGGGAGAGGCTTCCCATGGGGTTGGACTGCGCGGACCGGCTGTTTGGCGCCTGAGTAATGCTGTAGATGCTGTCGAGGAGCGACTCGGTTCGAGGCTTTGGAGGCACCGCCTTGGGTGGTTCTGGCTTTGCATCTTTTGAATCCTCCCATCGTGCGCTTGTCTGGGAGAGACATCGGACGCTCTGGATGCCGTTCCGCGATGCGACCGCCTGCGAGATGCGAGCCAGAGGCCGGGCTGCAAAGCAGCTCCTCAATGATGAGCTCATGCTGTCTGCGCTGCGAATGGAACTTGTCGTCAAATCAAATCAGCCCAAACATCACATCTTGAATATTTTCCCACGCTATCGGAATGGCCGCGGCCGTGGTGGCGGCAAAGTGGGATTGTGCCGGCATTCACCCGGCTGTCCGCCTGCCATTCCGCCGCCAGCCGACATCGCGAAACCAAAATTTCCAATCCACATGAGCCAAATCCTCCCGCATTTCCATCCTCCTCCCCGCCGCTCTGTCCAAGTGCTGCAGCCACTTGCAGAACTTTTTTTCTTTTCTTTTCTTTTTTTTTTTTTTTGCTTGTGATTTTTCTTGCTCAGAAAAATGAACTCCCTCGCCCGCAGCGCTGCCAATTCGGAAAATGCTCTCTCGAGGGCATCTGTTCGTTTTGCCCCCGCCTATGGCCGATGTCCCGCCGCATACGCTCGGTTAGTTTCTCAGCTTGCGCAGAAGCCCGTCCGAAATGCCGCGAGCCTCGAGCGTGCGGCGCTTCCCGCTGCGCTGTCGATGCCGTTGAGATCCAGCTTTGTGCCCGCCGAACTGCGAATTCCTTCAGTTGCCTCACAATCCCGGCTCTTGCATGTAAGCGGCCGGAGACGCCAAGAGGAGAAGCCAAAGGCCGAGGCAAAGGCTGCTGAGCCAAAGGCCAAGCTTGAGGAAGAACCGACCAAGGATTCCGAAGAAAAGGCCGATGGCAAGGAGGAAGCCAAGGAGGACGGCAAGGAAGAGGGCAAGGAAAAGAAGGAGGATCCCCCCCCGCCCCCGCCGCATGGCGACAAGACTCCCTGGCAGGTGTTCATGGAGACGATGAACACTGAGCTTCAAAAGTCCCAGGAGTGGAACGAGTCGACCAAGCAAATTGCTGCGTCCGCAAACCAGTTTGCCGAGAGCGAATCAGTTCGACGGGCTCGAGAGGCCTACGAGAAATCCACCGGCGCCATTTCAGAAACCACGTCCAAAGTCGCAAAGACCACCGCCACGGCCATTGGAAAGGGCGCGGCGTGGACCTGGGACACATCCGTCATGAAGGGCGTGCGAAAGGCCGCCAACGTCACCGGCGATGCCGTGGACAAGGCCACAAAGCCCATCCGAGACACCGAAGCCTACAAGAACGTCAAGAATGTCATTGATGATGGCAGCTCTTCTAGGTACGGTGGTTGGGTCGAGAAGGAGGAGCGTAAGCGGAGAAGAGAGCAGATTGCAAAAGAACGTGGCGGAGACGAAGTCCTTCAGGAGGATCCCAAGTAAGTCTATATACCATCATCCAACCGCCATGACTAGAACCAAGTTTCTAACCACCGTGTCATCAGCGCCGGCACCAATGTCACTCTGCACAAGGATGCGGCTTGGAAGGAGGCCTGGAGAGACTTCCGCGACAGCAACAAGTTTGTGCAGGGCGTCTTCAGCATGAAGGGCAAATACGAGGAGTCGGAAAACCCCCTCATCTCGACGGCCCGAAGCATCACCGACACGATTGGCGGCTTCTTTGCCGAGAACGAGACGGCCATGGTCATCAAGAAGTTCCGGCAGATGGACCCGCTCTTCCAGAGCGAGCCCTTCCTGCAGGAGCTGCGCGAGTACATTCTCCCCGAGGTGCTGGACGCCTACGTCAAGGGAGACACAGAGGTGCTGAAGCAGTGGCTCTCGGCCGCCCAGTTCTCGGTCTACGAGGCTCTGACGAAGCAATACCTCCAGGCAGGCATGAAGTCTGACGGCCGCATCCTGGATATCAGAAACGTCGACATCCTCAAGGCCCGCATGCTGGATCCCGGCGAGATTCCCGTCTTCATCATCACCTGCCGAACCCAGGAGGTCCACGTCTACCGCAATGCCAAGACCAACGAGCTGGCTGCCGGTATGGAGGACAAGGTGCAGCAAGTTACATATGCCATTGGCATCACCAGGGTTCCGGAGGATGTCAACAACCCAGAGACCAGGGGCTGGCGTCTGATTGAGATGCAGAAGAGTGGAAGAGATTGGGTCTAAGAGGAGATGAAAAGAAGAAAAGAAAGCATAACTTGTACTTGTTTCTTGTATGATTCACGGCGTCTGGGAGCATGGGAGTGATCCTCGGCGATGAGCCTTGTTGATCTGTGTTAATTATGTATATTATGTCATTAAAGCATGTGGAAGATGTTTATCCAAGGGACAAACGAGACAAAAAAATATTGGGGGGGGGGGGGGGGGAAAGGGATTTGGGGGCATGGGAACAACATGCCAGGATGAAAACACCGCTCTATTAACGGCGCCGAGAGAAGGCGCTTCGACATGTACGATGATGATATGAGGAGGGGAGGGTTGGGCGAGAGGTTGGGATATAGACATATAGACATAATCATCAAATGGACAAAAAAAAGGCGATTCAAGGCATTGGAAATATGGCTCTTCCTATTCGAATCTGCCTGTATCTTTGGTAATTCAATCTACATGTAGTCTTGATAAGCTTAAAGTGAAAGTCGTCGTGTCGCTCAAATGGATGATGAGTCTGCTCATCTTTTCACATTCAACCACGATTCTCCTGCTTCTCTTGTCTCAGCACATCCCTCACATCCATCAACGCCCTACCCAGCAAATTCAACCCCCAATACTCCCTACTCCCATCCGCATCCGCCTCCTTGAAGCCAACCCCCCAAACAGCATCAAACGGGCTCGCCTCCACGAGCTCCCTCTCCCCCGTCGCCAGCAGCGTCTCCTTCAAAGACCCCCCAACAAGCGGAACATTGCCCGTTGCGCCGAGGTAAAAACCTTCTTCTGTTACAGCATTTGTGAATTTTAGGTAGTTGCCGCGTCGCACGATGGCTTCGCGGTGTGCGTTCCATGTTTCCTCGGAGAAGTTGTTGACTTTACGGCCGAGGGCTTTGATTTTGCGGGGGTGGAGGCCGCGTTTGAGGATGTTGGTTGCGGAGGGGTGGTCGCTGAAGAGGATTGCTTTTTGATACATCATGTAGCTGATGCGTTCCTGTTGGCGATTTGTCTGATGAGAAGAGGATGATGGTGCTTACTGTTCGGCGGTTTCGTAGACAATGGCTGGGTTTTTGTCGTCTTTGAAGGGGCAAAAGTACCATTGTGAGAGCCAGCCTGTTTTGGGATCTGTTTCTCTCCAGAAGTAGAGAGGACGAGTTTGTTTTGATGATTGTGCCATTTTTGCTGAGTTGTGCTTGTGCTTGACGTTGAGAGTGGTTGAGAGATGAGAGAGTGCTGAACAAGGTAAAAGGCCCTTTATTTATCCCCCGGATTGTTTATTGCTTATACTTTGCATCTCTTGAGTTTATTCATTGGAACTTTCATGGATTGACTTTTATTGGATAGATGCGCTTGCTGTGGCTCTGTGACTTCCCCAGATTCAGCCTCACTGACTCATCGGCGAGAGAAAAGCTTCGGTTGCGTGCAGTCACGGCTGTTTTGGCGTCGGTGTGGCGCATTCACGATGTTGAGAGGATGAAGTAGGGATTCAAGCTGGGGAAATGAACTTTATCGTTATTGTGCCGTTACTCATAATGGCGGTGACTGTTGATGCGTGGTGTTGAAGGTGCATTGATCTCTAATAAGTGGCAGATGACTGGGCGAGTGTCGATTCACTCCCCAATCAAAATAACAACTCAATGAAATAAACAACCAAAACTCAAGATGTCATAAATCATGCCACCCATGACTAGTAAATTAACACCAATTAAAAACCCCCAAAAAATATCTAGTTCAGCACCGGCTGGCGAAGCATCAAATACGCAGTGGCAGGCTCCGTGCCGCCCCATTTCGTCAGGTCCACGACAACCCTGTCCACCTCCTTGAAGCCGTACTTTTCATACAGCGGCCGTCCCTCCTCCGACGCCTCGAGATACGACACGAGCCCGAGCCTGTCGGCCTCTGCGGTCCCCCACTTGAGACACTGGCCGCCGGCGCCCCGTTTCTGGTGGTCGGGATCGGTGTGAAGAAGCTTGAGATCTGGCCAGGGTCGGGGTGAGCTGATGGTTGTCTTATATACGTTGTACAGCTTCCAACACTTACAAAGATGAGGCTTTCCCTCAAACCTCGCCCACCATTGCCGGTCTATCTCGCCGAAAAACGCCTCGCACGCCTCCAGGTTGGTGCCGGCCCCCCACTTGCGCTGGGGGAAGCTTGGCCTCAGATCGCCGGACCAGATGAACCACAAGGCGAAGGCAATCATGGCCTCGTCGCCCTTGTCCTCGAGCTCGGTGTCGACGACCTTGATGCACTGGGACGCGGGCTCCTCCCTGATGCGCGTCGTCATGACGGCGATGCGGTCCTCGAGCTTCAGCCCTCCGCCGGGGAAGAAGACGGGCGACGACTTGTTGGGGCCATAGGCTCGCTTTTCGATGGCGATGGAGCGAGGCAGGTCTGACTCGGCGGCTGGGCGGACTGTGAGAGGCATGACGGGCAAAGCAGAAATGAACCTTTTGTGATGATGAGACGCAAGACTGCGAGACTTCTTGAACATCTTATATGTGAGTTTACGGGTACTAATGCCGTTGCTCGCAACATGGCAATCCATCGAAGCTATTCGACTTTTTTTCTTCTTTTTCTTTCGTGAGGATCCTTTGTCTTGTCCGGCGAGCCCTATTCGGGAAAGACGCCGGGGCGCCGCGCAATGTCCGGCGTCAGGCATGTTGGTCCCACGCTGGGGCCGAAAGAAACCAAATCCGGTAGAGCAGAACATATGATTGATGGAAATGGGCTGCCAGGACCACTCGCAATCCTTTTGCCATCGAACCAACGGCGAGCCAAACATGGTTGGTGAATGATTGTTTGTTTGCTGAGATCTTTGACATGATGGTACTTACTCGTATGTGGGATGCAAATACAAGTGCATGTGTGGAGTTTTGAAGCCGAAGCCCGCGCGGAGGGCCGAAGCCGTTAGTCTTGGACTGAAGGATGTCTGCAACTAACACTGGGGAGGGGATCAACACATGCAGGAATTGTAACAATGCGTCTGGATGGTGATTGATGTGAATGATCTGGCTTGGCTGCATAGGGCTGCATTTGTTTGACGAGGATGGGAGTGTGTTGGTGTTACTTGGTAGCAAGAGAGTTGCCTGCTTATTTAGACTTGTGAGACGGGAGATTTCCAAGTTGGTAATAATAGAGGCAAGGCAAATCTTGGAGGTTCAAAGGTTCAAGGTCTGGAGGATACTTGTATACATGGACCTACCCAAGTGGGCAACATCACAGTGCTTACATTCTAGACTTGTATATGCAACTGTTGTCCGTAAGAATAGCTGTGAAGAATGATTCCATCTCTTCAATATCACTTCTACCACATGAAAGATCCATCGATTGTCTTGAATGTTATACCAAGTCCACTGTACCGTTTCAAACGCTCACCCTCCGTAACAAACGGATCATGTGACCCCCGTCACCAAAACGGAACGCAAATTCCGCCACCCACTTCCATGCCTTTTGCGAAAACGGAACGAGCGCCGCGGCGGCCCGAAATTTCTCGATTTCCAAAAACCCAGATCCCGCCTCAGCCAGCGCAAACCGACTTTTTTTTCTTCCTCACCACTACAAAGCAACGGCATCTTCGACCCCAGACTCGCCCAGCTTCCCCTCCTCCGACTCCGTTTCTTTTCCCACAGCCATGGATCACGGACGCGACCCTTGTCCCTTTGTCATTCTCAATGACTTTGGCGGTGCTTTTGCCATGGGTGTATGTTGATAAAGCCTCTCTCTCTCTCTCTCCCTCCCCCCACATTGACTGTCATCGACGCAAGATTTGGATCATCATGGCGTTTTCTGATTGTTTTCATCTACAGGCCATTGGCGGAACCATCTGGCACGGCATCAAGGGCTTCCGAAACTCTCCCTACGGCGAACGCCGCATCGGCGCCATCACCGCCGTCAAGATGCGAGCTCCCGTCCTGGGCGGCAACTTTGGCGTCTGGGGCGGTCTCTTCTCGACCTTTGACTGCGCCGTCAAGGGCATCCGCAAGAAGGAGGATCCCTACAACGCCATCATGTGAGCATTTGCATTTGCATCCGTCAACCTGCGAGCCAACTGGGGTTGCTAACGAAAAAAAAAACCTTGTTGCAGTGCGGGCTTCTTCACCGGCGGCTCCCTCGCCTTCCGCGGTGGTGTCAAGGCTGCCCGAAACAACGCCATTGGCTGCGCCGTCCTACTGGCCGTCATCGAGGGTGTCGGTATCGCCTTTGGAAAGATGATGTCTGGAACAACCAAGCTGGAGATGCCCCAGCCGCCGCCCAACTCCGAGGTCCAGGCGTTGTGAGGTGAAAAAGCAGAACAGGATGACCCGAAACGAAACGAAAACCCCGAATCGATATTACGCCTCTCTCAACTCTGCCTTTTTTTTTTTTTTACTTGAGTCTTGTCTTTTATTCCACTTTACTGGTCTTGGCTTTTTTTTTTCTCGAACTTTTAACGCACCAATTATTATTATTTCTCTCTCCCTGTTGACTCTACGGCGTCAGAGGCTCTACAAGGATAGAAAATTTGACTCGAACCACGAACGAGGAAGAAATGGGAGAGGGAAAGGAAGGGGAGAATCAATCTCCAAACATCTACCAATATCTATGGATAATCTGCAAACCCGCATCGCACTGGCGTTTTCCGTGAATTATAGATGTAGGGCAGGGAGGGAAACTCTGGGTCCGCGAAAACGAGAAGTCGAAGGAAAAGAAGAGAACAAACTACGCGGGTGCTGGGAAAACTGGTGTTTGTGAGTCTTTTTCTTCACAGTGTACGAATATATAAAAAGGAGAGCCGGCGTGGAGGAGGGACGCGCTGCCCCTGTGTATAGCTGTGCCTTTTGGAAACAAGGCCGGTGGATGCTGTAATCCATGCATGAAAGAAGAATGAAATGAATTCGGGGCAATGAGACCCCTTGAAATAACTGCACTTTAGTTGCACTCTCATCTAAATCTCTATATTGCCGGATACATGTTGATCTTTTACCCTATAGCTCGTCTGCAGATCCATTCGACCAGATACTCATCACCGCCTCCCCATCATCATCAATCCAAGCCCTATACATGCCACCACAATTATACTCCATCAACACTTCCGACTTGACACCCACAACACCGCCATCTTCATCTCGCTCCAAAACACACTCGATACCAATTATCCCGCCCTCGCCTTCTCCCGTCCGACCCCATCGATTTCCCGCACTCTTCTGCAACTCGCCCCCCGGACCAGCAACTCTCGCCAACGCCTGGCTTCCAGCAACAGGCTTATATCGCGCAATCGCCGCAACCGTACGCACGGCATTAACACGCAGAAACGAATCCCCGTTCCCCGTCCCCGAAAACCCCATGGATCGCGTCCAAGACGAGGCCACACACTGTCCGGCGGGCGAATACATCCACGGCGTGGGCAAACAATCCGCAAGCAACCCCTTCAACGGCCCAGCAAAACTCACGCCAGGCCTCGCCCTCTCAACAACAAGCTCCTCCAATCTCTCTTCATCCCATTCCTCAGCCCAGAACCCAGCCCCGACAACGGGCGTGTCGCCAATCCGGCCCGTCAACTTATTCGTCATCCCGCCCGTGCTCGTGGCAGCGCAAACCACGCCCTCGGCATCCAAAGCCACCGCTCCGCACGTTCCCTGCGGAAGATGGTCCTCCGCGTGCCACATGCCCGAACCCAACCCCTTTTGCTCGCGCTCCAACGCACGCACATGTTCGTCCCAGCGCTGCTGCGTGAAAAAGTAGCTCGGGTCGACCATTTCCAGGCCATACATCTGGGCCAATTGCTCCGCCGTCTGGCCGTGGAGCTGTGTATGTCCCTGCGCAGACGGAACGTTCAATCCCCCATGCACACTCTCATCAACATCCAGCAGTAGAGCAGAAGAAGTCGACGGCACAGATCCCGCGGGCGCAAGATCCCGCTCCCCACGCTCAAGCATCTTCCTCGCCAACAGGATCGGATTCCGCACTCTCCTCAGCCCCATGACGCCCACGCCGCGCTTCTTAAAGCCCCGCGAGACCATTACCGAAGCCTCCAATTCATTGATGCCGTCGCGGGTGAAGACTGCGCCGTGGCCGCTGTTGAAGAGCGGGTTGTCTTCTAGTTGGGCGACGGCATGAGTGGCGATTTCTAGCGCAGAGGGGTGGATGCTTGCGTCGTGTTTTTCGGTGGTGGGAGAGTTCATGTAGTCTCGCGTTTTAGAAACCTTTTTTTTTTTTTTCATATCTCATTATATCAGCTTTGATGGTGGAAGCATAGATGGATATGTTGTATGGGTGGGTGTTGTTTTGGAGGAAAACTCACGATTGAGAGAAGAGAGGATCGGTAGGCGGCATATTTGTCAGCCGGGAAATTGCTGCGAAGAATATTTCCCGCGCCGCCGTGGATGATCAAGCGAGGCTGGATCTTGACCTGGGAGTCTGAGACGGAGTGCTGCTGTTGTTGTTGTCTGTACTCCATGGTGAGAGATGAAGTTTGAGTGGGGGGTGGGCTTCAAGAGCGGGTAGAGTTTGAATGAAGAACTATGTTAAAAGTAGTCTCCAGAGCAAAGAAAAGACACAATGAGTATATCGTGAAACTATTAGTTACTGAGATAGAATATACTGTAGAAATTGAAGTAAAAGGCGCTCATCTACAACATCTTGATAAGCTCACAAGTTGAACAAGGCGGAGTTGAAATGCCGCCTCCACACTTTTGTCTACCCGTCTGGGCGGATCACCTGCCTAATCGGGCATCCCTACTTAGACGAGCGATAGCCGGCTTCGGCTTCGGAATTGATGCTTGTTCTCGCCGCCAAATCAAGACATGTTTTTTTTTCGTCGTATTTTTTTTAATTTGACCAATTTCTGTGCAACATGGCCTCTTGTTTTTACAATTGCTCATCTTGACAGATGCTCATTTCAATCATGTCCAGTACCAGTTCATCTCAGTGCCTTTCCTTGTATCATTGCACATCAGACAGACAAATCTTGAGGGATACAAAGAAAGAAAAAAGGACGCCCACGTCCATGTAACACATTATATATTCGTGAACCAAAATGGTCAGAAACATGGTCTTATCCCCATACCAAATATGTAAACCCCCCAAATAAGACAACAAAAATATCAACACGCTTTCCGCCGGTGCAGACAAAGAGTCCGTTCGCCCTGGACTTCCGTGGTATATATCCTTTGTAACTCCCGCTGCTCCAAGAATCAATCAATGGGCTTGAATCAGTGACCCAGATGCGTTTTCTCGCCCTCCTGATTTGCCGTGAAAATCAGTAAAAAGGCATCCGTCTCTAAAATGTTCTTTTCCGGTACGATGGTATGATGGCGTGTAACTCTTTGCACGTTGCGAGTCGAGATGTGGTGTTTCGAGTTGATCACGGTGCGCTAGAGGTTGATAGGCCCGCCGCAATCTTGACGGATTTGATCACGTCCTTGGGCCGCACACCCGGTACCCTGCCGAGACAGACTGACCGACCGACCAGTTCTGATACACGTCAGTAATCTGAAATCGGGAGAAAAAGAAATCAGGCACAACAGTCAACATACCTTCTATTAGCCTGCGAATGTCGAGGGAAACCTTTGTCTTTTGCCAACTAGATCCCGCAGACCACATCTGGCTGAAGTCGTGATTGTTCATAAACGAGACTAATCCTCCATTCGGGTCAGATTCGTCTCCAAACTCTGCCATCTTACTGCTCTGACCTTCTGACGAGTCTCCTCGTAGGGAACTTGCGAAATCGCCTATCGAGGGGGCATTCATCTGCCACATGTTGCTGTGGATTCCGCCGCCGGCGCCCAGGCCTGGGCTGCCGGGAGACAATCCGATGCTGGCAAAGTGGCTCTTTGTGCTGGCATCGTCGGCAGCTTGGAGGTCGTTGAGGTCCAGTTCTGTTTCGAGGTAGTCGACGTTGGGAGGAATACTCAAGCCAAGCCTGCGCAGGAACAACTCTACTTCGTCAGCCGTGAAGAACTCGCCCTCAAAGTTCTGGCAAATCATCCGTATCCGCTGCTCCGTTCGCTCATCAGAACCAGTTGAGGACTGTTGGTTAAATGCCGACGTCAGGCCAGAAAAGGCACTGTTCGATTTACCCAGGGAAAGCAGCGCGTGGCCCAAGTCATCCGAGCCGGCCGAGGAAAAGGCACTGTCCAAGAACCCAAATTGATCAGACGTCGACAGCTTCCAGTCCATGACCTCGCTCTGCGCCTTTTTCAGCCCAGCGGCCAATCTCCGGATGATGGCTTCTCGGGATTCAAACAGTAAGCAGAAGCCGAAGACGGTCGCATACTGCTCAGGGGGCGGGTTCTTCATCGTGGCCAGTCTGAGGCCGCGCTCCAGGGTTGTCCGCTGCAATCTCTTGCTAAAGGAGCGCTCGCTAAAGCCGAATGGCGCCGGCGGCGAGAGCCGGGGGTAGGGCGAAGGGCTGGCGATGGAGTTGCCCAGATAGCTGCCGCTCTGGGGCTGTGAGGAGGATGCATCGAGGGAGAAGAAGGGGAAGCTGGCGTTGTTTGGCGTGGCTTGAGCGATGACTTCGTAGTTGAAAGCAGCCGGATGCTGGTGCTGGGAGGTGGAGAAGGTGGAAGCCGTGATTTCCGGTTCGAGAATGCTGCTCTGGGAGCCGAGGCTCATGGCGATGTCCTTGGCTCCTTTGCGGCCGGCGCCAGGTTTGGCCACAATGGATTCGTCGCTGTCTGGTGAGGTGATGCTGCTGGTTCCCACCATGCTGGAGATGCGGAGGAGCCTGTCGGCGATGAGTCTGAGGCGAGGGGCGGCATGGGGGGCAATGTCAAAGATGCCCTCGGCCAGGATGATGTCGTAAAACTTGGTAAACTCCTTGCTCATGGCCTCGTTCGAGGCCTCGAGATCCTTGACCTTTTGCTCGAGGGTGGTGATGGCGGTGTCTTTGCGGTGTCTGTAAGCTCGCTGAGCAAGACGAATCTGGGTTCGACGACGCTGCAGAAAGGTGAAGAGGTTAGATTAGATTGCACCATCCCATGTGCCTGGAAGTGAGCATGCCTAGAGAGAGGGGGGGATGGGGAACAGAGGACGTGAAGAAGAAGACTGTGCCAATGATAGTACTCGTGCTCGTGCTCGTGCTCGTGCTCGTGCTCGTGCTTGTGTTTGTGAGGGCGGTAGTGATGATGAATCATGATGGCTGTGCAAATGCCTGCCAAGCTTCGTTACTCACATCGGCGGCTGTCTCGTCCTTGGTGTCGAGCCGCGGACGGCCTCTGGAGCGCTTCTTCCGTACGGCGTCGTCTTCGTCATGATCCGGCGATGGCGAGCGCTTGTCATTGACTTGTCTGGGCTCCTCGCCATACTTTTCGGCATTGAGAATCGAGATTTCGCTCTGCAGCGACGGCAAGGGGGACCGGGCCTCAGCCCGAGACAGGCGACTCATGCTGTGCTGTGCTCTGCTGTGCTGTGCTGCGCTATGCTGTGAGGTGCAGTGAGGTGCTGTGAGGTGCAGTGCAGTCGGGCGTCGAACGTGGGTGGGTGATTAGTCGAGCCCGTTGGTGGTGAAAGAATAATCCAGCGGAGAAAACAAGCACAGATTGGAGAGATTGGTCGTGACGTCGGGGGTTCAGGAAACGGCGCGGGGCACAAGACAGGAATATACTAATAGTAATACTATTTTGTATAGCCCGGACAAGGACTATTTCATCCGCGTTCGTCCGGGTCACAGGCTCGGTGTGAGAGAGAGAGTGAGAGAGAGGTGGCAGGGCAGAGCAGAGCAGAGCAGCTGGAGTGCAGTTGGAGAGAGGGTGGAATCTCGCTGACGAGCCGCAAGTACCGCTCCGCACCGCAACAGGCCGCAGGCAGGTTTGTGCTGCTGCGCTTACAAGGTGGTGGATGGGAATGGGATGGGGACGGGGATGGATGGATCCGACGCAGGGATTTCCGGGGGGGGGGGGGGGGGGGGGTCCGAGCAGGTCAGGTTCAGGGGCCGTGGAGCTGTCTGGCCTCGGTAACCAGCCCTACAGTCCTGTACAAGTACTAATGTACGAGTACAGATGATGGAGCTGCTGGAGCAAGGTACCTGGGTATTGATGTGGTCCCTTGCAAGTTGCGTGCTGTGAGGATGAACGAGTCCAGTAAGTAACTCGTGAGAATTGTGAGGTTGCCGCGGTGTGCCGGTTGTTGGCAAATGAACCAAAAACAACAGAGTTGTGTTGAGAAACTTGGGGGCACGGAGTCGGTTTTCCTTTGTCCTCCATCCCCGTGCGGTCTGGTCTGGCGCCTGTTGACCAGAATTGCGCCTTAACCGAAGCTGGTTGATTACGAAGCAACAGCTCGTTTCTGACGTCGTCTCTCAGCAATCACCACCAACTATCCAACTCAGCAGCCCCCCAAAAAACAACCCGAAGCAAACACTACTATAGTATAGCAACATCAATGTAATCACACTTCAACCACCAGCCAGTTTCACACCACTTCTGCAGCTGTGCTCGTCGCTGTAGATGGTACATGAATCTCCATTGCTCGCAGGCAGCCACTCGTTGATACCGGTACAAGCACACAGACCACGGGCTTGCCGGGGTGATTAGATAATGCGGCATCGCTAAGCCGCATGCAGGCGACCTAAGCGCAATTAATAAGCAGTTAGAGGCGGGCAGAAGCTGTCTAAGATGTGGCTAGCCGTCTTAGGAAGTCGGTAGCCTGGCAAGCCCTGGTCCAGTGTGGAGCAAAGTTGCGACTTCCGTGCCGGGCGCTTTTCGGCGCAAGCCTCGAATTGCCTTAGTCATATCAATTGGGAGCTGTGATTGGCGGCGTCCGCACATCTGGTTTGGGAAGTAGCGGCGATGCACAGTGCCCAATATGGTATCATTGTAGACCAGAGGGCGTACCTTGTACAAATCCCAGCCGATCATGGCGAATCTCGTCTGGCGGGAGCAGCTCAATGAATCAATTAGTACCTTAGTACATAATACTAGGTACATAATACCGACCCAGCTTGGTGAGTGCAAGCGGCAAGTTCCGCGATTCCTGGGGAGGGTTTCGACGGCGGCTTCCTCCCAGCGCAGATTCTTAGGTACCTAGCACTATAGGTACCTTGCCTGCGTCCATCTCAAACAAGGTACGCGTAAGGAGCAGGATGCTGGACTTCGGGGTCGGCCCCCAATTAACACTGTGCTCCGGTCCAGCGGTTTGTCACTACAGAATCTGTGCTGCACAACACGGAACATGAAGATGGAAGCTATTTGGGGGTCTAGACGCCCCAGACGCCAGGCAAACAGGGCTGTCAACCCACTCTTTGCCATGGGCCCACCGCCTTCCAGAACTACTAGGTAGGCTCCCGATTCTGCCACCGCCTGCCCCAAACAGCTGGCCGACGGCCGCAACAGAAGCAAAGTCAGTCAACCTCGTAGCTCCATCGGGGCGTGTTGAAGAGACCAGACTTCTAATCAAAGCCTTTGATTATGCCATCGACTCGTTACTGCAGTGTAGCAACTTGGTACCTGTATTTCTGCAGCACACTTGAGCATACTGTTTACTTACTAGGTACTTGCAAACAGCGGGAGATGAGAGATGGGTCCCCGCGGTGCTGCAAACCTTTACCTGGATCAGATGCAATCCGATATCCGACGCAACTACGAGTACCTCCACAGCTTCGAGCCCCAAGTCCTACGACTAGACTGCAGCACGTACGAGTATCCTCGTACATGTCCAGGCATCGGGTACGACTGGTCCTCTCAGAAGCAACTGCGCATCATTCCCCTTCGGCTTGGTTCAGCCTGTGCGTCACTAACAACACCATCCACGGGGTCTGCGTGATGCCACAAACACTCGCTGCTTTCCATTCCGGCTGCCACTCACTAATCGTGCTGATACATACATACCATGAGCACACACCCAACGTCTCCATGCCGCATTCCCCGCATTAGCTTCATGCCGCCATGCATTTGATTTTCTGCAGCGGTGTGGCAGAGCATCATCCTCTTCCAAGTGCCTTTGGGCCCTAAGCCTGTGCGGCTTGGGCTCGATTTGCAATGCCGCAGTTCCAGCCCGTGAGACGGAGATCCAACCTTGCCGCTGGGTAGAGTCATCTGGTCCACAGACCCCGAGTTTAACGAGTCTCTGGCAGACTGTTTTCTCCAAGGCCATCGACACAATCGTGATTTCCTGTATCTCGTAGCATGGATACACCGCTGGCCATTTCTGCATGCATCATCTTCCGGCTTTGAGACGAGATAGTCCAGCTTGACGTCTCGTCTTGGCCGATAGGGGCCTCATAATCCATACCCGGCTAAATGGGTCATACAGGTCAGCTTACTGGAGTAAAAAATGATTGGCCAGGAGGCGAGTTGCAACTATTACTGGGGGCTGATGCAGAGTTCCAGCAAGCACATTGTACAAGCCCCTTTGTGGTCTCCATGTAACTCAATTCCGCCTCAAAGTTGCTTGCAGGTGCATAGTACGGAGCATGTTCCTTCCAGGTTGTGAAAAGAACAACGTCAGCTGTTCTATTATTGTTACTCCCATACCGTTGACCTAAAAAGGCATTTATATTCAACCAGTCAAGAGACGCTTGATGCCTGTATACTTTCCTGGACCAGATTTGACAAAACGCGGGCCATGGACCAACATGTCGACGACTCTGGCAGTCCTCTACCAAGGTAGATATCGACAATGACGTTCCACCTCATGCCAATCTGTATTTTGGTCGAAACTCCACATGCTGTCCAAAGGTAGTTGTGGGTGAGTATTCCATCAAAGTTCTTGGAGAACGCGATATACGAGAGAGTATGCACTGTCTCTTTCTCCAATGGTGTGGATACAGACGCAGAGGTGTGCCCTGAATATCCCGCCCTCCTCCTGCTCGTACTCACGGGCATTTTCCGCGGCAATCCGTGCGCCTCCACTTGAACCTGTCTGATTATCTCAACTCTAGCACGTGGTTGGTTGAGGGTGGTGACAATGATGACAACCACAAAAGAAAAGGTGGGCTTCTTCAACACTTACCGACCAAAGTACATACATGCAAATTCTCACAAATCAGACATCATCCCGCATAAAACAGACGAAATACAATGTCAAGACCCGAGTGCCTGCCAAGTGAGAGGTCCTCGGACGCTATCGCCGAAAAAGGCCTCCTAATGTCCGATATCCTGCTAACAACAAGGTAAGCCGTCCGATATGCAGCTAGTAGCATGTTTTCAGCCCTGCCCCATGTACCGCGGCTTTCAACTCAAGATCTGACGCCTTTATTTCGTACGGTTTCGTCCGAGTAGGTCCGCGAATGTACCATCTTTATCTCTCGGACACGCCCTCTATTAGGGAAAATTATGAGAGAAAAGGCATCAAGTTGCCCGTTTTTGGTCAGATTGACGGCTGGATGAGCCGACTTTGAAATGGCTTTGCACAAGTTCAGCCTCGATCGTGAGCCCTTGTGAAAAGAAGGAGTCCTGTGATGAAGCAGATGGAGAGTTTGCGGCTCAAGTGGAGGTTTGCTCCTGTACCCCAATTCTTGTCACAAAAAAAAAACCTTACAACATGGCCAAACTTCAATGGAGGTTAATTAGGTGGAGTCGACAGCATTGTCTACACGCCGGGACATGGGCACAGATTCCTACGAGTTACTCCTGAGGCTCTGCATATTGGGGGGCTTTTGGTGATGATCTTCCTTGTTCAATATGGTTACAGCGACCGGCGATGTGGGGGCTTCTCAACCTGCTGCTTCAGACTCTAGAAGCATCCAACGGGAGTGTCGATGTGAAGTTTGGTCTGCGTGGAAGATGTGATATCCATCTTCTTGCTTTACTATCAGAAGGGTATGTACGTTGGTTGTATACTGAAGTTTGGGAGCTATGATTTGGGGTCATCCAACTGTATAGAAACGGCCGGGGTGATGGTATTACTCTACAGTACGTCTCACCACGAATCATCATCGTGACGCTCGTCTTAATGTCTGACATGATACTCAAGGGCCACCTATTCCAACTCGTTCTGGCCGACAACATGAGCTATTACCTTGAGATTGAAGCTTGTGGCCACGTCGATCGAAGCCGTGGTACAAGATGAAGCCGGCTTCTAACATTGGCTAGACCTTTCCCCTTTACTGCAGTGACATTTGCTCAGATGCAACCATGGTGGTAGTATAAGCTCGGGCTCATGTGGCAACACGCTTAGGACGTTCTAGGGGATGAGCCTATACATCTGCGGTCGGCGTTTTGCTTCCACCCCATGCCCCAGGGGAATACTGTTTGATTTTGTGCCAAGACGTAGCAGCCGCCACCCTCTTTCTGGTACAAACACCTGGCTCCTACTATCGACGTGCAGATACGTGCTTCCAATATGGGATGTTGAGCCTCTGAGTGTGGAGGCCGTAAGGGGGTGGGAGAACAATGATGCCCGTGGAGATGCACAACCCGCCAACGAAGTCCTTTGGGTTCCGAATCTAGTAGTATCGGCGTGATGGGTATTGCTGCTGCCTAACATTCCGCAACTCTAATTTGCTTTCTGACGAGACTATCGAGTACTCATACAAGATGCAGCCACATATCATGCCGAAAGTGCCATGATCCCCCAGTTCAATATGCTCTGTCATGTAGTTTATTTTTGCACATGCCTGCATGAAGAGTACAGTATTACTTATCGTCATCGATAGGACTTGGTTCCGTTTCCTTGTTGTTTCAACTTGCAGCAATTGAAGGAATGAACCACTGGACTTATCAACTACGCTACGAGTTGTAAGGAGTGAAAACCTACAATGATCGAGACAGTGTTTTCATCGCCCATTCTACTCAAGCTCGCGCTCTTGATATCAAATCTATGTAAATGACAACTACGAAGATTATCCCGTGTCTGCAAGTAGTAAGATACTCCGTAGAAAGTACACTCGCCCCTTTTGGCGGATCTGCAAGTGAACTAAAAGGGTTTCATCTCTAGCAACACAACTTATACCCTTAGCAATTTGCCGTCCAAACTTATCAGCTCTCTAGTTATAAGCTTAGATGAAATCGTGTATTGTATTTCCGGGAACCGATCAACAGACGCGCGTCTTTTCACCACAATCCGACTGTTGTCTCTGCCTTGCCCTATCGCCGCGGCGTTAATTGTCTTTGAGCAAGGGCAGAAACGTAATCGCCTACATGTATCGTTACGGTGCGGAATTCCGCTCTGTTGAGTCTCCAGTTGTATAAGCTCCAACATACGAGTTCTATTACAGGCTGTTACATAAGGCCATGCAGTCAAGTAGTACGGGTCGGTTACCAGGCAGTTCGTTCAACCCATGTAACGAAGGTATGACCAGGAGCGGAACGGCGGCCGACCCCTGACAGGAAAAAAAACGGGACACTACCGTGCCGGTGGGACGTCAACAAGAAACAAAGAATTGGAGAGGACGCTTCCCATTAGGCAACTGCACGGCTGGGATACTCCAGCTCCAGCTCCAGCGACTGCCGGTCTTACATAGTGGAAGTCGGAGCGGCGCCGCCACTTTATTCATTGCTGAGCCCACAGTTTTAGCTCAACACACTGCTTGGGCTCATCGAAATAGTGCCCGAAGCATCGTTCCATTCGCTCATCTCCGTCCCGGCTTGCATACAAGGTGGTTTTCGTCGCCATGAATTTCCTGTTTTGATAGGACCCGTGGGCGTGGGTTTCTCACTTCTTGTCGCTTATTGCTCTTTTGGGCGTATTCTATCCAATCGTTTTGTAGCTCAGCCGGCCCCCTAAAATAAGAGGCAAGAAGAGACGGGGTCAAGAATCCTTTGCCGTTTCTATTCTGTGTTCCGATTCCACCCTTGTTCCGCTAACTTACTGGTACTAATAGGTATGCCGCAATAGCCGTCCGAGCCGGGTGCTTACCCGTACAAATCTGACATTCGTCGGTCATGGTTCGGAATCTCCAGCGCGTGAGAACATTTGGAGGTTAGAGGCTGGAAGTTGGAGACTGAAGTTGGAGTTTGGAGGCTCATCTGTGGGACATGCCGAATGATTCTCCGAGAAAATGCGCGATTGAGGTGGTATTTTAATTCAATTATGACACGGATACCAAGATGGCGTGGTGGTTTAGTAAACTTGAAGATGCTTGGCCAAAACAGATGGGTTGTTGAATCGTCAACTACATCATAACAATACACACAAACCTTCAAATTCAGATTCAATCTAGTCCTCGGATAGATTCAATTGCATGACATAAATCAGATTCGGCACTCGTAACTGAGGTTTTGTGTTCACTTGTGTAGGGTTACTTATCACTACTAAACATAAAATGGGGAGAAGAGGGGACTGTTTAGTAATTGAAAAGTCTGGCGGAAGTTGAAACAAAGAGGAGAGGGACGAGCGGTTTTTTTCTACACTAGCTCAACGAAACATTGAAAAAAATGAATCAATATAAGTAATAGGAGGTTGCCGTGCCTTAAGACAGAATAGCATGATGGAACCGCTGGTTATGCTTACTTGCCCAGCGTGAGGAGTTTAAGCAAAGCACACATGGAGAGTATTTTACGCCAAGCAGAGTAAGATCAATGCCATATTCGGTCAGTGTATGTAGAAAGAACAGCATCAGATGATTTACCGTGCATATTCGGCTTCATTGATCCATTTCAGAGAATCCAATAATACAAACAACAATTTATCTAGGGGCAGATTCAGGCACGTTATGTCTTTAGGAAGAAAGAAAGTCTACGCGGAGTCCATTGTCTGTGTTTTCAGTACTTTTTAAAGCTGTGAAAGCAATTGGAAACGACTTGCGTTATTCGACGCATATCAACATCGATATAGTTCGCGCTCACAGAGGAGATCCGCACGCTGCTCCCTCTGAGGCCTAGATGGGATGACTAGCCATTCAGAAACAACTGCGTTCTAATACACAAAGCAAATTTTATAACAACTGGGCCTTCGTCAATTGTGCTCCTGGAAGCGTGTCGTGTAAAATATCGATGAGTCTCCTTTTGAACGTCGCAACATTCTTCTTTCAAGACTGCAAGACCCATGGAAATGGCAGATTTCAACAATAACTATGAGGCAAATGCTCTTTCTTGCTATATGCAGTATGAATGTGAAGTTACAAGTTACTGGAAAATTTGGGATGCAGTGGGAGACATACTGCCTTTGCAGAATAAGATGAAAGGGGCGGGATGAACAAAGTGATGTTGAGACTGAGAAACAATGAGTCGAAGCAAATGGACAGATGACTTTGAATACATGTATTATTTACTGCTAGTAAATTAGTGGTATACGTCTGCCTTTTCCATTTTTACAATTTTTTCCTATCCGACAATGCATCATTGTGTTTATTTCACTGACACTTGGAGAATCCAGCTGAAATATCCCTTTTGAGTAATACTAGATGCAAAAGCCGAAATCCAGGTTGCCTTACCATATTAAAAGACAACGGTGCGAGAGCAAATCAAGCATCATTCAACTTGGCTATTACAGCCTTGTTTCTTAAAGTGTAACTTGTCCAATCTCTTTCATTTAAAACAAGACTGTAAATAACCCTCGTTTATACAGGGTATGTAACTAGGCTAATCCAGCTTAGTCACCTCAATGGATTCAGCATCGGCCAAAGTGCTATGTCAATCAAGTCTAATATGCATTCATACATGTACGTGTGACTTCCATCCATTGTCATTACCATCATTGCAATGCCTTTTTGCTTGTAATCAGTAACCATGTCCGGCAGTATCCGCTTCCACCAAAAGTCCAAAACTGGCTGTAAGAGGTGCAAATCGCGTCGCGTCAAGGCAAATACTTACCGCCGCCGGTTTCCATCCGTAGGAGACACGAGCTGACCGAATGCCAGTGTGATGAAAGAAAGCCACAATGCACTGGTCGCCGACGCCGCGGAGATGAGTGCGTATATATATCCATGAGGGAAGATGCTGGCCCTACCACTTCATTCAGATGTGAAAGTAATACGCCGCAACCATCCACGCAGCCACTTCTTCAGACTCTATCAGAAGGTCCTCACTACAGCGCCAAGCACTTGCTGGATCTTCGTCTAATGCACCAGTACAGCATCTTTACAGTTCAGTCGTTTGAAGCCGCCTAGCGCAATGAAAGGGTTTCAGACGCAATGTTGAGGGAGGTACCCCAACTCGCTCTGGAACACGAGTTTCTCATGGACACAGTCCTCCTTGTCGCCATGACTCACCTCGCTTATACCGACCCCGTGTCTCGAGAGAGTCTGCCTATCTATCTATACCGCGACCAGGCCCTACGCAGTTTTCGGCAGGCCGTTGCAGGCATAACAGCGCAAAACATCAGTGCCGTCAGAGCTGCATCACACTTATTAGCGGTGGTCTCTTTCGCGATAGACCGCGTGACCAAGCATTCCGGCATATGGGTCACCAATTGGCTAGCCCTGGCGGTAGGCCAGAGGAACTTCCCGTCCAACGGAAGATTATATGGACTTTCATCCGGCCAGACAGGCAGCCGCTCCACGGGCTCTCTATACGGATCGTTTAGCGATATCTCGCTGCCTGCGGCAGTACTGCCTCAGATCCAAGACATACTCCCAAAGGAGGAAAGCGATTGCGATTGGGGGCGACGAGGCACTCTCTACGAGGTCACGGCGAGCCTCGGGAGGCTCATTGCCATCTTGGGAGAACCCCACGAGCAATTATGGCTGGAGAAGAAGATCAAGGCATGGGCTTTTGATGTTGCGCCCAGTGAATTTCTCGAAATGGTACAACGGGGAAGCCACCGTGCTTTGATCATCTTGGCTTACTACCTTGTTCTTCTTAACCTTCTTCCAGCGACATGGATTTATCAGGATGTGGCCAGTCACGACATGGAGGCAATAGAGGAAAGTGTGGGGGTGGAATGGCGGAAATACATATCAATCCCAAAGATGGCAATGCAGCTAGATGACAAGGTTTCCATTGTCCGGCTTCTCACCAACGAAACACAGGTTTAATATCTAGGCAATGAAGGGACTTTTATAAACCATGTAATACGTTGTCTAGTCATCTAGCAGCGGAAAGCACTCGGAAAACTATCTAAGAATAATATAAAAGGATTCGCCCTGGTTGATCAAAACCCATCACCTACTCCGAAAATCTAGATATGGCCAAAAGTCGGAAGAAAAAGAAGTAAAAACTAGGAAAAGAAAAACAGATTACCTTTTCAACCAATATAATCCGGCTAAACCATCATGTATAACCACGCTCGTCGTGACGTCGCCTTGCCAACTCAGAACACCGTAGTCTAGATTACAGCAGCTCTTCGCCTTGCAGATGCTCCATTCCCTTATCTTTTCGCACGTACTCGGATAGATGGAAGTAGCCCAAGATCGCCAGGACAATCAACATCAAAGTTGAGTCGCAGACGTAGAGGTACGCTTCAGACGTCATGATTGCCGAGTCATTGCTGCCAGTGAACTCGATAAGACGGAAAACAGATCGGACAAATATCAAGGCGCTGCTGGAATAGAGAAGGAATATGATGCCTTTCCACCGCATTCGGTTACGGCTGTCCAGTGTATAGCTCTCAGGGGTTGGGTTCCTGTCAAGTCGGCGCTGGAATACAATTGCTGTGACCACAAAGAGCCCGAAAGAGATGAGCTGCGCGACCAGGCCAACGAGGATAATTGCTTTCCCCAGGCTAAAGTTGTTTGTCAACAAGCCGGAACCCGCAAGCTGGACGACAAAGGACAGGACATCGCCTCCCACAAATATCTTTGTGAGCCATGCCGGTCGAATCGGAGTGTATGCTTCGGCGCGCACCGCAATAATTAACCGTCCGAGTACGATGTAGATGGAGGCTGCAAAGAGAGCCGGGGCAACGAGGATGAGGAGTGTCTGTATGACGAAGAGAGCCACGTTTGTTTCATCTTTGCTTGCCAAGTAGCGAACAACGTAGCCAACGCTTTCGACTATCGACAATGGGAATCAGTCCGAGCTGTGATATTTCGGGGGAGAGAACCATGGAAAGGCAACTGGAACATACAACTACCGCCAACAACAAGTGGCAGAAAATGCCACACGCGGAGACGAGAGACGATGAAGATGTGGTAAATGGTAGCAATGCCGAAGAGAATAGCAAATAGCAGGGCTGCTGCAGGGCTGAGGTTGTAGCTCCAAGGACCGAGGACCATTGCGAGAGTGCACTGGGAGTTGAAGTTGAGAGAGGTTGAGAATTGACAGGTTATAAACCAAATTTACAACAAGCAGATGCTCCTTGGGTATATATACATACCCAACATAGATACTGATGGTTTATATGTTTTTGCTGCTGTATCATGCTGGGCCTCGCACATCGCACGTCGCACCTCGGATATCGCATCTCGCATCTCGCTCAGCATCCATAGCCGCATTCGTTGTAATTAGACGCCAGCCAGTTATCCATGCAAGCAATACGGAAAAGTCTTTGTCGAAAGAGATGTATCCGATGCGTTCAGTAATTAATCTCCTTAATTATCCTGTCTCCTGTTCTGTGAAAAGACAAATATAATGAGCCCATAATGGGACTACAGGGTACCTACACAACGTGGAACAAATAAAAAGGTTCTGTCCAACCAATCTGGAACGGATCATCAGAAAAATACATGTAAGTAATAAATGAGATGGATTGGGGAATATCAAACTAGGTATATGAGCTTACTTATGTTTCTATACTCGTTCATATCCTCGCGCCATCACCAGAAACTGGCTCGATGCGTCCCAGAGCACTACACCCACAAGTGTTGTCGATTCCGTGGGGATTCCGTCCAACCCCCTGCCAATCATTTAATATGCGCTTTCAACTATCAATGTCTGCCTTGCCGATAGTGCGTGTATAGCAGTTGATGTGGACTGGTAACAGCAGTGCCATTTCACTAATACGGTTCCATGTTTTCCTTGGCCTTGGAAATGGCAGCCACTGTTAAGCGCACGCCCTTCTTTGAGACTCTCTAGAGACATGATGCCTCATCCGCAGCTATAGTGAATCATGGCACTGGTGTAGCGGCTGTATATGGCTCCCTGCTGCATGATGCCGCAGTCGCGAATCAACTTGAACATGAATTTTCCATGTGTTACAACTGCCTTTTCAGATTGAATATGTGAAGCCTGCGGCTTTAATTGAATACGTGTAGAGTGGAGAGCAGCAGTAGCCGCATGCATTCTTTCCGGCATCATAATACTATTGCACGTCGCCTTATCAGACTTGGTAAGCCTGAACCACCTCTGTATTGATGCGGCAGCTCCCTGTTCCCTCACCTTCTTGTTTCAGTTACTGTAACGTTTGTAAGATGGCGTTAAAACGCCGCAAAGGGTAACTCAGGGTAACTCGGATCCTTTTCCATGTGATGATTGGTTTCTGCTCCACAAAGACTACTACTATAATATTACCTAGTTTGCGCACACCGGTTATCGGCACCTCTTATATAGTGTTCATGATTCCTGACCTCGTTTGTAGAGCACTACAGAATTTCCATTCCTTTGCACCACCAACGGGCGCTCTGTGGAGGTGTAGTGAGGCTTTAGGTCTTTAGAATACATGTACATAAGCCTGTATATAATGCACCCCTCTTGTAGTGCCGAAGTTCCGTGTAAACGGCACATTGTTTGTATTGGTGATTCCAAACTTCATCTCTACACTCGGTGTTATACTCTCTGAATCTCCGTCTTTGAGTGCCGAAGTTCCGCGCTGTGGGAATGGAACAGGTTGGTTCCCAAACATTGGAGATGGATGAAGATGAAGGCTCTCCGAAGCCGCATATAAATATCCCCGCCGATCCCTTTCTGTTGTTACCTCCATGATATACCCATCAGCGTTTATTAGAAAGTCAACTTGTATATATTCATCCCAGACACATAAAATGGTGGCCAAGACTGGACTGCTCCTAGCCGGCGCGGCCCTTGCTGCTGCTGGTGGTGTCAATCGCAGTCTTCCCCTTCCTCCTGGCACCCGAACTCTCAAAAGCCTTGCTTCTTTAGCCACCGACACAGCCGTTACAGGCACTGCCGCGGTGTACGGGATCAACGACAACGAGAATGTCAACGGCGGTCTTGGATGCAGAGCCTACTACGGCGACGGCAGCACCAACGATGGCTGGCCGTCCATCAGCCAATGGGTCTCGTTCAACTACATCTGGCAAGTCAACTACAACAGCATTCAGAACTCGTGCAGTCAGTACAACGTCCCCAATCTCTCCGACGACGAGATGAACGACCTGGAGAACGGCATCAACGACATTGCCAACCAGTTCAACATCGACCATCGCTTCATTCTGGCTGAAATCTTGACGGAGTCTTCCGGCTGTGTCCGAGTCCCCACCACGGGTGGTCCATCGACCGGCATCTGGAATCCTGGCCTGTTGCAAGACTTTGATGGATACTACACCTGCAACTGCGATACTTATAATGGCGTGTACAACGAGTACGGCGAGACCTGTGGTGTGGTCAACCCGTGTCCATCAGGTAAGTATAACTTTTCACGAAGAACTCTTGGTTCCAATCTTTGTCCTTGGACTGACCATACCGCTATAGACACAATCACCAACATGATTCGAGAGGGCGCCGTGGGTACCGATAACGGAGTCGGTCTTAGTTTTCTCATCAACGCAGCTGAGGCTCAGGGCGCCCAGGACGCCCAGGTCTTTTACGTTGCGTCTGAGTGGTACAACCAAGGAGAGTACTCGCCCAACGTAGGGGGATCTTTAAACGCAAACTGTTATGCCAGTAAAGTGGCTCAGTGGCTCACTGGATGCACAAATCCGGTTTCATGCTAACATGTTAGTCTTGAATTCGTTTCAAAATAGATGATAATATCTTGCTTCCAATCCTTTATGCTCCGAGAACTATACATGTAGTCTACTCTAGTATTATCTACAAACTGGGCATGTCATGTAGCCGGCTGATTGCACCATCTCATGCGCAAACACTTGCCTTGTCGCATCCATGTCTTTCTCCTTGACTAAACTTCCATCATCAGGTACTCAAGCATATAACTTGCACTAAATCCAGTCCCGCCATACCCTCTGATGCTTCGCCGCATGAAAACACCGTATGAGCCGTTTTATTCCTCAAACCTTGGCGCCATTCTTTTGTACATCTCTTGGTTGAAATATAGACTGTGTGTGGAGGAGTGTGTCAACTAGCCTCATCTTGGTCACTGGCCCTCCGCCGTGAGACCAGATGGCGCGCGTATTATTAATACTCTTACTACCTAGTAATTAAGCAGTAGGTTAAGTATATACTATATATAATGTTTTATATACTTGAAACTAATTCGCTAGCCTTTCTTTATAGCGTTTTATAGCTCTAATCAGCGAATTCTACATTCCTTATATCGGTCCAACTTAGGGTACTAAATTCTTGTGGGGTACAGGGTCCTGGGTACATGTAGACTCCACACAAGCTTGATCGGGTTAGTAAGCCTTGATTCACTGCAACTTGACCACGGCAGTGGCGCAGCTAATCCTCAGCCTCAGACCTTGTTCAATTCACATCGTCTCTTGGTCGAAACTACTAACAAACAACAAGACAGAGAGCGAGCAAGCTGGGGAAGTTGGCAGCTTTGATATTCTATTCCACCAGCCACTGACTGAGCATTTGTGCGCCCCAGCATGGGCGATCGGGGCGACGGCTGGATCACCGTGGGCCGACGCTTGGCCCTTGACGGAGAACCGCCATGGGCCGAACAAGAGGTGAGGGAGCGGGAGGCCATTGCGGCGTGGGATCATGACGAGCAGTGGCCGAGCGTGTGAGTCATTCGAACGAGATGCAGCCGGGGTTCAAGGCAGTTGGCGGCTACAATTGGAACCAGTTGTGTAGCTGTGAGAAGAAGGAAGCAAAAGAAACATTGGAAGCTAATTCGGACAAATGCATCCTCGACACAGGCACAAACCAAACTTCAACGGTCCTGAAGCAAAACGATTCGATTCCCGTCTAACCCATCTCGACCACCTCGGCGGCGGCGCCTTTGGCCGTGTGGACAAAGTGACACATGATGCCGTTTGCCTCGCTCGGAAGCGCATCATGCGCCGCCGTGGGCTTACAATCGACGACTTGCGCCAGGAAGGGCTGACGATGCGCAAGCTGGACCATCGCCACGTCGTCAAGCTGGTGGCGGCTTACATGCCTCGGCCGCACGAACTATGCCTGCTCATCTGGCCCGCTGCCGTTTGCGATCTCGACACTCTGCTGGACAATCTAGACTCGATACGCGCAGGCACGGGAGACCGCGAGGACGTCTTAGCACGGCTCGACGCACTAGAGATCAACGACTTGAGCGCAATTGAGCCCTCGACTGTGACGCAAAACATGGACTCGCTTGCAAGATGCCCGTTTGAGTTCCTCCGCGGCGTTGTTGGCTGTGCGGCTCGCGCAATGGCGTACTGCCATCACAACGACGTTCGCCATCTAGATATAAAGCCCTCGAATATCTTGCTCAAGCCCGGCCGGGTGTATTTGGCCGACTTTGGCATTTCCAAGGATGTCAGTGGCCAGGAACAAACCACCATCGACGGCAATCCTGGCACAGAAAAGTGGCGCGCGCCGGAGCTCTACAGCCAGGATAGTTCTAGTATGCAACTCTCGGATATGTATTCTCTGGGACTCGTCTATCTCAACATCGCAACGGTGCTGTACAATGTCAGGCTCTCCGAATTTGACGACGCCCTGACCTATCAAGCCGATCTCTCCCGCAGCGAGAAGCTCGCAATTCGGGAAGACAAGCTCAAGCGCCTCCTCGAAAAACTCACTTCCCATGCCTTGGTGACACCGCAATTCATGTTTACTTACGAGGGCCAGGAAACAGTCAGGCCGCGACCTCTCGTGAATCTCATTACCAAGATGATATCACCCATGCCCCGTGCTCGACTACCGGCCGATAAAGTGGACGAGAAGCTATCCATGATCGGAGGCATTCACCAGATCTATCACGGCGAATGCTGCAAACGCCCAGCGTCCTGGGTTGAAGATAAGTGGGACAAGAAATTCGTCGCCCTGATGAGCCTCAAGGCGGAGAACGATGACTTGAAAAAGAAGATTGCCGACTTGCACGGCAGAGATGAGACGTACGAGAAACGCCTGGAGAATGCGCGAAAGGCGCACGAGCATGATGTCGCCAAGCTCCAGGCGCTATTGAAGAGCGCCGAGGAAAAAAGCCAACAGCTAGAGCAGGCTCAGGGAGGGCGCAGAAGAAACCATGATCGCGACCAGCATAACCAGCACCAGCACCGCCAGGCGGGCCAAGCATCAAAACCACGCAATGCTCCCCCTTCTCCCTCACCAGCTTCTCGAGGCGTCGGTCTCGGCCTGAAAAAAACACAGTCGACACCGTCAGCTATCCCACAGCGGCCACCGCTCCAGCCTCGGTACCAGACATCACCTCGGGCCTCCTCGGCCAGTTTTCATACGCCCACCCCGCCGTCTCGTTCAACGGAGTCGTTATCTCGATTCAGCAACACCTCAACAATCAAGGCCGTGCAACAAATATCGCCCGGCCTGCCGAATAGGACCCCGAGCACGACGAGCCTGTCGGGATACACGCTGCGGTCCAGGGGTTCGGGATCCAAACTGCCCCTTCCCGTGACTCCCGGCAGCCGATCAGGCACCCCCAACCTCAACCAGGAACAGAGCCTGACAGACAGCAGCATGGCTTCGTCCATCTTTTCCAGAAAGAGCGTGGACACCGTGCCAACGCCCGCTCACAACAGCCCAGCCGTAAGCAGAATATTAGAACCCGACGACAAACCAGATGTCCACTGGGGGGCACTTCCCATCCAGAGAGAACGAAGGGAACGAAGACCCTCGACGCCTCCGCCTCCTCCAAGCCCGGGCTTGTCGCTGTCTTCTTCGGTCATGTCATCGCCTACAGCACTGAGGGCTGACCTTTTGTACGGAGACGACGGAGACCCAAACGTGACTGTGAGGCCAAGGAAGATTGCCACGCTACAGCCAATGAAGAGTTGGGCTGAAGTGGCGAAGAAGGAAATCAAGCAGCTCAGGAGATTGCAGTGAAGAATACAAAAACAGAGATGAATTGAATAAGAGGGCAAGAGAAAATATGGTGCATTTTATGGGTGTTTTAAGCGTATATACCAAAAAGCATTGCGTTGTCGTGTTCTGAAGGGACATGACTTGCATAGATCGATATGAATGTCCTGAAATCATTCTCTATCATCACAATACCCCCTGCATATTAAAATAAGAATACATGTTCGTCGTCTATATTTCTTCTATGTTTTTAAATCCCTCGAAACGCCCAGCTCGGTTCAATCCGGCTCCCAGTGGTATATAGATAGTATACAACCATAATGTTACAATTATATCTCGTCATTTTATACAAGCTCTCCTTTTCCATCTCAAGAAAAACAAGTAAAAAAGCAGCCATCTTGCTCATGTTAGTCGCCTCGCTGGCCGACAACACGCTTCCCTGCCCACTTCAACATCCTGCCCTCCTGAGACTTGACCAGCGCGGCCCAAGACGGCGATAGGAATGGATCTTGCGTTTCCTCAACATTTTCCAATGCCTCATCTCTAGGCAGAGTGCTCCGGATCACCTCCAACAGTGGCAGTGCGGGAATAGCACTAAGTCCAACATTGGGCGGTGCATCATCGTACTCCAACTCATTCCGCCGACGGTTGTTGTTGCTCCTCTTCGTAGCGTCATCCCTTGTGCCCCGTTCTTGTTCGTCCAGGGATCTTTCCTCCTCGACAAGCTGGTGAAGGGCTTCTCCCCTGGCAATCCAATCCTCCCACGTCTTTTCGATTTTCAACTCCCACCAAAGCCGGGAGAGCTGCACGCTCCATCCAAACGTCTCCATCTTGAAACGATCCTCCCTCGCCGACTGACGCAAGTCTTGCTGCTTTCCTCTTCCCTTTTTCGAACCCTCTTCCGCTAATAACTCGTCCATCATGCGATCCCAGTCATCCTCCAACGCAGCTTCCGGAACAACCCTCTCATCAATATCCAAGATGTTCATGATCCGACTCTCGAAGATGCGGTTCTTGCGCCCAATCATCCTGGACATGACGTGCGGCTGGGGCTTCTTCAATCGCACAAACGGCTGGCCGTCTGCGGTGGCGCTCACGGAGGGGACTTTTCTGGGCCCTGTGAGCGAGTGCTTTGGTCGTGGGAGGATGCTGGAAGTGTATTTTGGGGGGTCGTTGGCTTTGGCGGTGTTGATGAGGAGTGGCTCGGGGGGGAGGACGGGTTTGTACTGTGGAGGATGCGGGATTGCGCGGGATGCGGCGGCTGTGTCGCGGACGGATTGAAGATGTTGCATGATTTGGGTGTGTTCGGGGGAATTGGGAGTTTGAGCTTTCGTGAGGAGGTTCAAGAACTGTATTTCATGTATTTGTTAGTTACAGAAGTTTCTTTTACGAATTCATGAGATGATGGCGCACCTTGTATCCCGCCGCCATGGCCGCATACACAAGCCTGAAGCTCGTATACCCCGAATTCTTCTCAAACCGTCTCCTCACAATCCGAGAAATCGGCTTCTGCGCAACATCTTGCGCCACGGGGATGCGACTCGCGGTTCGTATGAGGGCGCGATACAGGGCGAGCGCTGCGGTGCGATGCCGCGAGTTGCGGGCGGCGATGAACGTCGAGCGCGACATTGTTTGTGCGATGGAGTTCTCAGGGTGAGGGTCTTGTTTGGACAGCCATTGGGCGTATTATCGTGGGTGATTCATCATCATTCTTTGTTGGTGGTTTGAGTGCGGATTAGATTTGCGTGAGGAAGCTCTTTGGTGATCTTATCGACAAAGTGCTTGAATGGAGGGGTCCGTAGATTTTCCGCATTTGGCAGTGGAGACATCAATCAGATGTCAATCTTCCTCGCATCACCGACACCGACACTGACTAAGACGATAGACATGGAGTCACAAAAGACACGCTACAGAAATTGTGTCTTACATTCTACCATGACGATTGTCTTTGTTGCATCTTCCATGTGCCTGATTAAAAAAAAACACAAGGTGAGACAAGAGGCGCATTCCACGTTGGCCATGTCTCACTTCGGTCTTGTTCGTATTCGGACTCGCAAAAGCTTATGCGAGACCAATTGTCCAACAAGACTAAAACCGGCCATGTGCTCAACTCCATCTCGAAAATCCTGCAGGAATGCGAGACTAGCAAACAACAAATACGATTACTCGATATTGATTCCCAATATTGATCATGATTATATGGTGAGATGCAGCACTAGGTGCTTCTTTCATCCCTAATACTTGTCTGTACCTGGCCGGGACCAAGGTGGTCATCAGGTATTAGCATTAGCCCGGTCACCATCTCTTCGCAATCAAGTCACCACCGTCTCATCTCTTTGGTGATTAGGTCACTACCCATTTCCCGAAAGCTTGCTATTAATACCACCGATGGCTGATGTGTTGTTGTGTTATCGCGGGGTGGCGTCACGTTTAGCTGTCAGCGCCCTTTAGCTCTGGCCTTAACCTACAAGTAGATGTCATGATATTTTAGCCCAAAAGCATGTCACTCACTACGCATCTCAGATCAGATGCTTATCATCCAGAAAGAGACGCAAATGGGACGAATGAATGATTCAACAGAGTTCGCCTAGAGTCATGGCATGTGAAAGAGGGTTTGGCCATGTCCTCCTATCTGCAGGGCAAGCCAGCCATGTGCAAGCTGCCCATTGTCGATTTTCCATTGGCAGCTCTGAGGGGCCAATAGCACCCCATCCAGCACCCCCTTACACCGACTTGATTGGCTTCCCGACAAGTCACACGGATAGATGTGATCTATACAGTATGTTTTGCCAAAAACACTCCAGTACGACTAGGATCAGAAGTCGTGGGGTAGTTGTCAGCTTGAGATGGTCCAGGGCTCATGAGCCGAGGCGATGGTTCAAGGGAGAGACGGCTTCGGTTCGAGAATCACGCCATGGCCTGTCCCCAGCGTACGAACCATTGCATCATGAGACAAACGGTGAACAGCTTCATCTCTCAACTCTATCCTGGTTTGAGTTTTTTTAAGGTTTTGATAATGCGACTCTCGTCATCCCATATGCACTGATATACCCAACTTCGGCCAACTACTATGGAGGTGAAATCTTACGACCCGTCAAGGTATGGGATACTGCCAAGCAAGGAAATCTCAAAGGCCAAGACTGGCCCAGAGCATCGGGATTGTGACTATCATTGGCGGCCCAAAAAGGGCAACGAGCATTTACGAGATGAAAAAAACATCAGCACTTGGTAATAGTACCCACGCGGCATCTGATCAAGTCGACGCCAATCTCAAAGGGCTGACTTGGGCTTTTGAGAGAGAGAGAGAGACGTACTCGTAATCCTCCTACGAGGCCTCGTCGCCATGGCCTTTGGCTTGGGTACCGTGCCTGCGCGGCAGCTTACATGTCCACCACCAAGCTCGCTCTCGTTTGGACGCCTTCCATGGAGGTATGGAGAACACGTAGGGAGCGTTGCCTTGGATTGGGGAAGCGTGGCGCTGAGACTAAGAGCCGTGGCAGCACGCCCAGCCGGCTCCTGGCAAGGATCCTTCGACAGCTGTGCCGAGAACAAGAGGCAGACAACTGTCATTGCTTGCCTAGGGCTGATTTGAGGGCGCGCCGAGTTGTCATTGGCCTAGTCGTAAAAGCAATCCTCAGAACAAGAAGAGAGAGAAAAAAACCCCCCAGGACAGGAGAGGTCGAAGGAGTTGCCGCCGCTTGGTAAGCGCGCACTCCCCTTTCCGCTGAACCACTGGGGATCGATGATTCCACGTCTTCGGTGAGCATTACCAAGCGGAATATCCACCGGCCAAAGTGAAGCAATTTTTCTTCCCTCTTGGTCTTGACAGCAACGATGGGCCAGGATTTCGGAAGCGTAACAAGGCCGAGGCTAGGCAGAATGGGGATTTTTTTTCGAGCGTGGTGGAGCGTGACGGCTTCATCAGTTTAGCCTTGTGCAGCAAGAAGCAGAAGCAGAAGCAGAAACAAAAAAGCACGTCCCGGAAGATCGGGCCCGCGGACTCGGTCCCGGCCGAGGATTCTTCGTTTTTCGAGTCCCCGTTTTCTTCCACGGCGTCAGTCTTTTTGCTTTGGACGTGGCCGGGCTGGACTGGCGCGAGAAATTTCTCGCAGCAAGGCGGAGCCATAAGCGGGTTAAGGTTTTGATAGACGAGTCTTGAATAGGCCTGCATTTGTCTTGTTTTGTTTTGTCCTGTCCTGTCCGTGATTTGAGTTACTGTCCGAGTGCGTCGCATGGCCCTAGCCTTGATGCAGTATGCAGTAAGTGTAGGCCTTTGCATGCGAGTTTATGAGTAGGTAGGCACATTAGTAGCAATATGCGCATGAGTTTGCTGGTGCCAGGTGGTCCAGGCATCGTCGCGTCTTGTCCTTGACTATCGGCTGTTGTTACTGGCCGTGATGCAGGGCGCAACCAGGTCAGGCCAGCCACTGGACGGACGTCTCTCAGCCGCAAACAGTCGGTGAGGTGTGGCCCGACAAAGCCCGATTTTTGGCTTTTGAGTCCATCGCGGACTAGCATTTGCTCTAAATAGGGCGGAAGGGTCGGAGGTGGGACTGGTCCGTGTGGGAGCCGCAGATGGCTAGTGACACTTGGATTAAAGCAACTACTCGGAACTCTGTATCACCTCGGAACGAGAGAAGCAGGTCCTGTATTAACTGATTAGTTAGCATGTATGAGTGACGGCGAGAACGAGGACGGCACAAGGGTAGTGTCGGGCAACAGTTGGCCCCCATTGTGTTTGTGGAGAGAGGAGTTGAGAGACAGAGACAGAGCCAGAGCCAGAGCCAGACTCATCTGATGTCTGTCTCCCCCTCGCTTCGCTGCTGGACTGGACTGGACTGGACCAACGGGGGACACGGAGCGCGAGAGCAGCCCAGATTCATGCATGGCAGACCTAAAACAAACAAAACCTCGAATCCCACCTCGTTGACGTGCCACGCTTGGATCTGCCACCTGCGCATGTGCTCCCTCCGTTTCTGCCCATCCTTCGGCAGGTGGATTGACCAAGTGGGTGGCCAGCCATTGGACGACGGGAGCCCTTTTCCCTTCCATTCTATCCTGCCCTCGGAAAGGCGGGCTGATCCCTGTCAGAAACAAAGACCAAAAAGTAGGGGCTGATCTCCAAATTCTCCATTCGCCGGCAACGCACGCACTATCTTTTTTCGCTCGGCGGCCCGCCCACGACTGGCCACGGCGCCTGGCGAGTCCGAATACGCCGATGTGAACGAGGGACCAAGGAAAAAGGAAGAATGGAAGAAGGAGGACTCAGGAGAAAGACGAACACGCGAGTCCGACGTTGTAGCGTGATGGGTTGAATGCATGGACCGAGGAGAATAGAATCTACAGTCGAGAAGCTCAAGTCGGTCTGGAGGATACGAGTACACTCGACCCGGTACCGGTACATCAGGCGCCTGCACCACATCACGTCTTGGTTGTAGTATTCTCTACCTTCGCATCAGGCCCCGGACGGCTGCTGGCTGACTGGAGATGACGGGCCTCGACTTGTATGCAGTACAGGCGCGTAGCGGAACCTGTACAGTAAGCGCATGCCGCACATGTCATGTCTTCCGGCTGGGCATCGTCTGAGCTTGCTGCGTACTCCTTTATGGGTTTCCACTCGGCAAAGCAAAGAAAATCTCCCTCTAGCACGGGCACGAGCTAATATAGTAGAGAGACCCAGTTTGACTGACGCCTAGGTAGACAAGGTAAGCATTCGCAATGGAATACTTGTACCATCAGTTCCGTGGCCGTGGATATACGGTAGTATACGGAGTACACTTACTGCAACAAGTAAACAATCGGGGGGACTGGCCATCCCAAGTATCGTCCAGGTAGCGACATGTACATTCATGGTGCATCACAATGCAAGGGAGGGCCTGTCGACAGCCCCTCGAGCAGCCAAATGCGTGTCTCACTCTCCTCTTCCTTCAATGACGCACCGGTCACAGGTACATGGCCCGGACATGCCCAGTACCGCCCAGATCCGAGCGGCTGTCCCGGCTCCACGGACAACGTTCGAATCTGCTGCTTGTCAGTCTGCCGACCAAGTGGCGACATTCCTTGGAAAAAAAAAGAAAAAGGATAAAAAACCCAAAAGCCAATGAGCGCTAAGATGAAAACTTGCCAGGTACATGGAGGCATAAGTCCACATGTCCCACGCCACAGCCTTCCTCGGGTGCTGAAAAAGCTGTGCAACTCCAATCGCCACTTTGCGGCGCCCCATCTGACGGCTAACCTCGATACTACTAAGACCTAGTTTCTAGCAGCTGGTCTGGCCTCCTCGGACACTTTTTTTTACAAAGTACAGACATACATCATGTCTGTGTACTAATACGGCGTGCCGTCCATCATATTATTCGACTCTACTTGGCTCTGTTTCAGGTTTTGAATCCTCGAATCCTCCTTGGTCTCGCACTGACTCTCGCTGCTGCTCCCTCCGAACATTGGTTTTGAGCAAAGGATTGGGAAAAAAGGGAAGAAACGAAAAGAACCAAAAAAAGGGACGAAACAGAAAAACCCCCGATCTAGGTGTTCCTCCTCGGACTGCCGCGCACATCAAACTCCGCTTTGAATCGGACGCGGGCTTTTCTGTCACCCCTACGTACCCGTTCAGGGAACCCCCCGTACATGGTACATGTCCCCCGGCTGTCGTCCCACTAATAAGGCTCTGGTCGCGTGCGGGCTGATGTACCGGTAACCTCCGGCTCTCCCAGTTGCAGCCTCTCTTCTCGAAAGGGCTCAAGCTGTCTCTGTTCCTCTGTCGACAAGCCACATCAACAAAGCGACAATTGTTTTCTTCTTCTTCCTCTCTCGTCGTCGCTCCGTCGTTCTTTTCCCCATCTCTCCTTCATCATCGCATCGGTACCTGGAGTACGGCAGATCTCCAACTCAACTGCTCACCGGACTCAACCCTCGCTTATACATCTTAACCAACTTGCTATAAGCGCCGGTCGCTTCAACTTCTGTCAACCCGTCGCTCAGTCATTGATATCTTCACCACTCGAACTCCCACAATTCCTGTTACCGAACCCGTAGACGACGGCCATCGACAGTAAAGCTCATCTCATCCCGAATGTTCCTTGCTTCCACGGCGCGGCGTACAATTTCCTTGAATCTCAGCTCTCTCATATCCGACGACGAATACGAACCCACTACATAGACGCCTCTTTTTCATTTTGTCATATATACGATTGATATCCACCACGATTGCGCACACTTTATTCCTCTCCCACTCGTATGCCGACTATAGAATACGAAATAGAACGACCGTCCTGGTTTGTTCGTCCTCCTATCCCTGGTCCCAGGGCGGTGTTATAGAATTGCTTCACATATATATACACACACACAACCTTGGACACCATGATCGTACACTCAGGAGCGGCCCTTCACGGCCATGAATTCTCAACACCACCTGCAGAACAACCTCAGCCGAACCGCTTCTCCTTTCTGGCTGCTCTACGACCACTCTTTGACACCGAACCGACCACTCCCACAGAACCCACAGCTCCTACTTCACCTACTTCACCTACCTCACCAGTTCCCGACACCAACGACACTCTTCCACCTCGCTCGGCTTCCGTCGCCGAGACTCGCAATCCTCGTTCCTCTCTTGCAAGTCGACGTCGTACCACGTCTGACATCGCCACTGTCCGGTTCCGTGAGCCTCATTCCGATATTGTCGGCCAGTCCGACGTTCCCAGTGAGGATGAAGATTCCATCTCTGGTTCTGAAGCTAGCGAGCGGACAGACTCTTCAATTCGGCTCAAAAAGAGAAAGCGTGGACCGCGCAAGTCGTCGCGATATGCACTGGCATTCCCAGCGCCTGGCTTGCGCACCAAGCAGCGGGCCTTTTTCCAGATCCGGCCGCGAGTGTTGCTGCAACTTCAGAAGCTCGGGGAGAAGCGCGCGATTCCGGCGTTTGACGTGGTTCCGTCAAGTCTCATTGCGGGAAGTCTGATTATCCCGGCATTGGTCAAGGCGTTCCCTCGCATGTTCCACGCCAAGCCTCATCTTGGCCAGAACGATCTTCTCTTGGTCCGGAGGGACGACTTTGCCCACAAACACGATGGTCATGGCCCTGACAACGCATACGATAGCAGTAGCAGTCTGGATCATAAGGATGTTCTAGCCGTTATCTGCACATCCGAGGACGATGACTATGCTAAGATTGTGCTCCAGGATGGGACAAGCTGGGTTACTAGCGCTAGGGCCAATGGGTCATATGAGTTTAACCATATCAACGAACATGGGGAGGCTGTCAAAGCTCGATGGATTAAGCGACCCTTGTTTTCACCGAGGGCAAGCTGGGGATCTGCCCATACTGCCAACACAACTCCCTCATCACCGACTACTCCCACCACCCCAGACGGCAAGTGGACATTTAGCATCTTGGAGCCGTCAACACGCAGACATCCGGTACAAGGAATCCTGGATTCTACGTGCCTGGAAATTTACGATACATATACGACCATGTCCACATCCAGCGGCATCTACTCCCCCGTTACAGATATGAGTGGCATCTCAGAAGACACAACCAACACTGCAGAGGAGAGACCGTCGATGGAGGTTTCCGAATATAACAAGACCCTCATGATGGCCACGGCGACTTGGATCAGCCTCAGACAGAGGGGCTGGCCTGCCTCGGCCACTCCCAAGATTCCCCGAGCCGTATCCCAGCGCGTCAGCTCAGGGCGTGCTCAAGGAGGTGTCATCGAGAGCAGCAGCTCAGGAGAGGCGAATCCCCGAATTTCATTAGCCGATGCGTCACCCGAGGAACTGGCTGCTGCCCGCAACATGACCTCTGGTAAGCTTCGACGAGCAATGTCTTCGGGAAGCGAGTTTATGAGGAAAAGACGCGAGGCGGCGGCAGTGTCAGCGACGTCCAGCATCACGGAAAGAGAGTCGGACGAAAAGCATGCGGGTGATCTCAAGATCAGGGAGCAAACAGGGACATGCCGGACGCGTGTGCGGCGGCTAGCACAAAGAGTATTTCACCACTCGGGCAATCAACGAGTTTCATAACACATATGCCGTCATCATCTTTTGATGGAAGCTCCACCATTTGTGTGGCAATCTGCAGGGATGAGGAATTGTTTTTGTTCTTTTGTATATATTTTATGAGGGCAATGTGGATGGGACACAGACATTAGCATCACCAGCGTTGTTTTTCTTTGTTTTACGCCTCTGATTTGTAGGCTTGCAAATACATACTCTCCAATTACTAAATGAACTATCGATGAATTTGAATTGTATTGTGTTTTGAAATGCATTTGAAGCTGAGGGCATTTGTATGATTGATATTGGTGTGAGGCTCTAACATGGCACGAGACAGGGCTTGTTTCGCGGCTGAAGCTGCGTGTTCCGTCTTGGATGAGACCCCATTAAGCCTACATGTACCCTGTAGGGATGTTGAACCGGGATCAGTGCACATGACGCCTGTTTGTCATTCTTGAATTTGCAATCACTGCCGGCTTGTTCGGGGTGGCCCGTGATTCCGGGCTGAATATGTATGTAGATGCAGGGCATCTGGTGACAAAAATAGGCCGACACTGATTCGTGCAGCCGTGAATCTAACATGGACAATCAACGCGAATCAACCACTTCTGCGATGGCCAATTCTAGCATCTTGCATACATTTGTTCATAGACCAGTAAATCCATGCAAATACTTGCAAATGCCCGCATCATGAACCCCCCCGAAATATCTCCATCCCCCAAGCCCTTGTCTCGCCCCGTGATTTTGGAGCTGCAAGGCTCCAGTTCGGCGAGGCAGGCTGCCGCTACTGACGTGTTCCCAAGTGCCGTACGGAGGTGCGGAGGTGCGGAGGTACGGACCTGGAGTATGGCCTGGCGTGCTCCGTGACAAGTACCGTCTCCCCAAGCTGCCTAGAACGCTCCGGGGGGCTTCACAGGTGGCACTTGGAGCTAAAGTGCCTGCTAACGCGGCCGCTAAGGTGCCCGCTCTGAGCTCTTCCCGCTGGAAAGCATTGACGCATCAGTGCTGTGCTGCCTGTATATTCGCTGCTGTCGATGCCCTGGAGGTTGCAGCTGTTAGCAGTTCGTCGACAGTTGAGCACGCACTAGAAAGTCGAGGTACTCGCGGCAGCTGCTACAGCTGGGCACATGTGCATGTACCCATACCCGTCGGATTAGGCCCACGACCCTGTGTCGTAATGCCACTTGCTTTGATCCATCCATTGGAAATCCATTGGCCGTGCCTTTGAATCCTGCCCCTGCTTGCAACTAGCATCAGCATTATTGCTGGCGTCGTTTTGCATCTGTAACCGGCCTCTGCCATTCCCATTATCCCTTTTCCCCTCCGTATTATTTCATTTGCGTCCGCCGTCCTGCGGATTCCCCCATGGGTAGCCTCAGCGCCCGTCGCCGTCCTTGAAACGCCACGGTCGTTGCCCCAGAGCTTCGGCTTCGAGCAAAATCGCAGCCCTACCTCGATCCCCCCCCCCTTGAGCCGCGAACCCCTCTCTTGCGCTGCCAATTTCTCAGCCTCGCACAACGTCGACGAAAGCCACGATGGACGAAAACATCGGCCCCAGCCATGAAGGACCCGCGGCCGCCCTGTCTGCGAGTGCGGCATCGCACTTGATGACCAGCTTCGCCGCCTACGAGCCCATCTCGCGTGCCACCTCGCCTGGGCTGCCCTTTTCCAAGTCCGACGACGACGACAAGCGGCGATACCGACAGCGAACCTTTGCATACTTCCTCCAGCTGCCCTTTGAGGTCGAGGAGGAGGCCCAGCGCGATGCTGCCCTCCAGGGCATCCTCAAGCAGCTGTACATATCCATCCAGGCCGAGGACTTCTCTCCCGGTGCGCTGCACTGGACTAGGGAGCTCCAGGGATGGCTGAACCTCAAGTTTGAGATGCCCAGAGACCTGAGGGCCAAGCTGGCCAAGCTCTACTACTCGCTGGCTCTGGCTCCCGGCATAGACAGCAACGTCGCCGACAGATTTGTCCGAATGGCTGTCAATCTGACGAGGTGCGTGGGGTGGTGCGGGCAAGTGGGTTGCTAAATCAGCATCAGCTAACTCTTTATCTGAATCTAGGAAGAATCACTATCTGAAGCCCGGCGAAGATCTGACCCTCGACTGGAGACTTCTCTGGGATGAGGTCAAAGCATACGTGCTCCCCTCGGAGGTGGCAGCTCACCAGGCCAGCCGAAGACGAGCCGCCAAGCAGCTCCTGAGGCTGTCTCTCAATGCACACACGTATTTCGACCCCAGAGAGAGGTTAGCGATGATGCAGGAGTTTTTGCCCTTCTTCAGCCTCAACGACTTCCAGAACGCCTTCGTCGTAATAGGAGCTCTCAACAGCCTCCTGCCCAGCCACCCCGCCCCGGAGTCGGACGTGGGATCGCACCCGGCCGACTTCTTCCCGACTCTCTTCCACCTGTGGTCTTTGGTCAACAGATCCAAGGTTGTCGATGTGGCCTTTATAGACTTGTTCTCGCGGATAGCGAGAGATCATAGCAACTGCTCCTACATTTCCTTTGGGGAGCATGGCATCTTCACAAAGGCTCAGTCCGACCTCGTCTTTACGGCAATTCTGCGGCTCACCCAGATCCCGGTTGGTCAGGCCAATTCGCCCTATACGCCCCTCGACTATCTGGCTGGAACCGGCGTGTATTTCGAAAAGGACAAGAAAAAGTATCCCATCGCCTACATGATTGCCCGACTCATTGTGAGCTCTCTGTCTCCCATCTGCTGCGAGCATGACGAGTCCATCATGTCGAGCCTGGAAGGCCTGATAGAGTCTATCGATACATTTTTCCACCCCTCCAACCAGGGTGCCTGGTCGGGCATGCTTGCCCAGCTGGTTCTGTACCTGACGGACGCCTTTGTGTCCCGGTGGAACCGCGAACAGAGCTCGGAGCTAGAAGTTCCCAAGGATCGTAAGATCAACGACGCCTTGAAGAAGCGCTTCGTCAGTACTCTCAAGGAAGTCACTTTTATGGGAATCTTCTCCAAGAGCACTCGTGTTGCGCAGATATATAATAATGCGCTACAGGGTCTGGCCTACCTCGAGCCTGACCTGGTTCTTCCTGGCGCACTGCAGCGCTTCTACCCGAGTCTTCAGGGCTTGGTCGAGGTTCACAGAACCACCTCCAGTCTGAACGGCCTACAAATGATTGCCAACGTCATGTCCAAGCTCAAGGGCTATCGCTGCCACATTACTGCTCTCTTGGCCCTGGCGCTCCCTGGCATCGACGCAAATGATTTGAACAAGACACAGTATACCCTGCATTTTATCCAAGCCGTTGCTTACAGCATTCCCATCGTCCCGCTGACGAGCGGAGAGAGCCACATCCACGACACGACTTTGGCCATGGAATGGGTGCAGGGCGAGATGGCGCGCATGGAGCTCGAGGGACAGAATGTCAAGATTGACTATAATTCCGAACTCACAGACGAGGATGAGGCCATGATATTGAGATCCTCGACTGCCGGGTTTGGCGAATTCATCATCACGCTCTTGGGCAAAGTCTTTACTTTGCTGGAGAACCTCCCTGACGCTAACCAGGTGAGGGGAGGGACACCAGAGGACAGTGTTGTTAATGCTCTACCCGCCGCTCTTTCTCCTCTGTTCGCGTCAATGTCAGCGGATCTCTTCGACATTACTCTGGAAAAGATTGCGACCTTTGTTTCGTCGCACGTTGTCCACCAGGCGCGTGATGCCATGGCTTGGATCCTCAACGCCCTCTGCAAGGTCAACCCAGAGAAGACCCTCAAGGTGTTTATCCCCATGCTCGTGGTCAACATTCGCAATGAGATCGATCTCAACCACGCAGCTTCCGACCGTACTACTGGTACGGACTATCTGCCCAGAGATCGAGCCCTGGTGTGGTATGTCACCATGCTGGCCATGGCCGTTGTGCACGTTGGCCGTGAGGTCCTCAATTACAAGGACGAGCTGCTCGGAATCGCGCAGTACATGCAAGAAAAGTGCCGAGGCCTGCCTACTATCCTTGTCTCAAACTACATCCATCATCTGTTGCTCAACCTGACGCACACATACCCCATCGACCATGCCCTGTACGAACCCGATGTTCTCGAGAGAGGCCTTGATGTCGCCGACTGGGGCAAGACTACCACGCCCGCCGACCTTACCATTAAATGGCACCAGCCGTCGCCACCGGAGATTGATTTTGCCGTGGAGCTTTTTGCTTCGCAAATCAAGTCGGCGTCCGATCAGCTGGAGCTTTTGCTAAGCGATGATCCGCCCGTGAGTCGAAAGGGCAAGAACAAAGAGTGGTCCGACGAGGTATCCCGGTTGATGCAGCAGATTCGCCTGGTTATTAGCGGCATGGCTACCATGTTTGATCCGAAGCGGGCTTCGGGAGAGACTGCCGCCAAGGCTGGTGGCGGCGACGTCGACATGGATATTGATCAAGAAGAAGCGTCTGGGGATGTCGGCGACGACGACCCCCTTGCAGAGGTCGCCGAAGACGAAGAGCTGCGGCCTCAGTACAGGTACAAGGCTGGATACCTCCTGAGTCCAAGTGACCCCGTCTATGAGCGCATCCATGATTTGCGCGAGCAGCTTGGTGAGCTGCTGACCAAGACACACGCGTTCCTCACTCAAAATGAGGAGGATGATGTCGACTGTTTCACTACATTGTACATTGCTTACCGCACATGGATCACGGACGTTGGTATCGAACGGTCGGCGCACCCATTGGAGAGACATTTGCGACTGTACAAGTGCGATATTGCCGCCTTCAAGATCAAGGGCCTGAGAAAGGTTTATCCCCGCCCTCTGCTCATCAAGCGCGCTGAGGCGTATCAAATGCTGCGCATGAAGCACAATGCATCAGCTCGGCAAAAGAGCGAATTGGACAAGCGGCTGTTGTTGGATCTTGCACAGTCTTGTCTCTCCTCGTACGCAGACGTCCGTCGTATTGCCCAGGGCGCGCAAGACTCGTCGCTCAAGGTGCTCATTGGCGGCAAGCCCTTGGTTATCCCCGTCCTCCTGGAGGGTTTCAAAAAGAGCATCGAGACAAACGACCACGATCGAGTCAAGGGAGCCATGTATTCCCTGTTCTTCACATCGCTGCTGAGGACGCTTATCAGAGACTGGAGATTTGCCCCGGAGGCCTTGCGTCTCTACATCGAGACTGCTGGCATCGACAAGCCCTCAATACAATCTCTCGGAACATCCGTCATCTATTCGCTGATAGAATTCGGGAAGCCCTTTGAGAAGACGGTTTTGATCGACACCTCCTTGGTAGACACCATCAAGCCCGACGAGGACGTTTCATCGCCGATCCGCACTCGCAACCAGTTCATTCTGCAGAGGCGAGACAAGGTGGAAGCCTCCAAGGCGGAACTCGGACTCTGGCTGATCAAATTGGCCAAGGGAGCGCACTGGAAGATAGCGTCCCGGTGTGCCATTTTTGCAACCAACCTTTGCCTCCGCTTCGACACAATCGCCCCTATGGAATTCGTGGACTTGGTTGCGTACGGTACGAACGATCCGCATCCAGGCCTGAGAAACTATTATCTCTCTGCCTTTACTACACTCTTCTCGACCATTGATATGCGAGCGGTTTATGATCATGATTTCAACAATTATTTGCTTGAAAAGGAAGTGGATTATAGGAACAAAGTCCAGGTGCCCGTAGAGAAGGGCGACGCTGAGTTTACCCAAAAGTTCCTGGATGCGTTCGAGTCACCTCTCGAAGAGGCCGAATACATGGTGGATGCTGACCACCCCGGATGGTTGGTCTGGGGTAAAACCTTTACCGCGTTCCGAGCTCGCCCCAAGTACTTTGACAACTATGATGATACCGAGCGAGCGGTGCGTGACCACATTGGCAAGATTCTGACCAAGGAGTGGGTATCACAGTGCTTTGAGTATCTCAAACAGGAGCCTAGGGACTCCAGTACGGACAGATTCCGCATGCATGAGGTTTACCTTCTCATGCACGTCTTTGACTTGATGCACTATGGCCGGACGGTCGTCACTCTGGAAGACGTCAAGGAGCTCACCATTGAGGTCTACGGGGATGGTAATGATAAGCACCAGCACCGTGCTACGTCGGAGATTCTTGGTGCGTTGCTTGCCGGATCCAGCGATGATCCGCCGGAGATTCGAAACAAGGTCTGGGAGTTTGCCGCGCCCTTTATCTTGAAGATCTTTGAGAATGACCTGACCCCGGAGAATTTGCAATACTGGCTGACTTGCCTCCATCTCATCCTTGACTCCAAGGACCCGCGCCGGGCTCACGAGATTGTGGATCACCTCAAGTCGTTCCGTCTCGACATGAACTCCAACGCCGCCTTCAAGGAATCTTCCAAGATCCAGCTGCTTGAGTTTTCGATAGCTGATGCCGGATGGCATTTCCGCAATGAAAAGCCGCTTTTGGAGGATTTCTTGGCTCATATCGACCATCCTTACAAGGCTGTGCGTGAGGCCATTGCTCGTGTTATATCTATCATCTATAAGACGAGGTACTACGAAGCGTTTGAGAATGTGCCAGCACTACTAGAAGCCAACAAGAAGGCGTCATCGACTGGTCTGCGGCCATACAAAGCCTCGGAAGACTTTACGGCTACAATTATGAACACGTTTGACCGGCTCGAGAAGTGGCGCCTTGAGCGAACCCCAGGACAGCAGGAGCAGTCTCAATACACGTCCGGATCCAAGACTGTGCTGGTGTGGCTGGATTGTACATTGTCGTCTCACGAGTGCAGTCAGCTGGTGCCATTCTTTGCAACCCCGTTCATGGATCAGCTGCTCCACATGATGGACGTAAAGGAGGATCCCGAACTCATGAAGTTGGCGTATCATGTATACCGCCACCTCCCCAATATCCCTTTCCGCGACGGAGAAGATGCTCAATTCATCGATGGACTTGTCAGAATTGGCAGAACCGCGGCCAGCTGGCATCAACGGCTACGCGCGCTTGTCAATATGCAGGTCATTTACTTCCGCCGCATCTTCCTGACGGAAGAGCCCCAGCGCGACCTGTTATTTACCACTGTGTCTGACATGCTCGGCGACCCTCAGCTAGAAGTTCGAGCGTGTGCAGCGACGACGCTTGCCGGAATGATTCGCTGCTCTCCAAGCCGCATCCGCGATCCCATGATTGTTCGCCTCAAGCGTCGCTTCGAGACCGAGCTGGACCAAAACCCCATGCCTAAGCGTGGACCCAAGCTCCCTGGAACGGAGACCCCCGTGGACGTGCACAAGCAAATCAATAGGAGACATGCTGCCGTCTTGGGTCTTGGAGCGCTTATTGAGGCTTTCCCATATGCGACACCGCCTCCTATGTGGATGCCAGAGGTGCTGGCGACCGTGGCTCGACGAGCTGCGGGTGATCCAGGAGTTGTAGGCAAGGCCGCCAAAGGAATTCTTAGTGAATTCAAGAAGACGAGACAGGATAGCTGGACCGTTGATCAAAAGGTAAGAGTGCTCAACATTCACGTTGAATGCAAACAGAGAAGAGATGCTGACTAGTGTTTATAGTACTTCACTCAGGAGCAACTCGAGGACTTGGAAGGAGTCTTGTGGAAGAGCTACTTTGCTTGATTGCACTTTTTGTTATTGTTGTCCATGTTTTTCAGTTCGGAAAAAATGCATGTAGAGGGGGGTCGTTGGGAATTGTAGACGCAATATACTGCAGATTCGGCATCGGCATCGGCATCAGGCATCGGCATTGGTCTTTGGATGAAGGGAGCTCTAGGATTCGGGATACGGTATAACACGTACAGTGCGGGTGGACACAAGACGCGGGGGAGGGTTTTCGCACTTGGGCACAGACGGGGGATTGGAAGTCTCTCCGCTCTTTTGTTAATATTGTTGATTTCGCCTTGGTTGAGGCGGTGGTTGTTGAGGGATTGGTGTGGAATGGAATGAGCATTTTGGGGAGATTGGACGGATTGTGGGATATGAGTAATGGTGGTGGTTTGCTGTTTAGCTGTTAGGTAGTTGTATGAAAGCAATGTGGAGTGTGTGGTTGTCTATATGTGTTCTCCTGGTCGCTCTTTATTGTTTTGAGGATGCTTAGATGTGCATGAACTGGGTTTGTACGGCGGCCTCATTGAAGGGAAGGTGAGTGATGAATCGGTTGGGAATGGATCTTGTGCATGAATCTGCTTTCATCATTTGATACGTCTCATGGGCTGGTCGATTGAATTTGGACATTTGATAGGTAGGGAAGTGAATTGTTCATCTGAGCTCGAACAGCCTTGGCCATTCTGTATAAGCTAGATCTATATGGTGTTTCTTACACCTCTGTCTGAGCGAAGGAGGGGAGGTTCTCGAATCATCTCGACAAGGGTGTTATCTCCGAGGTTGTTGTCGGTGACGAGGAAGCAGCCGATTCTGTGGCATCCTTCAAGCGATTGAACCAGCTTGGATAGGAGAATGGCATTGGCCGTGGAGATATTGTTGAGAACCGATTCATTGGCCCTGAAGAGCCTAATGCTCCTAGATGGACTGGTATGTCCCTCGCTTGAATCAACCTCTGGTGATGTACCAGGACAAGTACCAACTATGCTTTTTCCAGTTGCCTAGCTGGCCCGTATCGGTCTTGAGGGTCTCGTTGTAGACTCCCCGTGTTCGTAGGCTCAGGGGTCAATTCATGAGCTTGTGTTATGCCAAAATCCTCTACAATGGCTTTTGCTTTAGGCCGGAGCGGGGGGTTGTAAGTAACAGATGATTTCTTGTCTTTGTGCAAAGTAAAATATTAATTGATTGAAAACTCTATCGTCTTCTCCTAGCGGAATGTTACTGGGGTGATAAAGCTGGCTGCTTGCATGGGCAATACCTATGTTCTTGGCCGCTCCAGCGACGCATCAAACCTCTACTCTGAGCAGGTTGCTTATATGGGTTGTCTTGAAGGCTTTTCTCCTATAGATGGCATTGGCTTGATTGCCATTCAGGCTATCCGCATCAAGAAGTTTGGCGAACAAAAGGTCAAGGACGGACGGCCCGCTAAGCAGCAGCTTCACATACTTAGGTGCTGATGAATTACCTATGTAGGGCGTCTTGGTAAACCCCGACGTCCTTCATCACGGCCCTTCAACATCCCATTTGTTGGATTAGGAAACCACATGTACCTTTTTACCTTGAAAACTTCATGAAACTCATCCACCCTTTACCCTTTTTATCGCTTTTCTCATTCTCACCGCTCCGCGAACTGGCCTCGCCCCGAATTTCGACACTTGGAGATGCCTTCAAACTCGGCGATGTGATAGTTGTTGACCCTGCAGATTTAATCGACTCGCTGGTAGCCGGACTCACCAAAGAAAACGGCAACGTTCCTCGACTGCTCAGCTCGACGCTGGATGCTGTATCCAAGTCCTCGTCTTGCTGTTCAGCTGTAAATTTGCCCTCGCTCTTGCGGCTCAAGAATGGATTGTGCCCGAAAACTACAGCTCCTTTCCCGTCGAGTGCCATTACGTCTACAGGTGTCGACCCGCGAAGCACGAGGCGTGACATCAATGACTTTTTGGCGACGAGAAATTGCACAGAAGCGGTGTGGGAATTTCCGTCTTCGGTATTGCTGGCGCTTCTCTGCAAACACTCGCAAGATTTGAACTGGTGGTGCTGCGAGACCCAGACAATCTTGCTCGTCAGCTCGCCCGGACCCAAACCAGGCTCCTCCCTGAGCAGGCGCTGTTTGTACAGCATCTGCAATGTTGAAACAGAAGCAGCCATGAGATCTTTCCCTTTGGGTACGGATTTCCACTCGCTGCATAGCGTGTGCGGTTCTTCGGGACTAATCAGATCACCAAACCCTCGGCCGAAAATGGTGGTCGTGCCGATAGAAGGGATTAAATCGACCCATCCATGGCCCCATGAATCCAAGTGCTTGACGCGAGAACGTATAGCACTACATGGGTCAATGATGTCTTGGATATCAAACCCAATGATATCGCGGCGAATGTCCCAGGTTTGCGGGATCCGAATACCGTCCTGTGAGCTACTCATGGCTTGCTTGTCAACCAGTATCTCAATAGAGTGCAACATCTTCTTAACCCGTGTCTCGAGGGTGGCATATTCAGTCTCGAATCCGCCTTCACTGCGGCGTTGCTTGCCAACAACATAGACGTTGAGGCTGAGATTGTCCCAACTCTTTAGGGTCTTCAAGGCTGCTTGGCGTCCAGTAAACCCATGCCACTTGTCTTTGAGTTGCGTAGCGTCGAAGACCCAATCGTACACCGATTCCGGATCATTTTCGTCCAGGTATAGGGATACCCGAACAAGGTGAAGTAGTGCAGAGGCACCATCTGTGAGCCAAGCCCGGCGATCTGCTACGTCGTAGAAAACGATAGGTTGAATACCAACCCACTTGAGAAGGCTAGGATAGTCGTTCTCTCGCATAAGCCAAAATGGCTTCTCTTTCTGGTTAAAGCTCATGTTTAAACCAGCACCAAAATCGGCCTTTGCCTCGATATATAGGCGGTCAATAACGATAGATGCTGGTGGCTCCCGTAATCCCGAAGATTTAATATTCAGGTTCGCAGTTGCATCGCCTATTCTCTGTTATCATCAAAAATCTGGGGCCGAAACGATACTGTGAAGAGTCTCATACCGCATAAATCAGTGACTCTAGAGCACCATCCAATAACATGACGTCTTTCTTCAAGCATTCTAAGAGAAATCCCTTTTGCAGCACCGCTATCCAGAGTAGCAAGTCGGGGGTCGATATACGAAATCCGCTCTTCCGGGTGTTCACTTACAAGGAGATGCCATACGATGATATCGGCCGCCGCCAGCGTTGCGATCATGAGCATGTTGAAACCTTTGATAATCATCCGCTCACCCCACTGCACTACATGCTGAGAGCCAATGATGGCGGCCATGTTGGCCAAGGACATCTCGAGACCCGTGTTTGGCTGCGTCCTTTGAAGAATGGGATAGCCGCGCACCAGGACAGGGTTATAGAACAGGCGACCCCAACAGAGTCCAGGACTTAGTTCTGATATATCCGCTGTTTCCAAGTTCAAAGACAGGTTGCATGAACCGACTACTATCGGTCCATGGGGCCCTTCATCCTGGATGTGCACCTGGAGATCATTGACGCCGGGGGTGCACGCGACTGGGCCGTCATGATCTGAAGAAGACTGCAGGACTGATGCCAACCATCCAATTTGCTCGCCGATCTCGGATACAAAGTATAGGCTTCCAGTTACTGAAATACAGCACACGGATGGAGATTGAACACAAGCTGTAAGTCGTGCCGCTCCAGCGCCACTCTCGTGTCTGGATGAAATAGGTTCATGAACTTGGTCTGAGAGCACGTCAGCATCTATAAATCGTACCCTAATAATCCAGCTTCGAATCTCACAAGAACATTCTTGCCCCTCGGGAGTTGCTAGAAGGGTTTGCATTAGAGTCATGAGATCCCCAGATCGTGGCCATGTTTGATCCACGTAGTCCTGCACGGTCGTGGCCTGCGCTTCGTTCCACGACCCCGTCAAGCAAACCATTCTTCCCAGAGCGTCTTCACATTGGGGGGAAGATCTAGTATCACGCATCGAACGATCCAGGTTCCAATCAAAATAGAACGTCATCTTCACCATAGATAGAGGCCGTCGACTGCTCATTTTGCGTAGGGGTTCTTGTGCACGCAGATGGTTTCGAATCTTGGTTCCTATCTCTAGCATGGCATTTGGTGCTTGAAAGGTCAGAAGGCCGTGCTGGCGAATCTTGGTTAGAAGCCATTGGTACGCGTCCGACACTCGGATGAATTGCTCGTAGTCCAGTAATTGAGGGAGAATCTCAAGACTGTGCGCCTGCCAAAGCAATGGCTCTTTCGAGCCGTGTTCATCATGCTCAATATCGTCCCGAACAGAGCCGTCCTCTGTGGGCAGGGCCAATTCTTCGCCTGCATAGGGCGATGTTCCAACGTCGTAAACCCATTGCATAACAGTTGTCTTGGATTTCCTGAATATTTCTCGACATGAAAACTCATCTTGATCCTCACCCTCACTTGAACTGCTTTCGCCATCTTGACTTCCAATGGCGTCGCAATCCAGTGGACGAGGAACTAGAAGTTGGATGATATTCCTGTGTAATTGTCAACAGCAACGCTTTGTTGGAATAATTGTGTCATTACACTTACTTCAGCTTTTTATGGATAATAACTGATGCTTCCCATTGGAACGGAGTTGAGGACTCGCTATGTAATTTCCATGCGAATTCCCTCAGCATAGGAGCCAGGTATTCTGCCTCAATGCTACTGAAGCAAAATTGATCAGAAGTTTGCTTCATGTCCTTGTCGAGTTGCTCTGCAAAGACTTGCAGGTAACGTAATCTCGGCTCATCTGAGAGTGTGTCAACAGAGTAGGTAGTTGAGACATCACAATCATCTGTAACATGTTGTTGCTCTTCTGTTTCTTCTTCAGCTAAAGGGCATGAGTTGAGCAAACTCTCAGCGTTAGTGACTTCAGCCTCCCTTCGATTTCTGATCTCCAGCTCCCCAGCTTCCGGGATTATGGGCTCTTGACGCGGTCTTTGACCCTTCATTCCCGGATGTGACGTGAGTACGGTAGATGGTCTTGTTCCCCCGCTCCGAAGATCATGGTCGAAAGTCAAAGATTGAGTGGTCTCCACGGTATTTCCATCCCAGTCCATGTTTTCAGCTTCCGATTCGATTGCATCAAGCTGATCGGGCTTTCTTTCCCAGTCTGTTTCTTCAAAATCAGCACCCTTATCACTCTTTTCTGAATCCACATCCCAGCCCTCGGAGTCGTATTTCCCAGTTGCTACATCGTCCGCAGGAGCTCCAGAGATGAGTCTTAGCACGTCATAGACGTTTCTCATTTGAGTAATTTGAAGGTCTTTCATACTTTTCCGCCGCTCTCCTGTTGTTTCCGGCGTGCCCAGTAAGCGGACGTGCCTGTTCACGGCAATGCTAGCTGCTGGATTGGCGTCTATTGGTCTTATTTGCTCAGATCGCTTTCTAAGCATATCTTGAAGGTTGCTTAAACGGACATGGAGACCCGGATGGTTTGAAGGCGTAGCAGCAATTGCCTCTTTAGCAATGCTAACTGCTCGAGTAAGGTCATTCATTGATGCTGTCTGCTTATATCGCATGCTAAGCATATTTCCAAGGTTGCTTAAACGGCCAGCGCGACCCGGATGGTTAGAAGGCGTAGCATCAACTGCAACCCTGGCAATTCTAACTGCTCGATTCAGGTCGTCCATTGATGCCGTGTGCTTATATCGCATGCTAAGCATATGTACAAGGTCGATTAAATAGGCAGCGCGTTTCGGATGGTTGGTAGGCGTAGCATCAACTGCCTCGCTGGTAATGCTAACTGCTCGATCGAGGTCACCCATTGATGCCGTTTGCTTATATCGCATACTAAGCATATTTCCAAAATTACTCAACATAGAAGATGTTCTATGTTTCCCTGCTTTACTGATTGCCAGATCCATACTCCTAATAGCTCCATTCAAATATTCGAAGCGGCCGGTGCGATGAAAATCTGTCACTAGTTTTATTGCTTCACTATTTCTGTAGTGTGTTAGTGTTTTGCCTATATTTTCCCCAAGTTTGAGTATTTTTCGGCCATGGGCTCCGCATTACAACTTACAAGTTTGTCACGGCTTCGATACCTTCCTCTGCAGCCGGGTTTCGGAAACCACAGACAACTGCTTTATTCAAGATGCTACATCGCCGATTGTAATCTGGATGAGTTGTAGCTGTCGCGGAGACCCATTCCCCAGCTCGTTTCAGTGCCTGTTCAAGGCTTTGTGTATTGTGTGATTTCCGGAAAATCAAGAAGCAAATGTAGATATATAGCTCGATCTGGTCATCATCCGAAAGAGCCGCATGCACTTCTGCAAGGGCCTGGAGGTCTTCCTGGCTCGCTTCCTGAAGGGAGGATAGCAACTTGGCATCGATGCGAAATTCCTCCATAATAATAAAAATAATATAGCAATCCTATAGGATGGCTTTTACAGTTGAAAGATGATGAGCGTATCCCCCGCTATAAGGACATTCACGTTGAGGTCAACCGGTTACACCGCAGCGGCACTACTGCCTGGGAGCCACCCTACATGAACATTAGTAGCATGGAAGTCATGTCTTTTCACCGCCTGCAACTAATGTACTCCTACGAGTCTTATAGGCTGTATTATCAATGTCTAGCAGCATGAAGACGAGGCTGCCGCCAAGAACCCTGCCCCCGCTGCATATCATATCCATGGATGCTTCAGCGGGCTTAATTGGATGTTCTATTGATGCCCAACGAGGCGAAGCTGCACTGTGCCTCACCCTCCGCCATATACATGTACATGTATGCTTTTGTGAGCTTTACTCCATGTATAATGTACATGTACCTAAGGTGTAGGCATTCTACCAATGCCCAACAAGAACAAGGCGAACTGCTATACCTCCCACTCCGCTACCTTAGTACATGTGTAGGTAGGACGCCTTGCTCCAACATTATCTCAGGTACTAAAAGATTTGACAATCCTTGTCCGTGTACTCATGAAATAAAAATCTCTGGTTGTCAAACAGCCTATCATGCTTACCGGCCATACTTATCACATTCTAAATCTTTATAACAGCTGTTCATTATGGCAGATGTCACGTCTCTTCCCAAGATGCGCTGGGCCATTCTAATAGGACTTGACTATTATAGACATGAAGGATGCCTTCAGGGTTCTGTAAGACCGTCCGCTGCCTGACGTCAGATTTGACGAATATCGAACCGGAAATAGCCAGGCAGGAGATCTACACGGGCTGGTGCGCGAAATTGCTCACACATCTCTCCCAGAGCAATATTTCAGTACGGCGTCCAGCGAGCGTCTATAATCGAGTCCACCAAGCGAGGGCCCTGGAAGATCAGAGCTATCTGCATTTCCGCATCTCCCATGACGAAGGCGAGGCATGCATGTTCAACGTGGTCGCTGATGAAAGTAGACGCCATGGAATACTCGACGGATTAAGAAGGGGAAATGGCCAACCTACTATCCATATCAGCCAATGCTCAAGGGGCGGAACAGCAACTGGTGGACACCCTACAGCACCTTTCCAAGTTTACATACGCTAAAGGCATTGAGATTCGGATATATAATACCCTAATGAAATGATGTTCTCGCTTGTTTCCTCCATTGGCAGCGAAGAGCCAAGCAACTCAAGCTTCTTTAACATTGAACATGGTGGTCCCTGGCAGCTTGACATTGAAAACAAAGGTAAGGCTGTCTTATACATTGCTCTTTTCGATATCACTCCATGGTGGAAATTCGATAACCTCCTCCAGAAGCGGGCCACAATGGCTTCTGGGTTCTGGAGCCTAAAAACAAGGAGGTTCTACCGCTAATGATGGAGGTCACCGAGTTCCTTCAAAGGAAAGTCACGGGTTGCTGCGAAGATATAATCTAGGTCTTGATCACTGATAGGTCGACACATCTCCCGTCGATGATATCGCCTGGGCTTCCTCTTCTATGGTCGCACGAACGTAGACAACTCCACGAAGCGGGCGATGAACCATTAGCTCTTATCACAGGTTTAATTGGATCCGTACGCGGCGAGGATGTCGGGCATGAGAGAAGGGTGGCTCGAAACTTTTATAAGAACAAAAGTGGCCTGGAAACCTTTTTTTAAACTTTGTTTTATCGCTTCCATTAATCCTTTCGCTATTCTAGTCCACCGTGGCACCAAGCAGGCTACATATTCCCTACCCAAAGGGGTCAAACAGCTTCAGGGCACCTTCTTCAATCCAATGGCCGCCATTCACTTCTTGCTGCTGCTCATTGCACAGTTTATACTGTTTGTCCTTATGATGAGACACAAGAAAAGGACCAGTCCAAGTGTTCAGTTCGGAATCGTAAAAGAGGACTTGATCGTTCGGTCGGAATTTAGGTGGCTTCTCATGGTTAGGGATATGCGGAAGGTGATATAGATAGTCGGGTCGCTTTTCTTACAGACGAGGACTTTCTAATGATTTGGCGGCCGCCATCGTCAGAAAATAAGGAATCATGCAAGAGATGGGAGCATTACCTTTTGGCCAATATGGGCATGATAAACTGCAAGCCACTACAGCCGCAGATGCTGGAAACTGCTGTAGTGCCCGAGATGAAGAATCGAGAAATAGAAAAGGCGTATAGGTATGCAGTTGGGCAGCGATATGCAAAGCACCGTCTGCCCAACTTTATACCTACTACTAAGGTACCTATGTATATTACATGTATGTACATGTACCTTAGCACCTTGTATTCATGCCTTATATTTCCCAACGCCGCCTGCCTCAGGCGTCTTCCCCAAGCAGAGCTGACACCGATGACGCCTGCGATATGGCTCCAAGGCAGATGGCCAGGCGGATGGCCAGGCAGAGTATGGAGCACCAGCAATCCAGATGTCATTGGTTGTAGTGTTGACTATCCATAGTCGAAGATTTTCCTCCAGGATACCCTCAGTTCTCGGCCCTGGTCGCCTCTCACGACTCATTCCATATCTGCCGCCGATTTTCCACGTTACGCACACGCCTGCTTCTTCTTAAGCAAGATAGGCTCTCTATCCTAGAACGTTGATTGGAGAAGATCGATCGCGATGAGAAAGCCATGTTATCATTAGGCAGCTGTCGGGCGGATCAAAATGAAGACAGACGGGAGGTCCTCACGAAGATCGATGACGCTCTGGCCGACTACGGTAGGTTTTGGTGTTGTTCACTCGAGGCTCCTTGAGATAACTGACTGCGTTATAGATGCATTTCTGGAAAGGCATCAGCAAGCTCTAGCCCTCAGCACTGCCCCGGCCCGCCCTGTATCAGATCTCCGTAACCGGGTGGAAAGCAAAGGCTCGATTGCACGAGCCGAAACACCTTTACCTAGAACATCGGCAAGATATTCTCGCTCTTGCTGCACCAGAGAACAGTATCATTCCATTGTTAGAGGCTCTGGTGGGATATATCGCCCATTCTTTCAACACATGGTTCGCCAAAGCTGAAAGCCCACGAGATTCCGACACATACATCTTCCCGCCGTCATTGATAAAGAGAGCAGTGCAAGTCTTTTTAGTGCCTCTTGTCACAGTCCTTCTTCTCACCCCCGTTATTATCTGCAACTTTATAGACGACTTGACGGCTAGGTTGGTTATTGTTGTCTTTGCGACAACTGGGTTCATCGCCGCTTTATCTTGTCTTATCAAAATCAGAGCTATTGACTTGATCATAGCTGGCGCAATGTGAGTTCTCTTGTCCCAATTCACTTGCTCATAGCTACACATGATTAATCAGGATAACATTGGGATGTAGATATACCACTGTCTTGGTTGTTTTTATTTCAGGCACAGGGGGAGTGGTGGATTACTGATTGAGCGGTATTTGTTTGTTATGTTCAACCCTTTGATTAAACAAGATTGAAATAGTGTGGTTGAGATGATGACTGATTAAATTGCCGTGTCCCCTTTGTATAGTTAGTTGGTAATTTAATTATATAGTCAAAAGGTTAAGTATAATAATTAGTTTTATTCTTCTATTCAGAATTAATCATTCGAGTTGTCTAATAAATATTGTTACGATCCGATCAATCGCAACATCACATCCCTAACACCAATACTTGGCGTCTAAGCTTTGCAAAGATGTCCATCTGGCTGCTGAACCCAACTATCAGACCCAACACATGTCTGACAGTAAAACAAGCTTGTCGGATCATACTTCTTCTTGATAGCTGCAAGCGTAGGCAGCGCGTCTCCAAAGAAGTTGGACAGATAGTTGGGATCGAGATAGTTGCCCTCGTTCATGTACGAGCCCGTACTCGGCGCAAAAACCTCCTGAGCCTTGCCCTTCCCAAATGTAATGTCGTCCCGCGCCTCAGCGATATCTGCATACGGTGTAATATCATCCCAGTTACGGGCCACAATATTGGTCAGGAGCGCGCGGCGGTAGGCAGGGTTCACGCCTGTAAGCGGCGGTGCGTTGACCACAGCACCACCACCGGTGATATCAACAACAACTGAGGTGTTCTGGCCAGGGAGACCTGCGGTAGCGTTGACCATCTGTCGGATCGCGGCTGTATTGGCAGTGGTGAGATGCTTTTGCTCGTAGAATCGTGATGACATGAGAATGCCTCCTCCGATTGCCATGGAGTTGTTCTGCAATGCCGACGAGTAGCTGAAGTAATCCGGGAAAGGAATTAGCTGCAGAGAAATGTCGAGGCCTCGCGACTTAAAGGGCTCCAGATTGGCCATGACGGGGGCCATGGTCGACTGCACTTGGTCCACGGTTTGGTTGAAGACACCGGTAATCATCTCAAGCATGCGTGAGGGCGGCGCCAGGGACGATACACCATCCCAAGCCACCCAGGCTGCGTAGCCTTGCACACCACCGGCGAGGATGGCCGGCGTCTGCTGATACCAGACGGTCACGGCGTCGAGAAACGTCTGCACGTCATCCACGCCCTTTTGCGGCGACATGAACAGCACAACACCAACCATGGGTGTGTCGGGATAAGTCCGCACAGTCGCGCTGGTGACAACGCCATACGTGCCTGGGCCGCCGCCGCGGAGGGCTTGGAATAGGTCTGGGTTGGAGCAAGGACTCGCCAGGACTTGAGAGCCATCGGCAAGAACCACGTTGTATTCCAGGACCTGATCCGCGCCGAGTCCGTACTGATGCATAGCGGCACCATGTCCGCCTCCTTGGAGATAACCTCCCGTCATTCCAACAGAGTGGCAGGTTCCGCCAACGACAACGACCCCGTTTTGGTGTGCCTGCGGGTAGACGTCGTCGAATGTGACGGCACCACCAAGCTGCACTGAGCTGCCACCCCAGTAAGAGCTGCCGCCCTTTTGGACAGCTGCACAAGACTGGGTTGGAGTATATGTGTCGTGGAAGACAATGGGAGATTGGGCGGAAGGGCGTAAGTAACGGGTCCAGATTACCAGACTGCCAGCACCGGCGGATCGACCGAGGAAATCGTGCCCCGTGTTCTTGATCGTAACGCGGAGGTTGTACTGCTTGGCAAATTTCAACCCAGCGCTGATGGCGTCAGGGGTGGTGGCATTGATGCTGTAGACCGCAGAGTCGCCCAACGAGCAGGATGACGAGTTTCGCCCAGGAAGATCACAAGCCCATGTGTGAGGGAAGTCAAATCCAGTGGGGAAATTGGCCTGGAAGATCGAGTCGGCCCAGTTTGCCTTGATGTTGGCGCAAGCAGCAGCATCTTGATGGGCGCCTGGGTAGCATGGTGCGGCGACTGGAACATTCTTGATGAGGTTCCCCGAAGTCGTCTTGTTTAAAGTCGCCCACGCCGCATCAGATGGCCAGCAAGAATCACCAGGAAACTAGATGTAGGGCACCAAATTAGATATTGAAGCTTCTCAACCGAATATATCAATTCACACAAGGAGATGGGTGAACAGGATACATGTATGCACTTACACATTTGCAATCTGCCTCGACATTCTGTACTAAGCCCGCCAGAACGGCAGCTCCAAGTGACGTGAAGAGATTCTTACGAGCGACCATCGTAAACCGTGAAGGAGATTGGAACGAATGGATGTGTGTAATGACAGAGAGAGCAGATGGAGAAAGAGGCACATCATTCATTTATATAGATATATCAAGATCTCCTAGTTCACCCACAAGTTATTCTTACTATTCCCATCACACGTAAGATCTCTCGCAGATAAAGTTAAATGCTCCGCAAATTCAACCATATGTCGGGAACCGTGATGATGTGAAATGAATCATACGTCTCATTACCTGGGTTGAAGGTTAGACATTCCCTGATCCTGATTCTAGAAGCACTGGTTATGCAAGGGCTCCTAGTAATACAGGGAATAGAGTGATGAGTTTTCGTACACTTCGCACGCCGAACGGCGATAAAAGCGAGAATTCTAAGACAGATCAGGCATTTGCAGGGATGTTACCGAATGGAACTAGCGTTCTTGCCTCGTTGTCATGTAACATTCGGCATCCACCGTGCCGCAGATGATACTCTCACCGTCACTTGCCGGCAGGGTTGCAAGGTCAATCAGTAGTCGTTCGTGGTTAGCGATGAATAATGAATACGAATAGTTTTCCTCAGCCTCCTGATGAAACTAAAACTATTTTGTTCGGATTAAATTAACCAGTGATTGATTTACTTAATGAGGAGGTTAGTTTTCATAGGCTATTTGGGTAAATTATTCACATTTTTATATGTAATTAATCCGTAGTCATTCGTTCTTCATCCTGCGTATTACTTTTCTTCAGCTATCTGACAAAACTACCTAATTTAGTCAGTAAGCAAATTCGTTTGACGGATCGTCACTATTTTTCAACCCTGCTTCTGCCCCTTTCTCAATAGTACATACGTATAGTATTTCACAACATCCATCAGTACGGCTCTTCTGGGATACGCAAAGCTTGCCATATTTGGAAGACTAGGAATGAAGGATTGAAGGAGCTCGTTTTGATCTTTTTGGAAGATATTGCTCATGTGGCTAACCTCTATTGCGGATAGTAAACAGAGTTCAAGTATAGGTTTCTACCCTCCACTGACTTCGGCTTCTTCTAGTCATACGTAAATAAGCATGTTAAGTCATACGTAAATAAGCATGTTAAGTCATACGTAAATAAGCATGTTAAGTCACACGTAAATAAGCGGATTATCAAAAGCAGCATTTGCCCCATGTGAATGGGTTAGGCTTACTGTTAGCCGATAACTTACATACATCCAGCATTGCATACCCATTAACTTTGTGTATGTATGTTTCACTCCCTACACCCAGTACCGAATTATGGAGTTGTTGGCAGCTCAATGCTATTTTAACACCGAACCTCTATCTGTCTCATGGGCAGAGACCTCAGATGGGGAAACGAATATAGTAGGTGGTCTAATATATAGTTCTAGTCGGTGGTTTAGTCCTCAGCATCCATATATATAACTCATAGAAGCATCCTCAGCGATAGTTAAATCTTCATTGACCTAGAGATCGTCTGAAATCTCATTGATACAGTTGCCCCTCCCCTCAAGATCTTCTGAAATCTTCTCTCCCGACTCTTTCACGCCGTCTTCAATTGCCCTGAGGTTCTCTCCGTCTTCTACCGCAGTCGGAAGGCCAAGCGCCGCCATCTCTTCTTCAATCTCTTGTATCCGGTTCTCAAAGTCCCTATGATATGCTTCCTGCTCCTGCTTGGCGAGCTTTTGTATGGCCTTTGAGCTCTCTTCTGTTTTCTGTCCGAGGGCTGTTTTTGCTTTTTCTTGCTCGTCAGAGCCGGCACTCAAAGGCAGGTTGGCGACCTGGCGGATGCAGGGGTTGATGTGCGTCGTAGCAATCTCTTGGTACATATCGACCGAGTGCACCACAAAGCTGAAGTGGCCACGCAGCGTGATGACGCTCTCGCGGATTATCTGAAGCGGCCCATTGCTATAGGCAAGGGCAAACTCGTCGCTCGTCTTTGTGATACCCGCTTCGATCGTCTGGAGGTACTGCTCAGCGTAGCCCTTGCAGACAATGGAAATAGTGCTGGCTAGTGCGTTGAAGAAGCCTGTCAACTGTCGTATTTGGACTTGCATTGCCGTCATGATGTCGATCGACTTGCGCAGAATCTTCTTCGTATCCTCCATTGTGGCCTCCTTCAATTTGAGCTCATTCAGCGCCCGCGCGTTTTCGATGATTTGGTTCTGTACTTCAAGTTGCTTCTGGGTTGTCCTTTCCAGATTGTTACGAGCTTCGTTCATAGCGGCTCTGGTTATGAGGAGTTTTTGGTGCCGTTGGCGGAGGACCTTTGAGTAACTCGAATTGCTCGGTGGTACATTCAGGGCTGCCGAGTCCATGGAGCCTCCAAATCCGTGACCGGGTTGGGAGGCTGCGAACGATCGAAGTTTTGTTGCTCTGTTCAAGAGGAAGCACGTGGTATTACTCCAGAAATTAATTTTCTTAATCCATTCGTCGTGGTCTCCTCTCGACTTATCCGTCTCGCCTTTGGATAAGATTGCTGTTGTGACATCGAGTGCTTCATTCAGGATGGCTCGGGCGCTCAAGGTGTGCCTGCTATTGAATTCTCCCAGCCCTTTCTCCAAATCGCCAAGCCGTTTCGCACAGGCCATAATCTCGAGCCCACCATCTTCAACGATGGCTAGCAGGTCTTCGTTCAGTAGCCTATCGAGGTTAAGTAACTGCGTTTCGATCTGCTCGGCTGCGAAGAGAGCGGGATCAATTCCCAGACTAGCTTGTTGCTGGCTAGGGGCCGCATTCTGTTCAATCGGCCTCGCAGTCGTAGGGATTGACGCGGCTGCTGCTGGCGTATTGTAGATTTTGATAGGGGTCCATTGAGTCACGGTTTTCACAGCCTCACTTGCGGCTTTCACGGTCTCAATGGCGACTTTTGGCGTCTCCTTGAAAATGTTTATAGTGGCATTGATGAGACCAGTAACACTACTCCCACTCTCAATGGCAACTGCCATGGCCAGATCTGAAATCTCTATGAAATCTGTTTGTTTCAGCATTCGAAGTAGCAAAATAGGAGGAGAACAAGTGAGAAGCGGCGAGGCTGGCACTTACCACCTTTGGCAGCAGTCTTTTGATATTGGCCTCTGGCTTGCATAAACTCGGATTGAGCATCTTTTATCTGAGCCTCGAGAGTGGCGAGACAGCGACTTTGACGCTCCTTTAGTGCTTTGGCTGCTATTTCCTTCTGTGCGATCTGGACCTTTTCCGATTCCGCACTTGCTGAAAGCTGGCCGGTAAGTAATTGTATGTCTTGGGACAACGCTTGGAGAGTTCTTACCCATCCCGTCTGCCATAGCTAAGCTGAGTTCGCCGGCACACTTAACAAGGGCGTCAAACTTTGCCTCAGTGTCTTGTGCCTTTGCTGCGCACGTCTCCATATCCTCTTGAAATCTTCTCATGGAGCTGAGGAGATTTCTCTTGGCCAATCGCGAATCTTGTAGACACATGAGAATTGTTTGGACCTACAACAACGACGTTAGTCATGGCGGCTAAAGGCAAGTCTCCAAATGCTCTCACTCACATGGCCGGTCCTCCCGAACATGACATTGGTCTGCATTCTGATGGCGCGCATGTTCTTCTCCGCAGAGTCAAATGCGTCAGCAGACTGGTCAACAATTTGAATCAGGGCGCTCGAGAGGGTTTTTCGTCTAAGAAGAGTTTAAGCAATGTCAACAAGTGAATGCAAGAGACCGTGAATTAGGGCAGTCTTATTTACTGTAGATGCTTAAAACCGCCCCTGGGCTCCTCCAAGTGGATGCACAATGCTTTGTCTGAGAAAGCGAGAAGCTTGATCTGTCCGAGAAGATTGATGGCCAGCGGCGCCATCATCAGCATATCAGGCAGGCTCTGACCTTGGCACAGGCTTAGTTTGAGATCTTGCTGCAGACGCCTCGCAGCCTCGCGCCGAGCAACGGCGAGGTCACTGGCCTTTACAACTTCAGCCATGTAAGCAACACAGGTGAAACAAAAAAAATGCCGGGCCAGAAGAAAGGGTCAAGATATCCTCCCTGAAAACCCCCTTTCAAGTCTTCGGGGTGCGTCGTGATTACAAGTAAGAATACATGTATGTAGTCAAGAAATACGTAGCCGCCTCCAAAGATACATGTACGTAGTATGTATATGATCGGAACAGGCAGCCCTCATCCGCTTCATTGGGTTTCAAAGTTGGGCACCAATCTAGTTAATCAAGCATCACGAGACGGATAACAAGGCATGTGTCGCCTATTCATTGGGCGCTATACTCATGCAGTTGCATTTCGGTGACGATTCGGTGACGGTTTCATACCAATGAATTTGGGCACCAAATAGACAGTAATAAGAACCTTACGGAAGAATATTCCTGTGGCCGTGGACAGCTAGCCGGGAATGACTCCATTATCTAGTTCCATGGAGATGGAGTCTTGGACGAAAGTGTCGGGGATGGTTTGCCAGCTATCTATTTTACAGGCAAAACTCCTCAAGGCTAGCAATACGCTCGGAAAGCATGACATAACCTTAATCGGCGCATTGAATCGAACCGCAGTCATCACTCTATATGTGACCTAAAAGCCGCCAGTGAATTCATATTATCTCCTTTCACGCCAAAATGGTTGCTTATGTAGTACATATCCAATCAGCCTCTGAGGCTCATCTTTGCAGGACACCTTTTATGAACGTCTGGCTCCAGTCAACCGACACTCGGCACCACTCACGCCGTCATATCAAACATTTGTAAAGTTGAGGGTGACATGAGCGGTTCGTAGGAGAAAATCAGCGCGAACAAACTTGATATAGCTGACCTAGCATCTCAGGCTGCGGAGCATGCCAAATTACATATATGTTCCTTGCTCCATAATAGCATTGTATAAAGATTATCCGTTGTAGGATACGAATTTATTCCTTATAAACACCGCAGCCGAATGAAAAAGATACTGACATCAAACTAAGCATACAGACTGCTCGACTTTGCCTCAGACTGAGCTTCATCGCCCGCTGCTATACGTAGGGTAGCCCAGTGAATGAGCAACATCCATTCTACGAGGAAAAGGGACGAACCCAGTCATTTGAAACACCTTCTGGATCATTGGTTGCTGAGAGTATGTCACTAGACCTTTTCTATCATCTTTTTCACTGTTCACTGACCCTTTGTTTGTAGAGATCCCAACGTCTGATGTTGCATTGTCTTGACGACGAGTACTCGTGCAGCACTGAATCGAGATAGTCAACTCTGGCGTTGTATATAAACGCAATGATGGCACCGCAATGTAAATGGATGAATAGAGAACACTGTATAATAAAAGTTAAAAGTAATGGAGCATATTAAAGATGAAATGTACTAATAGCTGCCCTATGATAGCATGAAGTGGCGTGTAGCTGCGTGGCATCAAATTCGACTGTGCTGTGTCATGTTTGCTGCTTGGAATTGTAGGGATGCTCTCCCCTAGGTATACGAATACACGTACTTTCAAGTTAATACCAACACCAGACGACCTACATGTAGCCAACGGATTAAGACTTGGGGCCCTCAGGGCGATTCCACATCTTGCTGAAACACCCGCTCTCCTTACCGACCAGACGGTCCTCCTCGATGAACTTTCTGGCCCTTGGTGGGAGCCGCCGCAATAGGTTCTTGCACTGCGAGTCTTGATATTCCGTTACGACGATGCGCCACCAGTCATCCTCGGCCTTGCAAGTTCCGGCGAGAGCAGTGACCAGTTCCACCTGTTTCTCGGAAGTAATCTCCATGGCGCTGCGCCAGATACTCGTGCGCGGCATGAGGTAGTCGAGCGCGTCTCCGTAGTTGCCATCACCTGTATACGGGGTTTCATCGACGGCCAGGACGGCTGGGGGGGTCTCGTCGAAACCCACCGGCTGGTGAGGGCGAAAAATTGCAATGTCCGCGTCAAAGATGCGCCGCTCGTTGAAGCTACCGCCGTACTTCGCCGTCATCTCGATGTTGCACAAGTCTTTGAGCTTGATGCTGATCTCGTAGGGCAGGGCCATGTCGGTGTTGCGGGCGGGCGTAAATTTGAAGGTGAAGTCAGTCGATGTGCCTGAGCGGTCAAGCAACATGAGCAGCGCATCCCACAACCACCACAGCAGCGGTTCCTCGCCACTTGCACGGGGGCGGCCCGGCTTCGCGTAGGGCTCTGTGCGCCGACAAGTGAAGCAGTCGGCATATCTCAGGCTCGGCAACCGGAGCTGGTTGTGGTCCTGGAAGAGCGCCGCCATGATACGGGGTTTAGCGAGCGTTCCGGCCATCTTGGGGCCGAATCGCCCAACGAGCTGTGCCACGTCTTCAGCAGCCTTGCAGATCTCGGCGAGCAGGACCGCAGGCTCTGGCGGGAGCAACGTCCCGGCAGGACTCTGGATGCCTGCGAGCTGGTTCGTGTTTGCGGCGTGCGAATCGTCATCCAGCCAAGCCAACGTACGAGTACTCGTGCTTGGAGTAGGTACGCCCTCCGTGTCATCACTGGCGGTGGTGCTGGGAGCAGTTATAATTTCGTACGTGTGGTCGGTACTGCTGATGCCACTGCCGTCCACGCTGCCGGGACATTCCCACAAGTACGCAAAGGGATCAGAAGACATTATCGGAACCGTTCTCTGCAGAAATGGGGGGAAGACGTGATTTGCATGGATAATACCAGATAGACTTGAAGGACAACCGACCACGTCTTTTATACCCGTGTGTGTGAATCACTGCACAGGAGTACACGTATCTAGGCAGCAAGCGCCGCCTAGTAGACAAAGGGACTCTGACGTGGCAGGACACTTCCTTTGTCTTGAAGGTCTTTGTCTTGAAGGTCCTTGTCCGCCAAAGCCAGGATGCCTCCTTGGCCTATCACCATCCCTTTGAATCTGGGCCCCTTTGTCTGCTTCAACGGCGGCGAAACAGCGGGTCTCCTCCCGCATTATACACGTAGGAACAGTATTTGGACCGAGTTGATATCGTTTGCATGGACTTGGCTTTCCGTCCTTTGTTCTTTCTTTCGCATACCTAATCCCCATAGGTAGTCGTGGGACGCTTGCATCTCTCTTCCCCATCTCGTACAGCCAGGACAATACATGTACTCAGCTCATGACCTTCTACCAGCAGCCGCAGTCATCTTTTGATGCAGAGAGTGTCCCTTCTCGTGCTCCCTTTGTTGCCTTGGTGCATTGCATGAGAAGCTGACTGTGGCACTACAACCCAGGCTCCGTGTGACGCTTGTTAGAGGAGAATGACCCTCAAAGTGGATGGCTATGCAAACCCTTTCCTGACCTGCGTACGGTGACGGCTAGTAGAGTACAGCGTTATATCATTCCCGTGTGTCTATCGCTGGCCACTCGAGGGGCGGTCACAGTGCACTTTGTATCTGAAGTACCCGGGAAGATATAAGAACTTCAAGCAGTGCAATGACAACCTAAAGCATTAGCGCCTGAGCAGCGCGGTATAAAGGGGCTAAAGCTTCTTTAAGATCAGTGTAATAAACTTAGGACTTTAGAGTAATTTATACATTATGAGGGCAACGCGTATAGTCTTATTGAAGAGGCTGCTAGTGATTCGCAGTTCCTTCACGAGGCTTTATCACACGTCGACACGTAGTTATAAGCTATCTCTTCTTTAATGAAAATCTTCATTAGATGTTTCCATGGTCGACCAGCCCTCCGGGTAAAGCAGTAAATGCAAGACTTTGGGTGGATAGAAGTGATGGGCTATGATGAAGCACTCCGATGCTCTACACTTTGCTACTAAAACGAGATGAAGAGCTTTTGGAAATAAAGTTTTTAGCTTCATTTGAAGCAAGTTGACATGTCAACCTAACCCAACTCACACTTTGGAAACGCATCAGTTCATCTATTTGCGGTTATTTTTGAATCATTTCATTTATTGCAAAGGAATGCGCAGAAACCACTACTTGCATCAACGTTGGCTCTGTTCAATGATGCTGGCACGGCATATTTCTCACGATCCACAAAACAGATATAAGATGTGGTGTGTATACTTTCAAAAACATATCACTAGGCAAATCACCATTAAACGGCATTCTTTATTATTAGATTGGCCATTTTGACGCTTTGCAGACGAGGGACTGCCTCAGCGGCAAAATGCGGGCCATGCAATGCCAGTCAAGTCTTACACCTCCGACTTTTCCGCCATAACGGCTGTTGGTGCTTTAGATCTCCTCCAGGTTGGTAGCCAAGCCAAAGTAGAACCCATCCACTCCTTGCAATCGCTCCAGCCCTTCGATACATCCTCGTGAATGACCCAGATGAGCAGCCCGAGCGTGACCGGCACAGAGATAGCCCAGTAAATGTAGAACAGACTTTCCCCTGCCGCAAACTCCCCGTTCATGGAGAAGATTGACGCCACAAAGGAACACGGCACAACAACAGTGGCTATCTTGGTAAGTTGGCCAGAGCTTCGTGCCATTCTGTTAGCAGCTTTTGTTTGCCTGAACGATTCAAGCGATTGAACCTTGGCCTCGGATGCTTCTTCCATAGTGGCGCGAATGGAATACATCTTCATATGGCCACTAAGAATATCTTCCATACCCTCAAACGTTCGCTCAAGAGAATTCCACACACTGCGTTCGTCTATTATAAGGGGCCTTAGCTCCTTGTCTTTTGATAGATACTCAGCATCTCGGAGCCGAAATTTCCAAGTGATGGCTTGGAGTTCTCGCTTATCAGAGTTAACAGACTGCCGTTTCATCATCAGTCTCTCGTATGCTTTGACTCTCTCGGCTGTCTGCTCTATCTGGTCGCTCTCAAGGGTGGTGTTTCCCCTTTTTCGGCGAGATTCTTCATCCCCGAACATGACATCATGGATGTCGCGTTCCCTTCGCCAGACATGCTCTTCCCACACCGCACGAATGCAGTTGCGAGCAAAATAAGTAGCTGAGAATACATCATTAGTGACAACCATTGCCATTTTGCTGTGAGCTTTTGAAAGGGTCGCGAAAATCGAACGCTGATATACTTGAGTATGCTCAGCTTCTGACGAATTGATAATTACTTCCCGTAGTACATCGCGCGTGGGTTCCCAATTCTCAAGCAAGATTTTGTTATTCCCATCATCTTGATTAGGAGCCGAATGTAGATGCAGATGGGTAAGTTGTGGATCAATCAAGAAAACGGCTGTAAGTTTGTACCATATTTTTTTAGAAACGTGTCCATCGGTTCTTATTTTTCAAGGCCACAAACCTGTCCATGAACCATCAGGCTCGTAAGTCTTGCCCCAGTAGGATATGAAGCTGCGAAATGATACCCAGGAGATACTTTCATCCAGAGGTACTGCTCCGCGTTGAAATGTTCCGCAGAAAGCGTCCGCAACACCGTGGTGGCTGAAGCCCTCGGGCAGTTGTCGTTTTTGTGGCACTGCCACCTTCCAGTATACTGAGCTTCCCTGCTTGGCAAAGCGCTCATCCATGACATTAAGGTCTACAAATTCGTCACAGTGTGACAAGAAGAATTCCGGAGGAATATCAAGTAGAACCCCTAGAGTTTCCGCAAGTCTCGCCGTGACGTCTTCCAGAATAATAACACGTCGATTTCTCTTCTTCGCTGTACCATCTTTGGGGGTATTTTCCCAATGCATTAGTAGATCTCGCGGGCTAGTTGAAGCTGGGCCATTATCCATGCCAATGTGATCTCCTTCGAGCTCGTAAATATCAAGCTTACACGAGATGTCGTGCGGCCCCAGTCTCCACGGATGAAAAGTTTCGCGTTTAAGCATTTGATGATCTGCGATGTGCCTCGCCCTTTCCGCGTAAGCCTTAGTCTTTTGCTTCATTTCGGCATTATCTGCCCAATACGCATCATGATCTGAGAGCAATTAGCCTTCTTCTGCGATTTGTCTCAATCTCAACGTTCAAAGTACCTTGGTCCTCCATCGTGCTGAAAGTCTTGGTAGTCTTCCGCACTGCAGGCTAAATGATAGTATGCGATAACAATGGCTATGAAAGAAATATACGAGCAGCTATTCTATGTTTTTATCCCCTCAGCCTCTTTATATATTGCAAAGGTGGATGGGTCAATGCCGCTCTTCAGCTGAAACATGATGCCTGTACGACTCCCATCCCTGCCGACTGAGATTATGAGTCCCGCCGGTACGTGCACCACAACCACTCACATCCTGAGAAACAACTGTCCTGTGGCGAATCACAGAGAGAAGCGCGGGCAATAACGCATGTCAACAACACGGCGACCAGTCGTTATCTGGGCGGCCGCATTCCCTGGCCCACTCCGTCACCGAAACATGGCCGGCTGCATACATGTATGGGAGCAGGACAGGGATTGTCAGAGCTCAGCCGCAGCTGAAAGACGAATTTGGAGTATAGGAAGCGCGCATGCTGCAACACCGGTCAAGAGAAACCGAAGGGCAAGGCTCCAGGTGGCAAAGTTGAAAGAAAGGTTTGTGGAAGCTATTTTATGTCACTGAAATGCTAGCCATCGCGTTCTTGGAACCCATGTTACAGCGCCAGCGCTCTCTCTTTTCCTGATCGTAGTATATTTTCCATCGCATTGCAATTGCATTGCTCTATTTGTTACCATGACCCAAGCAACCCGCTGTGATATATGTTTACGCATTTTCAGCCGTATATTTATCATTGACGCTCTAGATGAATGTCCAGTGATTGATAATGAGCGGAAGAAACCTCTTTTAAGCTTGCGGCGTATATTTACTGCAGCACCTAATAGCCTTTCTAGTTTTCATACAAGCCACAAGGAATTCAACACTGAAGCAGTAATGAGGCCAATGCTATCTTTACCTTTTACAGCTGAAGTGGACTTATCTACCAAGCGATATTTTGTTGATAAAGATATTGGCCGGTGTATAAGTTTTACTCTTCAAGCTGCTGAGTATATTTCATGGCCAGAGAGTATCAAAGCAAAGTCGAGAGTAACACTACATGTAGTTAAGAAAGCAGATGGCATGTAAGTGATTTAGAGAACCAAACCATGGGACTAGTGAGACAGTGGCCACTGACTATGCATGAAGGCTCCAATATGTCCGTTGCCAGTTTGACAGCCTTCAGAAACTCTCCTCCGCAGACGCTATTGACAAGGCTCTCCAAAATCTCCCCATGGACTTGATGCAACCTACGACAGAATGCTCCACAATATCGATTCTGAATTTCCAGACTTTGGACATCCAGTCAAAAAATGCCTGAAGTGGCTCGCTTTTTTCAACTTGGCCTTTGACGATCGACGAGTTCGCGGAGGTCTTTACTTTCAATCCGGATGATTACATAGTAGTGATACACTCAGCACAATGGAGCGACTTTTTTCCCCGAAAGATGTACCAAAGTACTTTCAGGATTGATCGCGACTAGGTGGTACTAACCTATAGTATCGAGTGGGATTGGAAGAAAGTCACGAACTCTGTCGAACTAGCTCACTTCTCGGTTAAGGAGTATTTGATATCTGATGGAATTTCTCAAGGTCCTTCATCTGCCTTGTCATTCAAAGAATTGGATGCTTGCATATGCGGCCCGCAGTCAGATCCCAGCCAAAGAGGGTTGATAATTGGCTTGACGGCCATGAATCCGGCAGTAGTGCCCTGGTAAGATCTTCTAGGAGAAGTAAAGTCTGCTATATTTGGATAACTATAACTCAAGTATTGGAGGCATTCACTTCCGTTTTTAAAGATATTACTCATGGCTAAATAGAGATGTTGCACCGTTTTCTATCTTCCACCGATCTCGGCTTTCTCTTACCACTAGGTCCCACTAAGGAGGTGAGGCCCCTATACGTTTCTTCATTTATGAGCCAAGTCTGCCATTTTTAGATGTTTTTGGCTAAGAGATTAGAGGCATGTGCTTCTGTTTTTGGAAGATATGACTCAGAACGCTAACTTGTCCCGGTCTGGCTTGTAATATCAAACAGAGCTGGTGTACCGTTTTTTCTCCACCGATCTCGGCTCCTCCATGGCATTAGCACCAACAATTTAAACGAAGACAGCAGAGATTATTTGAACTACGCTGACCACAGGAAGGCATAAACTATCAAATAGGATATTTTTGCGATCCTTAAGAATGCTAACTTTGATTGCCACATATTAACGTCATCGAATAGCTGATTCTAAAGACAAAAGCTATCTTGGACCTTTCATATATTGTAGCAGCAGTTCTACTCGATAGCTTACATTTGCTCAAGACTGTATCATTCCCGACTTTGCGATCTCAGCCCTGCACCATGATTCCAAGCCGCCAGCCGCGATGATAGCCTGCACATTGGTCGGCAGATCGCCGACTTTCTCTGTCCAAGTGTCTCCATGCTCGCCCTCTCGCACCTCGACGACACTACGCTCTATGTCCCAAGTAAGCGTCCAGCCCGTCCGGCGAGTTAGTTGATGTCTTGTAGCCCCGGCAGACGATGAAGGAGTAGGAAAGCAGATACGCAAGCGTTCGATAAGCCTCGGTAGGGTTAATGTCATCATCGCGTTATTAATGCAATTCCGAGCAAATATATTTCCAAAGCTCCCGGCCACGACTAGAGGGATCTGCTTTGCTAGAAGCGCAGTCGCAGCTGGCAGTTTGTCAGTATTAGTTTTCGAAGTGTCAAGAATGGCCGAAGTCACATCTTCCAAGGACTTTTATGTAAAGAACTACATTGGATAGCGGATGACTTCAGGCAGTTCTAAAACGGGGAATAGAGAGGGAAAAGAAGCCCTTGCCTTGTTCTCTTGAAGATCCGGTACCCAGGTTGTATCCTCCGACAAGCACGTCGTTTGGCCTTGCAATACTATCGAAACTAGGGTCATAGTTTTCCATGCAGGCCCGTGCCATCTCTTCTTGAGAGACGTTGTCCTGGTAGGTCAACCTCCCTGGGTATAAAGCATCGGTACTTATGTTGTCAGCGTCACAGAAGAGGATCTCACCGCTGATCTTCTTCGGAAAACCTGCGACAATATCAGTGGTAGACGTGGAGGCACCCTCCGCAGATTCAACCCGCTCGATGAGATCATCAAGCTGCTCTATGATATTTCCCAGTTCGTATTCCGTGGTTTTTTCCAGGCCAGATCCAAACCCATGGACCACGCCAGACCAGTCGGCTGGCACCTCGAAACCGTCAGGTCCAGAGATAGTGCCGCTGAGAGCACTAGCAGCTACGACTTCAGGGCTAGCCAAATATGTCTGCGCTTCGCGGCTTCCCATGCGCCCAGGGAAATTCCTGTTACTACTGCTAATCCCGACATCACCGGGCTCTAGCAGTCCCGCACCTAGTACAAAACTTTAGCCACTATACGTTGGATACGTTGGCGAACCACTAACCCTAGTAACAAGTTAGCAAATACGCCTGTCTGATGGATATGTGGGAGATTCTTACAAGTCCAATACACGGACCACAGCCAGATGGAAGCGGCTGCGCACCAGCATCGAGTAAGGTCTGCCAATCTCCGGCGGCCTCGGCAGCTGTCTGTTCCCGTGCTGAAGCTGCCGCTATGTAAAATGACACTCCATCAGCAACTCGGGGCTTGATACTGGGGTTGGCACTGGCTGCGTCTTTGAAGACTTTCGCAGCCGCCTTGAAATCTGAAGCACGCGAGGAAGTGCAAGAGACGATGCTGACATAAAATGAGTTAACAGACTTGGCGCCCTCAAGACAAGTATCTTACTATGCGCGGTTGATTCTGATATTTTGTGGAGCAAGCTCGTTTAATGGCGTTGCGATTTTGGGTGTATTAGGGCCTGAGATATAAGGGGAAAGAGAAGACAGATCGAGGTAGAGTTGCTTTGCGTATATAGCATCGGGGTCCGCTTGGAGGGGGTCAGCGAACAACTTATCTATCCTTTCATGGTTGATACGTTGTCGAGTTGTCCGGTCGTCCGACATTGCTGCGTCGGTCACCTTATGTCGCAACCAACGTTTTAGAGTTTGGTCAATGGGAAACACTGCAGCAATTAGTTCTGCTCTACCATGGTCTCTAGTGGTCGAAAAGTCGAATGCGGGAAGAACGATGGTCTTCATCAGAGGCGGGCAAGAACGGGCAGGCAAGGAAAAACTCGCGAAACTACTCACTGGCAGAGAGGGCTCCCCACTCGCATGACATATTGGCAATGGCCATACGGCAATCCATGGGTAGGCTCTCAAGGGTCTCCTCGGAGCCGGCGAATTCGATCGCATGGTTCAGTACGTCGTCCTTGAAGAGACCACACAATGCTGCGATCACGTCCTTGCCCCGTACCGCGGGCGGCAGGGTCCCGAGGAAGTTCACCCGCGCCACGGGGGGGACTTGCCACCAGGTCTGTGATAAGGCCCATATGGCACCAGCATCCGTCCGTACAATAGGGGTTCCGAGGCATCCTAGTGCGCCATAATGGACCGCATGAGAGTCCGAAGCAACAACCATAGTACCTGGCCACGCGAATCCCTCCTCTACGACCAATTGATGTCCAATGCCCCTTCCAGCGGGGAAAAAACTGAGGCCATGTTCGGCGGCAAATGCCTGTATCTGGGCATACTTGTGCAGATTGGACGGGCTGGTGTCTTGAATTGCGTGATCCAAACAGATAACAATCTGCTCCGCGTTGTGAATCGTCGTGGCCCCCATAGATCTGAACTTGCGCATCACCGGCGCGGTGTTGTCGTGAGTCATACAATGCTGTGGGCGAAAAGTAATGTAGTCGCCACTTCGAACAAGCTTTCCTTCAGGGAGGCCAATGGCGTGGCGTTGTACGATCTTTTCCGTAAGAGTCTGTGGAAATCGTGGTGTGGAGGAGGGGGAGGAAGAGGAGGAGGAGGTGTATCGAGCGCATGTCGTTATGCGAAACGAGCGGGAGGATAGTAAGTCTGCTGAGAAGCCATGATGAATTCTCCTGTTTGGTAGCCTCCATATCGGGACGCCGAACGATTGAGCCCTCGCCAACGGTACCTCCGAAATTCAGTTTCAGAAGCGATAACAGAGGAGTATTTACTCACCGATGCGAATGTCATATTGGCAGATGCAGCCACATGTATACCTATTGACTTGATAGTAGTATGATAGCGGGAGGATCGGTTTTTATAAAATTTTGCGAGGAAGGGAAAGAAAGCCCCAAATCTGGCGGCCGCGAACAGAGTCCACTCACCGCCTTTGATGCACAAACCCCGTCGATTCTGCCGGCAGAATCAACCCACTAAAGTTTTAGTGGACGTCATCGCTACTTATCAGAGTTGATAGTGACTAGGGTCACTGGAACTTTAGGGGATTGTAACAAGGGTTAGGCCGCTCCCAAAAAGCACGCAATGCCAAACCAATTCTAAGCAGTGCAGCCCCAGATCTGGAGGGAAAATAGCAAGAAAATTCCAAGGAAGAGCCATTTCATCATTCATTGTTATTTTCGAGTCTATAGTTGTTTAAGCAGCTTTTTCTTTTGTATACGGGGATTTGCTACCTCAATACCTGATATTTTTTCTTGGGGAGGTTAGGTTCTTCCCTTCTGTGGAGTCGTGTTGTCAGGCTGTGGGACAATGTGGAGTGATTTGGTTAGCTACCTACAGATTAGATAAGATGGACGAGAGAACCCCACCATCGCTTGGAGCTTCTACCCTTAATATACGGTTCGGTTCATCCTTTCACTCCTCCGAGGGGCAAGCATTCATTCTACCATCAAATCTAGCTTCAATACGATAAGACTAGTATTTTGTCTTTCCCAACAATTTCCCTTGCTCTTGTTAGTCTTAGGTACTGCTAATCTGGCAAAAGCGCAGTTGAATGATGATTGAGGAGAAAGCATGCTTAAGGGAATTTATTTATAGTATTGTTAAGGAAGTCGTTAACGTAGGAAATACTAGCTTTTATTACAATTTTTATTCAAATTAGTAAATTTAAAGAAGTATAATATATTATATATTAATTCTATATATACCACAGCCCGGCACTATATTTTAGTATAGCGCACTAGGATTTACTAAACCTTACCATAATAGGCTAGACTAAGTAGAAATACCGCCCGGTTAGCAAAAATATACCGCCCGGGCAGTAATACTCTAAATATAATAGCGTTTCTTTGTTAGCGGCAAGATGTAGGTAATAAAACAGCCTGTTTAAAACAGGGGAGTTACACTATCCCTATATAATGGCAAAATATCAGATGAGCCTCAACCCCAAGAGAGGCCCGGGTAGCTCAATTGGCTAGAGCGTGCGGCTTTTAACCGCAAGGTTGGGGGTTCGACCCCCCCCTCGGGCGAAGATCCAACCATCTTTTTTGCTTTTGATGCATTTTGTTGTTGTTGGTTGGATGTGGGATGAAGATGAAAGTGAGTGTTGCTTTGGTTGTAATCTTGGGGTTTTCATTTTTCTCCTTTTTTGATCATCTTGGGTGACAGGGGCGGAACATTGGGAATTAATGCCGAGGATGTAAGATGGGCGTGCAGGTTTGGTGATGTTGGACTAGCCAAGCTGCCCAAGGACACTAAAAAGCTAGGCATTGAGATGAACTAGGGATAAGTGGACGAGAATTCATCAGGACTTGAAAAATGGGAACATTGGAAGAGATGTGTTGGCAGGCTTGGTGACAGGTGTCCAAGGTATTACACCTCGGTCAGGCACCTGTGAGGGAACACCTGGTGAATCAATTGCCCACGTAGGTATGTCGTTTCGGTCATGAGACAGGGCAGTCTCGTGAAGCCATCACCACTAGGAGGGACAACACATGAGGCTTCTGGAGCCCCTTATTTAGCCTCGCAGGACGCTGATACTCTATGACAGCGTGAGCACAGGTAAGGAGAGACGGTGAGTAAGCGGTGAAGGTGAAGGGGGAAATGGATATACTAAGTCGTGGCTGTGAAGGGCCAAGTCCTACGCGGGTGGCTGTTCCGAGCTGTTGGTATCTGCTGTCATCCATCCAAATACATCAATGGCAACATGGACTAAATGTGTACGGGTTAGAGGTATGTAAGATTGACAGCATGGGTTAGGTATGTGATGTACCTTATGCTTGCATGTTGGTACCTGTTCTGTTGGTACCTGTTCTGTTGGCATGTTGTTGGCATGCAAGGTACCCCCATCATGGAAGTTTCTATCCGGGCGTCTAGATTGGCGCAGCAAAGGAAGAATCTGCCCGAATTGGCAATCGCCGGGATGCTTCTTTGTGGCGGAAGATGGATATAGGACTGGGGGAAAAGAGAAAGCCCAGTCGGAAGCCTGCAGCCGGATCTCGTAGTGTTGAATGTTGGCAGACGGCGATTTGGGGCAGTTGGAGCGATAGAGGATTCCAGGCAGCTCACAAGGCTGTTTCCGATAACTGGAAGTGGAGCGGAGTGGTTGCATTTACTCGTACAGCATGAAGTAGTTGGTACATGTACCGCCGCGCTCAGGCTGCAAGGGACCAGGACGGGATGGGGGGTGGGCTGTTTAGCGCCCTGGAGGCCTAAAAGGCTGAGGGGACTCGGGGGACCTGAGCGCTGCAGGTGATGGCTGGGGGGGGGGGGGGGGGGGGTTTAGCGGCTGGTCGCCATATGGCCGCCATGGGCACCGTGGCCCGGGGATGTGCACGCGCGCAGGTACAAATGGCGCCTAGCAGGTACCAGGTACGAGGACGAAAGACGTCACCAGATGCGATTTTGGGCGATTCCAGTGCCTGGTGCCTCGTGCCGGAGCGACAAAGAGTTCTGCGACTTCAATACCTGGATCCATGCAACATCAACAAAACATCACACTCTTCGACTCCTCCTTCTTCTCCGCCAGATCCCCGACAAGCCCTTGCACGCACCGCCTCGGCTTCCCGGTAACTCGGTCTAGTAGCGCTTGAGGTTGTCTAGGTATCTACTACTATAGGTAGTCGAGTTTGCACCTGGACTTGCGTTTCGTTTCGACTGATGTACGGCGAAGCAAGCTGAGCGCTCACGGTCCAGGGCCAATCAGACGAGCGGGACAAAGAACATTGAAGCTCTCATTTCCAAGGTTCCTTCAGCTGCGCACAGACAGACGGTCAGACGAACGAACAAACAGACAGACGAGCGGCTTGCGCCAAGTTGATGCAGCGCATTCGGTTCACTCACTCACCGATAATTCGGACCCGGTATGTCAAGGTCGATTTGCCAGGTTTTCTTTCATGTCAATGCTTTCCATGCCTTGCTGCTTTGCTCCGCTGTGCTGTGCTGTGCTGCTGCGCTGTGCTGTGCTGCGCGCCTAAGCCCGTTGAAGGTCAGGTCGGCGGGGCCCCCCCCAGCGCTGTGGCTTGTGTCTTTGTTCGCTGGCCGAAAGACGGAATCCTGTGCTCTCTTTAGTGCTGGGCCCGTGACATCCATATGCAAGCGCCGTTGTGACCATCGCATCTGGACGGCCCTTATTATTAGCCTGGAGGGCTGGTTGCTTTTGGCTTTTCGCTTCTCACCTCAGCCTCGTGTTCTCGAGGCTTTTGCTCTCTTTAGGCTGCCAGAGGGTAGCTGGCGGTTAGGCGATTGAGGGCTTCGCTTTGATCATTGGGTTCTTGGGTTTAATTATAGGCGTCTCTTGCCCGAGCTGACTCAACTCTCTTCAAGGTCAGACAGATCAAAGGCAACACAGATATATAGCCACGGCGCTTCCACCCATGAACAAAGGACGTTAAGCGGAGTGGCAGTGAAGCGCATCACGGACAAAGGATCCAGGCGACATCCAGCACAAAGGGGGTCTCTGCCTGCTCGCTACCCCGTTCGCCGTCCCACCACACACGATCCGGCAATTTCACCATATGGTTCCCCTCATGCCAGAGTTCAGCCCTGCTTCCAGCCTGACCACCCGCTATCCCTCCTCACCTTTATATTGCTCCTGCTTCGGCGATTCTTCAACTTGTCCGACATCGCTGGCTTCGTCCATGGGTTCCAAGTTCTCCAGCTTTCGCCTCAAGTTTCGGAATCGCAAACGATTAACCATGTCGTCAACCAAGAGCAAACCACCAAAGCACCGTCATGACCTCGCGGATGGCCACCCGAGGCAACCGGGCGCTTCCGAGAAAGCTGATGCTTCCGAGAGTGACGGCGACTTTGACAAGGCAGCTGCGCTTGAGCTGATCAAGGCTCATCACTCCGAAGTTGACAGGCGGCGGAGCGGAGTTGAGACGAGCCGTCTCGGGGCTGAAAATGGCTCTCTCGGCTTGCCCCTGGACCTTGACACTACCGGCGCCGAAAAGCGAGTGCCGGTGCCGAGTAAAGAGGAATACGACCAACTGCGAAAACACGTCTTCGACACAGAGCAAGAACTATCGTTTGATGCCCGGTGCCGCTCTCGCGCCACTAAACAGGAACTGCGTGTTGATGCCATGATTCGAAAGATACGGGAGCAAGACGACAGAGAAATCTACGCCTCGGAGCCTAAGCGAAGGGGTTATCAAGGCCAGATGCACGAGCGCTTCGCAGGCGATCACTTCCTCAGCAACGTGGACATCATCAACAAGACAAAACTGTTCGGGATTGCCTCCAAGATGCCAAAGGGTGCCCACCTGCACATCCACTTCAACGCCTGCTTGCCACCCAACGTGCTGCTCGGCATTGCAAATGGCATGGATCGCATGTTCGTTTCAAGTACTCTTCCCCTTATCCATAAGGCTGGGGGCGAGGATGGGTACGACAATTTTAACAAGTGCGAGATACAGTTTTCCATTATGAATGAAGAAAGGGTGAAGAATAAGCTAGGCGATCCATTTTCCGCCAACTATATCGCTGGCCATATGATGAAGTTTTCAGACTTTAGACGCCAGTTCTCAAGCCATTATAACAAGGACACTGTCACTGTGGATGAGTGGTTGCTGCATAAGCTCATGTTCGAGGAGCAGGAGACTCACAATCCCTTCCAGACAGCCAATGGGTGAGTTTTTATAGCGTCCTTTCTTCAGTCTCGTTTCCATTTATTTCTTGATTCATCATGTCACTCTCGTGTGATTGGACAACTTCTTTCCCCCCTCATATTATGCCTTCTTCCCTCTTCCTTTAGACTAACGACTTGCTTTTCCCTCTGTACAGTGCTTGGGAAAAGTTCAACGGTAGAACACGCATGATGAAGGGTCTTTTCAACTATGAGACAGCGTATCGCGCTTATACATATCAGTGCCTCGAAGATTTCGTCCGGGATAATATCCAATACGCCGAGATTCGGCCCAATTTTATGAGCACCAATCAGCTCTACACCGACGACGGCAATGGTACCATCAACAACGAGGGCATCATGAAAATCATCATTGACGAGGTTGAGCGATTCCAGGAAGACACAAAGAAAAGGGGCCAGTTCTTTGGAGGGCTCAAGGTTATATACTGCACACCGCGGTCAATGGATCGGGAAAGAGTAAAAGTTGCCCTTATTGAGTGCATGGAATTCAAGAAGAAGTGGCCACAGTGGATCGCAGGTAAGCAAGCATGTGGACGGTCCTGTCCTCACTTTTGAAAGCAGCGCTCATGTCTCCCTTTTTTCCAGGCTTTGACCTTGTCGGCGAAGAGGCGAAGGGCTATCCGATCAAGGAATTTGTTCCCGAGCTGCTAGAGTTCAAAAGGGAGTGCGCTGCGCAGAACCTCGATATCCCATTCCTCTTTCACTGTGGCGAGACGCTGGACATGGGCACTAACACGGATGGCAATCTGGTTGACGCCCTACTGCTTGGATCGAAGCGCATCGGCCATGGCTTCGCTCTGGCAAAGCACCCCTACGTTATGCAGCAAATGAAGGCCAAGGGAATATGCCTGGAACTATGCCCGATTTCCAACGAGATCCTGGGGCTTACACCGCGAGTGGGTGGGCATGCCATGTATCAGTTGCTGGCGAACAACGTGCACTGCACCGTCAGCTCTGATAACGGGGCGCTTTTCAGGTAGGCCGTCACAACACCCCGAATCTCCTTTCTTCATAGATGTGTGTATGTGATGAGACGTACATCTAACGGAAGCAATAGGTCCTCGTTGTCACACGACTTCTACCAAGTCATGGTGGGCAAGGCAGACATGGGGCTGTTTGGATGGAAGCAGCTTGCCATGTGGAGCATCGACCACGCGTGTTTAAACGAAAAAGAGAGGGAAAATATGAGGTACGAGTGGAACCAACAGTGGAATGAGTTCCTCGACTGGGTAGACACAACACACGGTGACCTTGTCAAGGACGTGGCCAAGATTTGACTACATGATTGTCCTTTGCGGCAAGGCGGGGGGATCGCGGCGTTTTGGTTGATTTGGTCGGTTTCTAGAGCGGATTTGTCTTGCCGTTTGAAGACTAAAGGGGGCTATGCCGGGAGCCGCATGGCAGGCAGAGGCGTTTGCTGGTCATCCAGCCGGTTAGACGGTTTACGAAGAGATGAAGGTCGGGCCCGTTGCTTTTTGTGTAGACACGATACTCTATGTTTGTTGATATCAGATTTGCTTGCGTTTTTTGCACACACATATATATACACACTCTCGGATGGATGAGGTACGATTGATGATTTGATGATGGCTGGTATATGTTTGCACCTGTGTGTGTCACCGTACATAGGCAACAAAAACTTGTTTCGGTACTTTTACGCCCTTTTGGTAAAGATGCATGTGGTCCATGTCCATGTTGGGAACGGAGGCAATGGCGGTAAGTTGAGGGTCGCTGCTTGATCAGGATCCATGCTATTGGATGAAAGTGAGTGTTGAGTAATGTCTCGGAGCGGTGTCTTGCCTGCATATTATAGTGTCTGGTCTGTATATGTGCTCTGTAGAAGGCAAAAGCATGGAGGCAGCCAACTCTTCAATTAAGGATTATTAACATGGCGGACGGAAACAACCCGACCAACTAAGCGCTATACCGAAAACGTTTAGAAACATAGCAAAAAGTAATTGTCAGCAGCTTGCAGAATCGGTATGCAGGCCCTTTGAAGGTTATGATACAGCAGAGCCCTAGTGGGTGGTAGTTGGTTGACGGCTGGGTTGATTGCCGTCCACACAGATTGTGGCAAATTCGTCAAGGGAGAGGCTTGGCAGTTGAGAAGTGATTGATAGATTATAACAACTAATACTGGAGAGGGAGCCCACCTCCTCTAAATATAGTTGAGTGCGGGACGGATAGTCTACGGTAGTACAGTTAAAGGCGTTTGTTAGTAAAGGAAAATAAAGTTGGTGATGGACTCAACTCTACCTAAACCCGAAACCTCAACTTTATACTCCATATCCATATTCGTATATCTATTCTCGTACATCTTACTACCTACAAAGACATATTAACTCGATCATGTTCCCCCATAATGACGCGTCTTGTCTCGCCCCAGCCCGCCTGCAGCGACTACCATTGCACTAGCATAGCCCTCCTGCACGCTCTAATCCATAGCTGTGCGGCTCGTTAACGTGCAGCATTAGGTAAAACCGCCAGCTGAAGCAATGGGCCTATCACATGGCCCTGTTTAACGTTACCTTGTCTTGGATCCATGCCTCTTTGCTTTCTTCAACATGGAACCACTGACGGAGAGGGAAAAAAAACTTGTCCTTGTTCATCTCACTTTCATCTCGTGCCATCGCCTTTTTCTGTCTAGCATCGTCGATTTCTTCGTCTCATTTGCGTCTGGTCTCATATAATTGTCTTTTAGTTCTAGCATCACCAGTTTTTATCGCATCCAATCTCACCAACTTCGTTAGCTACATCGTCCTCTTCATCCTCATCCTCATCTCCAACAGAACCATCGCCGCCAAATGTCCAACCCAGGCGACCCCGGCTGGAAATGGTTCCCCAACGACAAGCCCTCATGGCGCCTCGACGTCGTCACGCTTCTCGCCGTCATCGGAGAGTCCGCCATCGCTGAGCACTCGCAGACCATCACCGCCTCGCTGCTCTGCATGCTGCCCCGTCTGCTGCCCGCGCCCCAGGCCCTGCTGAAGCCATCGCGGCCAACTCGACTCCCCGAGACGCACGCCAAGATGGCCGGCGTCTACAGCGGCACCATCCTGGATTCGGTGGGGTTCTTCGCCAACATCATCACGCCGCTGGATGCTCTGGCGCCGTACAGCTTCATGGTGCTGGATATTCAGCACGCGCCGTCTGTGCCGCCGCCGATTACCAATGCGAACCAGCATCACCACCACCATCTGGACCAAGATGGTTTTCGAGGCTTCATTACTAGACACGTGCCTTGGGCTCAGAAACGGAGCGTGCCAGATGCTACTTTGGGGGGGTTATCTAGAGCCAAAGAGACGGACAAAGCACTGGATCATCGGTCCACGCCGCCAAAGATCGCCGGACCGCCACACGAAGTCGACATCGAGTCCCAGTCAAGAACTCCAACTGTGAGATTCAACTCCGAGGTCGAAATCAACGGCCACCCTGCACCGATTCGCCGACGCACCACGGAGAAATTCCAGGATCTGCTTTCAACTGGAACCATGGCCGTGACGGGTGGTCGGCCCATTGTCCCTCCCAAACTTCTCTCGCCTCTCCATATCCTTTCCGCCTTTTCCTTCTTTCTCAGCATCGCCATCCTCGTTGCCGCCGTCATATGGCAGGACGGCACCGCAATCATCGCCATCACCCTCATCTCCTCGGCCTCCACCGTCGTCGGCTATGCTTCCTCTTGGCGGCCAATCCTCATGCAACGCAGGCACACTAACGATGTACCCCGCGGCGATGTCATGATACGCACTCGAGAAGGAGCCTTTGTTTTAGTTCGCTGTCCGGAAGACGTTGCTCGCGAGCTTTACTCCGGAACCGAAGAGTGCGACTACTACGTCGGCGAGAGAGCCTACAGGTTCTTCATGGCGCTCGGCACAATCCTTCTCATGCTTAGCGTCGTGCTCCTCGGAAACTGCACTTGGAACTCGCAAATCTTCATAGGAGGATCGTACATTGTCCTCAACGGGCTGTACTGGGGTCTGGGCATGATACCCCGGACTTATTTCTGGGATCTATCGCGCTATACCTGGGACGACGTCACCGAGGAAGACGGTCAAAATGCCGATATCGTGACCGACCGAGATGACGAACGCGAGGGCCATCCGAGCTTCACACGGACCTTGTGGTATGCCATTCGCGAGACAAAAGCCATTGGCTGGGTCGAGCGCAGCGGTGCCGCACCGGGCACACCTCAGTGGCAGCAGTGGCTCGGCGAGGCACTGCAAAATGCAAAGAATGGTAACCGTGGTTGGGAGGCCGTCAAAAGGAAGAATGAGATTATGACGCAGGCGAGCAAAGAAGGAAACGATCCTGCGACGCAGAGAGCGCCTGCAACTGAGGTTCAGGTTGCTGGAACGGGCACAGGAACTCCGAGAGCGACGTTTTGAAGTGGAGGATCCCGTTGTTTCTGCATTTCCCATGTTTTGAAGGAAATGATGATGATATGGCTGACTTTATTTTGGATTTACCGCGTTGTAATTGTCTTGGCGGGCTTTGAGGTTTTGGCATTGCCTTGAGTCTACGCGAAAGAGGACGGATTTACGAGGCAGGAGTATCAGGAACAGAGGTGTTGGATAAATTCACGGCGTTACGGTTGTTATATACCACTTAGCAGGCATTGGGTATTGGAATTGGATACAACAGATAGAGTCTATATTGACATATCATCATGATTCGACGAGATTATATACAGAGACTATCTCTACTCTTCAAGAAATTGGGAAAATATAATAAAGTAGCAATAAGAGAACATGATGAAGCATATTCTTAACAAAATTTATATAAAAAAAATCTAGAAAATGGAATAACTAAAAATGTAAAAAAAACAAGTCGACTTTTCTGAAAAATAGACAAAGGCGCCGCCCTTAAACACCGGCTGTTGAATGCACCCCAGAGACTCAATCTCCTCTTTTCTCCCCAACCTAGATCGTATACGCCCTATCTACTCATTTCTTTACTTTTCCCCTTTTCTTTTCAATTAGTCGTCAAAGTAGATGCTCTTTTTCTCGCCAATGTCAATAACACCGGCGCGGAAGCTGCCCCTCTTCTTCTTGTTCTTCTCCTTGGTGAAGCCCTTGCCCTTTGTCACGATGAGGTCCTCGTGGGCGCGCTGGGAGTAGCTCATGGAGACGTACTCGTTGGAGGCGAACTTGGGGTCGACTTTGATGTCCTTGGGGATGCGCGAAAAGGGCTCGACCTTGACCTTTTTGTCGCGCGGGTTGGGGGGCAAGGGAGGGTTGGGCAGGGAGTCGATTGTGACGGAGGAGTCGGAGGGGGCGGACTCGTCGGTGGACTGTTCCTTCTTGACGACGCCGTTGACGGGCTTCGTCTTCTTCGTCTTCTTCTTCTTGTCGTCGTCGGAATCCGAGTCGGAGTCTGAGGAGGACGACGAAGACGAGTCGGAGTCGGATTCAGGGAGGGGCACCTTGGCGGCCTCTGCGGCGTCGACTTCAGACTCGCTGTCGGAGCTTTCGTCGGAGCTGGAGCTCTCGTCTGAGGAGCTGGACTCGGAGCTCGAGTCGGAAGAGCTCGAGTCGGACTCGGACTCGGAGCTAGCAGGAGAGGCGACCTTCTGCTTCTTGGCACTGGAAGGAGCGTCGACCTTTTGCTTCTTGGCGCTGGGCTTCTCATCCTCGGAGCTGGAATCAGACGAGCTAGAATCGGAGCTCGAGCTAGACTTCGAGCTTGGGGGTGCCTTGCGCTTCAAGTTCTTGTTGCCCTTGGGGGGAGACTTTGCGCGGAAAGAAGGCTTCTCGTCCTCGCTCTCGCTGTCGCTGCTTTCGCTGGAGCTGGAGCTGGAGCTGCTCGAGTCCTCCATGTCGACATCTCGGTCGGCGGGGGCCTTGGCGGCATTCTCCCAAGACTGGAAAACGCCCACAAGAGTGTTTCCGCTGCTGGCCTCGGAAGCCTCCCCCCAACCCTTCTTGGATCGCTGCTTCTTGAAGGAGCCAAGGGCGCTGGTGAAGGCGTTGTCGGAGAGGAACTGCTCTACGAGGTCGAGCAGCTGCGCAGGGGGCTGAGATTGAGTCTCGACGCCATTGGTAGCGGAAGGTTTTGACTTGGCCATTTCGTCGTTTGTGCTGGTACTTGCTGAAGAGGTGTTCGCGATGCCCTTGTCGGTAGGGTTGTTGTTGGTGTTGTTGGAGAAGAGCCAGGCAGGTGGTTTTGCAGATGCGCTGGACATGTGAGAAGGGACCGAATGATTTCGTCACACAATGGTGAAATCCCGTTGGAGTCTGGATAGAGAGAGAGAGAAAGAATGAGAGCTTGAGGGCCAAAAGAGAAAAGAAAAGAGCAATGTCTAATCGCCCGTCTATCGCAGTCGACTTTTTTGTTCTATGCGAAACTTGGAAGCCGCCGAAAAAAAAAATTATTTAGCCGCAAGTTTCTGCCACGCGCCCAGGAACAGGAAACCAAAAAGGGCACGGGCGGTGTGGAGGGGCTTATCTCTTATCAGGGACCCAAAGCGGGATTAACGATGCGCCGCGCTCCGTTAGTCAGCACAATGTTGACGTTCGCAACGCCTCAGCCTCAGCCCCAGTGATGTCAAAGCGCAGATTGTGGTGGATTTTGATTCTGATAGAACAAAACAACAAACGGGCATCTCGGGCCCTCACCATCCGCGCATTTCCGCACGTGAGATCGCGCTTCACTTTTTGCTGACGGATTCGGGGGTTTTTTCTTTTTCTTTTCTTTTTTCTTCTTCCAATAGTTCGAATCTCGTCCCCTTGGATCCGCCTTATTTCTTTTCGTTTTCTCTAGCGCGTCCGGGAGCTCGGTTCTCTCTCATACCCATCCGTTGCTATCAGGGGACGCACCCTGGGCACAACTTCAACCGCAGACGCAATATCGACCTCCAGCCTCTCGTTTTCTTACCTGGGACATCTCCTTTCCTGGTTCTTGGCGTTTTTCATCGGGATCGCTGGGTGCACCGGGCCTGGCGCAGCGCAAACGCACGCAGAGTCACTCACCACTCACTTGATCTCGCCTCACCAAGCTCACCAGCCATGAGCACGAATTCTACCAAACGCAAGTTCAACGCCTTGCTCCAGGGCCTGAGCAGTCCGCGTCCCAGCACAGACGGCGACTCTCCAGCAATCATGTTTGGAAACCGGGTGCCCAGCGGCAGCCACAAGCCCTTGGACTATGATGCGCTGCTCCAGAAGCGCCGTCGCCTGGGGTTTCCCGAATCAACCGCGCCGCGCCTGGACAACACCGTTTCGTCGGGGCTCACAAGTCTGGCCAGCTCCATAAGGCGGACGGTATCTGACGCCACGACTCCGAAAGTTCGGAGGGACGGGCCGGCGAGGTACTCTCCTGGTGATAGGGAGGAGCTGCTGAAGAGGCTGGCGACGTTTCAGGAAATCACCGACTGGACCCCAAAGCCTGATAAGATCAACGAGGTGGAGTGGGCCAAGAGGGGATGGATATGTCAGGGCAAGGAGAGGGTGCGGTGCTTGCTGTGTCACAAGGAGTTGGTGGTGAAGTTGAAGAAGGAGGCCGGGGAGAGTGAGGGGGATGCGCTGACGGCTGCTGAAGTTGGTGAGTTTTGTTTTGCTTATGCTAAGTTCTGATGAGGGCGCGAGTTGACTTGCGATTTACAGAAGCTGCTTTGGTCGACAAATACGCAGAGTTGATTGTCAGCGCGCATCAATCAGATTGCCTCTGGAAGAGACGAGGATGTGATGGTAAGCTTATTGTGTTGATTATACTGGCTGCCTCAACTAATCGCCTTGTCAAGATTCCTTACTTCGGCTGTCATTCATGAGCGCAAAGGGCGCTATTGAAGCTCTGAAGAAGCGATATGAGGAGCTCTGTGTCCGGCGGGCATTTCTGCCATATGAGTTCAACCTTCACCTTCCAGAAGACATGAATTTGGGCAATGTCATTGGACAGCTCCCACCCGATTTTTTCACTGGAGACAAGGCTTCCACAGATGCACCCAACAAACCTGCGCTTGCCCTGGCGCTTATGGGCTGGCAGGGCCTGACCAACACCCGCATCGGCGCTGTTCCCAACACCGCGTCGTGTCACACATGTCAGCGACGATTGGGCCTATGGATGTTCAAAAGTAAAGAGGTGGATGAAAGTGGAATGGTTATTGTGCCGGCACCGATGGACTATCTTGATCCCGAGCGAGAACATCGCTTCTTCTGCCCCTGGAAGAATCCTGCCGCTCAGAGCCGGGGGCACGGCACGCAAAGCAACGATGCGGCCGATATGCCTGCGTGGAAGATATTGTTACAGTCCATCAAGAACGAATCCGATCTGCGAAAAGTTTATCAAGGCCAAGTCAAGCCAAAGTCGAAAGCGACTGCGGGCGCAGCTGCAGATACATCTACACCTGCTAAGACGACATCGCGTGCGCACCACACACCAAATATCTCTATTGATTCGACAGCCATCGACGACGAGGATGACGATGCCACGCGGGACGCAAAGGATAAGGAACGATGGGCAAGGCTGCGCAAGGTCAAGAGCTTGTTTGATACGAAGAAGCTGAAAAAGTCTCGCTCAGGCACTGCCGCGTCAATCAAATCCAACAAGTCATCCAGGTCGATTAAGGGAGACTGATGGCCGACTTGTGTGATGGCTGGGGTGGTTTTCTTCCTTTCTTCCTTTTCTTACGTTTCTCCCTTTTAGTTTTATTTCATTTTTTTTTTTTGGCTACATCCATCGCCGGGCATGGGATCCAATATTGTTATTCAGGGGAGGCTTCTTTTCCTTATCTCATCTCCATCTCCATCTACCCCATTCTCTCCAACATACCCTGTCCTTTGGGCTCAAAATTTTCCAAACATCATATTTCTTGATGTGCATACGCCGTACAGATTTCTAATGCACCCGATACCTCCCATGCCATCCATAGTCATACATAGTCACCCCGTCTTCGATTTAATATCATCAAATGAAACCACTGGTCCTCCGTACGTGACCGTCTCGTCCTTCTTCTTGACTTGTTGCTCTTTGAGATCAAAGTCGAAGCCTGCCATTTCTAGGATGCTCGTCCGAACACCCCCTACGCCCCCTCCGCTCCCTAGCTTGGGCACATTGTCCATTCCCGCGGCAGTGATGTGTATATCTGGATTCCAGCCGGATCCTTCTTCCCATCCGTTGCCCACGGAACGTGACATTTTCCGCAGCTCTTCCCGCACCAGCGTGGCCATGTCGTCGCATCGCCGAGTCCACGAGCCGCCGCCCTTGTCAGCCTTGGTCAAGACCACCAGCGTCCTGGTGTTTGCCTCGGCCAGTGTCCTCAACAGCCACTTGTCCTGCTCCATCAGCCTCTTTTCAGAAGAAAGCAGCACCACGGCACCGCGCAGCATCTTCCGTGCCTTGATGTACTTCCACACGGCATCCCCCCAACTAGCCTGACTCTTGAAGCCGTACCCCGGCGTGTCGACAAGAACAAGACTATACCGCGGCAGCTTTTCGCCCTGCCGGACGAGGCCCTTGGGTATATTCGGGAGAGGACCCAGACCAAAGGCGTTCATGAGCGTGGTCTTGCCGGGGCGGGCGCTGACTCTCGCGGCGCCGGGACGGCCGGCGAGGGCGTTGAGGAAGGATGATTTTCCGACGTTTGAGGCGCCGAGGATGATGACTTCGGGGATGTGGTCGTTTTTGGGGTGGTGCCGCAGGGATTCGGCGGAGTAGAGGAACTGGAAGCCCTGTTGGAAGAAGGATGACGCGGAGGCGATTTGGGCGTCTTGGGGTTTTGTGGTGGATGTTGTGATGAGGGGGGAGGAGGAAGGGGATTGGCGGATGAGGGTGTTTGTGAAGAGGGTTTCTTTGTGAGGTTTTGTGTTGGGAGGGGCGGAGCGTTTGGGAGTTGATGGTGATGATGGTGAGGGTTCTTGGGGGGTTGGTTTGGTTTGTTGGGTGGGTTTATGATGAGACGTTGTTGTTTTAAGAGTTGTGGGTTTAGTAGTTGATGCTGTTAGAGGTGATGATGGTGATGGTGTTGAGTCAAGTTCATTGCTGGTGGCGAGAATGCGAGGTGGTCTTGCGCTAGGTCGTAGGCGAGGCCATCGTGGGACGGATGTGCTGAAACATGCATGAGACTGAGGAAATAAGACGAGACGAGGAGATGTTGAGATGCGCTGTAAAGATGCTGGGTTGAATGGAGGCATTGTCAAAAGAGTGTTTGATGTGAGTTTGTTTAGTGACGTTGAGTTTGGAGAGATGAGGTTGAAGCAAGTTCTTTGGCTATGCGTGTGAAAATACAGGGTGACCCCACTATGTGATTCTTCGAGTAGGAATAGAGGTCAAGGTCAACAAGACATACCTGCTTATTAAATAAATGCAAATATATAGTGCATAAAATAAAACATCATCATCTGTTTCCAAGACTTTTCAGATTTCCATTGCAGTAACTTGGAGACAACGTTTGGGAACAATATCATGATCCTACCGGGTACCAAGTTGCCCAACATAGTGCATGATTCATTAACACAGCTTGCTAACTTGATTCGTACAGTAAAAAAATCCGCCTAGGGTAGGCAAAATAGAAGCATCAGATCAGATCATGTTTCATTCATCAACACACGAGTGAGAATCAAACTCATCCCAAATCTCACTCACTCACCCACGCATCTCATCATTATCACTATCATCATACAATCCTCACTTACACCAACACCCTTGACAAATATAAAATCATGGCCCCCGGCGCCCTCGACCTCGACGCCCACGAGCAGCCCTCAGACCAAATGAAGGCCGAGTGGAAGCACTTCTCCCGCCTCGACCAAAACGTCCTCCTCAAAGAGATACCGCTCGACGATCCCCGGCTTCCCATTGAACAAAGCGGATTCCGTGTGTCGGGAAACATTTCGCGGGCGCAGATATCAGAGGCCTTTTCTCACTTGGGATCTGAGTTTGCAAAGGAGGGCGCCGATGATGGCGATGCTCCTATTTTATATCACCCTTTGCTTCCAGGTTTGTCTCTCCTCCACACTCCTCCAGTCACAACTACACCATTGCAACGCTATAAACCCATCTATCCATTCAACTAACAAACTCATCCCAACAGGCCTCCTCATCATCCCCTCCCTCATCCCCCCCTCCATCCAAACCCACCTCCTCAACACCATGATCCACCGCGACCTCAGCAACCCAACCCACCAAACAAACCTCCACCTCCACTACAACCTCCCCTACCCTCCCCCCTCATCCTCCTTCTTCTCCCTCCCCCCAGACTCCCCGCCGACGTTCCTCCCCAAAGACCCTGCCGTCCACAACCCCCTCTCCATCAAGCAAGTCCTCCAGCGGCGTCTTCACTGGGTCACCCTCGGCGGCCAGTACGACTGGACGAACCGCGTCTACCCGGAAGCTCCTCCTCCTGGCTTCCCGGATGATTTGGCTTCTTTTTTGAAGGCTTTGTTTCCGGAAACGCTCGCTCAGGCTGCTATTGTGAATTTCTACACGCCTGGGGATACGATGATGATGCATAGAGACGTCAGCGAGGAGATTGACAAGGGTCTCGTCAGTCTGAGTTTCGGATGCGACTGTCTCTTCATGATCGCCCCCAGTCGCAGCGCCAACGGCGAACGAGACCAAGCTCAAGAAACACAACAAGACAAAGACGAAGAGAAAAAGTATCTGTTACTGAGACTTCGCTCCGGAGACGCCATCTACATGACAAAGGAGTCGCGCTACGCATGGCACGGCGTGCCAAAGGTTATGAAGGGCACATGTCCCGACTATCTCGCAAATTGGCCCGCCGGAGGACAAGACGGCGAATTTGAGCAGTGGAAGGGCTGGATGGAAAACAAGAGAATCAACCTAAACGTGAGACAGATGAGATGAGGTGAATAGAACATCATATGTTTGGTTACATTACAAAAAAGTTGTGCAGTCTGGTCCATGTAAGCAACAAGGAGCGTTTCCAAAAAAGGAGAATAAAAGAACAATTCTCAGACCGGCTGCGTAAAGTATATATAGATGAGGATATAAAGTTAGATATAGATGGAAGCTCACGAGTACCCAATGCAATCAATAAACTTGCTTCCAGCACAAATTCTAATTCCCAATGATTGCTCCAATCCCAATTGCCAAACTTGGACGCTTGTATAGATAAAAAGCAACAGCAATGAAAAGGCCTGCTTGAAACAAATGAAAAAAAGAGTCGAGGTTTGCCCCCCCTTTTATGCAAAGCCGAATCCTTGGGCATTTTCCAGCGCCATATTGAGTCGCTGCCTCAACATGTCCTTATCCTTGTAGTCCGGTAAAAGGAGTGTCCCGTAACATGTGTACGCAGTAGGCAACCGATTCCCACTATCTTCACCATCGCCATTTCTTTGTACCACAAACTGCAGGTTGCGCATGCCCCCGACGGGGACGCGGTCCGAAGCGGTGACGAATTCCAAAAGCTTGCGCTTCATCCTGTCGTCATAACGCTTGACTATGGACCAGAAGTCTCGGACCGTGGGTTGGGAGGCATCCCACCCAACGTAGCGAGTATATCGTCGAAGCTCCGAAATGTCAATCTCTTGCACGCCCTCGACAAGGGACTGCAGAATCTGGGGGCTCAACAGGGAGAGCGACTTGTACTCGAGGCAGCTATTAAAGCCACGTTCAAACGCCTCATACTGCGGCCTGACAGACACGTCAGTCAGGTAGCGGATGTAGTCGCTCACATACTGGTCGCGGTTTTCGTTGGTCACGAGCGGCGCCTCTCGGTCGTCAACTGATTCTTCGGGAATGTTGACGCGCATTTTCCAGTCGAGATTCTGCGGCCACTGGACCGTATCCTTGGTCATTTCTCGTGTCACGTTGCCCCCAATGTTGGACACGGAGAACTCGTAGGTGCGCGCAAAGATGTCTTCCACCTGGCCATCTTTCTCGTTCCATTCCAATAGGCTCATCAGCCCGCTGGCCAGTGCAGGCCAGCCGTCTGCAATGTGGTACAGCTCTTCCACCGGCTCGCCCAGCAGTTTCCGGTACAGAGCCCTGGGGAAGGTGACGGGAAGCGTGAGGCCGTTGTATACCGCCAGGGATACGAGAACGCCCATCAGCTCAAACTTCCACTCCTCCACAACCGAGCCGGGAACAAACCATGCCATGCGCGTTCGGTCATCAATGGAGAAGGCACCGTACTTGGGGTCCATACACTCGGCAATGGCCACGCGGAAGAATTCCTGCTGTACGCCACCCGAGTCGAAGCCTTCCTCTCCGCCCTGCTCGCCGAGGTGGACCTTGAGAGGACGGAGGAGCTCACGCCGTTCTCGCCTCCACAGCTGATCAAAGGCGTCTCTCAAGACATTGTCACGACCGATATCCAGTATTAGATACTTTGACGATGCCACCCTCAGCATATCCTGCAACACTATCTTGTGGTGGGGATTGGCAACAAGACTACCGGGATCGACAATAGCGCTCATCCTCGTCTTGAGCGAGCTGCTTTCTTCAAACATCCGGCTCATCTTTGCAAAGTTGATGGATCTAAAGAACGTGACGAGACATTCTGGGCTGAAGAGATAGGGGTAGTCGAGCATATGCCCCTTATTCCGCGGAGAGTCGGACTCAGCCCATGTTACTGGCATCTCCATGGTGTCTAGGCGTTCTGAGAAATAGTCGGCCCGGAATTGAATGTCTCCCAGGAGGAGTCTGGATCTGTTTTGGTCTGTGCTCTCGTTAGCATGCGGGATAAGACTCTGGAGATGGCAAAAATGACTTACACATGGTAGAAATCAGAGACAGCGCCCCGTGAAAGGCACCGCCGCCCAAAACCTCGGGGTTTCCATCCCACTCGTGATAGAGAACCGTCCTCGCCCAGTCCAGCAAGAGAGTGGGGACGCGGGTTTCGTGCAACAGGCGCTCGGCTTGCGGGAACTCCAGAATTCGGAGTGGCCCTGAGTGCACAAGGTCGAGCTGGCTGAGCAGTGGCTGGAGTATGTCCAGCTGGCCAGTCTTCGTCTTGCCATCCATGCGCATCAGAGTAGCCAGGGATCGACGAGCAGACACGGCAGAGAAGACACGGCGCGCCAGTCTGATGGCGTTGTCGTTTGAAAAGACGTCCTCATACTCGAGGCATATGGCCTGCGGCTGTCTTGCGGAGAGACCGTTGCCGCCCAGTGTTAGCCCCGTAGATCGTATGCGCGACATGTCGTACAGAGTCTTGGAGTCTGAGACGAAAGGTGCTACCGCAACGAGAGCATGAAGACAGACGGATACGACGCAGCCGGCTTCGAAATCCGACAGCGGTTTTCGATTTTTTGGTAGAGCCCTTGAGGGACGAGACTGGGAGGCTTGAAAAGACCTTGGTGTTGCGAATAAAGACTCGGCTGCCATCCAAAGGCTGTGGAGGACTAGGGTTGGCACAGCACGAGTCATCCGAAGCATGCAGTAGAATAGCGTCTGCGAGTCATACAGCTTGCCATCTCGGGAGAAAGACCGAACGAGGGAGTGAGGGTCGCTCAGGACGGTGAACAAGGCCTGTTCATTGAAGGCCTTCCACTGGCTGGGGGAGGTGGTACGGGATATCGATCGCCGTCTAGCCAATCTTCTTGATGGATTCTGGGGGACGGGATACGATGCGTGAGATTCCAAAGGCCCGAAAAAATGGCGTTCGTATGTATTATCCTCTTGAAAAACATCACATATAAAATCGACAAGCTCGACATTCAAAGCCGATAGAGATTGAGGCAGCAGAAACTTGGCCGAGGAAAAGTCTACCTCCGGAAGCGGCGATATTGGCCTTAGCTTGGTCTGCGTGTCGACGTGTTCACTCTTGACAGCCGGAGGAGTGCTACTGGGCGTCTCTCTCTCGTCAATAGTCTCCGTATCAGAGGATCCTGATTCGACATCTTCCACCGTGTTGGCCGGGGCGGTGGGGGTGGGAGCAGACAAATTTTCAAAAAAGGCAGGCTTGGATGGTATTTCAGGAACACCACGAGTAATGATAGCAGGCGACGTCTTGCCAGCGCGAGCCAACTTGTCGGGGTAGAAGCCATTCAAACTTGGAGGTCGTGACGTTGGCTTGGCCTCTTCGCTTCCTGCTGAAATGGCAACGGGATCCATGGTCCTCCTGTTCGATTTGGATGGGGAAGAACGAAGAGTTGGCTTGGAGTTTCTCTTAGGCCTAGACGACACATCTTTTACCGGGGTGGGCGGTTCGACTATGTCTTGGCTCGAGGTTCTTGCCGGCTTTGAAGCCTTGTTCCGTTTAGGTTGAGCGGCTGGAGGAGGTGCGGGTTGATGCGCTTGAGAACGGTGTGTCTGCGAACTCGTAGCCTGCTCAGTGCTGGCTGGGCCAGCAGTAGTAGCAGTGGTAGCATCCGCAGTAGCACTGGTGCCAGTTTGTCGAAATCCACCCAGCTCGGAGAACTTGTCCGTCATGGCTTCAATAGCCTGTGGTGTAAGCCATTCCAGCATCTTGAATGCGACGGTGCCAAAGGTGGCCACTGCAAACGATCTGTAGTCTTTTTGTGTTGCCTTTTCCGTAACACTGATATGAGAGGCCGGTAGCTGCCCGGGTCGTGTGGTAGCGTCGCCATTTTTGGATTCGCTGGGCTGGTTATCCAAGTGTTGCTTTTCCAGAGACGACGAGCGAGATCTTGTTGTGGTAGGGGAAGCGGGAGGCTTGGTAGCAACCCCCACGCTTGGTTTTCGCCGGGATGCTGTGTGGCTGTCGGAAGGCCTGCCGGTGTTGTGCTGGGATGGCGAAGGTCGAGTAGAAAAGATGAGGCTGTTGAGAGCGGGAGGGACCTCTCTGGGTGAGCCGAGATGGGGACAGAGGCCGGCCTCTGGGTTATCTTGACTGGCCAGGTACACTGCTAGTGTTCTGGCACTTGTGGGATTGTATCTGCGGATGGGTGCCTTGCCAGCGAGGCGCTTGCGGCAAGTGAAGCAGGTAGCCGTCGAGCAATTCGACACACCACAGCCACTTCGCAGTTGGGAGATGTATCTACATTTTGGGAAAGACAAGACGTTAGCACATCTGTGATGGCATATCCGTGACGGCGCAAACGGAGCCAAACGGAACTGAACAAAAGGGCATCAGAGGGACAGTGACCAGACATACTTGTCGACGAGATGCTGAAAGTCGTGACGACGACTGGCTCGATGGATGGCATAGACGCGACGGGGATTCTCGACATGCTGGACGTAGTCGTTGAGCTCGGCCGGCGCATCGGCTGGAAGGCGAGGGAACGGAGCCACCTGCCAGAGCCCGGCAAGCAGATCCAGCTCCCCGTTTGCTTCGGAGGGGCCTCGGAGGCGGGCTTCAGCGGCATGGCCGGGCTCGAGGCCCCTTGCTGACGAGGACGTCTTTTGCGGCGCGCTCATGCTCATGGCTGACGAGGGAGCCGCTGTGGTGAGAGCAAATCAACAGCCCATGCTTTGAGAGGAATCGCAGGCGGGACTGGCGGCGACACGATGCGGCGTTGGACGATGATGTTGGAGCGGGAGACGATGGAAGTGATGCGCGTACGGTAGGGATGAAGAGGCAAAGGTTAGTAAGTTGGTGGCGGCTGGTTTGGCAACGAGATGAGCAAGGCTGAAAGTGACGGCTGTGGGGAGGGAGCACAACCATTGCCTAGCTGCGCCCCCCGGAGAGCTGCGGCAAGAGTACTGGCTACCTCTTGAGCCGTCTCGTATCGAAGTGTTTCGCTCGCCGAGTCTGCCGCTGGATGGAGGTGGACGAAGTATACGCTACCTCGCTGCTACCAGGTACTGCCAAGGTACTCCGTCCTAGTTGGGCCGCCACAGCCCACCCCCCAGGCCTGGATCTGAGTTTCAGCGCACGACAGCAATACCGCCAGCGCTATCCGCACCCGGCAGATGGCACGCTGGGGCGCTGTTAGGGCGTCACGTCAACGGCGGCCGTAGGCTTCGAGGTAAGCGCCCCCCCCATGACCACAGGCGTGCAAAGTACCGCTCGAGTACCCGCTTGCAGCGCCAAACAGGAATTTTGCTTTGCCGTATCACAATCGCCTGCAGAAAAATGCAGATGCAGGGCACGACCCACCCTTGGCAAGCGCTCGCAAGATAATACGTCAGATGCCCCCGCCACTCAAAAACTTCCACCAGAATTAATAATTCCTGCAAAACATCGCCGGCCGTCGAGTCACCGCATGCTGGCTTCCCCGGGCTTTATAAGGGCTTCGACTCCCTGCTACACCGACCCGACAGACTCGATCTGTTAACAAGCTTCTTGCGACCGGTCCTAGCCATCCTTTTCCACCATGGCGAGCGTCCAGCCCGCCGCCGCGGGGCAGGCGACGTCGAGTTCGCATCCTTACACGTGCAACTCTTGTCAGGTCGCCTACCGAAATATCGATCTTCAAAAGGCTCACATGAAGAGTGACTGGCAGTGAGCGCGATTCTGATTCCGGAGGAGCCGGCTGGGGGGAGACCTCTGCCGTTGCTGCTCCTGATCTCTTGTTTTACCGCCTCTGACATGACAATTGTAGCCGATACAACCTGAAGCGACGAGTTGCCTCTTTGCCTCCCATTACCGCCGAGATCTTCACCGAAAAAGTCCTCCAGGCTCGTGCTGACACCACTGCCGAAGCTGACAAGGCCATGTTTGAGCGTGCCTGTGAACCGTGTGGCAAGACGTATTACAGCGAAAACGCCTACCGGAATCACTTGCTAAGCCAGAAACACAAGCAAAACAAGGCCAACCCGGCCAAGAGACACGATGACGAAACAACTTCTGTCATGAGCTCGACATTTTCTCTCGGAGAGCCGGCCTCTGCTGCTGACGAGGACGAGGATGTGGACTCTGCCGCCGAGGATGAGTTCAACCAAGTGATTGAAGGTCTCCAAAAGGCAAAGGTGACTGAGCAGCGTCCCTCGCCTGTCAAGAGACCGGCGGTTCCCCACCCCGCCTCGGAGAGCGAAACTACTGGCACCGAATCTACTCCCACTCCGGTACAGTCTGGATCTGAGCGAGTTTGGACTCTGGGAACATGCGTTTTCTGCAACTACGAATCCTCCTCACCTCCTCTGAACGTACAGCACATGGAACGCTTCCACGGAATGTTTATCCCTGAAAAGACATACATGGTCAACTTGGAGGGCCTCATTGGATATCTGCAAGAAAAGGTTGGAGAGGAACACCAGTGTCTCAGCTGTGGCAAGTTCAAGAACAACCTCTTTGCCGTGCAAACCCACATGCGAGACAAGGGCCACTGCAAGATTCCCTACTCAACGGAGCAGGATCAACTTGCAATTGGCGACTACTACGACTTCAGAAGTACCTACTCAGACGGAGAGGACGACGAAGAGTCGGACAGCGGCTCAACCGAAGACGGCAATGGCGGTGCCAAGCTGGGCGCACGACGAGAGGCCAAGGCCACTGGCGCCGAGGGAGAAGAGCTGGAGGAGGGAGAAGATGCAGATGGCTGGGAGACTGACAGCTCAGCTTCTTCGCTTGACTCTGAAGACTTGACTGCAGTCCCCGCGGAAGGTCACATCCACCAGTATGAGCGGTTGAACAAACATCCTCACCACAGCAAAAACGACCCTCGAAATCACCACCAAGCAGACGGATGGCACTCCAAGGCTCACAAGCACACCCACGCAGCGTTCTACGACGAGTACGAGCTGCATCTCCCGTCGGGCAGATCCGTCGGCCACCGTTCCCTCAACAAATATTACCGCCAGAACCTGTACAACCACCCTTCGGAGGAAGAGCGGGCAGAGCAGTTGCTACTTGAGGGCGCGCGGAATGACGAGGGCGTCGAGCCCAACAGCGAGAACCAAGTCGCCCTCATCAAGAACCGCAGACGTGAGATGGCGCCTCGTGGCGCTATTGGCATGGCTGGCGTCTCTGACGAGAAGAAGCGCGTAGCACGCAAGGACATGCAGCGCAACCGAGACCTGGAGCACTACCGGGCCAGGAAGACGGAGTACTCGTATGGTAAGAAGATGAACAACCAGAAGCACTACTATTACCGCGACTTGGCGGGTGGTTAGACGATAGGAGTTGATCTGAATTTAACGAGTTTCACGTTTCTGCATGATGTTGGCCATGTGACTTTGTTTCCCGCATCCTTGCGCCAATCAATCAACTTGACGAAAATTGTGTGATAAAGTGTGACTCGCTGTGACTCTACGGCATTTTGATGCAGCCGGCATGAGTTTGCACCCCAGAACTGGTTCCACCCTCATCTAGAAGGGAAATTATGGGACTGAAACGCATAAACAAGAATTTTGGGCTCTTTTGGATTTGAAAGAGTGCTGATGTCAGATGACACGTTGGGTTTCTTGATGCAGTCAGTTCCTGCAGCTGAGTAATTTAAAAATAAACATGACTTTTGTGTTTATACAGAGTTGGATAGTCTATGATGCGAACGGGTGTGTTTTGCCTCGATCCCTTTTCCAACCAACTTTGGTAATGGATGAGCGTCTATATATAGGGCAAAACCACCCAAGCATTCAAGGCCACACTCGCCACACTGCCTTGACCCGAACAGAAGCGGCTCTTCTCTTTTTTTCCTTGCCAGTGGCTCAGTAAGACCTTTTGTCGAAATTGGCGGGGTTGGCGGACCCCCGGTTTTGGATCACATCAGAATGCTGACAAGCTCCAGAACCAAGGCGGCGAGCTAGACTAGCAATAGCAGGGCAGGGCAGGGATTGGTTTGCTGGGCTGGGCTGGGCTGGATGTGGTTGTTTCCGAGGAACCACTGCGTGCCGAGTGTATTAATAGATGGGGTGCTGGAGATGTTACGGAGCAACGGGAGCAGAGAAGCTCCTTTTTGGGGGGACGAGGAGGGAGAGTTTGTCAATCACATGTTTTGTTGGATTGTCTATTCTGTAAGTGGTTGTATAAGTCGAGGTCATACAGTACCTAGATACGTATGTATGTAGGTGCTGCTTGAAACGAATAGCAGTGTACTAAGGTAAATGAATGAGAAGATGAATTGGGTCAATTATCGAGAGATTAGAGGTGGAAAATCAACAAACGGAGAAAGACAGCAAAGGGTGCACAGGGTGCGGAACATTTCTCGTTGGGCTTGGGTTGTTCCCAGCAAGAAAGTGGACAACAGGCCAGGAGCAGGAAGAGGCCCAATGGATTCTATTGCTAAAATTGGCACTCTTGTCTCTCTTCCTTGTTGTCCTTGTCTGGCCTCTGACTGGACCTGGGGTGAGCCTGCGCCCCGTCGGGCTGCGGCTGACGATCCCTGCATTTCCTCTGGACAGCAGGAGGAGAAAAAAGTTGCCTTAGTGCTCATGGCTTTGTTTCTTGCTTAGCCTGGGCTGCAATTTGGGCGGTTCGCCGCGTGATTGGCAAACGGAACGAGGGCATTCGCGAGGAGGCCAAGTCGAGGGTTGGCCCCAGCCACAGGGCAATAGTGGGAACGGTCCGTCATACATACTATTACCTTGTGAAGCAGCGGGAGGGAATTGATATAGCCGGATCACGGTCTATGCGGTGTGCCGTGTCTGGTGTTTTTTGATGAAGTGCGTTCCGCCCGCTTGACCAACCCTGTTCTGTTGCGGCTCTTCTCTCTCTCTCTCTCTTCTCTTCATCCCCTTCCTCTCTTTTTATCCGTCGTTTCGCCTTCGCTTTCCCACTGGGCTCCATCTGCGATCCACCCTTCCTGGTTGTTCTCCGTTCCCTGTACATACATAATACGACTCTAAATCTGGATCTGACGTCCCACGGACCGTCTGTGCGACCGCCTCCCTCGTGTTTGACCTGCGCCCAATCCCGCTCCATACATACGATCCTCGCCCAGAATTTTAGAAGTTCTTTTTTTCTTTTTTCTTTTGATCCTTTTGCATATTCAATTATTCTGTCTTTTGCTGGGCTTATCGTGACGAAACATTGGCTGTACGATTGCTACGACGGGCATTGAGCAGCTGCATACAGATAACGACATACAAACAAAAATAGACAAGGGTGGACCAACAAACAGCTTAACAAAGCAACGCAATACAACCCAACTCGACCAGGCTCTCGAGAATCATCAGTCGCCAGGACAGCAGGGGAGACAAGGTTGAATCCTACGAAGAACAAAAATAAAAGAACAAAAATAAAAAGCCCCCAAATCACAGCCGCAATGCCTCGCAGACGACTATGGGCCTTGACCTCTCTTTTCCTCCTCCTCGCCCCAGCGCTCGCCGCCGACGTCCACGCCGACTTCTCCTTCTATCCCGTCGGCGCCCAGGATTGTCTCAGCCAAGCTGCCACAACGTCAAAATGCGACGGCAACACCGTCATGGACCTCAACACCTGTCTGTGTGGCAATTGGGGCAACTTTGTGATTTTAACCGCCATATGCATTGGCAAGAACGACAAGGCGGATTCGGTGCCGGTGTATAAGACGATGGTGTCTGCGTGTGCGGATTCCAATACGCCGCTCAACGTGGCTCCCGACGTCTTTTACGGAGCCGTCAATGGCCAGCTCACGATGACGGCCTCGGCGGCCACAACAATGACGACGTCGACGACAACAAGCGCGACGACCTCGGCGACGACAACTACAACGACTACCGCGACTCCGACCGGCACGAGCACCGCGGCGCCCGTCAGCGAGAACCTCTCGACCGGCGCGACAATCGGCATCGCTCTCGGCGCGTCCTTTGGCGGCGTGGGCGCCATCGCAGGGCTCGTCTATTTCCTGCTCCGCCGGTCCAAGAAGCAGGGCGAGGAGTTCCACCCCATGCTGCCCAATTCCACCGAGGAGGCCCGCCCCTTCGGCGGCCAACATCCGCCGCTGTCCGAGCCCACGCCGTCGCCGGGCATCGCGAGCACCTTTTCCGAGGCCAAGCGGGCGTCGTGGGTGTCGCCGCTGCAGAGCCCCGATCCGTACCGGTACTCGGCGGCGACGTGGGATGCGACGCAGGGCGCGTACCAGGGGCCGTATGCGCCTCCGGAGGGCGCCGTCGAGCTGCCGCCGCAGACGGCGAGTGTTGCGAGCAGCGCTTCGGGCATGGTGTTTGAGATGGACGCGACGACGTCGCAGCTGTCGTCGGGGCCGGTTGAGATACAGGGGGATGTGCCGCCGTTTACAGATCACGGGAGGAGGTGATTTTGCATGATTGTGCGGTGTTTTGTTCTATTCTGGGTTTTTGCGGTCTTCGTTTCTATATTTTACATGTTAGCCGGGAGTCATTGCTTGCGAAGAGGGTACATCTTGTGATTCTGGAAGAATATACGGCCAAAGGCTGGTGGCGTTGTTTTTTTTTCTTTGTCTTTTATTATTATTATTATTCTACTCTGAATACGGAGTTGTGCATTGCGTGGAATGGAAATCTGAGCGGCTGGGGAGTTGGAGTTGGACATGGTCTCGCACCATTGACTATGGGCTTGATTTCGGTAGAAGCGTGTAGTGAAAAAATCATTGCCGTTTTCGCTGTTGATTATGAGTAATACTGCTTACTTTATGTCGTTGAGTGAGATGGGCGAGGCTGTGGATGCCAAGAGATGAGGCTTCCTAGGTGAGATTGACCATCTCAACGATCTCAACGTACAGGTATCAAGGCGAAGAGCTAAGAGATTGGGGTGAGTTGAGGAAGAGAGAATATATGTATGCAATACAGCTTCATTGCAATGTGAGGGGATCTAATCATCATTCTGTCGCATGCAATGTAACCTTACGATTGAGGCTGTGTTCACATGTAATCAACTTATTCATATCAAGGTGAGATTCTCTTCTACAACTTATAGAATACATCGGGTAACTTCTACCCAACTGCAACAGGGCGTGAAACTCACGAGCACAGGTAGTTCATGTACAAGCCAGCTCCGCTAGAATGGCGCCCTGATTGGATAGATGGATCGGAATGGGTTGCGGAATTTAGCATGTGCCTGAGCCGACCGGCATGATAAACAATACAACAGCTTCAGGCTCAAACCTTGTCCCCGCATCTGGACAGGACCTTTTTTCTTCTTCTTCCGTCTCCGTTCCAGGCATTCGAGCGTTGGAGATGGCTTCGGAAAAGAGAAACGTCCTCATTACGGGGTATGTATTCTGATTCCAGCTGATTTTGTCCATTTCATTCATTTACTTGTTTGTGTGTTTTGGGCCTTCTCTAATAGGCATTGACTTGGTTATAGCTGTACGCCTGGAGGCATTGGCCATGCTCTAGCCTTGGAGTTTCATCGCAAAGGTGCGTCAACAGTGTTTACATCTCAACATGTGCTTTCAAAAATGCTGACTTTGTGGATGTGTCGAGGTTGCCATGTCATTGCTTCAGCACGAAATCCCGATGTGCTCAAGGATTTGGCGGCCATGGGCATGAGCGCCGTCCAGCTGGATGTCACCAACGGCGACAGCATCAAGGCTTGCAAAGCCGAGGTTGCCAACATCACCGGCGGCAAGCTTGATATTCTCGTCAACAATGCGTAAGCAGCCTTGCCGTTCTTCGGGCTTGATCTACACGCTTTCTCATATCGTCGCTTACATCCACTAACAACGAGCCTCGCAGCGGCCGGACTCACACCATTCCGGCTCTAGACATTGAGATTGACGATGTCCGGCAGACGTACGAGACCAACGTCTTTGGCCCCATGTTCGCGATCCAAGCCTTCGCCGAGCTCCTCATCGCCGCGCGAGGCCTCGTCGTCAACATCTCCTCCATCAGCTCCATCAGCCCTTACATCTTCGGCTCCGTCTACGCCTCCACCAAGGGCGCCATCAACAGCTATTCGCGCGTGCTGCGCCTGGAGCTCAAGCCCTTCAACGTCCGCGTCATGGTCGCCATGGCCGGCACCGTGCGGTCCCAGATCGCCAGCCACCCGCACCGCGCGCTGCCCAGCACGTCGCTCTACATGCCCATCAACGACTTTTTCCAGCGCCGCCTGGTCTTTAGCCAGAACAACGCGACGGTGCCGACGGAGGTGTTTGCGAGGAAGCTCGTGGCCGCTGCGCTCAGGGGCGAGGGTTATCTCGGAGGGTTGGTTGGGGGTTCGCCGGATTGGTTTTGGGCGGGGGGGTTTTCGACAAAGGTTTGGCTGCTTTCGATGGTGCCGGCATGGGTTTCTGAGTGGGCTATGGGCGTCTTCTTCGGAATTGCTGGCTTGAAGAGGACAATCACTCAGGCACGTCTGAAGCAGAGTTAGATTTGGGGGTTGAGATTGATGAGAGTGCTCGATACAACGCGGAGCTTTTGTTTGGGAGGTCCGATATAGGGACCTTTTCTTACTATTTAATATCGTGAGTCACTATTGACGTTCGTAGGATCGCTGCCCATTTTGGATTGTGTTGTTGGGGAGTGCCCTTGTCATTGGATGGTGGCTAATATACAGCTCGGGGATTTCCTGATATGGTAAATCCAGAGTCTTTTGCTGCACCACCGTAAAAGATGCTTGACTCGCCACGAGCCTGAGAATCGATAAAAATTTATAACAACCTCGATATCAGTAGACGATTCAATAAATTATTACAGCGTATAGCGTTTTCTTTTCAGCTGATAGAGTACCGTTCATCTCAACGCCACTCATCCCTGCTATAGCGGCTGACCTAACTCAATCGCAACCACTAGCTTAGGGGCTGAAGCAAAGCACCGCCTCAGGCAATACTCAAGGCAGCCTCAACATCAACTTTAAGCCCTTTTCGATTACTCTCGTTTAACCTTGTGCTCTTCCCCGTAGGCAAGTTCGGCACTGACTCAACGGCCAAATCCATCCAATGGCCTTTGTTCGGATCGGCGTGACTCAACCGGAGCACCTGGCTAATAAGCTTTTATTTGTTTACTCATAACGGCATATATATATATGACATGTCTGTCCACACAGTAAATCATCTAAATCAGCTCTCTCATCATTCAAAACTCCAAGGCCCTTCTCCCTGTGACTTGGACTCGGAAGGACCAGATTCGCCAAGATGTCATCAGCATCAGCATCAGCATCACAGGATGCGGCCAAAGGCCCCTTTGACCTCCTCTTGCTAATGGACGCCACCTCGTCCATGAGCACCTTTATTGATGCCCTCAACAAGTCTCTCCCAGAAGTCATCAGCATATCGGCACTGACGGGATGCTTCGAGAGAATAGGAGTCCTCGCCTACCGCGACTACTGTGACGGTAACGACAAGCTTACCGCGTGGTCGGGCTGGTGCTCGCCCGCGGGAAAGGTCCAGGGAGAAGATGTTGTATCACAGGAAGCTGTACTGGAAATGGCTCGCAAGATGATCCCCTACGGCGGCGGTGATTGGCCAGAGGCTGCAAAGACAGGTCTCGCAAAGGCACACAGCGTCATGAGACCAGAGGCAACGACAATCATCTTGCTGTATGCGGATGCTCCTCCTCATTTCAAGGAGATATCTGACAGGGACAACTTTTCCATGGAGCGCACGGCACTTGCAAACTCCAAGCTGTGGGGGGACGATGGAAAGTTATTCATAGACTGGACATCAGCAGCCAAGACACTTCGGTCCGGACCCAAGAAGGCTGTGGTGTTTAGCATGATCCAGCAGATTAGCGTCAACGCGCTCTCGCCCTACCTATATCTATCTACAGTCACCGGGGGCCATTTGTTCGAGATTGAGCACATGGTGTCTGACAAAATCTCCCAGTTGACTATTGGCGTCTTGCTTACATGGATGAGACTTGGAAAGGCAGTCGCCGACTCGAAAACGCAGCTTGGGTACTTGACAAAGTACAAGTCGACCACGGATATCCTAACAGCCAACAATGAGGAGGATAAGCTCATGGAGAAGTACGTTGCCAAGGGCAATTACGGACGAACCCCAGCTATACGCATATGCAGCGACAATGTTGAAACCCAGCCTGTCACCCTTGGTGTCGTGCCGGGCCTCATCAAGACCCGCGGCCCCAAGGTCGAGAGCTTCGCCGAAAGGTACACCAACGATGACAAATACAAGGAAATGGCCATTCGGCAGCTCAGAACCATCATTGAGAGCAACGTGTCGGCCATTTCGTTGAATCCCATATTTGGAAGTCTGTGGCGGGTTGTCTGTAATGACCGGCTCAACCCTGCGCGGGATGAGCTTATTCCACTCTTTGGCCTTCACGTGGACAGGATCTCGGACGCTGATGAAAAGGCACGAATGAAGGCGTGGCTTGCTGAGTCGTACAACTACGCTGATGAGATCAACGCACTCATCGAGGCCGTGGCCCCTGAAGATCGCTTCCCGATGCTATTCCTAGATCCCACAGCAGACTTTGGGATTGTGGAGGATGCTGAGGGCGAGAAGCGGCGATTGCAGGACTTTACTCGATCCGAATTGCTTGAGATTGGAAGATCGTGTGACTACAAAATCCTTCGACGCCTGGGCAAGGTCTTGACCCGCCTGACATTTGTTGGTGCCAAAGATGAGCTGCCCCATCACATCCAGACCATGGATCCCAAGAGCGCCGTGCCCTGCGTGCCTCTCGCCCTGGCAAAGGCGGAACACAACCGGGATTTCTGGAAAATCCTCTTGCATGCCGTCCTCCCGGGAACAAAGCTGGGGGCCCGTCCCGCCTGCTTGTTGGCTGCGCTCGCCCTTCGCATGGGCATCGTTCCCCTGCGAGAGGCGGCAGACAGAGAGTTGCTGGCATTCAGTGGAAACTGGAATACGCTGGATATCCCTGAAACGTGGAACTTGGGCTGCCTCAACCTCTTGCTAGATGCTGATAACGACTACGAGAAGAGGGTTGCCGAGGGCGTGACTACACGCCCTTCCGACGAGGCGAGAGTACTCTCCGTCAAGGATCGAGATACATTCAGGGCACTCGTGAATTACAAGATGCTGGAGCTGAATCTCGACACCGTCCTTGAGGCGCAGATTACCTGGACTCCGGAAAAGACAAAGGTAGCCCTAGGCCCTCTGGTCGTATGCAAAAAGTGCCAGTTTCCGCGATCCGTCACCATCATGGCCCATGGAGGCGTATGCGGCATGTGTGATATTGAGGGCAATGACTGCTCATGTTCAGCATGCAGCACTGTACCAGAACACGGGGAACGCCTCAAGACCAACGTCTCGGCTGATCAGACAGAATCATCGGAGGCGTACTGGGTCGAATGCGGACAAACTTCCTGCAGAGCTCAGTATGTAGTCTACAATCCAAACGATCTTCGGGTGCGCCCCAAGTGCTTCTTTTGTCGACACACCAACGGAATCTCCAAGAATGCCAAGGACAGTTACCGGAGAGATGTGGGAAAGGCGCCCACAGTCGAATGTTCCACGTGCCTGGGTCGAATTATCTGGCCAGAAGAGTACCGGCCTGATGACCTCGACCTATCCAAGTATCAGTGTCCCGCGTGCAATGCCGGCAAAAAGACGATTGTCGGGGAAGAGACCACGGCACGGAAGCTGAGCAGCGAGAACAACTGGGATTGGCTTCTGAAGAACGAGGACAAGACGATCAAGCAGCCCTTCAACGGCAGGACGGTCTTTTACACGGCCTCGAACAGCAATCTCGCCGATATAGACACCAAGGTGGAGATTCTCCCTGCTTCTGACGAGAGCAGCTTCACCATCCGAGGGAAACTCGTGCGCAACCCTGATGAGCTCAGGGCGTCTCTGCTGCACTGGGTCCGCTCTCGGCGAACCGAGTCTGCTACGTGCAGCTTGTGTTTCTCGAGCATTCGGAAGAACGACGCTCTCCCTGCGTGCGGGCGTTCCGGCTGCCATCAGGTCATCTGCAGCAACTGTCGCGACAGCTGGTACGGCATCAACGCCCCAGGCCGCATCCTCAACATTCCCGCGCTCAACTGCCCCTTTTGCCGCCGCCGGCCAGCTCCCAAGGCCATCAGCAAGTTCCGCCTGCACCAGGTCGGCCAGCTCCGCGCCGCGCTTGAAGAGAGCGGCTCTTGGATCTACGCGTGGTGCAAGGAATGCGGCTTCGCGAGGAAGTACGTCGAGCGGGTTTGTGCGGCGGGGGCGCCGGCTGAAGTGGCCGACTGGATATGTGAAGAGTGCACGCCGTATTTGGTAGGGGGGGAGAAGCACATTCGAAAGTGTCCTGGGTGTGGAGTGGCGACGGAGAAGACGTATGGGTGTGATCATATTACTTGTCCTTGTGGAACGCATTGGTGCTATGCGTGTGGGAAGAAGAGCGATGAGGAGAGGATTTATGAGCATATGGAGGAGGAGCATGGGGGGTTATACTGGGGAGAGGATTGATGGAATGTTTATAGCTGGTGCTTTTCTGGTGAGGATAGTATGCTCTTGTTGATATTTTGGCGATGTTTGTAGATGATGTGTTGAGATGATTTGGTTCTTTGCATGTGTATATCTCTATACCGATTGCATGTACTTGTCTGGTCAATGATGAGTTCGACTTTGATTATCTTAAAGACACTCTAATACCATGGTCTAGTCTACTAGAAGATATTCAAATATTATCATTCTATTTACTAGACATTTACAATGGATGTAGTGATGTCGTCGACATATCGAAACTGATGCCGAGTGATACAGAGAACCGCTACCCTACAATTGCATGGGTTGGTGTAAGTGACGTGTGAGCGCCCTCCAAGTACTCCGTACATTTCACGGTATTTTGTCAATGGCAGTACGATACAGGTGATTGAATGAGAAAAAAAAAGTTGGTATGTATTGTTTTATAGCTCAATATTTACAAACTCTTCCCTACCGTTATGATATCCTTCTTCAGCCCTCATGTAGATTTCTGGTGCCCAAGTTACCAACGAGATACATGCGAATACCTGCTCACTCTTACATCACCTCACAGATCCCTGCAGCAAAGTTACGTGGTGGCGGGTCACTACTGATAGCGCTACAACAGCAGTGTGCAGCGACTCTGCTAACAGACGGTACAGGCAGTCTCGTGCTTCTTGGAGCTTCAATGTCGCTGACACAGATTCGGTTTCGGGCTGTGCCTTGGTCGTGTGCTTCGCCTCGCGTGCTTGCTTCAAATTGCTCCTGATCTTGGCCGAGGGAGCCGATCGAATCTTTCTTCTTTTCATCATCATGAGTAGACTGACCACAGCTTTTGTACACTTGAACTGAATCAGACCATCTGCGCACGTATCCTTTGCCTTGATAATACTAAACTCGGCACTTTTCTGTTTATTTACAGCAGGCCTGCAACCTCTTCGACCACAACTACATCTACGTCTACATCGCTGGTAAAACACCAAGGAAAACATGTCTCGATTTTCCCGCTACGACTCCGACGAAGAGCGCCTCCCTGCGGGCATGACCCGCGTTGGCTACGATGCCGACACCCAAGTCTACACTTTCTCAGACATGGACGGCAGCCTCTGGGTATCCGCTCCGGGCAACCAGTACGGACGGCTGACGCGAGTCTCCGGGCCAACCCTCGCCGACGATGCGAGCGACTCGGAGCCGTTCCTCGAGTCGCAGACGCCGATGCCCAAGACGTCGTGGCGCCACGACATGATGCCGCTGCTCAACTTTGGCGTCCTGGTCGGGCTGTCGCTGCTGGTGCTCTTCTGGTTCATCGGCCGCCGGGCGCCGGAGGAGGCGCTCGAGGTGGTCGTCAAGTGTCCCGGGCGCAGCGTCACGGCTGCGGCGGGCGATTCGTGCTGGGACTTGGCCCAGGCGGAGGGCATCAGCGTTGGCGAGATTGAGGCGATGAATTCGGGGCTGGATTGTGGCAAGCTTGCGGTTGGCTACGAGGTTTGTCTCTCGGTGTGATTTTTGATTTGGGGGAAATCTGATGATGTTTTTTTTTTTTTGGCATGACATGCTTGCTCTTCCATTCGCTGGTTGTCCTTATCTCACGCTCTCTCTCTCTCTCTCTCTTACCTTGAATTCTCCCTGCCGCATTCATTCCTCGAGCTTCAATAGGTCGAACACACCTAGACAGCTACAGTAGCGCTTATCTACATAGCATTTGATCAAATCTCCATCAACAGAGCAAAACAAAACAGAGCAAAACAAAACAGCTTCAGGCCCCCCAGATAATGGCGGCTATAGTTCGGCGCAATAGCTCTGTCTTGAACTGGCCTGGTCGCAATTTGGCAACGGGGGACTCGAAGCCCCTCGGCCAAGCGGGGCAGGAAAAAAAAGTCCCTGCTTTGGTTGGAGTTCTGGATATTAATTTTTTTTCCCCTCTAGGCGAAAATAAATAAAATCTTTTTTTTCGCACCTCGTCCACAGGACTTTTTTTTCTTTCTCCTTCTTCATCTTTTGCATTTCCCTTGGTCGCGGTGCTTCCAAGCGAATAGTCAAGATGGACAAGGAAAAGCTCACCCAGTTGCTGCAGGCCAGCCAAGTTCGTAAGTTGCTTTGTCTTTGTCTTTGTTCTTATCTCTGCGCATCTTCGTTGCCTGCTCGTCGCGCGAGTTTGATCTCTTCTCCTCGTGAACGTGAACGCGCACACCGGTTGAAGAGATGAGACTTGCAAACGAGGATGGAGATTCTGCTCTACTCTATCCTACCCGAGGAAATCCTTTTTACTGACACGTCGTCTTTGCGCAAGCCAACACGGAACAGGTCAAGGCCGTCACAGCCGACCTCCAGAAGAACTACTACTCCAAGCCCGAGTCTCTTCTTCTTCTGATCGAGATCGCTCTTACACACGCGGAGAATGCCGTGCGACAGCTGGCTTCCGTCCAGGCTCTGCGCCTCGTCTCCAAGTTCTGGTCTTCCACTTCCCAGGACCAGAAGCCTCTCGTCCGCTCCCATCTTCTCGAGGGCACTCTGAAGGAGACATCGGCTCCCAACCGCCACTCTCTGGCGCGCCTGGTTGCTGGCATCGTGGGCGAGGATATGGAGGCCGGCGATGGCGAGGACTTCCTGAAGCAGCTCCTGCCCCTCAACACCAGCGACAACGTCGTCCACCGTGAGGTCGGCTCCTTTGTCCTCTATGCCATGCTGGAGGATGAGCCTACCCACTTCGGCGACCACACCGATCAGCTGCTCCAGCTGTTCCAGTCTCGCATCAACGATGAGAGCAAGGAGGTCCGCATGAACATTGTCCGCGCCATTGGCGCCATCCTCATGCTCATCGACCCCGAGGAGGACCCCCAGGCCCTCAAGGTCATGCAGGGCTTCGTTCCCAGCCTGGTCAACATCCTCAAGGCCACCGTCGAGGCTGGCGACGAGGAGAGCTACGGCACCGTCTTTGACGTCTTCCACTCCTTTATCGCCTACGACTCTGCCCTCCTCTCCCTTCACCTGCGCGACCTGCTCATGTTCATGATTGAGCTGGCCGGCAACACCAACGCCGAGGACGACCCTCGTTCTCAAGCCCTTGGCTTCCTCATCCAGGTCGTGTCTTACCGTCGCATGAAGATCCAGGCCATGAAGGATGTTGGCGCTGAGCTCATGATCAAGGCTATGCACATCGTCATTGACCTGGACTCCGAAGATGAGGAGGACATGTCTCCTGCCAGAGTCGCCATCAGCCTGATTGACCAGCTGGCCAACGAGCTCCCCCCTCGCCAGGTGATTGTGCCTCTTCTTGAGCAGTTCCCCGTCTTCGCCACCAACCAGGACCCGCGCTTCCGTATGGCTGCCATGCTGGCCCTCGGCAACGCTGCAGAGGGTGCTCCTGACTTCATCTCCACCCAGCTCCAGCCTCTCCTCCCCACCATCATCAACCTGCTGCTCGACTCCGAGCTCAAGGTCAGACACGCTGCCCTCGTTGGCCTCATCCACCTTGCCGAGGAGATGGCCGATGAGATGGTTTCCCACCACCAGCAGATCATTGAGGCTGTCCTGAAGAACCTGGAGTCTGCCTCTCAGGGTCCTTCTGACAAGACCAACATCAGCATCATCCGATGCGCCTGTGGTGCCCTTGACACCTTTGGCGACGGCATCGACACCAAGATCATGGCTCAGTACGGCCCTACCCTGATTGGCCCCATGGTCAAGCTGCTTGACCACGAGGACTTTGGCGTCAAGGCTGCCGCCGCCTCTGCTCTCGGTGCCATTGCCGCCTCCATGGAGAAGGACTTCCAGCCCTACTTCGAGAACGTCATGAAGTCTCTGGGCAACTTTGTCATGATCAAGGACAGCGAGGATGCTATGAACCTCCGAAGTTCTACCTGCGACAGCCTGGGCCGTATTGCCTTGGCCGTTGGCCCCGAGGCCTTCCAGCCCTACGTCATGGACCTCATGAAGGCCAGCGAGGAGGCTCTCAGCCTCGACAACCCCAGACTCAAGGAGACGAGCTTTATCCTCTGGTCCAACCTGTCCAAGGTCTACCACGAGCAGTTTGAGCACTTCCTTGACGGTGTCTTCAAGGGCATCTTCTCCTCTCTGGAGCTGGAGGACGAGGAGCTGGACATCCCTGGCCTCGACGCCAGCCAGCTCGAGGATGGCCACCTCATCGTCGGAGGAAAGCGCATCAAGGTCAAGGCGCACAGCGAGGAAGACCTCGCCATTGCTAGTGGCGGCGAGGACGAGTGGGATGACATTGAGGATCTCGCAGACCTCGCTGGTGGCACCACCGCCGTGGCCATGGAGCAGGAGATTGCCCTCGACGTTCTCGGAGACGTCATCTCCAACTCTTGCAACATGAACAACCTCGAGACTTATGTCGAGAAGACCATTGAGAAGGTTGTTCCCTTCACCGACCACGACTACGAGGGCTGCCGTAAGACTGCCATTTCTACTCTCTGGCGAACCTATGCCCGTGTCTTCCAGGTCTGGGAGGAGGGCTCTGGTTCCAAGTGGCAGCCTGGCATTCCCCCTAAGCCTACTCCCCCCGAGTCCATTGTCAAGATTGGCCAGACTCTCCACGAGTCTACCATGACCATCTGGGCCAATGACAGCGATCGGTACGTTTCTCTCCATCTTATTTCCGCTTATTATCACCCCACTATTTGCATGATGACAACATTGCGTTATACCCAGCTCACTCAGATGCAATATGCACTTGCTGAGAACGCGTGTAATCTACTTCTGATCTTGCTCCTATTCTCCCACACTGTTATTTCTGAATCTTGAAATGCGAGTGTCTTTGCTAACCGAAGCGAACTAGGTCTGTCGTTACTGACATCAACCGCAACGTTGCCGCCACCCTCAAGGCCTGCGGTCCTGCGGTCCTTGCTTCCAAGGATGGTATGCTGCAGGAGGTTGTTTCTGTTGTCACTCTTCTCATCACCCGCTCTCACCCTTGCCAGCTGGATCTCGGCGACGAGGACGAGGAGCAGGAGGTTGAGGATTCTGGATCTTCAGAGTACGACTGGCTGGCCATTGACACCGCTCTCGACGTCATTGTTGGTCTTGCTGCCTCTCTGGGCCCTGACTTTGGCGAGCTGTGGCAGATCTTCGAGAAGGCCATCTACAAGATGGCTAGCTCGACCGAGGATCTCCAGCGCTCCACTGCCATCGGCACCATTGCTGAGATCATCAAGTACACTGGCCAGGCCGTCACCCCCTACACCGAGTCTATTGGACAGGCCCTCATGCGCCGTCTCTCGGACCCTGACGCCCTGACCAAGTCCAACGCCGCCTACGCTGTTGGTCTGTTGGTCTTCCACTCCACCGACACCGGCAAGACTATCCCCATCTACCCCCAGCTTTGGGAGAAGCTTGAGCCCATGCTGGCCATCCAGGAGATGCGCATTACCGACAATGTCGCTGGTGCTCTCTCCCGCATGATGATCAAGCATGCCGACGCTGGCTTCGTTTCCCAGGCCCTCCCTGCGATTGTCAACATCCTGCCTCTCCAGGAGGAGTACGAGGAGAACGAGCCCATCTACCAGGCCATCCACGCTCTCTACAACCAGTCCGACGAGACTGTCCAGCAGCTGACTCCTCAGCTGATTGGCATCTTCGAGAAGGTCCTCTCACCCCCCGAGGACCAGCTCGAGCCCGAGACTCGCCAGCTCCTCAGCCGAACCGTGCAGGCTCTGTACGGAGCCAAACCGGAGCTGTTTGCCAATAACCCCAACCTGCTGCAGCTGGCCAGCGCCTCTCAGTAGAGCGAGAGTAGTGGCAGTGCAAAGGCGTTGAGCGAAATTAAAAAAAGACAGCAAAAAAGCAAATGGCGATGTGGACGATGACAGACATGAAGACATGACCTATACCCCTTTTGATGAGTTACACACACAAAAAAAAACGTTGATGGGATGAAGGAGGGTATACTAGGGAAACAACAACAACAAACAACAACAAAACTTGGGAAGCGTTTAATTAGAAGGGTTGGACTTGAACAGCATAGAATATATATATAAGGTATATATGTTGGGCTCTTTTCTGGGAGGTTGGTTTTGATGGGATTAACACAAATTGGGCTTGATGGGAGGATGGGTGGGAACTACAAGACGATGTAGAAAAACGAAAGTCGGAAATACAAAATGACAATATGATGAAGAAGATGCCTCTCTACTCAATGATCATTGTTTGTTCATGTAAAGGTAATATGTATGTTCAATGCTATGCCTATGTACTAATGCTGATGATGCTGCAAATGGGATAAGTTGAAAGTGTTACCAACCCATGAAGTTTTAAACGAAACCATAACAAACGAAACTGGTAATGAGAATAGTAAAAACTGTCACAGCGTGCCGCTTTTACCAAATCCTCTTCTCAACCATGTCATATCGAAACACGCCCTGGTAATCCCCCTCAGGAGCAGCAGACTTCTTATCCTCCTTCTTCCTCTTCTTCAAGCCCTCGTTGACATCGGCGTTGATCCAGCGCCGCTTGTCCCCCGTGACCTCGACCTCGCCGAAGCCGCCGAAACGAACACCATTAGCTTTATAGTTGTCGATTTCCGCCTTTCCGGCAGCGACGAGTGCTTCTTTGTGCTTCATCTTTGCGTAGCGATTCCGCGCGTACTTGAGGAGGACCATACCCAGCAGAAGCTTGAGAATAAGCAGGACGAGAAAAATGATGAAGAAGACGACGACCATTGTGACGGCGGCGATGACGTCGTCAGAGGTCCAGATGTACCAGGGGCGGGAGTTGAGGGGGTGGTCAAAGGGGTAGCCGTAGGTAGCGCGGCCGAGGGAGTCGCGGATGAGGGAGTCGAAGCGGTTGAGGGCGGCGATCATGGCGGGCGACGAGGGCGTCGCGGAGGCTTCGGTGAGGGACGTCTGCGTGGATATGGGGAGGGGCATGGGGATGTGGGCGGAGAGGAGCATGTGGTACGTCTGGATGGAGGCGCGGATGAAGAGGCAGGAGAGGGGGATGACGGCGAGGCCGAGACGCCTGGTGAGGGATGGAGCTGTAAAGGCCTTTTGGAGAGTTGTTAGTTTGTCTTGTGGTGCATATAGGGAAGACGGTGTATATATATAGCTTACGTTGGTGTAGTAGTCCTTGCACAGGATGTCGAGGATCCTGCTGTAAAACTTGGGCTTCATGTTGTTGAACTTGGTCACGTACGCGTGCTTGATGGTGTCCACCAGCATCTCGCTGCCCACAACAATGAGAAACGGCGACAGGACCTCTCCCGACATGACCCAGGACGGCAAAACGGTGAAGCTATGCGGGAGGATGCTGGGCGAATGGAGAGGCGCCGCCTTGGTGGGAGCGTCGTTCATACCGGCGCCTGGGACCGAAAGGCCGCCGACCTCGACAATGTTGCGCATGCCGATGATGAGGAGCATGACCCAGAGCTGGAAGCGCTCCACGATGTCGGCGCAGGTCAGCTGGAAGAGGCTGTCCTTTTCGAAGCGCTTGAAGACGGTGCTTTTGATCTCGACAAACTGGTTGGACAGGAGGAGAGTGAGGAGAGCGTTGGAGTAGGAGTTGACGGCGACGTTGAGGGTGATGACTTGATAGTACAGGGCGATGGAGTGGAGGACGCAGTATATCAGGGCGAGGACAAACATTCCCAGGGGCAAGAGAACCTTGGACCGGCCTGATGAGTTGCGGGACAGCGTCTCAGAGCTGAACAGACACTCGAGGATATCCTGGCCCAGGGCTGACAGAAGTTTGTCTCCGACTTCCAGGATGTTGTATACGACGTACAGCTTAATGGCCGACTGTGCACGGATGAGATGGTACATCCTGCTGGCGTCCAGATTCATCAGCACAAGCGAGCTGCATATGATGACGGCGCCCTGCAGCAGATCGGCCTTGTGAAACGACGAGAGGTTGGACGGCATCGATTTGGTCCGTCGATGGCGGAACGAGCCGGACTTTGGTCCCGGGCGACGGGCCGAAAGCGACGGCGCCTTGGGCGTGGGAGTGTCGCCGCCGCGGGCTCGCGAATCGGCGCGGACGCCGTTCGGACGTTGCCGTATGCTGGGCGACATGCCGTCGACAGAGACCTCGCTGGCTCTGCTACAGCTACGCGATCGGCCGCTGTCGGAGGCATCACTAATCCTGCGGCCCCGAACCGCTCGCGCTCGTCTCCACAGCCGGCCGAGGCCGTACCAGACGAAGCCAACCAGCCACTTGACCTCCTTGAAGATGACGTAGATCCACCACCGCACCAGGACAGCGAGGGCCATGGTGAACCTGATGGGCAGGATGGTGAATGTGTGCAGCCAGGCATCTAGACAGGCAAGCGCACCAAAGTAGAGGGTGCGCTCTAGAAACGGGGGGATCAAGAGGACATTCTTGAGACGCTCGAACTTGACGGCGTGGGACTCGTACGGAACGTCGTTTGTGTAAGATTGATGTATATAGAGAGGACTGGGGCGTTGCTGAGCTAGTTCGAGCTGTAGATGGGTGGGAATCGACATTGGAGGGAGAGGAATGATGGGAGGAATCGGAGACGGTGGCCGGACGCCGGAGTTGGGAGGCTGGACGGGCTGCTGTGTCGCAAAGGCCGGTGGCCCGGTCTTGATGGGCGGCGATACCACGCTCCCGTTTGCGCCGCCATTGACGCCGTCGAGGTTCAGCTGCAGGCCCTGAGCAAAGGATAACCGTCGAGGAGACGCAGAAGGTTGCACCACCACCACATGGCCATCTCGGCTCGTCGGCGGCGTCGAGACGGTCCTCGAAGCGGACACGGATCGTCGCATGGGCGTGCGGGCTTCCCTGGACACTGCGGTATAGCCGTGGAGCTGTCGAAACGCCTCGTCTGGACGCATATCCGGCGGCCTCATGAGGGCCTGTCGAATCGCCTCGCGCTCGTCGACAACGCTGGGCGCAGGCGCTGGCGCCACGGGCAGAGACTTGGGCTCGTTGGCCAGCTGCTGCATCTCGGCTGCGGTTAGTTTCTGGACATTGTCGTGGCTCGGGTTCTTCTTCATGGTGCCGCTTCCGCTGCGCTGCCTCTGCATGTCGGCGTCCTTTTGCCTTGAGCTCGATCTCTGGTTTATCACGGGGCTGGCACTGCCGTTGCCGTTTGCGCTGCCGTTTCGGTGTCCGTTTCGATGCCCATCTGCGTGTCCATTTCCATTTCCACTTCCACTTCCATGTTCGTGCCCGTTGCCATGCTCATACCCGATCCCAAGTCCATGCCCATTTCCATTCCCATTTCCATTCTCCCAGCCCCCGTTGTAGGCGATTGGCGCCGCCTCCTCCCTTGCGTCATAATGCCCGGCGAGGCTGTTGGACGAGTTCTTCCTCGACGACGCCGAAAAGGCCATCGCCGGGCTCATCGGGTCTGCGGACACGGCCATGCCGGAGGATGCTCTAGTTGGTCATGCTGCTGCCGCCTATGGTGATGATGATGGTGATGGTGAGACGAGCCGGCGCCCAAACGGGCATGACAACAGCGCGGTTGAAGTTGTGAAAAGAGAGAGAGAGAGAGAGAGAGAGACAGTGTCTGGCCATGGATGACGGGATGGTCGCAAGATCAGTGGCTCGAATTGAGGTCCATGTGGCCAAAAGTGGCTTGTGGGCTAGGCGCTGTGGGGGGCTGCCACAGGCGCTGCCGCTTAGCTCCAGGCGCTAAAGCACGGGCTACTTACTATAAGATTCTTGGCAGTTGAGATTATCTTGATATAGGTATGAAGAAACCTGGACCGACCTGGAAGATATTAAATGCAGTATGCGCATTCGATGCTGTCCCTGTAGACGCTATTTGGCTCAAAGAGAGAAAAAGAACATTACTCTGATATAGTAATGTGGAAGATTAGAGGTTCCAAATGCTCTCAAATGGGTGACGTAAAGGATGGGCAAGAGGCGGCACTTATAGGGATTCAATACATCATCTCAAATCTCAAAGAGCAGTCAAGCATAGTTGCATTCATTCTATATACGACAACTAAACAGCACCGATACCTATTAGGACAACGTGCTCTTCATTAACTTTTCTTCCTCCTCCTTTGGACCAACGCCAAACCTCTACAAATGCTCGTCGAACCAAGTCACGGCCTGGAAAAAGGCCTGCTCCTTGGAAAACTTCTGAATCTTGACGCTGGTGTCGCAGCGGACGGCAAAGCCGTGCGCGACGCCCGAGTACAGGTTGATCTGGAAAGGCTGGCCGGTCTTGATGAGAATCTCCTCCGACTGGTGGCGCTTCTCGGTAGGGAAGATGTGGTCTGTCTGGGCGGCGGCGATGGACAGGGGACCGGTGATGGCGGCCAGCTCCTCCTCTTCCACCATGGTGGGATGGGCGAGGAAGCCGACTTCGATGCCGTCCTTGTAGTGGCGAACGACATACTGCCAATCATGATGAGTTGAGGCACGTAACGGTAAGTTGAGTTGAGTAGAGTTGATGCTAGAAGCTAACCTTTGCGCCGAAGCAGTAGCCAACGGCTCCGATTTTCTTGACGCCCAGATCCTTGAGCGCCTTGATGGCAGTGAGGATAATGGGGTCGACGTGAGGGGCAGTGTGAGGGTTGTCACCAGTCGAGCCCTTGGTCAACCACGCCATAAAGTCAAAGTCGCCAGCTCGGTTCAGCTGGAGGGCATCGCCGTTGAAGAGGTCTGGGAGGAGGACGGTGTAGCCCTGAGCAGCAAAGTTGTCGGCCAGCAGCTTGCTGTTCTCCCAGATGCCAAGGACGTCGGGAACGAAGAGGATACCTTGACCATCGCGAGCCTTGTCCGCAGGGGGTGTGGCCAAGTAGGCGTCAATGTTGCCTTCGAGCTTGATGTCCTTGCCGGTAGTCTCACCCCTAGGTGACGGTTAGTGGTCTGATATTCTTTTCACGCTTGGTTTTCTCATTTCTTCAGGTGAAAGATCATGAGATTTGAATTCCGGACAGTGATCCAGCCCACGAGTCTGTGCCAACTGTGTCTGCGGGGTTATGCAAGAAAAGAGGAGACGGGTTGCAGGCCGAGCTGCAAGATGAGATCTGAGATCAAAACCAACAAAGGAAAAAACAATGAAAACTCACTTGTGAAGGGTGCCGACAACGCAGCATTTGTCAATCATGCCTGAAGCCATCTTGAGAGTCTTGATCCTTGACAATTCCTGTTGCTTGACTGGAGACAAAGTTGTTTGGACAAGACAAAATAGCGCGCGCTTTGTCAGATATTTGAAGTCTCAGTTCCTGAGCGGCGCTGGTGGGGTAGCGGAGAACGGCTCAATTGATTGCTTGACCAGCTCGCCGTGACGCAATTCTCGAGCTCCATCCTCGCGGGGTTCGGGGTTCGTCGAGTCAAAATTGGGAAATATTTGATCAAGCAGGGAAAAAGAGGAGCACAGCCTTTGTGCTCTGAGAAGCGCCGAGACTGGGCTATCTTGGGCAAGATACGCGAAAGTGAGCCATTTCACTAGCATCGGAATGCTTACTGCAGATGCCGTAACTAGGAACTAGCCGCTTTGTCGGAATCCTCACGTTGAACACCCAGGAAACTTATCCGCTTTGCAAATGGGTAGTTTCAACTCGTGTTTTCCATAGCTTTCGGTCAACAGAAAAAAAAACAACTTCCGATAAACCCCACCTACTAACTCCTAATTCCGGATCGGAACCGAATCGGCGACTGAGGGGGTATTCCGGATCGTTGAGGACTGCACGGTGAGCGCTGTGGAGTTGAAGCTCGTCTGGACTCGGGACTAAGAGTTGTCGCAATTAATCAGCCGGCAATTCAATCCGGGTTGCTAATGCGTGTTGCTATATCAAGACGCAACAACTGATAAGAGTGCCATTGCATGGCTTGCAGCATTGACATGATTCAGATCTGACACATGGCTGATGACCAAGTTCCTTCACTTGCTTCGGATCCCCTTTGGTTTGCGCTTCTTGAAGACCACCGGAGTTATGCCACTCGACTCCTCCGTCTCCTCGGCCTTGACCACCGGCTCTCGTTTGATGGACGGCTCTGAAGTGTCGGGATCTGCTTTGATCGCAACATCTTCCTCTTTGGATATTCTTGCCTTGGAAGATTTGCCATCTTCGACATCCTCTTCCTTCTTCACTGCGCTCTTATTCTCGGCTGCCTCTGTCTTTCGTGGCATCGTTGTACTCAGCAGCGCATCTAAGTCTCCGTCTTCGTCGTCTGGCATGGTCTTGGAGTCGCGACCCCATCTTCTTGGCTTCTTGAAAAGCCCTCGCATAGCTTCCTCCTCTTCCTTTTGCTCTTCCGTCTCCTCGCGTTTCCTGACACCAGTTGCCTTGGCCTCAGTCTTTGTCTCAGCATCCGCCTCGCTTTTCTCTTCAATCACAGTCGTTTTGGTCACCGTCCACTCGCCGGGAATCGCCATCTCGGGCCTGAAATCGGTTGGGATTGCAACCCCCAATGCCGCCAGCTGCTCTCGCTGGGATTTCAGCTGAGACTCTGACGGCCCTGAAGCCTTGTTTGCAGCTCCCGAAGGACCAGCAGAAGACGATCCGCCGACAACGCCATTGAGCCTGGCAATCTCCAGCCGTGCCCTTTCCTTTTCGCGCTCTTCCCTTTCGTGGTTGCGGTGTAGATCTCGTAGCGAGCGCTTCAAGGCGCCTTGATGCTTTGCCGTAGCTTCGTGGTTTGCCTTCTCGAGTTTGGTGTCGCGCACGTAGCACGCACAGTGCTTGCACCAGTACTTTGGCGTAGATTTCCAGTATTCCGACATTTTTGCTCTTGACGTTGTTGTTGTGCTGAAGATTGGCAAGCTGTCGCGTGTGTATGAAGAAATCAGATGCAAAAGCGCGGCAGCTGTGCACAAGGCAGGAACAATACTTTGGGTTACGTAATCGATAAATACGTGCAGTAAAGTACAAGGTTCTAGGCTTCGCTCGCTGGCTTCACTGACAACTGACAACTTACACTTACGCTCATCCTACCACCTTGTGATTAGCATAATTGCATGCAATCTATATGCTTCAGATACCAAAATTTGACTTGTTTTTATACTTTTCAACTCTCTACTGTTTTATTTGCAAGAATACATAATATGCGCAATAATCCACATCATATTACTTCCTCGTGAGCTTCCATCATGTTCAATAATATCGATACCTATGCCGCACAATATTCAACCATGTACCACATGAACTTGAAGAAACAACTGGAACCGAAAAAAAGGAGATTAATGTTCTCTTTCAGGACTTGATTGCCCTATACTTTACAGCATCTACAGCGCCTACAAGGCAACAACACCCACCAAGGCGATGACAAGGGCAACTGAGATACCAGGGAGAACTCTGGGGCCACCGCTGATGGGGGGCTGGGTGGGAGTGGTGGGAGGAGAAGGAGGAGCAGTGCCAGTTCCAACGGGTGCCTGGGGCTGGCCATCGCCAATCTGAGTGACTGGAGGAGATTCCGGCTGTTTGGCAGATTGTGTTGGGGCCTGAGGCTGACCGTCACTGATCTGGGTAACTGGGGGTGCCTGAGGTTGTCCGTCGCTGATTTGAGTAACAGGAGGAGCCTGAGGCTGGCCATCGCTGATTTGAGTAACAGGAGGAGCTTGAGGCTGACCATCGCTGATCTGAGTGACAGGAGGAGCCTGGGGTTGTCCATCGCTAATCTGGGTGACGGGAGGAGCTTGAGGCTGACCATCGCTGATCTGAGTGACAGGAGACTCCGGCTGTTTGGCAGATTGTGTTGGGGCCTGAGGCTGACCGTCACTGATTTGAGTGACGGGAGGAGCCTGAGGTTGGCCGTCACTGATCTGAGTGACAGGAGGAGCTTGAGGCTGACCATCGCTAATCTGGGTAACCGGAGGAGCCTGGGGTTGTCCATCACTGATCTGAGTGACAGGAGATTTACCACCGCCGCCGCCGCATGGAGTCGTGTGGCCTTGAACCTGCCCGTCACCAATCTGGCAGATGGGGATGGCAACAGTAGTGGTGTGGACTTGCGGCTGGCCATCGGAGATGACTGTGACGATAGCGGTCTGAACAACCTTGGTGCCAACGGTGGTCTCTCCTCCACTGCCACCGCTGCCTCCATTACCTCCACTGCCGTTGTTATTACCTCCGCTGCCGCCGCTTCCACCAGAGCTTCCACCAGAGCTACCGCCACTGCAAGGGATTATAGAAATCTGGACCGCTTGGCAATGCGCCGCCCACTTGCGGTCGTACAAGTTGTAGAAGTTTCCGGACTGGCATTGGTACCAGGTAGTCTTTCCTTGCAGGGCCAATGAACCGCCCTGGCAGACAGCGAAGCCGCTGGCGACTATGGTCCCAGCCTGGGGTGGTGCATCGAACTGGAATTGGTAGTTGGATGCGATATAGCCAGTGCGACCCTTGGCATCTTTGAGAATTCCATTCTCAAGTGTCAGCAGAAGGGCATCAGGATTATCACAGGATCGTTTCTATGGGAGAGATATCAGTACGGCACGGGAATGTGGACGGATGTCATCTGATACTAACCTGAATATCCCGCTTGGTGATCTTGGCAATCGTGACTTCGAATTTGCCATTGTATGATGAATCACAGCTATCATCGCGAGGAGAGACGAGAGCACCGGCGGAGGCCGACCCCAGAAGAGCAAGAGTCGCCAGAGTCCACTTCATGGTTACTATTTGGGTGACCGTCAGCTATAAGTCGGCGCGAACATCCGATGACGGATAGATAATAAGCTTATATATATAGACTCATACCTTGTGAAGTTTGTTGACCACTGTAGATGCAATATGTTTCAGAACGAGAGGCTTACTAAACGACAGTCCGATTCTCCCCTCAAACCGTGGGTAGAATGAAAGAGCAAGATAAAGAATGTCCGATGAATCAACCGCACCGAATTGTCCCAGAAAGTCTTTCGGAACAGGCAAACTTGCCAGGGCAACGGGGGGCCGTTGGGTTCATATAATCTTTTACGGTTGGCGAGACATGTCATACAGTCGTTTCGGGTCACATTCTGGCCCGCGATCAACAGACGATCGTTCCACTTCGATGAGCTGTACAGTAGTGTATAGGCAAGCCACGAAGCTACATCGCATAGCGTGGATAGATGGCAAAGCCAAAGTGGGTGTTGGTCCACTTGGACACAGGCCACGGGAGCTTTTGAGAGCCGAGACGAGAGGAGTGATGTCAGATTTCCAATATATGACATCGTAAGTTGCTATTTGCATCGGCCCTTGTCTTGAAACACCTAATTCGCTGTCATCAACGTTTGCCTTCACCTCTCCTCCGTTGGAGTCTTTATCTCTGCAGCTAGTATACTACGATGTTACTCCAGCGGTATCAGCAACGCATCCCTGCGCGAATGTGAATGTCCATGCCGATCAATTACTCCGGCCCAGGGAGAATTGAAGCATTCACACATGCATGCAGTGTGTGTTTATTCAGGGGCATGGGAACTGACGGCGCCGATGAGCCAGATACAAGCACGCAGCCATCGACACTAGCTGTTAGCCACCTCGCAAACGCCCACATATACGACCCGGCTAGCCAACGAAAGTTTCCCCGGTTAAAGACGAAGCATGTTTTAGTAGCTTCATATTGTGGACGGCACATGAAGCTCCCTACCAAGCATGGACGAAGCGGCATGTCTCACAGTCTATCATTTACCCCTCAAGGGAAGAGACACTCCGAACAAATACCTCGCGTCCACCAGCCCCAGTTACGCCGAGGATGTTTTTATCAAACTGTTTTTTTTTTCCGAACAAAGAGTGAGTTTAGTAGTTTTATTACTGTTGATCACTCTGCAATGATGCAGGTGCTGTCATAGCAAACAAACAGACCAACAGCCTTTTGACGCTCGTTTCTGTTGAGAGCAAACTCTGCGAACCATGTGCAAAAGCTTCGTCGGACTGTCGATCTCTCGATCCGCCGAGGCACTAGCGCCGCCCTTGTGCAGGTCCTCTTCCGGCTTGCCGACGAAGGCCTCGTCAATCAAATCAATCTATGACTGAAGGGGTGGTGCCTAGCGGGTAAAGAGGAGCTCGTATTGGGAAAACTCAATTGGGGAATTTTGGCCAATCGGCCTCCAACGTTCTCCTTGGATTGCTAATAGCGTCGCTTCTATAAATCTGTCTTCCGTTCTATGGACGTTGGTTGATGGTAGCTGCGTCTCGTGTTCTGATACTCGCGCCATCGGGCTCTACGCGAAGAGGTCGACAGAGCATCGGCGATGTTCTAGGTTCGATTCTATGAGATCAATGACGCTTCCGGAATGGATGTTCTCGGTGTGGATATACGAGTACGGGGAACACCATCACCAGGCCGGAAGCGGAATCCTCAGCTCGTCAAAAACCAATCAGCTGGTCCTTTCAATAAGAGAATTTATTGGATCTGTTGTCCGTATTCGTCGATGCCAGAGTGGACACGAGGTGGCAACTCAACAGGACTCCTAGTTATTAGCCACCGTACTGTTAGACTAAGCTTCAATCCGTCTTACAACGTTCCCCATGACCTTGGTCTTCTTCCCCAGATTCGCCTTCAGCTACTCCGCACGTGCCTGAATCTTGCCAAATGCAATCCAAGCCTTATAATCAGGTACGGAAACGGCCGAAACTTATTGTCGTTGACTCGGGAAAATGTTCACGACTGGGTAATCAATCAATGACGAATCTCTTTGCCCCTTGAGTTATAGAATATGTACTTGATAGAACTTAGATTCTTTTCCGGCAATTTGCCTCTTCTGATTACATAGCAGGTATCTCATAAGGAAAGAAACTCGAAGGTTGCGGGGGCAGAAAAGACGACCGAGAAAAACAAATGAGAGCCCGAGTATTCAGCTAACCTTTAGGTCCATTGTCGTCATGGATAGCCCGGACAGCACCCGCATTGTTTGGTTGCGAGAATACAATCAGACCGTTCTCTCCCCCTAGATACATGTAGTAACCACCATTCTGGAAATAGCCCCAAGGAAGAATAGAAAAACCCTCAAGGTAGGAAGCACTCGTTATATTCTACCAGCGGACAATTTCCAGCTCATATGCTCTCGGCACGTAATATCTTGACATCTGCTTGTGTACTCTCCCTCTTTATTTGCACTCTATCGGCCCCAACGGATGATACGACACCAGCTCCGTTACCCATAGCTGGAGTAGCACCGTTGGCTTGGCTCGCTTGTGGAGGTACGGTAATGTCTATGTTGCAGTAGTTAGTATCCTAGCGTTTCCAATGATTAATTCATTATTCTAGAGTAACTTACTCAACAGAGGTGTTAATTCAACTTCCTGAGGATGAATGACTCTCAAGAGGTCCTTTGCGTACGCTGAGGCTGCTATGGCTGCATATGGCCCCCATATTTTGGTTTGATGGCTATCCGAGTAATCGTATATACCTTTAATAAGAAGGAATGGGAATGTATCCATCAGACTTGCCGACTCCTTATCAAAACAATACATGGCTTTGTCGGAGCCCTGTGGCGGATCTCGACGTATAAATGGCTCTATCACCGGACTTCCAGTAGCTATCAAGCCTATATGAACGACTGAACGGGTGTTCTTCCTTACACCCTTGTTTTCTATTTGGGTCACGTCGCAAGACGAGCAATCTTCCCCAGCAGAATGCTGATATTCGAGCTTGAATAGCTGATCATGCTCTACTCCGGGATATCCAGCATCTTCTAATGCAGGCACGCCTAGATTAATAACTTGGTCAATGTCCGTCCACATTTTGCCTCTACCGAAGCCGTGATCTAGCTGTAGGCGCCGTATCGCTTTTTGCAACACCTGGGGAGGACCGTAGCGACGAGTTTTAACCGTCATGTTAGGTGCACCTGCCGCTCTGACCATATCAAATCGAATAACACCGCCTGAACCATTCTCAATTAGAACCATAAAGCCTCTGTTCATTCTAAAACAGCAAAGGGGAGATAGCTTTACCAAGTCCGCTCAGAAGGCTACCAATTACGACATCTCCAAGTCTAATATCCTGTCGTGGATCGGATTTTGATGGCTGTGGAATACCACTGCCAAGTCCAACCATCAGTGCAAACCTGATATTAGGAAAAGCACGAGCGATTTGAGCGGTAGCTCTTATGCTAAACGATCCGGGGAAGACAATAACGACATTATGATTCGCCATTTTGCCGAGAAAATAGTTGTTGTCATCAAAATCCTTTGGAGGAAGCGGCTCGTGCTCCTCGTCTAGCAGTGCCCTTGCTGCGCAAAGCTCAGAGAGAAGCACTCATATCCATGCCACTGTGTAGGAGTCGTACGTGGGTTGCCTGATTTGAGATTGTTAATTGTGCATAAGCTGCCTCACAATAATGGGCAAGTGTGAATAAAGTCACAGCTTACTCTGCCATCCCCTTTTGTGGTAATTAATTGTCACTGTAAGGCACTGGTTACAAGTAATAAGTGCGCTGAGGATCCAATAAGCTGAAAATGAGACCGCGTTGATGACAGACGCGTCGTAAAATGTAAGATGATTTCTCGTCATGTAGTGGGCGGGGAAGCATCCCACGTCGCGTACCGAATATATTAGGCATTAACGTCTGTCCAATGAGCCTTGTATGCCTCACCTGTCTCTCGTCGCGTCCACCCATCCGATGTTCTCGTTATGGGGGGCTGTGGCAGCCTCTCATAGGTGGCCGCGACCAACAACAACAACTCGCATAACGCTAGACCGAGGCGGTCGAAATGGGATGGATTATTACTCCATGAGCCGGCGTGAGAAAAACAGTTGGTGCTTTTCCGGGACTCGTTATAAATTTTATATCTCTCCCAATTTTTTAAATGACCCTCAGGGAATGCCATAAGGGCGTCCTGTTGTTGCGGAGGAACATTACGGGTCGAGCAGATCCGGTAATTAGGGTCGACTAGCAATAGAGTCGCCCACCGATGATGGCCAAGGACATTAGCATCCAATAGCTAGAACGTAACCTAAACAACAATTTCACGATAACCTATAACCAACAGCTTGAACAGGGATACACCGGACAATAACTAGATGCAACGCAATGAAAAAAGAGTGCGGCCGACTATATGCACACGATGTGCTCTGAGAGAGGGGAATGTTAGCACCGTAGGTAATATGAGAAGAGAGAGCAAGCCGAACGAACCTATAGCCGGCTTTCGTTAATGCTAAGTTACCAGAAGCCCTAACTAGGCACACAATACAGGTATCAAGTAACTAGAGCAGAGATTTCGGGGGTCTTTTCAATTAGATAGTAACTCAATAAGGATGAGGTAAAAGAAGAATACACCTTTCGTGTCTTTGCGATCATCCTTATCCATGAGCTTACCGGTGACATCGGCGAGTGACATTGGCATACAATTGCAGGTATTAGCGGAAATACTCCCAAACAACCTTCAGATGTTATTTTCTCGCTTAGGCAATAAAATTAAACAATTGGTATTGAGGCTGGATCACAATCGATTATGAATAGCGTTTGCTCTTGGATTCCTCCTTTGCCTCTTGAGACTCTTGTTCAGTTAAGTCTCCAATGCAATGTAGTGGTGAGTGGGGTGGGATACTTGGCCTGCTATAAATGAAGCGTTGATGGTATCAAGAGAGTGTTTTGAAGAGTAAGAGGTTATCAAAAAAGGTTCCACAAAGAGGGAGACAATGTTAAAAACTCTTAAGTTTTGACGTATAAGAGAAACTTCTATTCAACATCATAAATTTGCTACTCAGCATCCGATATCTCAATTCGAAACCAGTAATAGTACTAGATACGAGAGGAATGTCGCGATAATAGCAGATATGAGAGAAATATGGTTGCTCCGTTACTTGAACTTCACGCTGTTGTTAGAGTGCGGGATATATGTAGGTGCTTTAGCAAATATGGCAATATTGCCAGAAACTCGTCAATTCAATACTAACAACTGGTAATTCAAGAACTATGGAATATAATTTATCTGTATTCGCATCCCTTCGTTACGGAGTAGAGCAATTGAGATATGTGTACATACTTGCTCTAATACTTTCGTCTTGGCTGTATAGACACTGTTCAAAGAGCACGGTCGACAGATCCGGCTCCGAGGCAGAGCTCAATAGCTTCCAGTGTGCCAAAGAATTTGCCGACGGGCCATCCGACTCCAATACTAGTGACGCTGCATCCAAACAGACTTCTATACTCGCAAGAAGAGATGAACTTTTGTAGGCGGTGAAAGAGAAGAAGCAACGTAGAGGGGTCGTGTCATTCCGACGAACGTCTCCATCAACTTGTCGCTAGCCCGAGGGAAGTCCAATTAGACATAACTCGGCTTACCTCACATAAGAACTAACACTCGGACTTCCGGAACTAGTGTAGACTATTTGATTCTGTATAGTTCAACCCCGGAGTTAACTTTTCTGCGAGAAACTGGCTACCAGATATCGTATTGAGATAGTATATGAAGAAAGTAAAATCCCACCCAACTAGTATAAAATATCTACCCAAGTCATCACAACATCGCATATAGTCCAGCATCATCTCTTTCAGTCTATGGTTCTCAACTCAAGGCCACTGGTGAGGTAAAACCACAACATTGAAAATGTCATTACCGCGCTCAAAGACCTTACCACCAACACCTATTTTACCCGACCCCGTCGTGTCAAACCGTATCAGCATCAACAATGTGGAAATATGGTATGCGCTCTATGGTGCACCATTGAGTCTCCATCAGATCCCAACGGTTTTCTTGCACGGCGGCAAGATTAGCTCTCGTTGGTGGGCACATCAGATTCAACATGTCGCAGGTGCAGGACACTCAGTCATTGCAATCGATACCCGAGCACACGGCCGATCAACTGATGATCCCCAAGTCGCCCTTTCATATGATCTCTTCGCTGACGACGTTGCGGCCTTACTCGACCATCTTCAAGTGCCTTGTGCCAACTTCGTCGGTTGGTCGGATGGCGCCAATACCTGTCTTTCTTTGGCAATGGGACACAAACATAAAGTGAAGCGCATATTTTCCTTCGGCCCAAATTACAGGCCAGACCAGGCGATACCTTATGCAGGCGAGACAGTGCCATTTGTCGCAGATCTTATGAATCGGATGAAGGAAGAGTACGAGGCTATTTCACCTACTCCGGAAAAATTCGATAGCTTCAAGGCGAAGGTCGTAGCAATGCAGGAAACTTCACCAATGTGGTCCGAGGAAGACTTTTCCAAAATTGACTCAAATTCTACGGATGCTCAGCAACGCCCTGTTGTGTGGATTGTTACTGGCGACTCGGAGGAATTGATCCAGGGCTGGGTGGCTACAAAGATTGCAGACATGATTCAAGGATCGGTTTACTTGGCGTTGCCTGATGTCAGTCACTTTGCGCCATTGCAAGATCCTGAGACATTTAACAATGCACTGAATCAGTGGCTATCTCAATAAAAGCGTGGTGGATGGTGCGTGCTGCCATTGTCTTGTGATCCACACAAAGCGACTAGATTCATGAGCATCGCGACATTAACGCACTTATTAGCTCTTACAATATATTACAGTTTGCTGCTGCGAGCCTTGAATTTTTTTTTCAATTTGCTCTCTCATTGCACTGCCCCATCCCTATCCAGTTCTTCCGCACTAGGCAGAAGGCAATAATATGTTGTTTGTAAGAAGTTCTCACATAAGATAAAGGAAGCCCCATCCATGCAGTATTTGTCGGTGTAGAATGCATTTAGCAAGTCAATTACTACGGAAATTACTACGGACTTGGTGGGGCTCCTGTTCAGTTGAGCTGGAGCAATAGAGCTTGTTGATACTGTTAACGCATTTGACGCTGTTGACGAGCATGTTAACGCCCTAAGCGCTTCTAAACGCTATACACGATGTTGGAGTATTTCTCACCAACGCTGTCAATTGAACTCGGGCGATTTAAATTGATAATTACATATACTCAACTTGCTCTTAAATTTACATTTCTAAATCAGGCAATCAGTTATGCTTAAAAAGGTGATGGAGAAGTCGCTGTCGCTGCCACTTTACATACCTAGTAAACAACGGCACCCTCGACTACATACGTGTATATAGACTGGCTTCAATCCGCCCACGTCGGCTTCTACTCTTGACTTTGTCCTCGCCATTTATTTGCTCTGGCCCTTCTACATGCTTTCTCTCATTACTGCCTGAGACATCCTTGGGCCCTTCCCAAGACTCGGTGGAACCCAAGTTGCAAAATCACGACGTTATGCTCTTGCTTCCCTAGTACTTCACGCCGCGCGGAACTGACATTGATTGAGATATTCTGTATTAAACAATATTTGGCATTAAACAGTTATGGAAGCTAGCGTCCTATGTGTACTTCTTAGGGCAGACTCTTCCCGTTTTCAGTATGCTCTGGATTTCCTGGCTGTAAGTGCATCCATTGGTCACCGCCTGATCGCTCGAACCAGCGTCCCAGAGCATGACACCTCCAAAGCCAGGATGAGATCTAAATTCGTTGATGAGTTTTTCCGCCTCATCTGGTGTCACTGCAATCGCTGGATCAGTACTCTGCACTCGATGGAAAATGAAGGGTTAGACATACAAAAGTAGTTCTCGTCATTGTCAGCCGCGTCGGGGCTTGCAGGCAAGCCAATGAACAGCTGTGCTCCCTTGCTCTGCGAGAAAGAAACCGTGATGAATTCCTGGAAGGCATCGTAGGAGAAATATTGCAGCGATCCATCCTTGGGGTCGTAACCGCTGATGGCGCCACGGGCCGAGCATTGCGGAGTATTGTAGAATTGGATGTAGAGGTAGTCGAATTTTCCGTTGAACATCATGTCTCCCATGTTGGCGTCAGGAACGATGCACTGCGGCGCGCCCGTCATGTAATACTTCTTGCTGTGATCCGTCTCAAAGAGTTGGTTCATCTCCTGGACGAAGAAGGCGAACGAGAAGGCGCTGTTTGGGTTCTCAACGTCCATGTCGAATCCGTCCAGCACTGCGGTTCCAAAAGGTCGCGGGCCCGTGTAGTTGGCGCGTACAGGGCCAAACATATCCCAGAGCTGGTTCGCCAAGTCTTGAATGGAGGTCATGTTGTCAAACTGGACCGATCCGCCTCCGCCTCCTATGGAGAGCATGATCTTCTTGCCCTGCGACTGGCAGTACTTGATGTCCTTCTCCACGGCTTTGCACTCGGAAGACTGAGTGGTGCTGGTGGTGAGGTTACAAGAGTCGACATTGCCAAAAAAGTCGGTGGATGGGTAGGAGGAGAAGAAGGCCAGTGGGATGATATCAGGCCCGGCACCCGGTTTGCAGTAATCGGCGAGAGATCGTTCTGATGGCGATTGGCCCTGCGCACAAGAATTATGAGATGACTGGTCATTGAAGTTTTGGACAGCAATCATCATACCCAATACACAACTAACTCTGGTGCTGATTGTGCAATTGCAGAGGCGGAAAAGCCGAGGAGGCCCAATGACACGAGGGAAAGGCGCGACAACATGATGGCACGATGCTGCTGGTGGAATTGACAGACGGGATGCTACCAACACTCGAATTGTTTGAGCAGGCCCATGATATTTATCACAACCAATTCATTACCATGGTCGTGCAGCTCTTCACCTAGTCTCATGTCTCATCCCATCATACGTATCAGTTGACAGTCAGATCGCATTAGCTCTTCGTGCCCCTGGATTAGCGCCCGCATAGTTAACCGATTCACGTCAGCTTCGGTCCGTTAGACTCTCAATTGAATCGATGTTGATAGCAAACCTTGACTGAAATGCAACCATAGACAGGCACCGGGCGGGGGATGCAACCAGCCTAGAATGAAACAGTAAGGTAGCTAATAGCTAGATCCGGGAAGCCTCTTGTTGAACAGTCTCCGCCCGGATATGAATTGCCGTCCAGCTACGGGGGGCTAATCCCCTGTACCGGCGACCGGTATACTGGCTTATATATCTCCGTAAACTTGTCACATCCTTGTCAAGGCATCTCTAATTTATCCGTCCGCTATCTTCATCCGAAATGGTCCCCTCTTCATGCCTTGAGGGTAAGAGTTGCGTTCTTGTATATAAGTCTTTGGGAGTTTCATTCTTCTAATAGCACAGTCTCTTCTCCGTAGCGTATTCTCTCTAATTCTCCCTCATCTTTCCTAAACCCTCTCATTCCCATACGTATTCCTGCTTGTCACCTTGATAAACTGTCGACTTAAAACCAATACTCAATGATAAAAAGTGTATTCCCTATAATTCTATTGAAATAGAAATATCAATAAATAACGATACGATGAGCGCGACAAAGAATGAAAGGAGACAGATAGATCTGAAAATACGTTTAGATGCCCCACGTGGTATTCCGATACCTTGCATATTGATTCCATGTATATTGACCGGAGACAGCGATACCTTGATGCTTGGAGTCGTCTGACGAGATTGAAACCTTATCTTTGTCTGCATGAACTCTTCTACTGTGGAGAGATTCTGATGCCATTCGCTCGAGTCATCTAGAGCGAGGGAAACAGCATCAACGTCATATTCGTATTTCCCGTTGTTTCTTCTGGTTGCCAAGAAGAGAAGAAATGACGTCTTATATCTAGGAGACTCAAACACCAGCACCGCTTTGAAGTTTGGATAGGTTCTGATGACGAGATCGCCATCGTGACTTTTCACGTCAAATCGAAAAGAGCGCCAGATTTCGTGCGAATCCACGATTAGCATCTGACGGAGTTGGGATCCATGAAATGGTCTGTCTTGGAGAAGTCTTCGCTCCAAACAAAAGGCATTTTGATAGCGTCTTCTGACTGATTCTGATCCCATTTGAGATCTCTTTTCCTCGAGGTACTCCTCGATCACTCTTGCCGTCGTAGTCCAAGGCACCTCAAAAGAGAGCCCGATGATATCCGAGGTGCTTTTGATTCCGCATATGGAAGCCGTCGTAGTGTTGGAGTCGGAATGGACTCTAGCTAACTCGGTTCCACGGACTCGAGCATATCGGTCTGAGCCGAAGCGCTTGAGATATATCCCTGCGGTAGCTGAGGGATTTGCATCAAAACAACAGTTGAGTAATAGTATCACAAGGTCTCCAGATGCCCAAGGTTGTCGAAGGTCTTTGACAAGGGAAGTGATGTGAATCCCTTTGTTGGACATGGTGATCGGGTCTTGCGGTACGTTGGATCCCCAAACACGGACCAACCTGTCAAACCTAGAGTGAGTTCTGTATCCCGGCAGTCCCCTACGCCATGATCCATTCGCAAAATTGTAAAAATCTCTTGGAGATTTTGCAAACAATCCATATGCTAAATCTGGATCTGTCGAAGGAGTTGCGGCTCGCCAGGCGAAGATGGTGTGATCGTCAGATTGCTGAAGAATATGTTCCTGTAGTCGAATAAAAGCCTTCCCTCCTTCCCCGTAGATGAGGGGCATATTAACGTCAAAGAGTCCGAATAGACAATATGCAAGATCTTCCTCGCGAGTTGTTTCTCTATTGGCAGCCCAGCTTAGACGCTTTCCTACACTGACCTGCTGCAAGGGGCCCGAGCCGTCGAGAACAAAAGCATCAATCCCCGTGATGACCGCAAGTTCTTTTGCAATGGCTGTCTTTTCTGCAATCTTCTCCCATGACCTATCATAGAATTCAAGTCGCTTGGGGGCAATAAGCTCTTGCAAGGTCCAGCCTCGGGTAAACCACCGGCTATGGCCAAACCCAACAGATGTTGTCCTGAAAGTAGGTCTCTTAATCTTCGGAGATGGATAATCCTCTAGGAATGCGTAGGCGATTTCTGAATTCTTGTACCATTTGAACATGGAATTGATTGCTTCGCTAAGCTCTGCACTGCTGGTCTTATCGATGCAGCATGTGTCAACCCAAGCGTAATCAAGGCCATGGCTATATGCTTTCTTGCAAGTAGCACTGATTTTGGAGAATCCAGCTAGCTTTTCTCGCAGATCTGGTGATTGGAAATCTTGAAAAGACACCTCCTCTTGGCCCCAAGTATGGGATAAAATGGCATAAGGTGGCGGCTTGCCGTGGAACTGTTGGAGCTTCAAGGTTCTTGTATTAATTAGTCTCATGTTCGCAAAGACTTACCAAGGTTCGTCTTGAGGCCGGAAAAATATTGGACTCGAAGTCGGACCCTCTGGGACGGCGATGGAAAATAAGTGTGGCTGTGAAGTGCTGAAGATTCATCTTTCAGTAGCAGCCTAACCATCATGTGACGCGACATGCAGATGGCTCTCCAAATATTCACATTAGAGGACGGCTGCGCATTCCTCCAATTGTTTCCCGGTCCTTATTGGGTAGTAATATGGATGGCTAGTTCACTATAGGCCGTGGGTGTAAGAGAGCTGAGATTGGAAAGAAAAGTGGTGGTTGTCTTCATGCAAAGTTGTGTTCCTACGTGTCTCATAGAAATATATGTGCAATATTGGCCTTCGCTATCAGATTCAACCGTCACTACCACTACACTAGGCACAGTGAGCTTTGTATGCTTCCAGGTTTTTTTTCATGTCCACGAGTCCTTTGCACTCAGCCCCATTGCAGTACATAAGTCAGTGACTTATAAGGCCGCTGATAGGCTGCAGCAAGTCTTGATTGGGTCGCAATGCAGAGGCGATATTGAGGCTGACGAATACCTTGAGTGTTGGCAGGGCGCAGAGATCGGGATACATAAATCGCCCTACTCTATATCGACAGCAATTGAACAAGCCAGTGGATATGAACATTCAGCTGTGGAATATCGTTGCTTTGACAGGTTCGATGGGCTGTAAACACCAATTCTGAGAGTTCCGTCGTTGATTCAGTTTGTAGCCGCCTTTCTTCAAATTGAGTGGGATGAGTAGGAACTAACTAGTAAAGTTGGCTGTTAAATTGTCATCAATTCACTAATCTTACCATGACCAAGTCAACCATGAGCATGAAACAATTCGTTGTCACCTAACTTTGTCCATTGGTCCCTTGCATGCTGACCACCAAAGTGAGGGTTTCATAGTATGTTCTACTAGTCGTTAAGACATATATAGTTGTAGAGAGACGTCACTTCAATAGCTACATGCAATTTTCGCCATATGGAAGCCTTGGGCTCATGAATTGCATATTGTTATTTTCCAGCGCGGCTTGCTGCACTCCCATTCGGATTGAAGTGATTTACTTCGGATCAAATCCTAAGATAGGTATGGTATTGGATACTCGAGAAATATAGTTGTAATTAGGTTGCTTCATCACGCTCGGGAGGCACAAATTTGATTCAAATCGTTGGGAAGCGGTTACCTAAGAGCAGCTGCTTCACGGCTTCATGGAAACGCCCTTGATGCATTAGTTCCAACTACTCGACATACACATACGAAGAAGTCAACAGAAGCTGTTGTCCACATTCAAAAGAGGCATGTTTTCTTAATAGCTCGAGAGAATTGATCCCTCTACTGGTGGCTAAGCTATAGGCTTTACAGAATCCCTGCCGTAGTTGCCATCACCTCTTGAAAAGCTTCTCTCAGATGCCGCCTTTAATCGTCATCCTCATAGATGTTGATAGTAATTGGCACGTTGAAATCAATATCACCAATGCAGATTTGGAACTAAAAGTATTTGTGAGATTATGAATGCGATTAATATGATGTTTACTTACGCCGTTATTATTGTTGCAGCAAATGATTGTCTCTTCGCATGCGGTGGTGTTCTTACATGCGTGGCCTGGAAAACGTTAAGAATTTGTCCCTAATAGAAATGGGGAATTAAATGATCACTTACCACCCTTGCCATTGCTGCTGCAGCAGTATGGATTACCTCCAGAGCAGGCATTTATCTGGGTATTTGTGTCACTGCTGCAGCCTTTGCCATCATGGTCCTTGCCACCATGATCTTTCCCACCATGATCTTTCCCACCTTTGCCACCTTTGCCGCCTGATCTCAATTAGAAATCAACTGAAATTTGAGATGCTTAGGTAGTTGTCAACACTTACCATCATTGTGGTTATAGTTGCGGGTTGGGAATCGCGGAAACGGGATATCTGCCATAGTAGGCACGCGACGCTCAATGGCTCGAGGTTCAACCCCGGGCTCTTGAGCCGGAGATGCCATGACGCCGCCAAGAGTGACGAGTGCGTAAAAGATAGTGGAGGCGTACATGATTGCGGTGTACAAAATAGTGATAGTGTGAGTACTATTGATGAGAAGTAGTGAGCTTTGCAAAGGTCTAATATAGCGAAGGAAGATCCAGAAAAGTCTGAGCTGTTGAGTAACTTGAGTGATAAGAGGGAGAAAACAAGTGTATTTAAACAAAAAATCCTTTGCTGCGACCTATTATCTTTAAGTTTTACTATGTAGACAGAGACTAACCTCACAACATCAACGGTTGCTCGATCTGCGGAGAGCTAGTCGCTGCAGGATCGATAACATGACGAGTCACTAATCTCTACTAGGTGTATGCAGGTTCAAAGCATGAGTTGAAAGCCATGAACGGTGGCTCGTAACTATTACGAAATTGTTGAGAACCTAATATTGATGTATTCATATTGAAAGAATGTTGAACGTTTCGAGTCCTGCATGTAAAAACGCATAATTACTAAATGCCCTCAACGGTCGCTTATTGGAAGCAATATTGTTTAACGCCTCCCAGCTTCGCCTAATTAATTTTTAAAATTATGCATCACCTGCAAACTTTTAAGTTAACCTTCTCATGGCACTGGTTATATGTGCCGAAATCTCCGCATTTCCTTATGCAATGCCATACTATTCTATACATCTAAGTTTTTGTTGTGTTACCTCGATCCCTCTTTTAAGCTTTTCAACTATCCTGTTTCTCAAAAGTCTAGGTTCAAGAGACAAATGCCGACTCTGAATCAGTGAAACCTCTCAGCTTTTAATCTGCCAGTCTGAGCCAATTGTCTGAATATCCTTCTACACGACGCAAGGATTAGCTGCATATAACTCTATATTATTAAGGTTAATATTAAAACTTTAAAAATAAGTCTACATAAACGCCAACTTTAAAGAAATTGCATTTTTCCGCATTATTACAAGTCATAACACCTATACAGTTGGCTTAGAAGGAATTGTTTGAGATGACGGGCGATTTGAAAACTACCATAGAAGTGGTTGGTATCATCACGAATGGAGCCAAAGACGCCAGAGCCCAGACATACTGTCAGAAGATTACATGTAAGCGCTTGCTTGTAGAGACAGTCTAAATGAAACCAAGAGCAGACGATTCTTTTGCAATGTTGATCTACCATCTCATGTAGAGAGAGAAAGGTAGAGAGAACAACTAATGATGACTTATGAATCATGATAGTTCTAGCTGGAACATCTAAAGCAACAGAGAGAAACATTGACCCAATTTCCAGAATCCAGACATCAAGGATATTGAATATGTTCTCCAAAGCTTTATTAAAGCGAGTTACTTTGGCTCGCACAGCACGTGGTTTTGCTTTAATGCCGATACACCGAGCCCCACCGATTCAAATGATTCCGTCCTAAGTCTGAAGATACTAGTCTCCGCGTAGCTGGCTGATCACCAATGACTGCGGTACTCTACCTGGGATGTTGAAGTTGATAGGCCATGGCGCGGATATCGGGAAGTAATTCGGCATATCGCGGAGGAGGAAGGGCCGTCTATGACAGAGCTTGTCCTTGATGTCCATCAGCGATCTACAGGTTTAACTAGTCGTGAATTCAACAAACTTGCAGAGAATCTTATCATTTGAGGTACATAAAATATGTGCTTAGACTTCAACGCCCTGATATTTCGTTTGTAGTCGGATAATCTTATTATAGTTGAGCGCCAATTCGCGATCGTCGTTTATATCATCAGCACCTCTTTTTCGTGTCTCCGGCACTCAAACGCCGATACAGCGGTTGGCAGCTAAGGAGGCCGCCGATAGGCTGCAGCCAGCCTTGATTGGGTCTCAATGCAGAGTTGCAGCTGCTGACTAGCCTATGTATGTTGATGTTCTCATCAAAATCTCGCTCTTAGTGCTTCATCTCCTCTATTGGATATTTACACACGATGGAGGGACTTGGGGCAGCCACAAGCGCCATCGCGCTTACGGCGAAGATTGTTTCTCTCTGCGCCGAGTACTCTTCTGCTGTCAAGAGTGCTAACCACGACATCCAGCGCCTTCAAGAGCGTGCCAGAAGCCTGGAGAGAACGCTGACGGATGTATTGGAACTTCTCCAAGGCTCCCACGGGGCTCGACTTAGGACGTCGCAGAAACTACGCGATGCTCTTAATAGTTCCCGCTTGCTCTTGGACACGATTGCTACAACACTCGAAAACAAGTCAAATGGAGGTCGAACGCAGAGAACAATGAGAGCTTTTGGGTTGCGGGCCCTAAAATGGCCCTTCGAAAGCAAGAAACTGGAGAACACCATCGCAGCCCTGGAGCTGCATCAGAATACCATGGCAGTCGCCCTACAAGTCGATCAAATGTACGTCGCATTTTCTTCATCTCATCTCTGCAATGCTAACGTTACACTAGGGCAGAAGTGCTCAATATTGGCCACAAGATCGACTTGTCCAAACTTCCAATCGCAAAGGGCGCCGCTTACAACTCTCAAGCTAACGAGTATGATCCCCGGTGCCATCCTAGAACCCGCCTCAACGTCCTCGCTGGCATATATAATTGGTTCGAAGACCCGCACGGAAAGTGCATATACTGGCTATGCGGTATGGCTGGCACTGGCAAGTCAACCATTTCTCGAACAGTGGCAGAATATCTTGGACAGAAGAAAGTGCCCTGTGCAAGTTTCTTCTTTAAGAAGGGCGAAGGCGATCGTGGTAGAGCTGCCTTGTTTTTCACTACGATTGCGGCTCAGCTTGTCCAACAATTACCATGTATAATCTCGCACATGAGGGCCGCAATTGAGGCGGACATGAACATCTCTGATAAGACCAAGAATGAACAGTTTGAGAAGCTTATCCTAGATCCGCTTGACAAGTGCGAGGGCCAACAATCTACTATAGTGTCTATAGTGATTGATGCCCTTGATGAGTGCGATCTGGAAGAAGATGTTAGAAGCATGGTTCATTTGTTCGCTAGAGCTATGGAGGTAACATCCGTTCGCCTACGTTTCTTCATTACCAGCCGGCCCGAACTCCCAATACGTCTCGGCTTTAAAAGCATCGGCGGCTCCTATAAGGAACTGGCTCTTCACGAAATCCCTAAGCCTGATATCAAAAACGACATTGCCATATATTTAGAAGATGAGCTGAAGGCCATTGTGCAGCGCTATAACATGTCGGTTGAAACAAGACGGCAACTACCATTGCAATGGCCTGGTGGTGAAAACACAGAGAAGCTTGTTGACCTGGCCATCCCTTTGTTTATCTATGCTGCGACTGCTTGTCGATTTATCAACGATCGCAGACTTGGTGGCCCAAACGAGCAACTGGAAAGATTTTTCAACTCCGATCTAAACACAAGATCTAACCTTGATGTGACATATTTGCCTGTGTTAGATCAGCTAACAAGAGGTCTCAAAAGCGGCGAAACAGAAGCCGTTATAACAAAATTCAAAAAGATTGTCGGTACTATCGTGCTTCTCGCTAACCCACTTTCAATAACTTCTCTTGCGAGTCTTTTGGCAATCGAGACTGAGAAAATCGACAACCAACTGGACATGCTTCACTCGGTCTTAGATATACCTTTGAATCCGGATGTGCCGATACGACTCTTCCACCTCTCTTTCCGGGACTTTCTCATCGACAAGGAAAATCGCGATGTAAACTCTTTCTGGGTGGATGAGCAGGAGACCCATCAGATAATCATGTTACGCTGCCTTGAGCTGCTTTCTACAGACAATCTTCAAAAAGATATCTGCGACCTACGGAGACCAGGAGCACTACGGTTAGAAATCGAACAAGAGAGGATAGATACTCACTTTCCACCAGAGATGCAATACGCGTGCCTCTATTGGGTCTACCACCTAAAGGAGAGCGGAGGAACAGTCCGTGACCATGACCAGGTCCATTACTTCCTGATCCGCCACCTACTGCACTGGATCGAGGCCCTAAGTCTTCTTGGCCGTATCTCAGAGAGTGTCAGTATGTTGGATAGCCTACTAGATATAGTTGATGTACGCGGAAGCTGTACCAATTCCAAATCAGTTCAATCAAAATGCTAACATTACCAATAGCCAGAAGAAGGTGCTGATATATCAGCCATGATCCGCGATATCAAGCGAATTATTCTTATTAATCGCTGGTCCCTTGATGAGGCACCACTCCAAATCTACTCTTCAGCTCTGATATTCGCACCAGAGCAGAGTGTGATTCGGAACATGTTTAGAGATCAGATCCCTCCTTGGATATCTCTGCTACCCCAGGTTGAAAGCAACTGGGATGCCTGCTTAGCGACACTTGAAGGCCACAGCGAGGGGACAATAGCAGTCAACTTCTCTCCAGACGGCCGACTACTCGCCTCAGCATCATATGATGGTACAATTAAGCTCTGGGATACAGCAACCGGTCGCTGCACGGCGACGCTTGTGAGCGAAGGCATATTCGCAGTCTGCTTTTCACCAGATAGTCGACGGCTGGCGTCAACATCACAAAAACAAATCAAGCTCTGGAATCCAATTACAGGCAGTTGTATAATGACGCTTGATGGCCATTACAACGTGGTAAAAGACATTAGTTTTGCTCCGGATGGGCGACGGCTGGCTTCAGCAGCACATGATCGTACCGTTAAGCTCTGGGATACAGAAACAGGCGATTGTATAGAAACGCTTTTGGGTCATAGATCCTTCTGGTTAGAAGGAGTCAGCTTTGCGCCAGATAATCGACGGTTAGCATCAGTGACAAACGAGGAGCGCATCGATGGCCCTTATGTGATATCATGCGACCACACAATCAAGCTCTGGGATACCGTTGTTGGCAATTGTATAATCACATTTACTGGCCATGATGACAAAATTAACGCAATCCGCTTTATGCCGGACGGCCGGTGGCTAGCTTCGGCATCGAATGATCACACTGTTAAGCTCTGGGATCCAGCAACAGGCAGCTGTATAGCAACACTTGTTGGCCATAATGACTGTGTAACTGCAATCAGCTTTACACCAGATAGCCGGCACCTAGCTTCGGCATCATATGATGATACAATTAAGATCTGGGATACGGCATCAGGTCTTTGCATGACAACATTCAAAGGCCATAGCAAATATGTTACGGCAGTTGGCTTCGCGCCTGATAACTGGCAGCTGGCTTCAGCATCATATGATTCTACAATTAAGCTCTGGGATACTACAATAAGCCACAGTCCATCAACAACAGATATCCACAGTGATAAAGTAACAGCCATTGGTTTCACCCCAGATGGTCGGCAGCTGGCTTCGGCATCAGACGATCACACAGTTAAACTCTGGGATACAGCAACTGGACGCTGCATAGCGACGTTTAAAGGCCATGAACATTCAGTTACAGCAGTTACCTTCGCACCAGATGGCCATCAGCTAGCTTCAGCCTCCAAATATGAGAAGACAGTTAAGCTCTGGGATGTAACAACTGGTCACTGTTTATCAACATTTCAGGATGGCGGTAGGATATTATCAATCTATTTTGCGCCAAATAGCCAGCAGCTAGCATTATTGTCAGATGAGAGCTCCACGGATTCATCATTTTGGAACAATACAACTAAGCTCTGGGATATAGCAACAGGCCACTGTACAGCAGTGCTTGAATGCAATCGTACACATATAATATCAATGGCCTTTTCACCAAATAGTCAAGAGCTGGTATCAACATCGACAGATCATAAAATCAGGCTTTGGGATTTATCCACTGGCAATTGCACAGCAACACTTCCCAATGAAGACACAGTAACACTTCCCAATGAGGAGTCGCCAGGCGCAGTCACCTTCTCACCAAATGGCCAGCTGCTAGCTTCAGCATCCGAGGATCACAAAGTCAAAATCTGGGATATAGCGACACATGATTGTATCATGACACTTGAAGGCCATAGTTATTGGGTCAGTGCAGTGGCTTTTGCACCAAATGGCCAGCTAGTATCAGCATCGGGTGACAATACGATTAAAGTCTGGGATATAGCAACAGGAAGTTGCACGGCAACGCTCGAGGGCCATGGCAGATGGGTAACTGCAATCAACTTCACCCAGGACGGCAAGATTGCTTGTGACCTAATCGATACAACACTGACTATTGAAACGAGAAGAGGGTACGATTTGTACTATCCATCACCAAAGTCGCCAATACGGAATCCTCCTGTCCATGGGCTCTCTTCTACAACACCAATTGTCAATCGTCAGGATACTGGAATCTATAGTCAAACATGGGTTACTTGGGATTCACACAGGATCTTATGGCTACCACCAGCTTATAGGCCGAGAATGTCAACTGTAAGAGCATCAACGCTTGCCATTGGGTGCGACTCCGGACGCGTGGTCTTTATACGCCTCTCGGATATGGATAAGCTATTTGGTTAAAAGTAGGCTATGTATAGAGAATATAGAAGCTGAATGTCTTCAGTTGAAAGAGAAACTAGTATAAAGTGGAAGATAACACTAGACGGAGTATACTCTACGTCGGCTACGATCCTTTGCCGCCAGTACCCGAACTTCTCCAAAGACGACTAGATTGTGATCGCCGTGCCAGTATAGAGGTAAGATTTAAACGGCGAAAAATGTAAGACCATTTCAAGTGTATACGATGATGATGGAATCGTTTTGACTGATTTGAATGCGGATTGCCGCTGAAGATGGGCTTGGTCTCGAGCCTTCATTAATTGCCTGCTGAGGGCCAACCTGAATTCGACAAGATGTGGCTAATGGTAGGTACTCATGCTTACTTTCGCCGTAGGGTTGTGAAACGCTTTTGGTATACTCATGCGTTTAGTAGATTCTAGAAACGCCGAGCGATGTTGGAGGATGTACTTTCTAAGTCCTCAGAATGGTACTTATGTAGCATCGCCTAAAAGAGGCAAATAGGGAATACGCTTTTAAAGAAGATCAGCCATAGGATACTTGTATCTGTACTACAGGTTACGATAAAAGACAGGGTACTGCTGGAAAGTAAGAATTGAGACGAATACACTCCTTTGGCTGACGATTGCCAGCAAAGCGGCGATCAGTTATCTCACTGGGTGCGAAACAGGTACGTATCGACAGTGCGCGCTTTGTAACGGCAGTATCCTATATCGCGTTTGCGACTGATAGACTTCATTCAACTATTTATGGATGATGGTATTAATTCCAAGTCTATTCATTCTAAGTAGGTCGCTTCCCCATTCAGCAGGCAAAACGTATGGTGAGGTGTACACATGTATTTAGCTTCTCCGGATATCTTTCTTCCCACACCCTTTGTTTATATGTGAGACGCACCACGCAGGAGAGAGGCTGTCTTTATATTGACTCAAGTACTACCAATTCAACATGGAAACATGATTGATCCATTCATTGGGTGATCACAAGATCACATGATCTCTAACAAATATCTATATGTATCATGTTGGGCATCAATCGTAAGGCGCTGCCCTTCACTTTCATCCTCCAAGCATCCCCGCTGCGAGCAGCCATGGCCGACAAATCTCGTCTTGATAGAGTATACGCAAAGCTCTTATCCAACCACCCATATGGGTGGGCTTTGTACAAGAAGGTCACGACTCAGGATATGCACCCAGGTAGTTGTGGCTATTTTGACTCAGATGGAGATTGGCATACCATCGTCGATCTCCGAAGCCCAGACGATCTCACTACTCATGGCTGGGCGCTTCCGGATGATAGGATCAATGAAATAAGAGCCCCAGGATCTACAAGGTGGGGTCCTAAAAGCTCAAAATCCGTCCAGACCATATGTATTGGAGGTACGGCTAAAGCAGCGTGAGTTTGTTCAATCTTATGACCTATTCTCAACTGTAAATATTGCAAGTATCGCTAAGTTTACTTCAGCGCTATGGCGAGCACTCTTGAGACCTCTTTGACAGTTTCTTTTAAGAGTAACAGTGACCAAGGCGCTGTGCTCACCACTACGGACCCTGTAACAAGGCATCAGCTCGGCGATGAGCTCAGCGCCTTGCAGTGGATGGCTGACAACACCTCTAAGATGATACATCAGCATAAAGATATCGTTAAAAGACATGGTATATGGATCATCACAAAGACTTACTCTACACGTAGTTGCGCTATCGCTATCATGTCAAGTGAATCGTCATCCATTGACATCACGCTCGATAATATGCAAGGGATATTAGCCTTGACGCCTAAAAGCGCATGGTCCAGAAGCTCTGGGAACTCTTGTACCGAAATACACGAAGATGTGGATGGAGTGGTTGTTTTTATCAGTGGAATTTATTTCTCTCAGAAGCGCTGGCGATCGAAGCTGGGTCAGGCTCGAGACCAGCGTCAGCAGAAAGATAAGCTTTACAGAGGAGACGAAAGTGAGACTGGGGATGGCGAGAGTAATGAACTGGACGTTGAATACTACCCTCCCATTGATGAAGATGATGATGAAGAGGCAGACGAGCAAGAAGATGAGTTTGTATGAATAGAGGAAGCTAAGCTTTTATAGAGCATGTCACAATCAAAGTGTAGCGGTGTTGAATTAGAAAATGACTGGAATATTCCACACTTGATACAATTCATATGGCGAACACTGCAGAGTGATACCACTTTGGCTAGAACAAAGTAAGTTTGTCACATCTATTGTAACACGCTGTCTCCAAACAAAACGTATTTAATCATTTGATCAGTTGCATATGTAAATGTATCTTATTTTTGCTGTGCAGGCGAAAATCATGCCCAACTCGAAATATGGATGCCTAATACTCAGATTCATTACCCAATCCCTTGACAAGGCACAATCAGCCATCAATCAACAGATTCCGAAGAAAATATCCGCACGATTTATTTATCATCGTTTCTGGGAGATCAATAGTAAAGTTTCCGAACAAAATATGTCGAAAAAATTTGCTCTCCTCGTTGGGATAGATCTATATCTGAGCGATGGCTCAAGAAAGGGATCTGACAACCTTCACCATCTTCGCGGTTGCACCAATGACGTGAAAGCCATCAACGAATTTCTCAACGACAAGTACAAATTTGACGAAATTACTACACTCACTTCTTCTTTCCCCGACTCCGACACTAACAATACCGCACCTATTGAGTCATCCGACCACTTACCCACGTTTGTCAACATAAAAGCCAAGTTTGCCGCCATATATGATCGCGCAGTTTCCGGAGACTTGTTTTACTTCCACTACTCTGGGCATGGGAAATTGCTTCCGCGACAAGCCGACTCTCCTAAAAGTAATACACTTGAAGACCCCTCGTTAATCACAGTTGATTTTTGCTGTGGCCAACCTGCAATTCGTGGATGGCAGCTCAATCAGTGGCTGAGGAAGCTCAACAACAAGGGTATCCGATTACTTGTTACCCTCGATAGTTGCTATTCTGAAGGTTCCTGGAGATCAAGCGGTGATTACGTCTCTCTTCGCACACCAAAAGATTGGTTTCCCGTGCCGAATCTGCCCGCAGACGACCAAGCAGCAGCAAACTCTGGGCAAAACGCAGAGCCTACCTATCGCGATGCTGAGCTTGGCAAATCCTGGTCCATAAATCCCGAATCATTTACGATTCTTGTGGCTTGTGGTAGTAAAGAAATGGCAGCTGAGAAGATTATTGATGGGAAAATACATGGTGCTTTTACATGGGAGCTGCTGGACTATCTCAAAGACAACGAAAGCGAGGGTACAAATGTGACATATCGGATGATATCAGACCAGCTTAATATGCGACTCAAGGATCAGACACCGAAAGTTTATGGCCGAGATAGACTGATTTTTCTTGAAAATTCCGAACCGTTCTCAGCGCTTTCTAAAGTTTTTTTGGTCGTGCAGCTTCAGGGAAACAAGGTTGTTGTACCGGCCGGTAAAGCTCATGGGGTCAACGTGGGATCCGAATTCATGCTATCACCACGAACACAGAGTAGTTTGTTCTCTGTGGACGAAGTAAGTGAATTTTGGTGCGGTGCGACATTGTCTGAGAGATTGTCACAATTGTTAAAGGGGTATCGCCACACTGTCACTTTATCCCGATGGCATCTAGGCAAGGATTCATTTCAGGTATATGTTGATCCCGCCTTTGGCTCAGACTTTCGCAGCAAACTGCAAAAACGGCTTGAGGAGAGAATCATTAGCCCTATAGAGATTCTTGTATCGATCAACAATCGTACAGACGTATTAAGGCTCGAGAAATGGGAGGGAGATGTCGCCAAAATCTGTGGGCCAGCGTGGTTGATTGGCTCCGACGATCCTGTTCGACCACTTGATCTAGAAAAGGACAACTTCAGCGAGCTTGCTACAGAAGCAGCTCTCGCACTTGCGCATCTCGCCCGGTTCTGGCAGATCCTCCTCCTCAAAACCCAGTCATCGTCCAAGCCGGCCTTGTTCAACGTGAGCATAAAGCCAGTGAATGGTGATACTACAGCCGGTGTATACCCAATTCATCAAAAGTTCAGATATACCCTCGAAAACGAGAGTGACGAACAGTTGCACGTTACTGTCGTGGTATTCAGCCCAGAGTTCAGCATCGAGCAACTATACCCACCGAGGGACGATCCACAGACCATCGACCCCGGCAAAAGAAAGACGTTCAGTTTCTCCATGACACTCCCCAACGGACCTCAGTGGGTTCAAGAGTCACTGTGTCGCACCAGTCGTCGAGATATTGTTCGTACACTTGTTACAAAGGGTGGACGGATCTCCTGGAAGAGCCTAGAGCTTCCGAATATATGGGACGCAGGCGAAGTTGGTTTACCCAAACTGCCATCCCACACTCGTGGAGGCTTTTCTAGGCTGCAAATTGAAGCGGATTGGTGGTCACACGACGAGGAAATCTTTACAGGGTCTGCCGATAATACATGTGTTTAGTACGTATACGACTAAGGACACCTTCAATACATCACATTGCCCCTTGAAGTCTCTCGAAAAATGTTGAGAATAGTGCATTAAGTTAGCAGATGCACATTTGCTAATACGTAGAAAGATTACGACATACGACAGTCGATTTCGGAGAGAGTCAGATTATTACATGTGGTTACTAGCCAGAGCGTAGATAGTTTAGCATTGTTGGGTTATATTTCATCGAAATAGTCCAAGTTCCAAAAGAATCGACGAACAAATGAGAGAGGAATGAACCAAGAGATGAGTGGAAAATACAGATTGAGTGGTTTCATAAAAGAATCTTGAGCTTTGTATCTGGGATATCTGTCTAATACCACTATTTCTGGATCCTTCTGTAATATCGTATCAAGCTCCATAATGGACGTATGGTATCCAAAGCGGCCGACCCAGCTCTTCCTCTTCATCCAGTTGCGCATGACGTCCTTCTCTCAGTCCATCCGCTGCCCTGTCTTCAGACCTGCTTCTTTGGTCTAATGCATCGACCCATCGGTCTCGAAGTGTCCTAACAGCACCGTGAAGGGCCCAACTCACAGACTCATCTTCAAACCCTTTACATAAAGATTTGTATACCATCTCAGCCATATCAACGCAAAGCTCGTCATCGACGCTCCAGAGAGTGCCTATGACATGGCGAAATCCAGCCAGTTGACAAGCACTTACCAGATGGATACTTTCATCCGCAGCATGGTCGTTTAATATCTGGCCAGTCCCACATGCTGATAAGTATGCAAGAAACGGGGAATTTAGGCCGAGATTCGTTTCTAACAGACTTGCTACTGTAAACGGTTCGTCTTGCCAATCTGCAAGAAGTAACGCACTTTGTAGCGGATCTGTGGGGTGGGTTCTGCCATGGCCAGCAAAATGAAATATTTGACAGTTCTCTATAGCCGACATCACATCGGTTTTGAGTTGCTGAGGCCGTCTGCAATCTGCCTTCGACTCCAGTATATCTAGTACAGCATCGACCTCACGATTTGCGTGCAATAGTGGTGCAAACCCCTCCGTCTTATCCATAGCGACAGCAACAAGGCTCAGAGGCTTTGCTGCTACTGGCGCACTTCGTTTGCGGCTTTGGATAATTGCCTTAACGGATGTAGCGTATGATGAAATGACTCGATCGAGTGTTGTCTCTCCACTCCGCCTCAGATGATGCCCAGCCGCATGCAGCGGAAGTTTTATAAGGGGACCTGTAGGTATCCACCATATGTGAGGCCAACAGCCGTCTGATGGAGTGCTAGTAAAACCAAGAGCATCAAGCACGGGGCCTACAGCATTATCCCAGAGCCAAGAAAGTGTTTCAAGAGACTCCGGATCTTTGGAATGTACGTTTGTCAAAGTCTCAGACACAAAATCTCCAGAGAGTTGTGGAAGTGGTATGCTTCTAAGGCCTGACTGTCCAATAACCAAAGCATCGCAGCGAAAAGTGCTCCAGTTTAGAATTACGATCGGCCCAAAGGTTGCTGCTTGTAACATATCGATCTCTGATGCGGGAAGAAGAAAGTGTTCAAAATTCATTTTTGCCCGGATTGTATCAAGAAGGTTGGTAAAATCTTTTTCTGATCTGTGGCGCCTGTTGTCCTCGATCTCGGCCTCCATAATGGATTTATTTATCTCTAAGACAGGATGCCGTGGAGCCGACTGGTCATATCGATCTCGCAGGACCAAGAAAGAATGCGCCAGATCTGGATGGTATTTTTCGAGAGATTTTAAGTCGTATTGCTCAAAGACAGCTCTTCCGATAACTCCGCGACCTGTTTCAAGGCATTCGACGGCAGCAATGGGGCCTCGGTCAACGGATAATGTGTGCAAAGCAATAGCTGCTGCCCTTGATGAGGTCCCAACAACTTTGGCCAAAACATGTTGTTTATCAGAGTTTTGAAGAGAGCGAGACGTGAGTAATGGGATGAAATCGATTGTGTATCTGGCAATATCATATGCTTTGGGTTCTTCCAAAAAGTCAGGTGATAGCATAGCCTCTCGACCAGCTTGAAATCGAGTCAGAACGTCTGCTGGCTCATGGTATAGAGCATCAATAAAGCATTGCCGGGCGTTTTGTATGACTGCCATGGTATCGACATCAGTCAACTTGAAGTCTATAATTCCTTCCAAACGAGCCAGGAAACGCTCTTGAATGAGATGATGTAACAAATCATCTAATTTTTTCTCATCTAACAGATGCTCTATGTTGATCGCACCGGATAATTCCAACTCGATCTCATCCGGTGAAGGCAAAGTAATATCCAGCGAACCCACAATATTGATCTCATTTAGCAATTGTTCCAGATTGAGGCCACTCAGTAAAGGCTCTAGATAGAGGCCATACTGTTTGCAAGTAGTTATAGTCTTTAGACAATAGAGGTCTGGTACGAGATCGAGCTTCTTCATTACGAAGAACATTATGAAACTTTTGATAGCTTTAGCGCGAGCAAATTTGTGCCTCAGCAACTGCCCAAGATGGATCAGATGCCCAGCCCTGTGGGGATGATTTATCATAACAGGGTCAATGGCATTTTGCGAAACGCGAATAGCTTCCTCAAGGTCTGCGAGCTGCCCAGTACTCTCATGTCTCCGCCAAAGATAGGTTGATAGGTTATGTGAATTATCCATTTGCTTCGAAAGTCCAGAGGAAACCCTAACAGCCTCTCGTGACACAAGTATAGCTTCTGTAAGATCTGCGATTTCTCCGGAGTACAGATATCTATCGTCTAGGGCCGATGCAAGAGATGCAAGCGCAGCTCTCCGACTATTCCCCATTGAGTCGGTATCAAAGTTGCTCTGAAAAATGGCTATAGCTTCGTTGAGATCTCCTATCTCATGAGTGCGTTTTGATCTTGTCATTAGACGAGCTCCAAGGCTGAGCAAAATACCAGGGCGATAACGAGAGGCTAACGAGACACATTCCGCGGCTTCTCGTTGTAAACGAATTGATTCTTCAAGATCTGATATTCCTTTAAAGATAACATATCTTTGATGTAGATAAGATGAAAGGTTAGCCAAACATAGAGGCCGTGTCTCAAGATCACACGAGGCTTCAGAAACAGCATCTCGAAGATTCTGAATACTTTCATCAAGATCTGATATTGTACCAGTGTATTGAAAGCGGGCAAACAACGACTTCGAAAATCTCATCAAGAAATCAGTCCGTCGCAACTGACCCGCCGAGCACCCGGCAGTGTTGATGATTTCTCGAAATAGGGATACAGACTCCTCGATGTCATCGAATGCCAAGGTACGATTGCATCTCTCCGCCAGAAAAAATGCAAGAAATGAGACAAGATTGTCTCTAAGTGGATCGTCTAGCGGGATGTTATTGAGGGCCTCTCGACACCAGTAAATGGCGTCGCTGAGAATTGTTGTTGCATCGGTAATCAAAAATTTATCGTGATGTAGTCCTGCCAGGTAACATAGCAATTTACTTCGAGAAGAATGATCTGTTGGAGTAATTCTAACAGCCTCTTGCAACACCACAATGGCTGCGTCAATATCTGGTAGTGCCCTAGTGAGTAAACCCTTGCTGACTAGACAAGTTCCAAGGTCCTCCAAACATTGTGCTAATAGCAAATTGTCTTCATAGCAATTCTCGGCAGATGCATAAAACATGTAAATAGCTTCCTCAAGGTCTCTGGTTGATTTTGTAATAGAATATTTGGCCTTCATATTCTTTCCACACTGTGTATAAATCAATACAGAATCATTTATCGAAACTGAGTTTTCAGCCCGGCTTGAATTCTTCAGCAAAGCTGCATTAAGAGCATCTTGGCCCAAATAAACAGCCTCATCGATATCTGTGGCGTCCGCTGTTTGAGAGAATCGGTACCTTAATAGGCTGGCAAGAAGCGTAAAGCCTAGAGGATAACATCGATGATCCGGCATGATAGTGTTGATAAATTCTCTGGTGATATCAATAATGCTATTGAGATCACCTAGATTTTTCGTGTGTTCATACTTGCTGACTAGGTAAGTAATCAGAGCATATAGTCGCTGAGGCAAATGCTCGTCATCCAGTGGAGATATTTCGATAGCTCTTTGCGTTATTTGAATAGCTTTCTCGAGATGAAGTATCAATTTGGTGGAATTGTATCTCTCGTATAGATAGGTTCCGGCGTCATCAAATAGCATGGTTTGATGAGAGGCTGGAAGTGAGGAATTTGTAGCATCCAGTTGTTCAATCACGGCGCCATCAAAAGCTTCCATTGCTTTAGGGTCATCCATAATATCCTTGATAACCTCAAATACCCCTGAGCTCAGAACAAATGTTTCAAGGCTTTCTCTTGCGTCTGGATTAAAGACGATGTCCTTGAGAGTCCCCATTGATCCAAGGGTGATATTTTTAAGTTTCTTCATTGCTTCTGAGCCAGCAGCAAAACTCTTGAAAGCGTCCATTGTGCTAACTCAGAGACTTTCTGCGTGGCAACTTTCGACAAATTAGACAGATAACGTAAATATTTCGTCGGCGGCAGCAGTAGTTTCTAATTCCTTAAAAAGGACTAATTGTGTTAGAAAGAATAACAAGTTCGATGGCATCTTTTTTAGTCATTTCGGAGACTCACTGGCCAATATATTTAACAATATCACGGCTAAATGGATTGATAAGTCCAGGACTTTCGAGTCGTAGCTAACGATGAGTCGTAGTGAGATTTAATCTACTCAAAGAGGGGTTACATCTCTTATATCAGCATCATGGCGTATGAACATTAACGTAAGAAAATCGTAAGCAGCACGAAATGTTTGTATCCCATGACAACATTCTGCCTAGCCCCTTCTCAGAGTTTCTAACTTGAGTTCTAGATTCAAGAGATAATTCAACCTTGCGCCGTGGCGTTGTCTTCTAAGCAAATAAGAATTCTAGGTATGCTAAAAGCATAACTCGGTGCTGTCAGTCCTATCAACCAAAAAGCCAATATTGACACGTACGCCATGCATGCATCCGACAGACAAGGATGCGTAGCTTCAATCACAGTTTGCCACGCTCACAATTACCAGTCTAGAGATGCCACGTCCTGCATCGCCGTGGCTGAATCCAGCGTTACAGTTTTGCCCCGTAGAGGGCTGTGTCAGTCAAAACAAGGCTGCGCATGTCTTGTCATGGGTATCATTGGCCAAAGTTTGGTCAGGCAGATATTGGGCGAGTTATCACCGAAACATGGGGTTCCAAATACCTGATTGGTCGATCCTTCATTCAAGCAATTCGCACATCGCGAGTAAATAACAAATGTGCATTGTGTTAAATAAACTCTAAATATAAACCCTGTAATATTCTCGCATCATTCAACATTCAATTTCAACGATTTCATGCGATCAAAAGTGACTATAAAACTCGACTATTTCTTATATTTTGATACAAAGTCTCACTTCACATGATACAATAACTTTTGAGAATACCATTCTTGTTCCATGTCAGCTTGTTAATACTTTTCAAGGAAGCATCACCCGGAATATGTCTCAATCTGCCCCTTCCATGATAGGCTACTCTCAGACTGGATTTTATTCATCAAATATCGCTCTGCCTGTTGAAGCATCTTATAATTACATTTACAGCCATGAAAGCGACGCACCTGGTCCAAATCATCATCAGGCCATTCCAGACGCTATTCAAACAAATATCGGGCCAACCGCACTATTGAATCCCTTCAACCAGACGCGCTCCAGAGCTACACAAAATTGGCATCTTAGAAAACTCCATGGCGAGAAATCCAATACTCTGGATGAACTCATGCAGTATCAGGGACTGGAAGCGGTTAAGCAGCACTTTCTTGATCTCAAATCCATGGTTGACATCTGGAAAAAGCAAGACCCAGAGGAAACGATGGATATTTTAAAACAGGAACGGTTTAACATCGTCTTCCAAGGAAATCCTGGAACGGGTAAGGAAAGCTTCAAATATACAACCTTACATAATTTGGCTAATGTATCTGTCGTGTGAAGGGAAGACGGTAGTTGCTCGGATATACGCCAAGTTCCTAAACGAGATGAAAATCTTACATTCCGATTATATTAAGGAGACATCTGGCGTTAATATAGCCTTGGGGGGTGGGAAACATATGAAAAACATCATCAACTACATGAAAGTTAATAAGAAAGGTGGCGTCATCTTTATGGACGAAGCTTACCAGCTTATGAGCTCCTATGTTGATGGAAATGGTAAACAAGCTCTTGATGTGCTTCTGACAGCACTGGAAAATAACCTGGGCAGTATTGCAGCTATTTTTGTGGGCTATAAAGACGAGATGGTGTCTTTTTTTGAGCATAATCCAGGTCTAGAGAGCCGTATTCCTTACGTTGTTAACTTTACGGACTTTAGCGATGGAGAACTCTGGCAAATCCTAGTGGATAAGATCAAAAAGCAGTATCAAGGTAAGATGCGCGTTGAAGGTGGCTTCGATGGTCTTTATATGCGCATCGTTATTCGTCGCTTAGCACAAGCTCGAGGGTGCCGCAATTTTGGAAACGCTCGCGCTGTCGAAAACCTGCTTGTCCGTATTAAACAACGTCAAGCTCGCAGGTTAGCGCAAGAGAAGATTGAACATTGTCAATATATTGACTACTTCCTCTTTACCAAAGAGGACCTTATAGGCCCCAATCCTTCAGCAGTGGCGAGGTTGTGTCCGGCTTGGATCGAATTGTACAAACTTATTGGACTTGAAGAAGTCAAAAAGTCTGTGGAAACCCTGATCGGAATGGTAGAGCTCAACTATCAGAGAGAACTACTTGAAGGACTTCCTATCCAATTTTCACTCAACCAAGTCTTTGTCGGAGCTCCAGGAACTGGAAAAACCACAGTTGCGAAATTATACGGTCAAATACTAGCTGAACTAGGCTACCTTAGTTGCGGCGATGGTAACTACTATGTTCCCTTTGGCTCTTTAGTTGAGTTTCTTACTAAGTTGCTTTTAGTCGTTCTGAAAACGCCCGCTGACTTCATTGGCGACTGTTTGGGAAAGTCGGAGACCAAAACAAGACAAATTCTAGAATCCACCGTTGGTAAAGTCCTTATTATTGATGAAGCTTACATGCTCGATGCTGGCGACTCCCAGAGGGACCAGGACAAATTCAAAGCAGGTATTATTGATACTATTGTATCAATGACTCATGGATTACCGAACGAGGATCGATGCATTATCCTTGTTGGCTATAAGGATAAGATTCGTGAAATGTTCCAAAACGCCAACCCTGGTCTCTCACGGCGTTTTCCTATCGAACATCCTTTTCACTTTGAAAATTTTAACGTTGAACAATTAAAGGACATTTTGATCCTAAGGGCTAAAGAGGATAATCTAGTCATCACCGAGGATGCACTACTTGCTGCGCAAGAAATCTTTACACGGGCTCTTATGAGGCCTAACTTTACTAACGCTGGCGAAGTGAACAACATGTTTGCTGCAGCAAAGATGAGATACGCAACTCGCCTATTAAATCTGCCCATGAATGAAAGGATCTTTGCCACAGCCTTAGAAGCCGTTGATTTTGATCCAGAAGCTGGCAAGAGAGATGAGTCAGAGCTAGCCTGCGAAAAAATGCTAGACGGAGCAGTCGACAGTCGGATTATAGACAAAATTGCTAGCTACCAGCATGGTTACCGTATGGCAACAAAGCTAAACCTAAGCCCAAGAGCCTTCGTTCCGACCAACTTTATATTCAAAGGCCCGCCAGGTATGTGCCCCGATCGCCCGCTATCGCATCTTTTTCTTCCCTCGCCATGTTTCAGCAGTTGAATGCTCAACTAATCTTCTTTACTCTTTTGCCAATTTATTTCCTCATGATGTTCCACTTACCAGCTAGCCCAAATTCTGACATTTCGGCCTTTTTAGGTACTGGAAAAACAACGACAGCTAAACAAATGGGCAAAATTTTCTATAACATGGGTTTCGTCTCAACAAACGAAGTTATCGAATGTACCGTCACCGATCTTGTCGGCCAGTACGTAGGACAAACTGCGCCGATGACAAAGAAGAAGCTCCAGGAGGGTCTTGGCCGTGTATTAATCATCGATGAAGCCAACCGTCTTATCAATGGCTCTTATGCGTCAGAGGCTGTTGATGAACTTCTTAGTTTTCTCGCAAATCCTTCGAATACTGGGAATATGATCATCATTCTTGTTGGTCTGACAGCTGAGATGGACAAGCTCCTATCTCAATATCCAGTACTATCCAATTTCTTCCCGGACGAAATCACCTTCGAAAATATCTCACCCGATGATTGTATAAAATTGCTCATAAAAGAGCTGAAGGGGATAGGCATTCATGCCGCAACCAGTTTCCTTCTCGATCACAGTAAAGATGAGTACTGCAAGATTCGACAACTATTTCGCTCCCTAAGCGTCCAACAATGCTGGGGTAATGCCCGCGATGTTAAGGCTTTAGCCAAACAAATCACGACGCGGTTCATCAGTACTCAAACTTCATGTGCTCTGCAAAAAGAAATTTCGATGCAATGTGTAACCGAGTCGATGGAGCAGATGATTGCACTTCGAAAAGGTCGTATGAAACCATCAACTTCCGGTCACTCTTCGAGCAATTTTAGCCAAAGATCACAAGAAAATCCGCAGCAGGTTATGGTACCACAACAGGTGCCAGCCACAGTTCACACCGGCAAACGTAAAGGAGTCTGGGATACGGATAGAGGCGTCGATAATGGCAGCGCTAAGCGACACCAAGGGTTAGCAAGTTACATGCCCCCCTCACAATCAAAATATTTCCTTTCAAAGGAAGCGGATACTCCTCTAAAAGAGGAGACGCAGCAGCAGCCATCAACACGGAAAAAAGTCTCACGAGAAGATGGAGTCTCAGATACAGACTGGGAGAAAATCTGCAGCGCCAACACGAACCGAACTATCAGACAGAAGCTGCTAGAGTTACAGTTAGCGGGACTGCAACGAGATATGAAGAGTGACGAGAATAAAGAGGACAGTGATTATATGTCGAAACTCCAGGATCGGCTTGAACAGGCTCAATCAAAGATAAAAAAAGAAGAAGAGATCCAAAATGCTCTTCATGCGATGGGGCGGTGCGTGATGGGATACGCTTGGACTAAGCAAGACGGAGGTTATCGGTGCGAGGGAGGATCACATTTTGTGTCAGATGAAGAACTTGCGACCAAATTATAGAGATTTAGTGTTACAAGGAGTACAAGGGGCGCTCTGAATCTGTCAAGTGATCGGATAAAATTGGACTCAGCAGCTCTTTGACAAGCAGGAATCACAACTCGTCTACCATTCATGAACATGGAGACCAACTGAGTGGTGACTTTCGAAAAGATTGCGCGGTCAGTTAAAGTTCTCGGTGGATAGGAAATGGAAAGAGGCCACTGAAAGCATGTAGACACCAGTGCTCAAGGCAATAGAATAATCCATTTCGAGCTAGAATATTATTCAATCGCCTCTTTGTCTTCATCGCTCCTCTGTCCCAGAATCTCGACCTGCGGTGCGCTCTCTGTCTATCCATGACTGTTTGCACTCAGTCAAAGCTGCATTACTTTTAATAATCCCTTTGAATTATAGATATAAATTAATCGATGGCCCATGCAACTTCACTAAGCTGCATGCGCTACTAGCTATCAGATTTGAATCGGTTTGCGAGTTATTGCTTTTGCATTCGGTCTACTGCTGGTTTCAGACACATCAGCAGCTACCGACTCTGCCTCATTTGCCGGCATTTCAGCTCTCGGTGGTGCCGGCTGCGCATCCAATTCGTGAATCGTATTTGTTTGCGCTTCAAGCTCGGGTTTAGATGTATCATCGGAATGCCGCGCATTTAATTCGTGTTTCGTGTTTGCTTGCGCATCAAGCTCGGGCTTAGGTATATCATCGGAATGCAATTGAGCTCTATCGTACCTGGGATCGAAAGGATCAGGTTTGGAGTGTCTATGCCGCCGCCGCCAGAAATAAAATAAAGCGCCAATCACGATGGCGAGTCCGACGATGGCGCCGACAATAGGACCTGCTATCCAGGCATGGCTTGATGGCGTAGCTGCAAGGTTATATATATCAGATATAAAATGCGAAAACGCTAGAGGATTCCCACAAAGAGTATATACCTGAAATAGGTGGACCCGAAGCCGTATTCTGGGGAGCAGGAGATGTCGGAGTTGCCAAAGTTGAAGCTGTTGTGGTTGCTCTTCTTGATGATGATGTGGTAGTTGACGCATTCTTTGTCGGTAGGAGATACACAATTGTCGTTATTTGGCCATTAGTTGACGTATATGTCAACGTTGAATACGAAAGTAGATGGCAGAACTCAAGAAATGGAAGCAAAGATGAGATGCTCGACGTGCCACCGCCAGGATTGGTGCCCTGCGCCTTGATGCAAGCGGTACAAATGTCAAGCGCTTGAAGGAAGGAAGAATTGGAAGCGCATAACTGGCTCTTTAATCCTTCACGGGAAGCAATTAACGAAGCCTGGTCTAATGATAGTATATTAGCTCTGAAACCGGCGGAATCTCGAACGCAATCGATGGATAAATATTTCACGACGTACTGCACCTATCGTAGCACGCAGCGGGCACAGAGCCGCCATTATCTTGCCGCGCAAAGAGATCTTTGGACCAAACCATTGATATTGTATAACAATAATGTTTTCTTTTAAGCTTCTGTCAGAGCGATCATTTTCGTAAACCTTTGAAGAGAAGGAAAGAAGAAAGATTCTGGTCGGGAATTGCGGCTTTGGAGCGTAGCCTTATCGCATAGCCTAATATTACAATGTTACATGGTGTTGGTTTGAGAAATTATTGAAACCCCCGCTTCGAAGCGAGAGATATTCTTCATGGCAAAGGGCACGTGAACTAGATGGCGTGACTAACAAAAGAGGAATGTGTGTTTAGCCATTGCTCAAGGAAACTGGGCGCGAGGAGGATTTTCTTGATTAAACTCAGCCTTCATTTACTCCAGTATACGAATGCAGAATCGACAGCACATCGCAAAAGTGTCCATTGTTTCATGTATATACACGCATACAACAAGCAACGCATCAACCGAAATGCACAGCTCTGTATTTCAGCTAATCAGTGGAAGCCGCATGGCTACCAGCGTTAATACGCGATTGAGCATCAAGTAGATCCAGAGTAACTGCCTCTACATACATGTACTTGTCAGAATCAATACTCTTACTACCTCACATTACATAGGGCATCGACAACCAAATGGAACAACCAGCTTTCTCTCCTGAAGAGGCTGTAGATACCAGTTTACAAATAACCAGTTTCGCGATGGGACTAGGATACACCACAGACGCAACAAAACCTCACTCAATCTCCATCTGACCCACCGACCGGCCCGAGCCGCCATTCGTCTCATCCCATATCCACGCAACGAGGATCTCATCCATCGTCCTGATCTCGTAGATAAGCTCAAAGACGTAGAGCTAACTGGCTAAGAGGAACACAATTCGCGCTCAACTACGTATACCGGCGGTGCACCGATGCCACTTACTCTATCTTATACATGCACGCTGATACCGAGGCAATATTTTCACATGATTGCAAAACAATAGCGCAAAAGCTTTAAATTGCCTAAGCGATAGAGCTTTCCTCGAGGCTGTGCGTGAGGCATAAATAACGCAATGTGCCGAATAACGTGTTTAAAATATAGTAGATCAAGGGCTGAATACATATATAAGGTTCTTCATATTACAAGATATGTCAATAAGAAAATGTTCCTGAAGAAATAATAATAACGGTGCTCAAACACCTTGACAACCGTCTAAGAGACGATAGAGAGGAACAAGAATCTGATACTTTTAAGATCGTCACACAGTTGAAAAAGGTTTTTTGGGGTAGAAGTAAAGTAGATGGCGATGGAAGGAATTATGAGATGTATAAACTCGTACAAGGGGCTATACGATATAGCCTGAATGTGGGGAAGTCAAGCACAATCAACGAAAGAATATCATCCTCAGACATGTCTCTCTGGGGAAGAGACCGAGATGCAAGCAAGCTGACACACCCAGCCTATCGATTCAATGGACATGAGCAACTATGAGCACATGGACGGCCAAAAATATTTCTCGGGTATCGCTCTACAAGCACGGCAGACCTTTTCCCTGATCCACAACGAGATACCTAGAAACAATGCGGGAAATTCTTAGGACCTGTATTGCAAATCGGATAGTGGGTAGATCAAGATAGCACAGCTAGTCAGAAAGCAGCTGAGTTTCTTCATCACCGTGAGGGCAGTAGAGAGCGAAAGAGCGTTTGGATTAAGAAAATACTAGGACTCAGAAGAGAAAGGCTAGAGCATCATCATCTAGATACAATCTCAGCCATAGGAACCCTTTTAATAACATGATTTAGACAAGGCCGGATTAGCGAGGCAGAGCTCTTAACAGTTCAAGTGCTGGATAGCCAACGAGAGATTTTCGAAGACAATCACCCGAAACCAATTCTGGCCATACAAAGCCTCACTTGGAGTTGGCATGGGTTGAGTCGAAATGAGGATGGAATTGCGTTGGTGCAGTAGGCTGTAGAGTATAGCCGCTCTAGTGAAGACAATATCGTCCCTTGACCGAGAATACTGCCGAGTATCTTCAACACTTTGAATCTTGCCCGAGGGAGTAGGAAACGAACAATCACTAATGGCTTCAGCTTTTCTCTTGTTGGGGGTTAGAGAGGGTGTTGAATGGAAACGGGTAAATTTAGGCTCACAACACTGCATACCAAAGCCACGAGTAACCTCAAATTGTTCAGACTTTGGTTGAGAGATCCAGGAGAATTACTACACGTATCAAACTATTGTTCAAAGAGCACGCCGGTGTCATGACAAGATGATATCACTTTGCTTTCAAGAAACATGTTTATGAGCTAACAAAGTATAAACGGTCTACTTCTTCCATGAAAAGAAGAATACAATGACCTTTTACGTGTCTTTTTTGCCTTAAAATATAACAATGAGTTTATATGCCTTGGCACGCGTCAGCCAAATTATAATTTGCGACTTGAACACAACTATCTTAAAGATAGTAGATATCTATGTTTATCGCACGAGGTCAGATACAACCCCTATTTTTAATATATACTCGAGCCAAATAATGGTAAGGCAACTGAAATATTATTCAATTGCCTTTTTCCATCTCCCTTCTCTAAAAGTTTTAGAATCTTAATCAATAATGCGATATCTCCTTATTTATGACTCTTTATACTGAGTGAAAGCTGTATTGCTTTTGAGAACTTTACGTTGAATTTGACATTAGCATGGTTTACACAAAACTAAAATATTGAAAGGATATAGGTCATAGAGTTGCATGTTTGTTGAGAGCAGTATTACGCGCTGTTGCGGAACCCCTCTTCCACAAATAAAAGAATAACAGCATCCCGCAATAGATGCCAAGATGATACGATATTATCCCATCATCTCATGATCAAATAGAGTTACCTAGAGACAAAATAATTGAACCGAAATGCATTTGACAGAGGCCAATCACAATGCTTCAACGTCAGATATCACAGAGGCCTCGTATGAGAATTCATCTGTCTGCTACCCTGCGCTACACATAGACAACATGACGGATGGTTCATATCCTCCAGATTGCTAATCATCTACAAATTAATCTCCCCATTCATCTATTTTAACATCTCGTATTCAATCGAAATCTCTCCTTTTCGGCCAATCGGCGCAATGTTTCTTCTTAAGCGGACATCCTATCAACCGGAAAACCTGAGATACCCGACAACACCATCCGGATCTTCGCGGGATCATCACCACAACTGCCGTGGGATTTTAATACAACCTTCGGATATTCTGCATGATAATCCGACGAATAGATAAGTCATCCCTTAGATATCCGCGCCCAGCCACAGGTTCCTGGCAGCGAAAGCCGTCGTTAGGCGCCATTATGCCAAGAGAATGCGATGCTAAGGGGTTACATGCATCCCTCACCAAGTGCAGAATGGAAAGTAAGGGCGTCGGTCGAGATTGGCTTTAAATACAGGATTGATATGGGTAATGGAACCGTGGCATTGAAAAAAAGCCTAGTCGGCTCAATTCATACGGCCGCAGCTACGTTATTGGATGTTCTCTTCCCTTGGCAGGCAGATGGTTCATCTGGAGTGTTGCGTGTAACTGCTATCTATATTAGCACACTACATTATCTTCCTTAATCATTTAAGATGTAGATCATTCATAGATAGATAAACTGGATAAGCAGTTGGGTAAATACTATGTGCGTAATACTATATAGTAGATAGTAGCGTCCTAAAACACACCTGTCCCTGAATACTATATCACATCCCCACCACCATTCTTTATTGACTCAAAAACCACAATTTAAGCTGCTTCGGAGCAAAACTTAACCCCCGGCATTCGCAATAGTGAACTCCCCTCCAGTCCTATAAGCTCGGTGAATGGCATCATTGCAGCCGATCGGAACGCAACCCCGGAATCCCGCCCCGATCTGGCAGGTCGATACACGCTCCCACGATACTGTTCGTAGCGTCGCTTTCTTGGCCCTTCTGATAATGCGCGTCGTTTTTAAGCGACCCATATAAGGAATCCTGGCTCCGGAAAAAGGAGTGGGAAATTTCATGCGCCGCTTTGTTAAGCTTAACACGTATAGTTACTGTCAAATGCTAAACTTGCCCCACGCTGCTCAAAGGCAATTCGATAGAATATGCCCGATGGCTGAGGGGTCGCGAACCGCCTAGGCCCGAGGAAGAAGCTGCTTTTCGTAGATGCCGCAGACTAGAGCCGTCAATTAGTTTAGTTTTCTTTTGCTTTGCTCATCTGAGGGCCTATAGAGTGACTAAAACGATGTGATTCCAGGTTATAGGCAGCTGACCAAGTTCTGATGCCCAAATCCATTGCGTGGGATATAGTTACATCGCCCACAAACTTGGTCAACGCCAGGAGTTTCTCAGTTCGTATAGGATCGTCGATAAGAGTATTTTTGCCTTGGATACTCACTCATTGGGCAATCTCTTGGGTGGGATTCGCCTTCGCTGCCGCTCCTTGTTTGCTCCCCGAACCAGCCGAACCTGGCCGTTGGATCATGTCGTTGCGTGCCATTGAACATGGACTTTTGTTCACCCTAAGGGCCTTGGCGATGGGGAATCCCATAGTTGCAAAAGTTCTCAAGAGAATTCTTGGTGTTTGAACATAATGGGAACACAACACCTTCCTTTTTCCTCGTCGTCTTTGCGTGAATTACCCGCCAAGATTCGCGATGCCGTAAATCTGGACTCAGAGACGTGATCACATTCTTCTTCGAGTGTAACATCCGGCTTTTGTATACTGATAAGGAACTCCGAAGGAAACAACTTGCGAGATGGTCGAGATGCTGTTGTCGAAAATCCCGAGCATAAAAGGGTCCAATGGCTCCTCGTTATTCCAATAGATGAGCCAGCAGGTTGCTTCACAAGGACGATCATTTGGTCCTCGCTCTGGTGCCTCTCCAGCTTGTTTATCTCTCTGATTGCCTCTCTTGTTACAATGAAGTCTGCCATCCTTCTCGGCCTCACCGGCCTTGCTGCCAACGTGCACGCTCATCCCGCTCCGCACCCGGAGACCGGCTCTGGCTTGGCCAAGCGCGGCATTGATATCAGCAAGTACAGCCTGCCCAGCCTGTCTGACTACACTCCTTCGACACACGTCGAGGAGGAGGCGTCTATCCAGGCTGAGGGTTTCAAGCGCGACTACGTCGCCACCGCTACCCGAGCTGTCAAGCGAGCTGCTCCCAACGCGGAATTCCGTGTCGTTCCCGACCACTATATCGATGTTGACGGCATTGGCCACGTCCACTTCAAGCAGACAGCCCACGGCATTGACATTGACAATGCTGATTTCAAGGTCAACGTAAGTGAGACGAATAAGAACCCTCGCTCGCGGATAGAAGCTTACCAATGCCTTGCTTCAGATTGGCCGAAACGGCAGAGTCTTCTCTCACGGCAACAGCTTCTTCTCCGGCAAGCTGCCCGCTGAGAGCCCCCTGAAGAAGCGTGACTTCTCCGACCCCACGAATGCGCTCAAGGGTGCTGTCGACATTTTGGGCCTCCCCATCCAGGCCGAAGGCGCCACCGCCGAGGCTCAGGAGGGAACTGAGAAGTACACTCTCAAGGGCACTTCCGGTGCTGTCAGCGACCCCGAGGCCCGCCTGGTCTACCTCGCCAAGGAGGACGGAACTCTGTCCCTGACCTGGCGAGTCGAGACCGACGTCGTCGACAACTGGCTGCTCACCTACATCGACGCTGCCACCAACAAGGAGGTCCACGGTGTCGTCGACTACGTCAGCGACTTTGCCACCGTCGAGGTGTTCCCCTGGGGCCTCAACGACCCCACGGAGGGCGACCGCAAGACCTTCACTGACCCGTGGAGGATCGATGCCTCCCCCTTCACCTGGTTCGGCGACGGAACCACAAACTACACCACCACGCGCGGCAACAACGCCATTGCCCAGGTCAACCCCAACGGAGGCAACGACTACCTCAACAACTACCGCCCAACCAGCGCAACCCGGGCCTTTGAGTACCCCTTCACGCTGACCCAGACCAACCCCACGGACTACCGTGACGCCTCCATCACGCAGCTGTTCTACACTGCCAACAAGTACCACGACTTGCTGTACGTCCTCGGCTTCAACGAGGTTGCCGGCAACTTCCAGGCCAACAACAACGGCAAGGGTGGTTTGGGCAATGACTTTGTCATCCTCAACGCCCAGGACGGCTCTGGCACCAACAACGCCAACTTTGCCACTCCCGCCGACGGCAGCAACGGCCGCATGAGGATGTACATCTGGACCGTGTCCACTCCCCGCCGTGACGGCTCCCTCGAGGAGGGCATCGTCATCCACGAATACACTCACGGACGTAAGTCTTGATCGCTTCTCTCTCTCTCTCTCTCTCCCTGCCTCCCCCTGCTAACTCAGACATCACCAGTGTCCACCCGTCTCACCGGTGGCCCTGCCAACTCCGGCTGCCTGTCCGGCGTCGAGGCCGGCGGCATGGGCGAAGGCTGGGGCGACTTCTACGCCACGGCCATCCGCCTCAAGGCCGGCGACACCCGTTCCACCGACTACCCCATGGGCGCCTGGGCCGACAACAACCTCAAGGGCATCCGCCAGTACCCCTACTCCACCAGCCTGACCACCAACCCGCTCACCTACAAGTCGGTCAACACCCAGAACGAGGTCCACTCCTCCGGCACCACCTGGGCCTCCATCCTCTACGAGGTCCTCTGGAACCTCATCGACAAGTACGGCAAGAATGACGCCGACTTCCCGACCTTTGACAGCCAGGGCGTGCCCACCGACGGCAAGTTCCTCGCCCTCAAGCTCGTCCTCAACGGCCTCGCCCTCCAGCCCTGCACGCCCACTTTCGTCTCTGCCCGTGACGCCATCCTCGACGCCGACCGCTCCCTGACTGGTGGCGAGAACTTGTGCGAGCTGTGGACTGCCTTTGCCAAGCGCGGTCTTGGCTCCGGAGCCAGGTACTCTGCTTCCGCCCGAACTGAGAGCTTCACCATCCCCTCTGGTGTCTGCTAAATATCCTTCTTTGTGAGAAATCAACTTTTGGATGAGAGGCGTTTTTGAAGCGTGGATGTGAGAAGTCGAGTGTCTGCTGATTGAGGGAAACAATGGAAGGCTGGTCTCTCGAATCAATGTAAGCAGATAGGTAAGCTGTTACCATTTCAAATAAGTAAAATGAAGTGAAAAATAAGCTGTTACCATTTCAAATAAGTAAAATGAAGTGAAAAACAAAAACAAAAAGTCTGCCTGTGCCGCTGTTTCTGTGATGTCAAGATATCCCAAGATCCAGTCTAAATGTTTCTTTATTTATGTATGCAACTTCTAACAAGAAATATGAAAAAGAAAATCATTTCGCCTCATTTTTCTCTGTGGCAGGCGCTGCACTCCCTCCTGCTACTGCTGCTGCCACTGCCGTCTTCTTCTTCTTCTTCAGCTTTTGAATGAAGCCTAGTACTTTATCCTTGACGGCTCCGGATGGAGCCTCATTTGCACCGACCATGCGCCTGACGAGGATGTTGTACAAGCCGCCAAAGGCAAGCGCTATGGTCGTTGATGTAAAGATGATGACGTTATAAGGCATGCTGAAATCAGGAGTCGGGAGGTAGAGAAGCAAGCTCGTGGTGCGGATGTTCATGGCCTTGGGCTCCAGCGTGGTGATGACAGCGGCTGCGACGTCAAAGCCACGGTTTGCGTCCGGGGGATACTCAGTGTATCGCAAGATGGACTTTTCAAAGTCATAGGTGAGGAACACAGTGCAGTGAGGAGGTATGCTGACGAGGAGCTCGAGCTGGGTGCCGCGGGCACGGTCGAGGGCCGGGCGGTAGTAGATCTGCTTGACGATTTCGGTGGTTGTGTTGGTGTTGGGTGACGATCCGGAGATGCGCGCGGAAAGGGTATGCAGATAGACACGCATGAACCAGGGGAGGGATTCCATGTAGACAAACTCCACCGTGTCGTCGCCCGGGTTCGTGAGAATGGCTTGCACACCACCATGTTCCTGTCCATGGCCGGTGAAACTTCGCTCGGCGTACAGCACAGGTGTTTCGGGCTTGACAATGCCGAGAGAGGCAGCTTCTCCGTCAACAGGGACCTCGGGCTTAGTCAAAATGAGGGTGAATTCCTTCTCTTGTTCGATGTGGTAACATCGTAGAGAGTCGTTGTTGTGATACTTGATTTCATGGGCACCTTCTGAGGAGAAGATGTCGCGAGTTGATGGGATGTGAACACAGACTGGGGGGGTTTCGGAGTCTGTCAAGGGGCATGTGCCTTTCATTGTTCGCCCAAATATTTGGGATAGCGTCCACTCTTGGCCGCGAAGATGGTCCACGGGGAAGCAAGAATCGTCTGGCTGATGGTAGGGTTTTGAAGTATCACAGATTAAATCACGACCAGGGGGAGGCCTTGGGATAGGGTTATCTGGATCGTGTTAGTTAGCCCCGAGCATCGTTATAACAGTGGAATCCGTACCATGAGGTCGCTTGGATCGATCAACGTCCAAGACCATGTCGACCGTCTGTTCGAGCTGGAGAAGGCATTCCCCCTCCGAGGGGCAGATGGGCCGCACGTCAATGGCCATGCTCTGAAACGACGCATCAAACAGTTTGTGTCCGTCCAGCAAGCTCGCGATTCCGGCCTTGCCCTTGCACGGCAGCATCTTCAGAAACGGCGTTAGGTTCTCCGTGCAAACCACTTCATGGGGCAGCACTCCATGCAGCAGCCTCGTATTATCCAGCGTCGTGTTAGGATGGTCGCCCTCGGGTTGGAACGACACAACCGGCCGAATAGTCCTGGTCCCGTCAATGAAGTTGAGACTGGCGCAGAACAGCCCAGACAGCGCATTTGTCAGCGTCAACCACTTCTCGTCCGCCTCTTGATCCGTCTCAGCGTCCAGCCACGCCCATAATTCGACTCCAGTGCCGCCCTCTTTCGTCCCGTCCCAGGGCCGAGTTCCCCAGCTCTCCGCATCCCATCGCCCCAGCGTGAATCTCAGGTGAAGCTCTCGTGTGCCCGCATACTGCAGGATCTGGCCCAGAGACCGCGGAAAGAGTCGGAAATTCTGCGCCTCAAAGTCGGCAATTGAGGTGTTGGCTCGAAAGTTGAAGCTGGCGAGGAGTGCTGACAGAGGCAGCGGCCGTAGATTCAGCTGCTCGTGGTACTCGGTCGCGGATACCAAGACGCTGGGGATGATTAGTGGTAAGAAGGACAAAAGGCTGCGCATCGTGAAAGGAGGGAAAAGAAAAGAGAGTAAGTAGAAAAGGAGGGGATACTCGAGTCGCAGGCGCGATTCGGGCGAGATTTACATCTCTTGAAGTTGGACTTGATATTGCCAGATTGGAGCTGGGCCGTTCCCTTGCGATTTGGTACGTACTGTTTGGGATAGGTGTAGCCACACTGGCCAAGCACATGCGCCACATCATAGTGGGAGAAGTCCCAGGGTCTTTCAGCGTCTCCACAGGCTGCAGCGTGCTGTGAGCTGCAGGTATCCCAGCTCCGAGCTAGTGGCTGAAGGAAACACCAGCCACAGTTCAATCCGTCATCTCGAATCTGAAAAAGTACACCATACAAACGCTCCTCAACTAGAACTCTCACCAACAACCAGCAGCCCCCAGAACCCTCCGCCATGGCAGCCGAACAGAGAAAGCTGCTCGAGCAGCTCATGGGCGCGTCATCGTCGTCGCGCGCCGCCCAGCTCTCGCTCAACGACCCCAAAGTCTGCCGATCGTACATCGTCGGCACGTGTCCGCACGATCTCTTCACAAATACCAAGCAGGACATCGGCCAGTGCCCCAAAGTGCATGCCGAGAGCCTCAAGACGGAGTACGAGGGCCTGTCGGAGCGGGAAAAGCACAAGTACGGCTTCGAGTACGACTACATGCGCGACCTGCAAAAGTACATTGACGAGTGCAATCGCCGAATCGATGCGGCGCAGAGGCGTCTCGAGAAGACTCCGGACGAGATCCGGCAAACCAATGCTTTGGTACGACAATTTGTTACCCAATTGGAATTCCCCTGATCAAAAGAACTATAGCTGATCTTTTTCTTTCTGTAACCAGCTCAAAACCATCTCCGATCTCTCAGCGTCCATCAACAGCGGCCTCCTCGAAGTCGAAATCCTCGGCTCCCTAGGCGAAGTCTCTCGCGCCCAGGACGAGCTCTTCCGCGTGCGGCAAGCCGGCCAGCAAAAATCGGACCGCGAAAAGGAACTCAAGGCCCTGTCCGACACGTCGGGCCCGTCCGGCCACCAGAAGCTGCAGGTCTGCGACGTCTGCGGCGCCTATCTCAGCAGGCTCGACAACGACCGCCGCTTGGCCGACCACTTTTACGGCAAGATGCATCTGGGGTATGCGCAGATGCGGAAGACGTACGACGCGTTCCCCAAGGAGATGAAGGGCAGGTCACGGCCCGCCATGGACGACGACGGCCCGGGAGGAGGACCCAGGGGGCCGAGAGGGCCCGGAGGGTACCGGAGCGGGAGGGGAAGAGGTTACCGCGGCGGGTGGTAACGTCTGTCAGCTACCGTGGCATCTTAATATCTTTGCATTGCAGCTCGGCGTCAGGGAACGTTATGGGGACTCTACGGACGATAATCAGGGTATATTCATTTGTGTTTAGGTGTGTTTTACTTTACTGGACGAGATCAAAAGACGTACATAGGATTCGGAATACGGAGTAACATACCCCCCTTCAAATTCTGCAAGTCGCTCGCCATGGTCGCAATCAACCAACATTTTCGACATGATTGTCTCTAAATATATTACGCTTCGAGCAGTAGTAACTGGTAACTAATGTGACTGATAATAATATCCAAGAGACCCCGTGGTAGTCCTTATCCTGTTTCAGACACTTCTCTTTTTTCTGCAATTCCTTTCCTGTCATATCATCGTGTATCCAACTCAATTTCAATATCATAAGACTAGGCCCTACAAGGCTTTCTGACAATTTTCCCAATAAGCGTTGATGAACAGCTACCCAAATCAAGACCGCCGCCTTTTTCCCGCACACAAGGTCCTCGCTCTTCTTTGATATCTTGCGTTCAAATTATGACTGAGCTTGATTCAAAGCGTCGAGCTCCTCCATCTCATCGTCCCACTTGCCGCCGCCCAGGACGATGGGCAAAGGCGGGGGAGGGGCTGCTGCTGCCTGTGCCATGGTGGGCTTCGATGCTGCACTGTTGTTCTGTCCCGGTTCTGCCTTGGCCTTGGTGTTTTCTGAAGGCAGTGAAGGAAAGTCGTCTACAGCAGGGACTTGCTGCTGCTTCGCTGGGCGAGAGTCGCCAACTGGTCCATCAAATGAACCTCGGCCTCGGCCTCGGCCTCTACCGTTGCCGTTGGCGCCTCTTCCACGGTCTCCTCGCCCCCGACCACCGCCACCGCGGTAGCGGTCATCCAAGAAGCGATCGACATCCGGTCCCTCATCATCTCTGGCAAATCGACTCCCACCAAGGCCGCGAGTCTTGGCTCCTCTGATGCCACCATTTGCGCCGCGGAAGCCCTGTCTGGCTTCTTCGTCGGCCAAAGCCTGCTTGCCCTCATCCCAACTCCCATCCTTGATGTTCATGGCCTTGAGTTTCCTCTCTCTGTTTTTCGCCCGCTCGTCATCCAGTTTGCGCTTCTCCTCCTCGCCACGTTTCCTCCTCTCCGCGTCCTCGGCTCTTCTTTTGCGAGCCTCCTCCATCCCTCGCGCGTAAGCCGCTGCGTGCTGCTTCTCATCTTGCTCTGCCATTTCGAATTTGCGTGCTTTTTCTGCCGACAGAAGCTTCATCTTCTCCATCTTTGCAGTGAGTTCGTCTTCTGTGAGCTTCTGGCGTGGGTTGGAGCCGGATTTTGCACGGATCTCGGCGCTCACAGCGGTATTTTGCGACGGTGACGAGCGCTGAGGCTTCTCTTTGGGGCCGGTTGCTGCATTGGGAGGAGGGGGAGACTGCTCGGGCACTTCCTCGGGAGCTTGGACGGGTGCTTCGGTGACAGCTGGTGCAGGAGCTGGCTTCGGGGCCTGTGTAGGGGCCTTTGCCGGTGCTGGCGACGGCTTTGGAGCAGGCTTATCGGCGAAACGAGACGACGAGAGGCCTTTACCTGGGTGAAGGGGTTTCTTGTTTTTCGCTGCAGCGGGAGCGGGTGAGGGCTTTGAAGATGAGGGAGCTTGGCTCTGCCGCGGTGCTGACACTGGCTGTGGAGGAGCAGCTTGTTGCGCAGGAGCTGGAGCTTGAGCTGGGGCAGCAGAGACTGGAGAAGGGACTGAAGCTGGTATTGAGGCTGGGATAGGTATGGGCTCGGGCTCGGGCTGATAATGGTGATCTTCCTGTATCAAAACAGCCTCAGACTCGACCGGCTCGAAGTCGTCGTAGAAGAGATCGTCGTCTGTGCGGCCACCGAACTGGTCCTCCATGGCGATGATAATTAAGCGTGATAATTAGCTAAATGGGAGCAACGAAGAAGTCGGAAAAGGTGAGGATGGAAATATGCGTCTGTTTATGCGATGGTTAAAGACGCGACAGCAGAGACGAGATCAGGGCAACAAAGTATGTACATGAAGGCGAAAGAATGCGACAGAAAGCGCTGAAGGGCAGCCCCGCCACAGTGTGGGGTGTGGGGCTCAGCTCCCCCGGCGCATCTGCAGCTCTTTTTTTGGCTGTTAAAATGCGAGGAACCGTGTGGCGCAAAACAAATAAACAAGAGGCTGTTATAAGCGCTGTGGCTTGCCATGGTGACGGGATGGGGAATACATTGAAGCATATGCAAAGAGTTTGGTAGAAACTATAATATTATCTTGGTATTATTTACTGAAAGTGTGGGATTATTGTTCGTTGCAGGTATATGTTTGGCAAGCGCATGGAGCTGTATAAGTGCACCAGGCTCATCATCTGCCTCCTACCTGTACCTACCTAAATAAATGTGGTAGTGATGGAAAGACAGATGCTGTAAGGGCTCCCCTTTTCTCCTCAAGAGTTCATCACGGCCTATGATACTCTTCATAGAACCTCAACATAATTAAACTCCGAATTTTAAATGGATGCAATATTATTGCTGTGCTGCAAGATCTTGGATCTTGGCTGACTTTATACCTTGATGCATAAAACTCCAGGTTATGTTAGAGTGCATGTATGTTCCATCAATGATAGGCAGGATAACATGGAAGCCTAACTCAGTGAACATCCACTTGCTGAAGTTGAATAGATGTAGCTGATCAAAAAACAAACCATGAAATTCTATTTCACATTCACGTCATTGCTTTTATCCAACAAATACAGCTCAGCCAAAGCGCGCCGCAATCATTGACTTCAGCCTCTCCGTCACAGCATCCTCCAGATCCTGTTCAGAGCTCACAAACCTGGCTTCATATCGCCGGCAGACAGCCTCCACGTTGCCTCTCTTAGGGTAATCTGGCATGGCGCATACAATGGCCTTTCCGGATCGAATACACATGCCCAGCTCCAGCATGCTGATGGGTGCCAGGCTGACTCCGTGAAAGAAGACAACGACGATGTCCGCCTTGTCTTGCATCTCGAGCTCCCAATGCACCTGCTCCACCCAGCGGTCGTCGGAGACGTCCTCTCTCCAGGTGGCATCCCAGTCAGGGCGATAAGGGTTGAATATCGTGATGGAAATCCCAGATAAGGCGTCTGTGAGGGTTTGTCTCCAGTCCGCTTCGCCCGTGTCACTGGTGGTTCCGGCGAGAAAGACGCTGGGAAGAGAAACCGAGTGCGGCGCCGGACGGTCAGGCGCCATGACCACAGTCGCGCTCATCAGTCGGTCCCTTTTTATATGAAAGCTGATCAAGATACAAAGGTTTTGAGACAGTGGAAGAATAGGTTAGTAGGTACTAAGCAAGATGATGGGAAAGTAAAAGATGCGGCTGTGCACATGCTCTTCCGGCTTTTGACTCTTTTGAGAGGGGGGTGGCCATATCACGCATGGGTACATGTAAATCGAAGCTGCTCCATCGGGTCTTGTATGTACATGCATCGTTTCTGCAGTCTCAGCATAGTCATTCCGAATTTATGGTGCATCACGAATTGATTTCTTGTATGATAAAGAGAGCGCGGTGTTTACGAGTATTTACTGGCACCCGGCACCGTGTGTGTGTGTGTGTGTGTTTTCGCTGTTCATTTTCAGGTCGCTGTGTTTCCATTCCTGAACACACTCGAGGCAAATATGGAGCTTCATCGCAGCCCGCCATTTTGTAACACTACCAGGTACCTATAGAATGAATTATTTATTTTTTCAATTCTATTTCAGAAAGAATGGCAAGATATGACTCACCCATAGTTACGGCGAGTTTATCACAGTACATGTAGTAATCGATCCAGGCCATATGTACATAAATGTACGCGACTATTCAGGTGCATTCATATAAAAGTATAATACCGCCAGATGCTACGCAAAAGATTATACTTTTCTAAGAGATATGCCTTTTATATCTTATTCTTATCTTTTTCTCCCTCTATATATAGAGTGGCCGGCCCCTGCAGGCAAACGCCAGCTGTAAGCGGTCCTCCAAAAGTGATTCACCAGCTGCTCACAGGATACACAAATTTTCCCATAAATTTCCATTCCTTTCTACTTATCCTTCCCTTTTATTCCAATTTCTCTACCTTCTTCTGAGATCTTCTCTGCACTTTTCTGCGCCATTGCCAATACACGCTTCTGCTGCTGAGCCTATCATGGATACCGGTAGTTCAGTCCGTGATAAAGACATGGAGGCATCGCCCCTCCAGGGCGACTCCGGGAATCAAACTCAACAGCGTGGAGCCAGCAGTCCAATCTCAGGGCCCATCAATTCAAATCTCCAAGATGAATCCGATGATTCGTCAGTACCTATCTGGGTGAAAAGGGCTTTGGCCGCTGGAAGGACTCCATTGCCCAATTCCCGGCCACCGATCAAGGCACTCGGAATCCACATCGCCGACTCTGGCAAAACAACCCGCGGATCATCATATGACTCCCAAGAAACCGAACTTGAAGAACCTCCCGTGCAAGATCGTCGCCCCGCCAGTAACGGTAACCCGAAGGCGAAGAAACCCAACGCCCGGCCAAAGAAACAGAATGAGCGCCCTCCGGTGACAATGAGATCAAATGTATATCGCAAAGTTCAACAGAGGAGGATGTGGGAACCGAGTGACATTAAAACTCTCATCAGAATGAGAGAGGACAGGATGAGTTGGGAGGTGATTGCGGTAAGATGGTCCTACCTGTTCGCAAGACGCCTTGGCATCAAACATCTAACGAGCATTGGGTGTAGGGAACCTTTTGTAACAGAACAGCGGACGGCGTTCGTCAGGCCTTTTTCAAGTATAAATTTCTGTCTCGAGATATGGAATCGGGTCAAGAGTGGAGATAAATGGACGCCATCTTTCGTGGACTGCTTCAGGGAAAGGCATTGCTTCGTGAGTTTTGTCATCTGCATCCCGAAGCTGCGAATATGGCTAGACACCAGTTTTACTGGGTATAAACGGTGTTTTGGGGATCATTGGAATAGTATTGGAATAAATAGCACAGTCTCGCAATAAAACACACTGCATGTGGGCATATTCGCCCTAGACCCAACCAGCAGCCTTGTCAATCTCAGGAATCTTGACAAGTGCATCAAACATCCGTATTGTACCCGTAGCCACGAGGCTCTGGAACCAACCAAGTCCCTCTTGAACCAAACCGTCATCTTCGTATCGATCAGCCCAACGCTGGCACAGTCGGCGGACTTGCTCCCCCTCTTCAAAACTCTTTGGGGGCGACTTCGGCGCCCAACCAAAGCCTGCCTTTTCCGTCAGTGCTTGAAGAAGTTCAACACATCTAGGACACGGCTCTGGAAGCTCCATATCCACAGCCAAGTATTTATATGACGAATATCGACAAGAAATAAAAGCGGCTATTGTGATGGAGGCAATTGCGTAGACGCCAGATCTCGGGTGTGAACACGCGAGGAGCAACGCCGCCTCCAGATATGCGTGAAATGGATCGGTAGTCCCAAGCCCATATGCAACGAAGAAGCCATTCTCAGAGTTTCCAGCTGCAATGTCGGTCCTCCAGTCGAACAGATCGTGAATGGCAAGAATGACCTGAGGTGCAACAAGGCCATCTTCGAGAGTTTCATTCCCAAGTGTATGTCCATTGTATGCCGTAGCTCCGCCACTTGCCGCCCTCCAAGCCATAGCAGATTGCAAAGACACCTCGTTGCTCAACCCAACGGCTTGTAATGCAGTGCCATCAATAAGAACATTGATTGCTCTGTCACCAAAGTCGAAAGCAGCACCAATTGACTGGGCGACCAATCGGACCCGAACTTCGGTTTCTGTGCCGGTAAAGTTCCAATAGTCATCACATACCGATAAATGGCATATGGCTGCGTATTTCAAGGCTTCCTCAAGAGGGAGCCAAGCCGATGCCACCAGAGAGCAGGAAAGAAAGGCACTTTCGTAGGTTCCTACCGCCAAGGGGCTGCTATCAGGATAGTATGCGAGGCTCGGCTTTAACCTGAGGAGTTGCTGGCGAAAGCTCGCCTCTTTATCCACGTGTGACACACTGAGTCTATTACCAAGGTAATGGTCAGATACTAGCTGTGTACACCCCTGAGCAGCCATTGATTTCACTTCTTGCCCAAATCTTTTCTTCAGTTCCCGATGAATGATTGAGCATGATCTAGCCCACGTGGCTTTTGAACGTTGCACAGTGTCTTGAGGCTCTTGTATTACCGCACGGGCGTATGCCACAGCATCCGACCAACTCTGCTTCCGCACGATTGGGCTGAGTTCTAGGAGAGCTTCAAGGCCATTTCTCATATGGTTGATGTAGGTGCGAACTACCGCATCGCTGGGACGACAGTTGCGATCGGTCTCGTTGAAAGTGTGATTCCAGTTACCTGAGTCAAGCTGATCGAGAAGCTTGTACATCAGGGTTTGTAATTTGGCATCTACCTGATTAGGTAGCGGCTGGACAAGACCATCCCAGTTATGCAGGATCGGTGATGCCTCTTCACTTGGGTCCTCGGCATTCTCATTATCATCCGGTATTGAGAAGCATGAAGCCATCTTGTGGTGATCTTCCTTCAATTGTGCCAGATAACCTGAGTGCTTCTCGAGAAATTCTTTCGACGATGAATCAGCTTCATATAACATTGTTATACGTGGAATGTAGAGTGGAATGTGATAGGTTGGCTTCAAACCATGTCAAGTAATCAAACTCAGCTGCCCATTTCCTTAAATTGCCTTGTGAAACCATCGCCAAGTAAATGACAACGCCTTATTCGTTCCATGTGTATCCCATGCTGCTTGTGATGAGCGACTATGTACGTACAAGTATGATAGCGGAGGATCTTACGCATCAAGACCACACCTGCTTACATGTACTTTGTCAACAAATCTCTGGACTCTGGAAACATGAGAAAGCCTTGGAGGTATCGTGTCATCTTCAGCCTCTAAGCAACAACTTGTTAATTACCTACGTTCTTCGCGCATCAGTTCTTTCGATATAACCCCACGTGTAATTACATGTCGGCCAGCGACAAGAGTTTCAGCGATTTATTGATGCTAATTGCATGAGCATACCAGAACACTACAGCTCAGGCCACGGATGCCGCCTCTCCCTGCATTAACATCTGGGCCGCGCCCGCGCTTAGACGCACAGATTTCGGATGCAGTCGAGCACGACATCAATTTGATGGTATCTCAGCCGGCAAAGATTTTCACGTATACTCCCAAGCCCCAAAGGCACTCCCAGCCGGTTGAATCCGGATACCATCCACAGCTAGGCATCCCAGGCCGTTGAATCGTGCGGTTGCCGCCTTGAGCACTGCCTGGTAAGCAACAGGTGCTCCTGGGGAAACAGGGCACGCCCATAAGCCAGCCGTACCATCGTTCGACCGCCAGTTGAGGACATTGACAGATTCTCCAGTATCTATTGGGACTGGGTACGAGTGAAAGCCGCCTATTTGGGCACCTGGAGGACGCAACGATGAGTGAGCCGGGGGGTAGCTGACGGAGCCATCCGGAGCGACGTAGATGAATTGGCCACCAGGAGCCGCGGACTATACACACGCAGCATATAATTTATTAGTATGGTTCTCTACTCTGATCGATATAATGTTGGGACTGCTTAAAGCCTCGCATGTGGCTGGACTTACGGCAAGAAACGACATATCGCTGTTGACGAGTGTACTATCGCCAGCCGGACACTGAGCGAGATCGCTGAGGCCGCAGCGTGTGCTGGGACTTTGGGCTCCAATGATGAAGGACCTGTCCCGGGCGTTGATGACTTTGCCGTTGAGAACTGCATGTTGAGGCGCATGAAGGGTGATGGTGAAGTAACTCTTTGCGGCTATGACGCTTGCAAGGCCCATGAGCTGCGTGAGAAAGGCGGAGAATTGCATTTTGTCCAGGTTACGTTGTTGTCTCTTTTGAATGTGAGTTGTAATCGAGACGATCTTGTGGATTTTGAAGCTGGGATACGCTTTTTATGCAGCGCAGATGTTGAGCCTCTGCTCCATGGATGTCATATTCCCCCTTTTACGATGTCGAAGAAGCCTTGCCTACGTTTCGACTTGCAACAATTCTCGTCCACAGTTGCCTCCATGGCATGATTTCTCGACTATTCTTGCTCTAGATGACTGCTCGATGTTGCAACACAAGACATCACTAAGGTTATGGGAAGCTGCAGTGACACGCCTTTAGCAGGACCGCTTGGTGGCGGAAAGTTGGAAGGGGGAAAGGACGCGAAAGAGGGAATGTCTGACCCAAAATCTAGATTACATGTCTAGAGAAGCTGTTTCTACACGTGCTTCCATGATTTAAGACTCATCGTTCTATGCAAATTTGAAGCCGATGCGGACTCAAAGAAACAACCGCGAGAGTGGCTGAGCATCAACCGACTTGTCCCATCGTGAGCGTATGCGCTGGCCGAGTTTTGCATACATGTACATTCCACCCATGAATGATGGTGGCCATGGCGCCTGGTCTACACGCTTCGTATACGAGGCCAACAACATGCTCGTCGCATTCAAAGGGGGGATATCAGCTCTCAGCTCTCGAGATGGCCCCTGTCTCTCACCTAGTGTTTCTTGGTTCCCGTATCTACCCGGGTAGAAGAGCGTCCATGCCTAGATAGGAATGTGTAGCCAACAAAGTTCAATGTAGATTCTAGCGATCAAAGTTTCAACTGCATGCATAAGCCTCAATACTACCTAGGTAGGGAGATGTAGAGCCAACACGACGGTAAGCAGAAAACAGTGTGCTTAGGAGGCGCTCAGATCAGCCGCGAGTGACGGCCATTGACGGACGGCGACGGACGTTCGTGGAGCTCCATGACTGTTTATTTATTTTAGTTGCATTATTTTGATTATTCTGATTATTCTTCTGGTCTTTCTTGGAAAGATAAATATCATTGTTCGTCGCTGATTTTCTGTCATTTGTGGTTGCTGCATCGTATAGCAAAAAGTACCACCTCTTCCTATATGTTTTGACAATTGAAACGACAGTCACCAGATGGCGAAACCACGGCCAGCTGCAGCGTGTCTTGAATGCGACAACATGGCAGTCAAGGATCAATTTATGAAGCAGTGCGCCGGTAGTCTGTTTCGAAGAATCATTGGTGAGTCAGATGGAAGGTTGCACGGCATTCCAGCCTTGATATCACACACACAACATTCATCCAATCCCATGATACACATACAGTGTTACAATGCATCACATCCAGCAGCAGCACCATGTTGTGCGATCTAGAGGGGCACTGTGCAGATGTAGCGTCAGCACGGTTGCATTGCGACGGAAAGACCGAAGCCAAAAGCCAGAGCCTCAATCACGAAGAAGACGAAGCGATCTCGCCATTCACGATATCGAGGAAATGGGACCATCTAGACTCCAGATGCCCAAAGAGGGCTGCTCTGCGTTACCCCTGACAAGGTCTGTGTTTACAGGGACTTCAGTTGACTCGCACGTTCTGCTTCCCTTCTACAAGGCCCGCTGAGATGGCGCCGATACCGCGCTAAGCACGTCATTGTCAGAGTCATTGGCCTCACCTCAGCAACAATAGAGACAAACTCTTTTTTCCCCATCCAACGTCCAGCAACTGCCATTTCGCGATCCGCGCGCTTCTTCTAATATCTCACCTCAGAGCGCGTGTGACTCGACCTCGTTGCAAACTCCAATTCCCTCCTATTCCCGTCCTTCAAGTCGCTCTCCATGTCATGATTCGCTGCAAACGCTCGCGTGCCCCGCCATCTTCAAATTCCAGTCAAACCTTCAAGACTGCCAGCTGCTTCGCGAGCAAATTCTAATCATTAAACTCCAGCCACGATGCCTTCATTCATGGCCGATCCGGCCGCCATGGCAGTTCTGCCGGCGCTCGAAGCCTCCGATTGCCCGGAATCACCGCCAGAGCTGCTTCACAGCCTCAAGCACAACAGCAGCGTGCTCGCCCTCGCCGTCAGCCCCGAACACGACTCAATCTATGCTGGAACGCAAGATGGCGAGATTGTCGTCTGGTCGCTGTCTACCTTTCACCAGGTCCAGCAAATCCAGGCGCATAAGCGGAGTGTCATGTCGCTTTCTCTCTCGCCCGACGGCAACTATCTCTTCTCGAGCGCCTGCGATCCCATCATCAATGTGTGGTGCCCCAAATCCCTCCGTCGCCTCTACGAAATCTACGGCAACCACGATGTCGGCGACATCTTCTCCACGGCGTACAGCCCGCAGCACGACACACTGTACATTGGCGCACAGAACATGACGATCCAATGGGTCAGCCTGAGCGATCCGACCACAAAGTCGACTCCTGACTCCCAGCGACATCCCGATCGAAGAAGCCATCGGTTCTTTGACTCCAAAGCCATTGGCGGAACGAGCACCCCGAGACGGAGCGAGGATAAATGGGGGCTGATTCCCCAAGCCAAATGTACCCTGGAAATCGACAGCGGTGCCGTTCGCAAGTTTGCCCACTATGGATACGTATACTGCATGCTCATTGCAAAGGGACCTACTGTGGAAGCTGGCCCCGAGGAAGAGGTGCTAATCTCGGGTGGTGGAGATGGTACAATCAAACTTTGGTGCCTCGGTTACCCCGGCAGAAGCGACGTGGACGATCCCCAGCGCAGCGGCATCCGAGAGATCATGTCCCTTGGTACTGATGATGGCGAGTCGGTGCTGTCTCTGGCACGGGATGGCTCCTTTTTATATGCGGGCAAGCTTGACGGCATCGTGGAGCTCTGGGACCTGGACACTGCCCAGAGACTGAGGGTGATTAAGGCGCAGAACCACGACATCATGTCACTGCAGATGGGCTGGGGATACCTTTGGACTACTTCTGCCGACGGTTGGGCCAACGTGAGTTCCCCTCCTTATTACATCAAACCCCTCCAATTGACTTCTCCCCTTCTCCAAACACCTACTGACGATATGCTCTGCAGAAATTCAGCACGGCGCATTATGGGAATTACCAGCATGTCTCAAGGAATGTCACCGAAAAGTACAAGTGTCTCCATCAGTGGAAAGCGCACAACGGCAAAGAAAAAAGCAAAATCTTGGCATCTGCTTGCTCAACCTACAAGAACGAACGGTATTACATCACCGGAGCCAACGACAACGACATCTGTGTGTGGAACATCAAGGATGAAGCAGATGCCCAATCAAGTTCCAAGAGCCAAGCCGAAGACGACGTCCTTCTCTCTGCCCTGACAGAGTTTGTCTCGTACAAGACCGTTTCGTCACGGCCCGAATTCGCAGAGGATTGTCGCAAAGGAGCCACATATCTAGGCGCACTCTTTAAGCGCATGGGCGGATATGTTGAAATGCTCAGCACGGGGGAGTCGCACAACCCCATCGTACTGGCAAAGTTCTCCGGGAAGAAGGAGGCTGTTGACAAACGGAAGCGAATTCTGTTTTATGGGCATTACGATGTAGTGTCAGCTGATAACGACAAGAGCAAATGGGCAACTGATCCCTTTACCGTCCACGGAACTAATGGATTTCTCTATGGACGTGGTGTCAGCGACAACAAGGGCCCTATCCTCGCCGCACTCTTCGCCGTAACGGATCTGATGCAAGCGCAGAAGCTAGAAAACGACGTCATCTTCTTGATTGAAGGAGAAGAGGAATGTGGATCCAGGGGATTCGAAAAAGTCATCCAGACGAACAAGGAGCGTATTGGACCTGTGGATTACATCCTGCTGGCCAACAGTTACTGGCTAGATGACGAAGTTCCATGTCTGACATACGGGCTTCGCGGCGTCCTCCACGCTACCGTCTGCGTCGATTCATCGCGCCCTGATTCACACTCTGGTGTCGATGGTTCCCATATGAATGACGAACCCCTCTCAGACCTCACAACGGTCCTGTCAAGACTAAAGGGCCGTGGCAATCGAGTCTTGATCCCGGGCTTTTACGACGGTATTCCACCAGTGACAAAGGAGGAAGAGGCTCGCTACGATGACATTGCCTCCATCCTACTGCGCCGCAGCACAGAGGCCGTATCCGAGGCAGATATCAAGAGGTCACTCTTGGCGAGATGGCGGGAGCCAAACCTGACAATTCATCGGTACAGCGTCTCGGGGCCGGACGGCAGTCTAGTCAGCAGCCATGCCAATGCGCACATCAGTATGCGACTGGTGCCGGGGCAAGAAGTGGATGTAGTGGCGACGGCGCTGACAAGCTTCCTACAACGAGAGTTTGCAGGCCTCGAGTCGGAGAACCGGATGCGGATTTGCATCGACAACAAAGCCGAGCCGTGGCTAGGTGACCCGACCAATGATATTTTCCGCACATTGTGTGATGCCATCGTGGAGGCTTGGCCTGAACGTTTTGAGGCACGCCAAGGAGTCGCCTCAAAGCCGAGTCTAGGCGAAAATGGTGACAGCAAAGCACCTCGTCAGGAGTCGCCCGACCCCTCCGTGTGCAAGCCAAAGAAGCCGCTGTACATTCGCGAAGGTGGTTCCATCCCAGCCATCCGCTTCCTCGAAAAGGAATTCGGAGCACCGGCGGCCCACTTGCCATGCGGACGCGCCAGCGACTCGGCACACTTGGACAATGAGCGGATGAGCCTCATCAACCTAGTCAAGGCGAGGGAGATTTTCGGAAAGGTGTTTGTTCGGCTCTAAGGTCGCGCTATTCCTGTTGATGCTCGTTGCCGGACGACACGAGACGATGTTTACGACTGTTGGAGAAGGCTGTCGTTTCAAAGAGCGGGATTTGGTCCTCATTCTCATTCATCATCACCATTACCATTAGCATTATCACATGCGCGGAGCATAGCAGTCTTTGCATACATAGATACCCCCCAAAAAATAGAGAGTTTTTGAATATTGCCAGGAATGAATTGCATGCCCTCCCTATTCATGCCACAGCCCAAAGACCAGCGCTAGCCGTCCGGAAGCTTCCGCGATGGATCGCTATTTGACCGGACACTTGAAGCCGTGCCGCCAGCCTCCACTTCACATGCCAGAGTATCCCGGTTCCTAGATCAGACGGCTGATGACGTCGCCGGTGTGGGGAAGGACTGGCCGTTACGGAGCTTAATTTTGTTATAAGGCCTATCAATCACCTTGATTTCGACTGTGGATGATTGATACCAGACTTCAGCAGAGTGGTTTTAGTGTGGGGAGATTTCACCTTTGCGCTGTCTTCCATGTTCCAATTGTGTACTCATCTCAGAAACCGTATTCACAACTCTCAACACGACCATGGGGGGCTTCAAGAAACTCTTCCAAACTCTAACCGGGAAAAAGAGCGACGGTGCCACTCAACCCGAAGAGCAACCCCAAACTCGACCCAAACCCTGGTCCGGCATCGACAACACCCAGCCAGCGGGCGAGAACCCCATCCGCGGCTTCTCCACCGAATATCTCGGCGAGCAAAAGTCCAGCAACACGGCCGTCCGCCGGGACCTCGGCTTCGCGGGCCACATTGGCGGACGGTGGTTCGGCGTGTACGGGGATACGCTGTGGTGCAGTCCCGGGGTGACGGACCCGGAGCGGGAGCCGGACCCGGAGGGGTTCCACGGGATGGTGAGGAACTCGGTGGCGATCTTGACCGGGGATCCGCTGCTGGTGCATGATGTGCATTTGAATGGGGATGAGCCGGTGGCGCATCCGTTGCAGTTTACGCCGTTTGAGGAGCGGTGGGGGGAGACGAATATGTTTGGGTTTGGGGGGACGAGTCTTGTGGAGGTTGATGGGGAGGGGGAGGGCGTTGGGGCGGTGTATTATTTGATTGTGAGTTGCGAAGAGCGGATGGGTTTATTGGATATACGCTGACACGGATTGTACATCAAGAACGACCATGAAAACTATCGTCATGCTGGCATCGCCCGTGTCGAGGTTATCAACGGCGTTCCCACTACTACCAAGCGCCTCGGAGAACACGGCTGGTGGTGGGATTGCTCTACGACGGCAAAGTACGGCGACATTGCTACCTACAGAGACGTAAACAGCGAGTACATCTACGCTTGGGGCCATCCACCCAAGACCATAACAGAGTGGCCGGGGACGGAGTATATATACCAGACTCGGGTCAAGGCAACAGAAGCGTTTGACCTAGACAAGTATGAATACTGGTGGGGGAGAGCGAGGGGATGGCGGAGGGAGATGTTGAACGAGCATAATCCGGAGACGGCGGTGATGTGGGGAGCTGGACAGGGGCAGGTTGTGTATAGCGAGTGGTTCAAGTGTTATATATATGTTCATTTGAGTAAGTGGGAAACAGACTTTCTTGAAAGGGGGACTGAGACTGAGCTGACTGTTACATCTAGATGGTCCAAGGGTGGCGTTGAGAACGGCGGTGGAATTGGAAGGGCCGTGGAGCGAAGATCGGGAAGTGTTTGAGGCGGAGCCGATCGATGGGGGGTTTGTGTATGCGGGAGTTGCGTATCCGTTTTTGGATGAGACGGGGAAGACGCTGACGATTGCGTATACGAATAACAATCATATCCAGGTGATTCGGGTGACGTTTGAGTGAGTATGGTCTTGGGTTATGGGCAGATGGGGGGGTCAAGCTTCGAAATGGCTTATACGTTGATGATAGACTTACCAGGTAGATCCTTATTTTGAAGCTCAGATGTCAAGTAATAGATCAAACTAATGGTGTCAGATATTGTGCAGACAATTGGTTGTCCCCGTCTCCATTCATCATTTAGCCAGAAACCTTGTAGGCAGATGGTTCAATGTCTTGCAACGATTGCATCAACACATCAATCCTCTGCCAATGTGACCCAATTGCCCTTTAGAATTATCGTACCTCCCAAATTTCATCTTGTATAGTGCTTCAGATTCAATTCTGAGTCGTTTCCTTCAACTGTCCAATAGAGTGGATTGGAATAGATAATCTCTTCGACTTATCTGATCTGCTTATGATCGGGGATAGTTGACGGCTTCGGGGGGCGTTTACCCACCATTCCGGCTGGGCGTTCCGGCTGGGCGCTGATGAGTATCCGCAATATCCGCATTAGCCGCAAAAGCTTCACTTTTGCAATGGCCAAAATGAAGGGCCATGAAGTGATTACAAAAAGAAAATACTCATCCAACTCAAACAAGAGCGTAGTCTTTCCGCTATTTTTACCTTCTGTTCTACTCTCTAGGAGAATTGCTGTGGGTGACCAACACAGAGAGTCTTCTATCGTCGACTGAGACCACGAACCTGTCATGGGGTGAACTCTCTAAATGTCTTTAATCCAAGTAATGAGAATCATGTTCACTGTTGAAAAATGAGCTCTTCTTCCATTGCGGCTCATACCTTGGTAAGTCTGTCAACGTATGGAAACCAGATCAGATAAAACTGCAGCTTGTTTTGCTACGTCCCTGTCTTACATACCATCGAAGTAGCGACATGGACGAGCAATTAAAGAACAAAAATAAAAATCGGCTGGACATCTCTTCCATATATAACAATGTTTAGACCCCAACAAAGCAACAACGATCAAACTCGTTGATTTGTCTTGTAATATCTTGTAATACTCTCAACCATTCTCATTGCTAATAGCCAGCGGCTACTGCGGATATCTCGGAACAACCTGCCGTGCCCTACAAAACGTATGACGCTATAAAGGTCCTCCGTCACGGCTTTTGCCCCTGTGTCGGATATGCATTCCGGCCGGTTGGGTAGTCCCGCAGAGAGACGCGGATGAAAAATAATGAAGAGTTATCAATCTCTCTACCACAACTTGGGGAAAGAGATTCTTTCATTTCATTCACCCTAGATAACTTCTAGATTCATGTTTCATCTGACACACCCTCCTCTTAAGTGTATGAAAATCTCGATTGGTAGTAGCTAGCTCTTCTTAGATGCTGCTTGCCACACCTCTCACCTTGCTTCTAAAACTCTCTTTTAATCTTCTAGGCCACACAGTACATTGAACATCTGAGCTGGCTGCCTCTTATTTCTCATCCAAGACGCGTCTTCTTACCTACCAAAACATATCACCCATGACCACCTTGTTGCATGAAGAAAGCACTTCGCCAGCAGAAGATGAAGCAACAACCCCGATCCTGGTCAAGTGGGATGAAAATGAGCCCGCAAACCCATTCAACTGGTCCACGCCGTACCGGGCCTTTATCACCCTGCAATTGGGATTGATCGCCATGGCAGCCAGTGTGGGATCAAGCATAATGGCTCCCACCGAGCCGACGCTTCAAAAGGTCTTTCACATCGGCCACGAGGTTTCTGTCCTTTGCATCTCGCTTTACATGTAAGTCAATACCTTTCATTCAATCCGTCTTATAGAACCTGATGATTTCTGACTGTGATAACCGATTAGCCTGGGATTCGCGTTTGGACCGCTTTGCTGGGCGCCCATCTCGGAGCTATGGGGTCGGCGAGTTTCTTTAATTTTCCCAATGATGGCCGTCGGGTTATTCTCGATAGGCACGGCGACAAGCAAAAACATCCAGTCCGTTCTGATAACGAGATATTTCGCTGGACTGTTTGCTTCGTCGCCGGTGAGCAACGTGGGAGCAATCATGGGCGACATCTGGCCCCCGAAAGTTCGCGGCACCGCCGTGGTGTTTTATGCCCTTGCTGTTGTCGGCGGCCCTACTCTGGTATGATGCCTCCCTGTAATGTGTCGCTGATCAGATTCGTTTTAACAAGTTCCAGGGCCCTGTCATCGGCGCCTCCTTGACGGTGAATCCTCACCTTGGCTGGCGTTGGACCGAGTACATCCAGGCCATCTGGACATTCACGGTCACCACCATAATTTTGATCTTCTTGCCAGAGACTTATGCCCCCGTTTTGTTGAAGAGAAAGGCAGAGCGTCTGCGTAAGGAGACGGGGAATCAAGCATACTACCACCCTCACGAAATGACCAAGCTTTCGCCCAAAATCATCGTCACCAAGCATCTCTCTCGCCCTCTTCGCATGTTATTCACGGAACCAATGGTGACGTGCATAGCATTATACGCGTCCTTTGTCTACGGCCTGCTGTACATGACCTTGGAGGTGTTCCCCATTGTCTTTGCGCAACACAGGGGATGGGGTCTGGTGACAAGCTCGTTGCCATTCCTGGCCCTCTTGACTGGTGTGGGCTGCGCCATGCTTGTCAACCTGGCAAATCAACCTCGATACGCACGACTCGTCGACGCCGCGGGAGGGAAGCCTGTGCCAGAGGCTCGTTGCGCTCCAATGGCGGTCGGTGGCATTGTCTTTGCCATTGGTTTATTCTGGTTTGGATGGACGGCAAATCCAAAGATTCACTGTGAGTTTGTAATGCGGTTGGATACAATCATGATCATCCCAAGTATACTAACATGAGTGCCAGGGGTTGTGCCTGTATTGGCAGCCGTCTTTATCGGAGCCGGCTTCAACATCATCTTCCAGCAATGCATCAACTTCCTCGTCGACACGTACCGCTTATACGCTGCAAGCGCGACATCCGCCAATACACTTCTGAGAAGCGCTCTGGCGGCTTCATTCCCCCTGGCAGCCACGCCCATGTTCAATACCTTGGGAGTCGGGCCCGCAATGTCTTTGTTGGGAGGAGTTGCGGTGATTGCTATTCCGGTGCCATTTTTGTTTATGAAGTATGGCCTTACTTTGAGAAAGATGTCCAAGTTTGCGCCGGTAGACGACGATGAGAGACCAAACAAAGAGACTAGAGCATAAGATTCCAGACCAACGAGTTGGCTTGACGCGCTTGTATGTGGTAAACTAATTCATTTTAAAAGATAATAAATGACTTGAAAACTGAAAATATGCACAATAGTAATGTTAGCATGGATCCTTGTTCGGTGGATATGTGGAACTCCATTGGCAAGGGATTCCGGGGTAAAGAGCAAAGAGTTTAATTGACAGCAACTCAAGCAAGATTTTTTATAGTCGACGGTCATCTTAAGAACAACTAGAACCAAACTGTCTCTGTATCCTTGCATTGTTGATGATTTATTCCCGGGTATTCATCATGTCGGCGTTTCTGTTTACCCCAAATTCACCAGGATATCCCCGCAAAATCAAACGTGTTCGCACATGTAAATCAAATTAAACAGTAGAATCCACAACCAGCCGCTCGTTTCCCCATCTAGAAATAAACCCCTCGGCCACTAACAAGCCACTCAGCATTCAATCTACATCGAAACAGGCATATTCCACTTTCAGCTGGTTAGTAAACCAACTACTACTATGTACCATCGCCAACGCTGGGGGGGGTGGGGTTGCCTCGGTTCGGGAACGCACCGGCGATATACATGGGGTTGAGGGCATTCAAAGGATCGAAAGGCGTGATTAGTTTTCGTCTTTTGTCGGTGTCGGTGTTCAGAGTCCTTTGGATGATTCGTGGCTGTGACGGTTACACCGAAACACAACGGGACAATCAGTTACGAAAACCGGGAGTGATTCTGCCGTCGGGTATTATTTGACAACTTCGCTCATACATGTCTTGAGGGTCAAGTCGATCATAAAGAGAAAAGCGAAAAATGACTGCCGAGGCAAAGATTCCCGCCTCTCTGGAGGAAGAAACCGCCGTCCAAAGGCTTGACGAAAGGACGTTTGCCGCAAATCTCTCGCCCAGCTTCTGCATAGGCGCCGGTAAGTACATGTATAATGCAACGCTCTCACATTCGTTTGTTTCCACCACATGAAAGCTAAGTAACAATGTTCATCACTTCAAGTCCCAAATGGCGGCTACGTTGCCTCCGTCTTCCTGCGCGTAGCAAAGGAATATCTCGCACACAAGAACCTCACAGACACAATCACCGCCCACTGGGAGTTTCTCAACCGCACCATCTCCGGCCCGGCTGTTCTCGTCGTCGAGGAAGTAAAGCCCGGCCGCTCCATCTCCGTGCTGCACATCACGCTCTACCAGGGCAACCTACTATCCCAAGCGCCATGGATCTCGACGGGCTCGCCAAAGTCGGAGAGAGTCGTCGCCGCGTATCTAACAAACAGGAGCATCGCCGCGGAAAACGGCATCAGCTTGCCCACGGGATGGTTGCTGCAGCCTCGGTTGCCGCCGCCGGCTGATTTTGACAAGATGCTCGCCAACAAGGATCCGGAATGGGGAGCCCTGGATCTTTTGATTCAGCGGAGAGTCACTGCCGTTCAGCAGCTTCGTTTCTTTTACAACCGCGCCGCTTTTATGAAATCTGGAACTGGCTCCTCGTTTGACTTGTGGATGTGTACCAGCAACGGTGAGCCCTTGAAAGCTACATCTCTAGGCTTCGTCGTCGACTGCACGGCGGCTTTCATCCCCGAGCTACACCGTCCTCGATCAGAGGACGATGCTCCCGTTGCGGGAGGCGAATTCACGCGCAAGACTGCGTTGTGGTATCCTACGTTGGCTATGAATCTAGAGGTGAAAAAGGCGTTGCCGGCAGAGGGCGAACGGTGGCTCTTTGTGCGAACAACGTCCAAACAGGCTTACAACGGTCGATTTGACGTCGAGGTTATTGTCCTTGATAGGGCAGGGGATTTGGTTGCTTTGAGCCATCATGTGGCCATGATGGTCAACTCTACGAAGAACACGGCCAAGAGGGCTTCGTTGGCTGGAATTACATACAAGATGTGAAGAGCGCGGATATATTACGTTGATAATTGTTTATTGTTTAATAGCCCTTTTTTCGTACAAAGGGCACGATACTTTTTATCCCAGAAGTGGAATTTAATATAGAACATGACATAGAATATGCAGCAAATCCCATGAGTATCATTCAAATGCTGGCTGAGTATGCCACGTGTAGACACGTCAGCTCAACAAACTGAACCTAAGGCTCCCATATACTCTCTATAAACCACAACTTGCCACTCGACTTCCACGCCCCCTGCCATCGAAATCGCTTATCCGCCTGCTCAAACAGGCTCCTCCAGTCATCCACCTCCCGCTGTCGTGAATTACAAACAGCCTTCACCATCACATCCATTGTCCGAATACTCTTCTCTTCTAACTGCGAGAGTACACCCGGAACCGGTAAAACGATGTCATTGATGATGACTCGAGCTCCCGGCCGCAGAGCAGGAACCAGCGCGCGAAGGATGTCAATGGCGTACTTGTCCGAGAACGCATGGAAGATGTGTCGAAACAGATATGCATCCGCGCTTTCTGTCTGAGGCTGGAAAAAGTCGTGCGTCGTGAGAGATACCCGATCGGCGAGACTCTTGGGTATCTTGTCTATGGCCTTGGGCGTGCGCATGCCGGACAAATCTTGCACGATGAACCGCAGCTGAGGAAATTGTTCCGCCACGGCAAACGACACAACTCCTTCGTTGCCACCCATCTAGTCTCGTGGGTAAGTAAGTGAGTTTTGGAGAATTGAAGAGAGACATGTGCTTACATCGACAACAGTTGAAGAGCCTAGCCTCGCCCACGGATACCCTGAAACGGTATGGGATATGTCGTACCCTTCTCGACTACCATGAGACTGCAGCATTGCAGCATACCGCTTCGCTCGTGCCTCGTCCGCCTGTAAGTGGTCGAAAAAGCTGTCATTATGATTAAACGTAATGTTTACTCCCTGTGGCGCCAGTTGATTAGCAAGCATTCGCTATACTCGCCGTCTTTCCCCTTACCGTCTCGTTGGCCTCTTGCGATCCGGGCCACTTCTTCATGGCTGCAACTGTGTTGGCCACCGGGCCCATCATATCCATTGTGTTAAAAGCCACCCAGTTAGCTAATGCCGTATCATCTAACAGAAGTAAAGATGTCCGGTTATGAGCAACCGAACCAATCTTTGGCTCATGAAACATGTTGTTGGTAATAGCAAGGCGCAGCAGACGCCGTAGATCTGACGGAATGATGGTAGTGCCACTTAAACGATGGACTTCAACTGCGAGATCTTCATACGTGATTGACCCCGACAATGGGACAGCCTCTGCAATCTTGAACTCGCATATAGCATGCAAAGGAATGTAGCTGATGGCCTGAAAGAAACAGTTAATACAGGTTCCAACTCCATATGTGGACTTTTCTGGCTTCTTTATAAGTCAAAGCATTGAGAACTGCAACTTACATCCCAAGCCATGGTCTTTAACCATTCGCGAGGACCCAGGACAAGATCATGGAGCTCTTGTGTCAGCGCTATAATCTCTTGTCTAACCTTGATGGCTTCATCATCTACTTCGTTGAGCGGGAAATCCGAAAGGCCATTTGCTTGGAATGAAGGAGCTTCGAGGCCCTTTGCTCGCAATTTATCGGCCAAGATTCGCGTCTTCTCGTCAATTGCTTTCGACAGTATCGTCAACCGGTCCACGGACGACTCGGCAGTTGCCTTTGCCAGCGAGCCCATGTTTCAAGGACTTGATTCTGAATTTACGAGTGTTTAGGTTAAGCATGAGCAGAAGGGGACGAGTCGAAGTTCTCTTGTAGTGGAGAGTCGCAATGGATGGGAAAACGAATGAAGGAGGAAAGCCCGGGTTTTTCTTCTTGTATTGGGGATTATTGGAAATTTATAAGATGGAAAGCCTTGAATGAATCTGTCGGGACAAGGGTCGGCTCCCTCCACCACCTCATTTTCTTGGGCTCACCATTCCCTGCATCGGGCGACCAACACCGCTTCCGATATTGCTTATAACGAGCATATCCTCGAGATAATCCACGGAACCGCACGTCTGTATCACACTGCATGCTCCACTGTTCCTTGTAATGGAGAGATGAGTTATTGGCCGGATGAAGTTGTTGTTGGTTGCGTTCAAACAACTAGCCGGGAAGGGAAGGATGGCTGCTCCACAGATATTTACACCGATATCTTGGGGTCTGAAGGTGGCCTTTTTCTCTTTCAGCTTTTGAAAGAAGTTTGAGATGTATCATAGAGTAGAATCCGACAGCATCGGGTTACAGTATCTAGTCCTAAGTGTCAGTGCTGTATCCTGTCCAAGCATTCTTTTGATAGCCTCGTCTTGTTCGAGAGTCCGTCCGCGGAAGCCAGCTGTTCGTCCCGTGTGGGTAGAGACCCTGCATCGCATTGCCGCCCGCCGCACTCGGTTATCAGACTGCGTGAATGCACAGCAACAAACGGGCGTAAGCGATACTCTATTTGCTCTCCATTATATGGCACTTTTGTTTGATCTCTTCAAGTCGAACAAACCAACGCATTTATAACCTTGGATCAGAGCGGACGGCGTGCCGAATCGAGGGACGAGGCCGACATCAAAAAAAACCACAAACGCAAGCCGCCGTGATACGGAGCCCCCCTCGTAAACATTCAAATGTGCTTTCGTATATGACGGCGTCGTTGCAACGGCCAAGATGGTCTCTGATAACGGCCAGGCAGTTGCTATACTTGTCCCGGAAGGCTTTTCAATGTAATATTCCGTACGCAGCAGCGCTGAGTTCCAGTTTAATCAGCCTAAAAAGGCCCATCATAGGACAGTTGATGAACATCCACGTCAATACTTGACTCGATTCTCTTTCTCCCCTGCTCCATGCATGTCAATGGGACAACCGAGCTGGGATGCTATTTTGGACGACCAAAGGAAGGGTCGTTGTCTGGTCCCAGCTGTACCAGATGTCGGTGTGGGCGGCGATTGACATAGAGTGCACATATCGTACGTATCCACCTCAGATTCGCGAGATTCGGCTCAAGACTGGCCAATAGACGATGAAGCTGATTGACTTGAAAGGCCCATCTTGGCCAAGCAACTCTTGGGAACCAACAGAGCTATCCGCCAGCTGCTCCCGGATTACAAGCATATGAGTAGTCTGATCGGCGATTGGCGCTGATAGACTGCATGTTGTTGGCTGAGTGTCTCCCCACTCGCAGACAGTCGTACCAGCAGGCCAAGAATTGAGGCAATGAGGAAACAAGAGTGCTCGAATACGATATATTCATGTCACCGTCCGTTTAGTGAGAGGTGATACAAATTGTAATGTCAGAGAAGCGGTGAGGCTGAATGCGAAGTTTAGGCGTGACGGTGGCGTTTGTGTCTCGGTGGACTTTCTCTATCCCCTACTGGACAGAAGCCTCAGGATGAAACATTCTGTTGGTCCAGGTGCATGTAAAGACGCCCGGAGAGCGGAAGACGACCGAAACTGCATCTCGAACGGCAGGGACTCGGTGTGACGAGACGTGGAAGAGTAGCTTGGCGGCGCTTGCAATGGACAATCTGTTTGCCGTTGTTGGTCAAGTTGAGCTGGGTGAAGCGAGTTGTACAGGTTGATGATATTTGCGCCCAGGCGGCTACGAGCATTCTTTGTGGTAGATCCAGCACACCGTATTTCTTCACTCTCAGTTTCTTGGGGATTCGATACGGTTGCCTGACTTCTCCCAGAGCTGGTGTTGCATCTTGTTGCCATGATGCGGTGATGCGGAAGTTGAAGAGTTGATGCCTCAGGGTAAGCATCATGATATGCATCGGGTAGGTTCAAGCTCATGTAGGCAGATCGCCAATGGATCAAGCTACAGTGGAGGCTTATAGGGGATCTTGGCGCTAGAGCACTCCATTGTAGGGCGCTAGAGGGCTGTCCACGTTGAAGGATAGCGCCACAGCCCTCCTCCAGACTTCTTGGCGTCAAACCAGACATCAAATCCTCAATTCCATTCCATTCCAAACTGCGTCATCCGCCTTGCTCGTCTCGTGGCGGAATCTGCCTTGACTCTGCTCTGTCTCTGTTTCAGGGCATTCTCGCCTCATTTCACCTCAGCTCTCTATAATTGCCGTCGACTGTCACTCTACACCACTAATCTGCTGCTACACGCACTCACTCACCACGATGCGGGTCGCGGGGGGACCCTGGTCTAACCAACGCCTCTGCCCATCTGGACAATCTCACTGCTACACTAATAATTGGCCCATGGAGCAGTCAAAAGGCACAGGTGGCTTGGGGGCTGGGCCAATGGCGCCAGCCTGGTCGCGCCGCACCGTCCCGCGCGCCTCGTCTCTTGGGCTGACTCGACTCCTGGAAACCGATTGGAAAGGCGACCACTGGCAGAGCCTCGAGCCTTGGGTAACCGACTGCAGAAGACTGGAGGCAGAGGCAGCAGGCAGATCATGGAATGGGCTGTCCTGCCAATCAATCTCTGCCACAACTCGACGTCGACGTTGCCTCCGCGGCCTAATTGATGCGGCCGATGAAAAACGCCTTGCCGATGCCAGATGCTACATACATGTGCTCTCCGCGATCCAGCAAAACCCCAACGAATCCCTCGATCGAGCGAAGCAGCTGTTGCTCCCTAGCACGACCTCAACCTTGAGTTGAGTCAGCCTCGATCTACGATGAACAGCACCAGTAGCGGCGGCAGCAACAATGGCGGCGATGACAACTCCGACTTCATCACGGCTATCGTGGCTTTGGTGGTGTCTGTCGTGGCGCTGCTAGCCACGTTTATGCAAGTGTTGCAGCAGTACTATGCGTCTGCACAAGGTTATTCTCAGTGCAACGAAAAAGTCATGGGCGGCTGGGCCAATACCAAGACGAGACAGTTTCGATTGGACGAGCTGCGATTCGAGGTCCAATTCGACGTGCCCGTCATCTTCGTTTCGCCGCCCACCAACGCCAACGGACCAGTGGCAGATGCCCCCATCTACTATCTCGACGGCACTCAAAAGTCCCAGGACGATACACATTCAACCTCGACATTGGACCTGCGCAAGGAATACAAGGAGAAGTCTGCAAAGGAAAAGATTCACACCTCGGACAATGAAAAGGCCGCCTGGTATGTGCTGCTCTTCGCCGCCCAGCGCATGGAGCTGGAATCACGAGAGTGGCAGGAGAAGCAATACAAGGATTTTGGGCCTCCCGCAAACTTACATGGCATTCCATCAAAGCCCCCAACATTGGTGGATCACCATACCCTGACCGTTGCGGTGCAGCGGAAACGCAAGAGCTGGGATACCATGCCTCCATCTGTCACCAAGCCCTACGCCACCACCACCATGTGCCATCTGATAGAAATGATGGCTGCGGTCGGTGTGTATTGGAAAGAATTCGACCGTAAGCGGGACCGTTACTGGGGAGAGGGCAATGGCTTCATGATCTTGGGCGAGAGAATCAGTGATCCGGGACTCATGTTCTCTTTTCAAGTCAACGGCCAGTGCACCTTTAAACGGAATCGTGTCATCCCCGTCGACGAGATCAAGGAGCTGTGCTTTGGTTATGTGCCTACCGTCTATCGTGAAAAGGACGACAAGCGGCGACTGAAGGGCCCCGGCGAAGAGCAGCAAAACCTCAGCACCCTCTTGATGGGTAGCTTGCGCGAGATTTCAGAAACCTTGACCTCGATTGGCTGCAACAATGTGACGACTCGAATGTGCTTGGATGCTGGGACGCGAATGTCTCACCTCTTTCCCAGTATGTGACCATTTCCCTCCTTCTCTTCCCCCATTGTTACCAATACCTGTTACTACCATTCGAAACTGACATCTCTTCCTAGTATCGTTCGAGATCCTGGGCATGGTGAGCCGGATATTCCATATAGAAAACAGCAGTTTCACATACCTCCCTAATCCCACGCCCGACAGCTGGGATAATTCATCAGTCTCCCTGCCCAAAATACTTGATGCATTTTACTTAAAGGCTCAATTCGACCCCATGGGAACAAAGCAACACTCTATCGTGATTGCACGCTACAGGCAACATATTGAGCAAATAAGGGAGCATCTGGATGACGATAAGAGCCTCGATAGATGGCTCCTCCTGAGGTCGCTCCATGCGGCATTGGATGACACAGATGATGTCCTCACTGCGAGGACAAAATCACAAAGGCAGACCAGCCACGATGCCGAGGAAGCCTCGGACAAGCCGCTGGACGAAGCTTCTCGCGCGGAAAGGCATATGCGTCGGCGGGAAATTGTTCAGGATGTCTTGAGACACCACATCCAGGAGGTGATTAGGCTTCTTAACCAACAAGAAGACCAAAACTCGGATTCCCTCTCGCTCCATCCAGAAGTGCCGGCCCCTTCAGAGAAATCCCGCCCGAGGCCGCCGCTTCAGCGGTTTGAGGATATGGACGCTGCCGGACCCGACGATCGACAAGATATTTTAATGGACGTGTATTTCGATGTTATTCGGCCCCATGTGGTGTCGACTGCCTTTCGCACGACTGATCGAAGAAACAGCCTTGTTGGAGCCCCTCCCAGTATCCGCTCGAACACCTCACTTCTCCCACCTCACAGTCCCGCAAGTGAATCCATAGTCAAGGGCGGGGAGCATTCGACGAGGGAGGTGGCTCTGCATCTTGAAGGCCGGCGAGAGATCTCCATCACGGTGAGAAACGCTGCGGAATCAGAAGACATCCTCAGCGGTGTCTCGCTCGCTGACTTGGACGTTACCCACGATGATGTGTGGTGCACTCTTGTTTTCCGCATGGTCTGTTGGCTGATGCTGCACAACTTTAACAAGAAGGATGTGCAGTTGCCTAAGAGCGAGCTGTTGGGGAGCCGAATGCCGGTTTACATTTCATGAGAAAGGGAAATCTCTTAATCATTGGTGTAAGCGAGATTCTTGGTTACGCGACTCTTACGGAAGCATGTATGGCATTATTTTCTAGACTTTTTTTGGGCGATATATTTAGAAAACCTTGGAAGGGTTATACGCTGCCAGCGTTTGTTGGATTTCAGGAATGGCATTATATTTTAGATGGAGTATGTGGGCGTGTCTTGAACCAAGATGGCCCTGGAAGATTCATAAGTCGTTTGAAAACACACTTAATGAAAGAGGAAAAGATTTCTTCAAAACATCGGTTATGTCAATGAAATGGCAACCCAAAAATAAATATTTGGATTTGTAACGCGTCAGATATCACCTTCATCAGCCTGAGTGCGAAGACACGCAAGAGCGTCAGATCTGACTCTACGTCATCAATCACAACAACATAACACCAGAGGCAACGGAAAAATAAGCTGCCATGAACCCATTCAGGGCAGACATTAGTTTGCAAGCAAGAACAGAACCTGCTGCAGCTATCACCCTTCACCTGACTCGTGAAGCCTGAGAAGTGCGGATAGGCTTTCTGCCTAGTAGCTTGAGTATACCTACTCTTCCTTTACATGCAAGCTGTGTAACGTGATAGCCTATGAACATGACTTGATGGGGAGTGCTCAGGGCTCAGTGTCGGGCTATTTCACCATCTTTCACCAGTCTCATTCCCTCTCCCCATGGCTTATTCACACGGAACATTTGTCAGTGCTCTTCAACCTCGCCTCAAGGCTTCCGGACCTCTCGGGCCCCGTACCAGGTACCCGAAAACTTGGCGCCGCTCCCATCAATGATATTACTCGCGCACGCAGCAGGGCCAAACGTCTCTTCGCGTCAAAGTAACCAGTACTCCGCCCAGTTTCACGTAGTAAGCAAAGAACGGGAGCCTACGAAGTAATACCGCTTTGGGATATCGGCCGAGGCTTTCGCGCGTTGGCACTGAAATGTTTTTTTTTCTTTTAGGGGGGCGGCGCATGTTTATGCGTTGGCAGCCTGTTGTGGCGTTCGTTTGGTTTTTTTAGGTGAGAAAAGGAACAGACGAAAATGTGACGGCTTTGCGGAGACGACTGGACGGGGGGTTTTTTTTTTTTTGTTGGATGGGTCGGGGGTTTTTGAGGCGAGCGGGCGGGCGGAATTGAGTAGAGGTTAATGAGTGAATGGGGTCGGTGTGTGTTGGGTGAGACGATTGATGACGAGACGACGGGGGATCTCGTGTGGATTCGTGGAGAATACCGTTTGTTTTTTCTTCAAGGATTCTATTAGTACGAGTAATAAAAGCAGTAATAGAGTATTAGAGCACATGTGGTCATGGTAGCACATGTTGCATGTGCTTGGTACTATAGGTATTAGTCTGGATTAAGTGTTGCGCTTTGTATACCGTCTTTGTACACCAGATGCCGTGCTGCATTACAGTAGCATCAATCCAGCTCACAGCAAGGTCCTGTCTCTGGGATTCTTGTTTCTCGCAGAGAGAGGAGCCGGTAATGGATCATCAAAAGCCGCAGTTTTGTGGGGAGTGCACTGGGACAAGGACAAGGACGAGCACGAGGGCGAGGATGAAGATGAAGATGAAGCACAGGCAAAGTACATGTATCTTGCCGCCCAAGTGCGACGAACCGGGCTGCAGTCAGAATCAAAAGGACGCACGCCATCATTGGTGCTCGTTACGGTGTCTTTGCTCTCTTTCTGCTAGCTGCATATGTGACCAATGTGCGGAACATCGATACCCTGTTTGAAAAGGAACAGGGCTACAGTATGAGTACCTTGACTCGGTACCTGATGTAGCTTGCAAATGCTCGGAGATGCAGGTAGGTATTCGCTCACCATATCTTGCTCACCGTGTGCTAAAATAGCTCAGCAGTAGATCAATGTAGGTAGTATCAGGTATCAAGGCGATTTTTTTCCTTTTGGAGTTTGCATTAGCACTGCAGTTGGCATGTACCGGTATTCATTATTGCTGCATCTGTTGCTACCCTCCACAAAAGGGCCCCTCGATAACGCTGGTCGTGCAGATGTCGCGCAGTAAGTTTGAAAGAGGGGAAAGGCCACCTGATTACGCAGAGGAGGAAGCCAAAATGCAAGTATAGATTGCAATTACACGTTAATGACGACTTGGGCATTATTATCAGAAAAAAAAAAAGTTGTGCCTCTTCTCCTCCAGATGAAGAGAGGGGAGCCCAAGACGTTGCCTCTCGCTTGGTCTGCCGTGTTGGTGATGTGCTGATGTGATGAGGGATGCAACCTCGTCGTTGACCTCCATGCTTCGGTAAGGACCCTTGGAGAGGGGAGGAAAAGACAGTTGAGAGAAACGGGGTAGAGGGGATAGTGTCCACCGGAGTGGCTCTCGGGGTCTTACGATGGCGAGAAGCTGGAGATGTGATGTGTATCGTGCCTTGACATAAGGCCCAATCCGCTGTGATCTGGTGTAGTTCTAGACTCCCCTGGGTTGAGCGGGCTGGGTTATCGCTGTCCAATGCAGACGCTACCTCGGGTACATGCACAGCATTTGTCTTGCGTACAATTCCGCCTTGGCCTACTTGATAGATACATGCTTTTATGAATCAATCATGTACCCAAGCCATCTTCAATTGATTGAAGGAATCGCAGGGCTGCAGCACCTGGTAGTAGTACTAAGGTACTACTATAGGTACTTTATTAGGGTAAGGATTGAAGTGAGCCTTGGAACTAAGCAACATTAACCCGTGTCTCCCACCGAGATAGAGCCCGCCCGCACGGCAGCTAAAAGATACGTCCGGCTGGGACATAGTATCTGAGCTGCTTTGTCATCCAGGGAGGCTCTCACACTGCACAGATGCCTAGCGGTCCATGTACCTGTTAGAAATTGATCAGAATTTTGCGTCTGTCGGTGGCCGAGGTTCGAGTGGCTTTTCATGTATGTCATCAAATCCAAATCCATTCCGTCGACGGTCCGGGGTACTGCCGCCCTAGCAGGTTCATGTACCTGGAGGCGCTGCGCAGCGCACGGAGTACAAGCGCAGCGGCATTCTGCCGTTCCCCATACTGGTAGTGGCCTTTAGTGGCGATTCGTGTCTTCCAAGTTACATGCACTGGTCCAATTACCGGCAAAGGGCCTCTAGGGAGCCGCTCGATTGTACCCAGCGACCCCATCCATGGCCGCTAAGCAGCCAACTGTACAGCGCCAGCCGCTAGCGAGGTAGCGGTTCAACACAGCCGGCCTCTTTTGTTACCACCATTGTTCCAGGTACCTCCGCCGCCTTATCTAATATCATCCGCCACAAAAGGAGACAGCCGGATTCTCACGGCCGGACACGCCGTCTCTCGCCCTTTGATCCGCCAGACAACAAAAAGAAAGAAGAAGAGGAAGAAGAAAACCCGAGTGCGTTCCTGCACTACCGCTTTACACTTCCGTTTGCTTCGTTGTGTAGTTTTTTCATCCTCCGTTATTCGCCTTGGGTTGTCCATCGCCGTCCCCTCACGCGAAAGTGCAGCAACAGCAAGCCACGCCTGGCGCACGCGCACCAGCCTCGTGTCCTGCAAAACCCTCCTTCGCCCGACAGACTCGCACTCACACCAGGCAAAACTCAACTCTCGATCCCTTTGCCACCATCCCGCCAGCGCCGCTCCTCTCGCCCGCTGGAACATCACCATCGACTGGATTCCAGCAGCAGAGAGAGACTCCAGCGGCACAGCACAGCGCAGCACGGCACAGCACAGCACAGCACACCATCGTCGGAAACCCCAGATCCAGCCGCCGGGGGTTTTCCCGACACCACAATGACGCCCTCGCCATCCCAGGGCATCGAGCCACGGCGGCCGAGAAGCGCCCACACGCAGACCGTCTCGGTCAACATCGCCGAGAGCACCCCTCCCAGCGGCCGCCGCTTCCAACTGCACGTCAGCGAGTGTGTCGAGACTAGAACAGTCACGACCACGACTCGCCTGACGAGGAAGTTTCCCCAAGTCTTCATCCGCGACCCCGCCTCACTCGAGACTCTCGACTCCAAGGAGTATCCCTTGGCCATGAAGCCGACGCCTCCCGAGCTGGTCGACTTTTCCTACAGTTTTGGAGCTGAAGAGGAGGATCATGATGCCGGGATGATCGACGACGCTGATGACCATGTCGATGGACAACTGGTAAGTGGGCTTTCGCCTCAATGGGTCGTGATGGTTTTTTTTTTTGCCGCCTTTGCCCTGCTAACACAACAACAACAGGTCAAGAGAAGCCAAAGCCTAGTCCCAGCCCTGATTAAACAGGAATCTACAGCCAGCGAAGTGCAGACACCGGAGCCTTTGAGCCGCATACCTTCAGCCTCGCCATCCGAGCCCTACTCTCGCCGGAGCCATCGAATAGCCGCGGCAGAGTCCCCTACCGCTGCGGCCACCAGGTCTTCACAACGACTTGCCCGCTCAAACCTTCATGCCGTCTCAAATAGACTGCGCCGCTCCGTCATCCAGGGAAGCAGCGCCTCCGGCAGTAACAGCGACGGCAGCAGCAGCACTTTGCGTCTTGACACCGGCGACAGAGCCGCCAGAAATGCCTCCATTGGCATTCTCGCCACGCCCGACATTACCGAGACGGCCGATCCGCTCCAGGGCCGGTCGTTGCAGCGACGGCCTTTGCACCTCGACTATTCACTGAACTCTCAGGACCTGCTCCGCGGCCGTTCAAAGTCTCCTCCGTACGAGGCGTCCAGTCCCGCCGGCAGCGATGCCCACACTTTTAGCAGCACCGTGGCGACGCCGCCAGTTACCGATGCCGACCCGGAATCGTTCGCCGACGATACCGACGAATCCCTTGAACCTGCGGTTCGCCCGCAGCATCGACCCGCAATCGATGTCATTGCCGCACAGGATGCCAGTCTTCCTAGTCCGAGATTATCTCCCACCTTGGCCGCTGCCCAGCTGCACCCTGCCGAACCCGACGAGAACGCACAGTCCAGTTTCAAGGCTGATCAGTCAGACGCGTGGATGGCCGATTCCCAAGGCACGGACGGATATACTGACATGGTGTCCTATGAGCACCCGACCCATGGCAAGCGCGGCCTGATGCGGCGATACGACCAGCCCGTCATCGTTGACCCCCAGACCCTGTTGGAGGCGTTTGACTCGATGAAGACGGAGATGAAGACGTTCATGATGTACCAGTTCCTCCGTCGATGCCCTCGACCCACTCTCCGTATCGTTGCCGACGCAGTGAATCCCGCCCTCAAGTGTGACTTTTTGCAGCAACTGCCCCTCGAGCTGAGCTACCACATTCTATCGTACCTCGACTTCCGCGACCTCAGCCACTGTGCCCAGGTATCAAAACAATGGCGCAGTATTGTTGACCGGAACGAGACTGGGTGGAAGGAGCTGTTTGACAAGGATGGCTTCACTCTCCCTCCGGGCGAGTTGAACAAGGCCATCATCCAGGGGTGGGGATGGCAAGATCCCGTTGGCGTCAACGGCTACGAGCAGGATTTGAGCATGCAGAACCGGTTGACCTCTTCGGAAAAGGAGCTCACCCAAGCCGTGAAGCAAGAAATCACGCCGAGAGTGAGGAGCTCGAAGCGCAAGCGTGGTCTCTACGCCTCCTCGTCGGAGCGTTCGAAACGGCGGGCGAGCACCCAGGAAGTGGTTGCCAACCGCGACGACCGGGCTCAGGGCGAGGTCAAGCAGCACAAGTCGGCTGGCCCTCTCTCGGCGGCCCACGCGGCGCTGCAGGCTGTGCCCGACCCCCAGCTGGGCCTGCCGAGTCTGCGACAGCTTCATCTGTACAAGTCGCTCTATCGCCGCCACTACATGATCCGCCACAGCTGGACCAACGGCGCGACCAAGCCCAGCCACGTAGCGTTTGCCGCCCATCCTCGACATGTCATCACCTGCCTCCAGTTTGACGACGACAAGATCATCACCGGCAGCGACGACACCCTCATCCACATCTACGACACCAAGACGGGCAAGCTCCGCAAGAAGCTGGAGGGTCACGAGGGCGGCGTGTGGGCTCTTCAGTACGAGGGCAACATTCTGGTCTCGGGCTCGACAGACAGGTCGGTGCGCGTCTGGGACATCGAGCGCGGTCTCTGCCAACAGGTGTTTTACGGACACACCAGCACGGTTCGCTGCCTGCAGATTCTCATGCCGACGGAGACTGGTATGGCCACGGATGGCACTCCCATCATGCAGCCGGAGAAGCCGTTGATCATCACGGGCTCCAGAGACAGCCAGCTGCGCGTCTGGCGTCTCCCCGAGGTTGGATCGCGACGCTACATCCAGACGGGTCCCCCGGCCCAGGAGTCCGACTGCCCCTACTTTATCCGCGTCCTGACCGGGCACACCCACTCGGTCCGCGCCATCTCGGCCCACGGCGACATCTTGGTCAGCGGATCCTATGACAGCACCGTCCGAGTTTGGCGGATCAGCACCGGCGACTCCCTGCACGTGCTCCACGGGCACACACAAAAGGTTTACTCGGTTGTGCTCGACCACGAGCGCAACCGATGCATCTCGGGCTCCATGGACTCGCTTGTCAAGATCTGGGACCTCGCCACGGGCGCCTGTCTCTACACCCTGGAAGGCCACAGCCTTTTGGTTGGCCTGCTGGATCTCCGCGACGACCGCCTCGTGTCGGCCGCCGCAGACTCGACACTCCGGATCTGGGACCCCCAGACTGGCAAGTGCAAGAACACTCTGATGGCCCACACGGGCGCCATTACTTGCTTTCAGCACGACGGCCGAAAAGTTATTAGCGGCAGTGAGAAGACTGTCAAGATGTGGGACGTCAGGACGGGAGAGTGCGTGCAAGATCTCCTGACAGATCTGTCTGGGGTCTGGCAGGTCAAGTTTGACGGAAGGCGATGCGTCGCGGCTGTTCAGAGGGACAACCTGACTTATGTGGAGGTGAGATTTGATCCCCGTGGAATCAACCCGCTCTCCAAACAAGCGACATGACTGACTTTGACTCGTTAGATTCTCGATTTCGGTGCCGTCCGGGACGGACACCCGCCCGAAGAGTTGGGGCGCCGTATTCTGTTGAACGAACCAGAAGTTCGTGCCATGATTGAGGAAGAGGCCTAAGTGTTTGTTACAAGTTTGGAAGGGAATTCCCTTCCCTCGCTCTTTTCTTCTTCTCTTTTTTCTCCCTCTCTAAAAAAAAAGAAAAGCGTTATTGAAGACGAAAAGCGAACGGAACAGAGAATGCATATATACAATACATAAGCATTTGGTATGGATATGGAAACCCGCATCAGAAGGGCGATACGACTCTGCCCTCGGCGTTCTGTTGTTATAGTACATACGCTGTCTGAAAACCATTGTCAGCATTACGGATTCAGAAAGGGGGTGTGAGGCAAGGCGTTTGGGCTCTATGTTTTCTTCCTTTTCTTTTTTCCCCTTGTTTTTCTCTTCTTCTAGTTCTATCCTGCTCTTTTTTTTCCCGGGTGTTTTTGTTCAGCGACAAATACGGAGGTTATGGGGGTGGCACGGGACATGTTTTCTTCTTTTCAGGGCTTTTATTTCGTCAACAACGTGGAAAGCGATGCTCGGATGGGAGGGCATATTGAAACCAACTCGGAGTGTGAGACGCTGGAGATGCAGGGTGGAGATGAGATGGGCACGTGCACGGATGTGTTTTACGTTGACTTTGTATAAAGAGAATACTACTGTTATACATGTAGTATGAGATGTTGTCCCCGCGAATTGACCTTTTTTTTTTTGCGCCCCTAGTTTAGAGACGGTGGTGTTGTCTTGTGTTGTGTGTTGAGACTTTGTGTAAATGACTGCATTATGGACGCCGGCTGCTGCTTGATGCTTGATGCTGACTCATCGGCGAGCAAGCACTTTGGCTCATGTTTTCCTAGTGGACGGCATTTCCCCTTTTGTCGTTGCATCTTCTGAAACATCACCCTGTCGGTTGAGACTCGCCTCGGGGCCCCGAATGATGCAATCAATCCATTCGTCGTCCCGGGATTACGGGCATAGTAGTAATTACTGCTGCTCCGTACAGAAGATGCCGAAAAAACAAAGAGTTACGGGGCATCGTCATCAACGGGCTCAAGACATGGCCTGCAGGAAGAGGAAGGGGGACGGGCGGGCGCTAGACGGGGATTTGCAAACGAATTGAAGCCAAAAAAAAAGAAGAACCGATACGGACTGGAGCTTTTTTTACACGCTGGCAGTCGCCCCATAAAAAGTGATAGGACAGCACATCTACCACTTGTCACGCCAACTGGGGCATTTGAGTCGAGGGCCCAACGAGCCAAAGGGAATGACGGGGTGCCGTATGTACGTGTAGTGCTGGTGGCTGTTGGAGAGGAGGCGTGCGTTGTTCTGGTCTGGGGCTGGGGGGGAACGCTACAGTGGTGGTTTGTATAGCATGTATGTACGAGTACGAGGGCGTGATAGGTTACGATATGATATGATATGATATGAGGAGAGAGAAAAAAGGGACATGATGAATTTGGATGGAGAGGATGGATTTAACGGCCAATTGCCAGCCAGTGGGTTGCCAAGGGGGTGTGTCTGCGTGTGTCCGGTCATGCAAATGCAAATGCAGATGCAAATGCAAAGGCGCCTGATTGCGGGAGCAAATCGGGGGACGCTGGGCGGAGCCTCCGGGCGGCAGACGGAGTTCGCTGGGCTCAATGCTTTTGTGCGGGCCAGGCGGGAGGAGAGACGAACATGGAGCCTTTTGTTCGGGTTCTGTTTTCTTTGGCGCCCAGGGTTTGCGTGTGCTGCTGCAGACGGGGGGAAACGCGGGACAGATGCGAGTTGAGTTGAGTTGGGTTGGGGGGGGGGGGGGAGAGCGAGGCAAGGGATAGAGGGATGGAGAGAGAGGGATAGAGAGAGAGAAGCTGGCTGGCTGGGCATATTTCGTGGGGTGTGACTCAATCACACCAGCGGTTCCGGGTCTCATGTTTGCCGGGGACTGCATTGCCTTGTCATCATTCACTCAATGCGCGAGGGATGCGTGGGGACTGTACCGAGGAGAAGCCAGAGAGGCGCAATCGGAGGCGCTGGTGTCTGAGCCGTCCCATGTACGGCGATGCTGTTTGCTCGCGATAGGTCCGTTGTCAGCGGTCTTGGGCATCGCTGTGCGGTTGATCGTTTGTTGTTCGTTCGTTCGTTGCTGTTTGGTTTGGTTTGGGTTTTGGCCTCTTTAAACGCCAGCCACCCCATTTTAATGCTGGACCTTGAACACACGCACTTGTCGCTTACACTTGCTTGTGTTTAAGACGAACGAGACCCGGATATTTGGAATCAGCAAACGGGACAAGAATACAAGTTCTCTTCATCAACTCCGTCACAAAGCTGAACCAATACTTTCCCTCCTTCTTCTCCTTCACCTTCACGGCCGTTCTCCTGAGCTGCGCGCCGTCCGACTAACAACTAGACTGGCGGGGCCCGTTCAGGGATCCTAGAAGGAAAAAAAAAAGGCCAGCCGGGAGATCTTCACCGACATTGAGAAAGCATTGAATAGCTTAGTGGGGGGGTTTTGGGAGCCAGGTCGTGACATTCCATGCCGTCTGTGGAATAACTAGAGCCCTACCGCTGCTTCTTTTATCCTTCTTTTTCTTCTTCTCTCAGACATTGAAGCAAGACATTGGAGATTTATTCACCACCTAGGTAGTTGCGCAAGGTTGCGGGCTCGAGCTCAACGGCAAACAACAAACACTACTGTACAACCTCAAAGAAGAAGGGAAGACAAAGGAACGAAGACAGGATGAGCAATTCCGGCCTACCGCTGGATGCGACCATTACCATTGTCAACAACTCGGGCAAGCTCATCAGCACCGTATGTTTGGGTCCCCTCTTCTCTCTCTCTCTCTCTCTCTCTACACACACACACAAGCACACCCGCACACACACTCACACACACACACCTCCCTCCCTCTCCATTCCGCGGCCATCCAATCAGTTGCTTCCGTAACACCGTGGGGTTGCACTGCATGCTAACTTTGAACGTGTGTTCGGCCTATAGGGCAAGCAGCTGCTCTCGATATGGAAGACGGCTCAGACTTCGTACAGAGAGAAGAAGGACGAGCTCAGCCAGGAGCGAGCCCAAGAGCGAGCCGCTGACAAGAAGCCGCCTCCCGTCCCCATCAAGCGCGCCCAGACCTTCGATACGAGCCGCAGCATCCCTCACAGGCAATATGACGAGTTGAGCGTGGCCAGCTCGCACCGGACGTTCAAGAGCTCCATCGCCAAGAAGCAGCTGCCTCCGGTTCCCAACCAGCTGGCTCTGACGGAGGGAAACCTCGAGAAGCTGTCCGAGGTGTCGAGCGTTGCGCCCTCGAAGCCTCCTTCGTCATATCAGGGCTCATATGGAGATGCGATGCTGGTCAAGGGTGGCTTCTCGCGCGTCGATCCGCCAATGGCGTTGCAACAGGTGCAGCCGAGGCCGCTGGTTCGTACGCGGACCGACACGGAGGCCGAGGCGATGAAGAGGATGAGCATGGGGAGCGATTTGCACTTGGCGTACGGCGACATCCCCCCGGATCTGGCTGACAGAGTGGACTTGGATGCGCACACCGCGCCGCCGCATGTGGATTTGCGCGACGTGCATGTCGAGGACGAGCGCGAGCAGGCCGAGCAGCTGATTCACAAGATTGAGAATCTTCTGGATGAGGCGAGTTGCGCTCAGCATTCGGCCACGGCCATCATCACGCATCTCCAGGAGCGCCCCGATGCGGCTGCCGCTGTTGCTCTCACGTTGGCCGAGCTCTCGGGCATCATCACCAAGCTGTCTCCCGGCTTCGCGGCCATCCTCAAGGGCACTTCGCCCGCCATCTTTGCGCTGCTCGCCTCGCCGCAGTTCCTCATTGGTACGGGCATCGCCGTCGGCGTCACGGTCGTCATGTTTGGCGGCTGGAAGATTATACAGAGAGCCACGCAGAATTCGTTTGCCAAGAAGCCCGTGGCCTACGAGGCGGCAGCAGCGCCGGTACCCAACCTGCCGGCACTGCCGGAGAGCGGCATCGACGAGGCCATTGTTTTGGAGTCGGTCGAGGTGGACATTAGCAGCATCGACACGTGGAGGCGCGGTATCGTGGACCTTGGCTACGAGAGCGCTGACCAGGAGCTGATGACGCCCGCGGCTGAGCGCGTGAGGCGAAGTTCAAAGGCCGGTCCGGAGGACTATTTCTCTCGAAAGGGCTCCAAGTCGCACAGATCGTCGTCGTCCAAGGCGCACTCGTCGTCGCAGTCGACTTCTTCTTCTCACAAGTCTCACAAGTCGAGGCATGAGAAGGATTCTTCCGACAAGAAGAGCAGCAGCAGCAGCGGCAGCAGCAAGAAGAGCGACGATGGCAGCAGTGTTGGCTCCATGGCTTTGATCAAGAAGTCGATTGCTAGCAGGAAGAAGCAGATTGACCAGACTGGGATTAAGAGCGAGGAGTTGCCGCTGAGGACGAAGAAGCAGACGAATATGCTCAAGGCTCTGTTTAAGAGCAAGGAGCACAGGCAGACTGTTGCTACTTAGACGACGAGATGCATTCGATGCAGGATGAGTCCATGGTCGAGACTCTTGTTTTTTCTATTCGAGGTTGAACATGGGGAATGAAGCAAGCGAGTGATGCATTACTTTTTTTTTCTTTCCAATCGGCAGAGGGCTTTCCACCCGTTTATTTTGGATATGCAAGAGACGGAAATTACGAATACAAGGGCAATATATATGGACAGCAGTTGATGGGACTATAGGGGGAAAGTTTCAGTTCCCTGTTTTTTTGGGTTTTGGGGCGTTGAATTTTTTATATCTTTCATTGACTATAGAAAAAATTATGGCCGGCAACAGTACAAGGCCAGTTTGGATATGCAGCCTTGGAGGAGGGTATCTACACATATACATCATATACGCGCGTCATGTATATATATATCTATCTGTGGTGGTTGAGCATGGCAAGCATTTCGTCATGCGAATGACTACATTACTTCTTTTATATACCATTTTCCCGAGAACCTCTGGCTTCTATTTTCTATTTCTATGTTAACAACCAACGTTATAGCTCTAACCTGTCTGCTATCTCGTTCAAAGCTTTCACAACAACGACCTCTGCATTCTCCATGCCCGCCCCCCGATAAGAATACGTAAACTCCCATCCACTCGCCGCGGCCGCATGCTCCCCCCTATTATCCAGCACGACGATGCCCGTCCTCGCATCCGGATACCGAGCGACGATCCTCCGGACGGCGTCGTCGGCGGCTTCCTGGGCCGACACGCCGCGGCGGAGACTCTCGACGGCCTGGTAGCACGGCAGCAGGCGCATCATCAGGTCGCCGTCGCCGGTGGCGCCGCAGGCTCCGGCGGTGGAGTCGACGTAGGAGCCGCTGCCCGGAATGGGGCCGTCGCCGACGCGGCCGGGGATTTTGTGGGATGCGCCGTTTGTGGTGGTGCAGGCTGCCATGGAGCCGGAGGGGGAGAGGGCGAGGAGGGAGAGGGTGTCGTGGGAGGAGTTGGGGATGGTTTGTGTGTGAGAGTTGCTGGAGGGGGAGTATGGGCCGCAAGATGAGAGGGGGTTGGGGAGGACGTCGGAGCGGTAGTTTGGTTGGCAGTTGTTTGAGCGCCATTCGTGACATGCTCGGAGCGAGTCTTCCGTTGAGAGGCTTTCCTCCTCGAAGCCGTTTTGTAAAGCGAATTGCGTTGCTTGATCACCTGCGAGCAGCGTGTGTTGCGTATAATCGAGCACATGTCTCGCCACGCCCACGGCGTCTTTGACGCGCCGCAGGTTGGCCACGGCGCCGGCATTGAGCGTCTGGCCGTCCATGATGAGCGCGTCGAGGGTGGTTTCGCAGGATTCGTCGGGGGAGCCGCCGAAGCCGACGGTGTTGTCGCATTGGTTGGTTTGGCATGCTTGGCAGCCTGCTTGGACGGCGTCGAGGGCGGAGGAGGAGTTTGAGAGGGCGAGGAAGGCGGCGTTTGTGGAGGCCGTGAAGGGGCCGGACCAGGTGTTTATGATGAGGGGGGGAGAGGAGAGGATTGCTGTTGTGGGGAGGATGAGGGTGAGGAGGGTTGTGATGGTTGATGAGGGGGGTTTGTGAGGAGCCATTGGTGTTGATGTGGTTTGTAGCTGAGAGGTGTAAGATGGAATGAGATAAGACAAGATGAGAGCTGTAATTGAAATTGAATGATTTACATGCACAGTGATGCAATGCTGTATCATTCAATTGCTCATGGCTTCTCATCAACTCCTTCTTCAACACACATGAGGCCATCTCACATGTTATTTACATCCCGCCGCGGAGCAGCTTCATCCCCATCCAGCCAATAACACCTCGTTGTCCAATAATATGCATCAAAACAACCTCATCTCCGGAGCTAATGCACTTACACAGCCCGAAAATCCTATGCTAGAAGCGGGGATGCGATCCTACAGTACTAATTAATTCCCCTCAAGTCCGCTCCTCTTTCATCCCTTTTTCTTTTCTTCACCTTCGTCCGTAAACTTGCCCTTACTTCCAGTGAGGGAATAAAACATCGTAGACCACTTAGATAGAACAAATTCCATAGACGCTGCGACCATTACATGTTATAAAATGGCAGCAGTGTCCTCCTTTGCTGTGCTTGATCCGGCCTCGGCGTCTGCTGTGCTTGATCCGGCCTCGGCGTCTGCTGTGCGTGGCTTCTTGCAGCGTGCTGTTGCGCTTTACCGTGATGTGCTCGCTTTGCACGGTGATGCTGATGGTGATGATTCCATTCTGGATGATGGTGCCTCTTTGACAGATCATCGCCTGGGTGCCCATGCTGCCTTGATCGAAGACTCCCTGAGCGCGCTCAAGTCCGTCCATCACGTCGCTGGTGGTGGTGATGCGCCTCATCCATTGAGCACTCTGCCTGGCGCGTGTTACAAAATCGGACAAGATTTGATGCTGCATCTTGATAGAAGCGCCACCACCACCCAGGACCATGAATCGCAGACCAAGTTTGGTGATATCTGGTCCGTTCGCGACATGGCGACTCTTGGTGCTCGACTTCAGGAGCTGAGCCAACGGTTCCATGATGATGTTGATTCTACTTTTGCGTAAGTTGCACATTTTACATATATACTCGCGTTGCTGTTAATATAGCATCTGATTTATTGAAATGCGCTGATACTTTACCTAGAACTCGCCGGCTGCCGGTACCCGATCTCACTCCATTGAACCAAAGTAAGGACGAGGCTGAAGATGATGGAGATGCGCCACCAAAAGAAGACGAAGACGAATCAGACAAAGGAAAGCAAAAGATGAGGCGCATCAACATTGTGCCCGGCGACAATGTCTACATTGAAGTCCCCGTTAAACACCGACCAACACCAGACTCCATTGTGCACGACTACATCCTTGACGTTCTCTCTTACAAAAGCATGTACTTTCGGGAACAGGAAGTTACAAAGGCTCATAGCAAAACGTTTGAATGGGTATTTCTCCCGTCGCTTCCTGCTGATACTCAAGATCCGCAGAAAGGCGCAGAGCATCCCTTTTCGACGTGGCTTCGGGGTGATGAGCTCGGTCCTATTTTTTGGATCACTGGAAAGCCTGGATCGGGAAAATCGACTTTTATACGATTCCTCTTTGATCATGAAGCTACCATGCAGCGTTTGAATACCTGGGCTGTCGACAAGCCCGTATTGACTGCCGGGTTCTTCTTCTGGACAAGTGGTTCTCGTGAGCAGCGCTCGCAGACGGGATTGCTTCGCTCTTTACTCCATCAAATTCTTTCGGCGCACCCGGAACTTACTACGGCGGCATTCCCACAGCTGTGGAAGAAACTTAAAAAAATGTCGACAAAGGAGCGAGTTGCGCTTCATTTGGATTGGTCCGTTGCGGACTTGCTGGAGGCGTTTCAGGGGGTCATGGATGACGCTGTGCAGAAGATGAATGTATGCCTGTTTATTGATGGGCTGGATGAGTTTGAAGGCGATCACACGGCCATTATCGACTTTTTCAAGAATCTGTGTTTGGGGGATAAGGGGAGATCGATCAAGATTTGCCTGTCGTCGCGGCCGTGGGCGGTTTTCCAGGATGCGTTTGAGTATGCGGTGCCGAATCTGAGGCTGCAGGATCTCACGTATGGTGATATGCATCGGTATGCAAAAGACAGGCTGCGGGAGAACGTTCACATTCGGCGTCTTTTGAAGCATGAGGCCGCTGTTGGGGAGGAACTGATTCAGAAGGCGGTGCAGAAAGCGGATGGAGTGTTTCTCTGGGTGAGACTCGCGCTCAACGAAACGATTCGCAGGTTTGATCAGAGCACGGGGCTGGCTGGGTTGTCTGAGGTTTTGCAGGGCTTGCCGACGGAACTTGATGAGCTGTTTCATTTGTTCTTCTTTGAGAACCAGGACCAAGATCAGCTGGCTGAAGCGGCCGTTGTGTTCAGTCTGATGAACGCACGCGAGTTTGTGGCGGATTTCATCAGCAACGACTCTGCTAACGCACTTACCGTGTGGGAGCTTGCATTCGCTCTCAGGGGCGGCGAAGACGATGAAGCTGCTATATCTGAGGATGTAAAGCAGGCTTCGACAGAAATGGCATATGATCGCTGCGGAACAACCATTCAACTCATCATGAATCGGTTTTCCGGCCTTCTCGGCGTCCATGCTAGTCGTGAACAGGGCAATGGTCGTGGTCTCCGATTCGCCGGCAAGGGAGGCGATATGAGCGAGGCGATTGATGCAGCTACACGACGAGTCACTTACATCCATCGCACGGTCCGTGACTGGTTTATGGAGGAACCCGGCGTCATGGCCCGTCTTGTAGAAAAGACACCGCTCGACTTTGATCCTCACTTGCGGCTGCTACGATCGTATGTGCTGCAGATGAAGAATGCGCTCGAGGAGATTGAACATCATCGTCAGCTGGACGAATGGTGGCCCGGCATCGCACTCGCCATGACGCATGCGAGATACGTGCGGAACGACTCGCAGCATCTGCAGCGGGCAATGGTGAATGAGGTGGACAGGACGATTTCCCGGTACTGGCTGAGCAAGCCCGAGGATCCATATGATCACTGGGCGAGATACGGTCTGGGGCCATATCGAATTTTCAAGGTTGCCGCACCGCTATGGCAGCCGTTTCTGTGCCTGGCCACGAGATTTGGCCTCACAAGCTACGTTTCCGAGGAAGTCCTCGCTCGTAACGCCGCAGAAGACGAGATTTCGGACGAGCAGAAGGAACTCCAAACGTCAGAATCAACGCCTCTTCTCGCCTACGCCACTGAATTCCCTTGCTCCCGCAACAAGACCATCTTCCCGCTGTCAGATCCTCTCCTGGTGGACTTTCTCCTCCGCAACCAGTGCCGCATCAACCCAGGCCCGAACCACGGATACACCGACTTTTGGACCAACGCGCCTCGTACGCCGTGGATCACGCTGCTGCGGCATTTGCGGGATGCGCGCCGGAGAGGATGGATCGAGTACTACGATGTTGATCCGCAGGGCACGGCGCGGTGGGCGGAGATTGTGAGGCTGTTTGTGGAGGTGGGCGGAGCGGATCGGGAGGCGGTTGTTGTTAAGGATAGCTTCGATCCTGAGATTACGGCGGTGGGAGTGTTGGAGTTGTTGGAGGGGACGTATTGGGCGGTTGAGATGAGGGAGTTGGTGGAGATGGTGAAGTTGAGGGATGATGAGTAAACGGATGGCTTGGAGAGCTGGCTTACAGCGTATGTCTTGGGGGAGATGTGTGTGTGTGTGTTGTTGTGGATTTTGTTATGCATTTCTAAAAGTTTTTGTTTGTTGATGTTTGCTTTCTTTATATTCGAGGGTATCTTGTTGCTACCATTCACGGGGTACATTGGGCTTCATTCCCATGTGGTGAACTTATGATGACCAATTGCGACTGTGAGATAGAAACCATGTAATCGCTATGTAATTAACCTACGGCCCCATATCTACGCCTCCATCCGCATCACAACTAGCTCGGAATCTCCGATCATCGCCTTACTTGCATATATCCCCCTTAGGTTCATTGTATGTTGTCAAATAATAGTCCCTGATACCAAGTTGCAGAGGTTCAAATTCCGCGGACAAACCAAAATGAATTCAAAGACAGTAAACGCGTTACATCTCTTAGTACTGAAATGTTAAACCTCGTGTTGACTTGACACCGTTGACGCTGAGGAGAGTTGTGTGATCTCTCAGAGGTTCACTGGCTGTTGATTGTAAAGTTACGCCACAACTTGACGGTCGCTCCCACATTCTCACCAAGAGAGCGCGAAAAGTTGCTCTATATCTGAGAACTAGTATTCCTATGCGAGCAATTGAATCAGATGATAGTATTTATCATTGGTTTATTGTGGATTCTCCCCGTGCAACCTAATCGTTGTTTCGCCCTTGAAAGTGATGGTTTTTGCGATACGCTCGCGGAGATCGAGGGCTGCGAATATGAGACTATCAGAAGGCGCTCTAAAAAGATGGATGCGGCTCGAAAGGCTTAAGATGAAGAAGCGGGGCTGGAATGGAGCGCAAGGGGGTTGCTGAACAGTGGCAATGCTATTGTAGATGGACCGTATGATAACGCGAGATTGGATCCTGCTCCGGCCGAGACTGTGAAGCAGACCTTTGAGAGAATCTTTCGTGGCTAGACATGGATTGATTGCTGCAAAAACAGGACTCGACCCTCTTATACGATCATGTCAGGATACAATTCATAAGAAACATCATCTCCTTTTTAGGTGTCACTTGAAAAACGAGGCTCCAGTCAGATTTTCTTCTTTTCTGTGTGGTAGGAAGCAGCTAATACTACTCAAGGTTTACCAACCTCCAAAACCACAACGCTCTCTAGGATAACATGATAACATACTAGGTAGGCTGAAAAATCCCACCGTTCCTGACTTCTATCTCAAAAGAACATCCCGAACAGCAAGCCCCTCAATGAGTGCCAGTCTATCTTCATGTATCTCACCAATGCTAATCCTTTCTTTTACTTCAGCGCTGCCTTTATTGTCTGGAACCCCAAGTCTGCCAATGAGTAGGATCTGCAAGGAACCCACAGATTTCTTTTCTAACATTCCACGACCAACCCCTTTCAAGTCGTCAAAAATGTATTGTGTGAACGCCCTCTCACGAGGTAGACATTTGCCACCTACTTTCAAGGCGCCAATGTTGCGTTGTAAGTCTGCCGCGGTATGACCCGGAAATTTGCCGCTCTCTGCAATCTCAAGACTGGCTTGCGTCGCGAGGAGCTTCCAGAAACCTGATGGAAGTTGAACACTTGGATCTTTCGTAGCAACACTCGTTCGCTCCTTGACCATACGACCGTAAACACCAGCAATCAGCGAGTCGTATTCAATCCTAGTCTCAAACTGAGAGCCCAGATCTCTAGAATCCATTCCTGCTTTCATGAGCTCTTCTATGTACTCCGTCGTTGTTGGATTTTCGTTTCTGGTTCGCCAATCTCCAGTGTCAAATGTTGACAGTATAATCACTTCGATAGAGAGGCGATTATTATGCTGCTGATCATTTCTCAAGATTTCGTTGTACGTAGCCTCGGAGGAAACCCATGCGTTTCCTATGTGAATTCCGCTTGTTGTATAGAGAAAGAGGCTTGGTGTCAATGGAAGCAGCGAAAAGTCAGTTCGAGGAACGCACGGCTTCTGACCATTTGGTTTTAGGGTGGATATCGCCAGGTAGGTAGTCAGGGTGCGAAATAGTAATGTAGAACTATCCAAGTTTGGGATACAGGATGCGGGAGATGGAGGAAGACGAGGTGTTAATGTTTCGTCAGCAGATTTCAGACTCAACCGAGACAAGAGGAGAGCGATGGTGCTGCTCCATGCCGTAATGTCAGAAGAAGCAGAAGCCCTTAGCCCTCGTCGATTATCACCTATTACAGTGCTCGACGTGTCCAGGCGAATGCCTCCTTTGGCTCTTATCTCTTCTGATGCCGCCCCGCGCCCTAAAGTGAACAAGACAAAGTTTGCCTTCTTCTCGTCATAGACATACCAATGGATCCAGCTCCTTTTTTGTAGCCACCTTTTCTCGGAAAAAAGAAGTCCCTCGATCTTCGTGGCGATGGTCCCCTTCCATCCCGCCCAAGACCAGCTTGGAAATCCAGGGCGACGAGAGGCCCATCTGGAATGTTTCCAGAGCATGTCAACACCAAAAGATTGTCACAAGACCGTATAGTGTGATCAATCCAGTGTCTCTGGCAATGTTAATAGTCCCAGCAAAAGCGTTCAAAATATCACTGTCATGGGTTAGATTCCGGTCAAGATATATTGTCACGTATTGAGTGTAGTTAAAAAGAGTCCATCTCAACGGGTAATTGGGAGGCTCCCAATCCAGACCTTTTCCATTATGGCCAATTCGAAAATTTGCCCAGAATGGATCCATATATTCTATGGCCAGGTCTACCTGCCATCGAAGTGTATTACATCGATAGATGAGTTGTCCGGCGTTGAAAATGAGACGCCTAGGAGAGAAGAAATATTCTTGATAACTGCAGATGGTTACTACAGTGTAGAAGTGACGGACAATAATAGTAGTGCAGTGACAAACTTACGTCCAGCTTCTTGTTGCCCAAACTGATTTCTTTAGTCCTTTAAACGAAGTCGTGTAAATGAAAGTCAACCCATCAGCTACGGGTGCGATGGGCTGATCCACATTTCTAGAGGAGGGTAAAACTCCAGGTAGACCGGCATTAGAGCTGTCTCCCGAGGCGGCGAATAGAGTAACATATACATTTGCGTAAATATGGTTCATATCATCAATCATTAGCTGCTTAAAGATTGGGTCGTCTTGGATCATACAGAGAGCATCAACCCAAAAGAAGTTTTCCCCGAGTTGCTTCACAAACTCCATAGCGTGCATACGTGTATACAAAGGGAGCCAATTAGAGAAAGATCGCCTTTGGACGAATCACGATCGTGAGGCATCGTGGCCCAATCAAATACAAAAGAGAGATGAGAGGTTCGTTTCATCGCAATTATGTGAGACGGCTAGCCATTTACATACTATTCGAATAAAACAAAATTTTGAAAATACAATTCACTCTACGAGCTACGTCATGATATTTCGCATTACTTTACATCCTATCTTATCGACCAACATAGACCTGATCTAGGCTCATTACCGTGGGATCCTGGTCGAGACTCCGTAGATCAACGCGAATACTAAGCGTTCTTTCTTCAATATATATAGCAATATAACCATTAGTCAAATATCTTGAAGCTCGCTTCAAACTCTGCCTCAGCTCTGAATGTCTACTCCTTGTTGAGAGGTTCTAGCCAGAGGGAGAAAAGTATTTCATTGTTGGACAGTTGCATGGTCCAATAAGCCACCATAAGGATAGGAAACACGGGCCATCTCTGGCTTTACTTAGCTTCCTCTCATTTCATCATTCACTATTCTCATCCCTAGAAATTACGATATCAAGAATTAGATGTCGTCCAACGATACCCCTTCTATATAAACTCAAGCGACGGGTACAATATTTCTCCGAAGCACTCGGAAATACGTAATGCTTTGTAACAGTGAAGAACGGTTTCGACCAATCACGTTGTATTTCGTGAATGATTATACTAATCATGTTTCTTCAGTGAACAGGAACATACCAACTGGCTAGCTAGCCTCAAACTCCGCTTTACCTCTGGCACTCCTACACGGCGGAGATTCGCGAACTTCGGAAGTTCCGATTCAATAACGTGAACAAATTCATCGTTGACGGTCGCTCATCAAATAATGGAGTATCTCTACGCCGCCTTGACTAATATTAGTTCTCCCAAGTATAAAAGAATTAATTTGTCTTGCTTTGACAAATAGACATATCCCACCGGACAACATATTGTTGAAGCTATAATATCAAGTAGCACAGCGCTTGTGAAAGAAGATAAACTATCAATCTTCTCATCAGTTTTTAATATAACACATTGTGTTGCTTCATCATGGCACCCATCCGCGTTGGACTGATTGGGCTTACGGTTGGAGATGGCATATCCCTAGGAAACGGGGCCTGCCGACTTATATCAACTCCTCAAACTACGAAATAGTTGCTCTCTGCAATTCCTCTGTTAATGCGGCAAAACAGTCAATCGCGTACCACAAGCTACCTGCTACTACTAAAGCCTATGGAAGCCCTGAGGACATCGCCAATGACCCAGACGTTGACCTTGTTGTCATCTCTGTCCATGTCTCTAGGCACCATCTTCTTACTTTGCCTGCCTTGAAAGCAAAGAAACAGGTCTTTTGCGAATGGCCGCTTGGCGCTAATACAGCAGAAGCAGAGGGAATGGCACAACTAGCCAAGGGCTTAAAGGTCGTGACGGGGTTGCAGTTTCGTGCAGATCCTCTCATTACCAAGGCCAAGCAGCTTATTGACAGTGGTGCTATCGGCCGGATTACTAGTACCACAGCTGTGGGATGCTTTAACAACTATCCGGCCGATACCTGGAACGCAAAAGCAGATTATTTCCTCAACTTTAAAGGAGGCGCTAATGAGTATACCATTTCATTCGCTCATTGTAAGTTACTTTATGTGAACCAAACCAAAACATACCATAATAAATTGCTAACAGCGAAACAGTTCTGGACTCGTTTAGGTATATTGTCGGTGATTTTGCCAGCTTGCAGTCGGTTATGGATATACAGTATCCTACCGTGAAGCTCGTTGATTTCACAACCGGTGAAGTCACTGACCCTGCTCGTAAAAAGACGAGTCCAGATCACATATTCGTCAATGGCAAGCTGGAAAGCGGCGCGGTTGCCAGCCTTTCTTTCCGCAAGGTGACCAAGACGGTTGATGGCAAAGGCTTACGATGGTTCATCTCGGGCACCAAGGGAGAGCTGGAGATTACTATTGATGGGCCCAACTTCCAGATGGATATAGCCAAGAAGCAACTGCGTCTGGTTGACAACGCGGTCGGAGTAACACAAGACATTGACTTTACTGACGCCCAGGAGCTGGCATATGTTAAGAACGTCCCTGCCATGGGCCAAAACACATCTAGACTCTGCGAGAAATTCGTGGCGGCTCCCACTGAAGTCGCCAACTTTGACGACGCTTTGAAGCTTCACCAGTTGCTAGATAGGATTGCAGCGGCGGCTAATTATCCCTACAAGGCTTAATGAGATTAGTCGTCTCTCACAGTTTCTACATGGTGTGCAGTATGTTATGAGAGGGACTAGAGATATTATAGTATCTATACCATTCTATGAAATACGAATAAAGATTATCTGAGTTCAAATTAACAAAATCCATGTTATTTGTGCCTTTTAGTTGAGGAACGTTGGCGCCCTCTTGCACATGAAACTCAGCTGCAGAGCTGAAAACATGGGCCGAGGTGAGGCGGAGGCGCAGTCACTTGGCACGAAGCTGCCTCACGATCTGCCTCATTTAGGCCATTGTTGGCTTATAGATGCCATGATATGGTTGTTTTTGTTGGGAAAATATTCTCACATATATTATCTAGGAATTTTATGTTCACATGCTCATTGTTGGGATATCCACTCCCAAACTCAACTTCATCTATCATCATAAGCATTAAACCATCCATCGCGACTGGTTGATTCAAACATCAATCTTATAACGATTAACGTTATGGCATCCGATACTACAGACAAACCCGCAATCTCCAGCGACAACAAGTTGATCGGAAACAACGACCTATCAGTTGAAAATGACGAACCGGCTCAAAGTAGCGACGCAATAGCCGAGAGAAGCGACGGAACCAATCCAGAGATTGTCACAAATTTCTTTCATTATATCACCCAAAAACAAGCCGACGTGGTATCAGACATCATTGCCAATGGATTTGTCTCTCCAGACACGCCAAATGATCGAGGCGAAACACCCCTCATAACGGCAGTCAGCAACAATGACGCAGCCATGGTACGCCTTTTGGTCTCGCTTGGAGCAACAATCGATGGGTACGGCTCCTACTCTCAGTATGAAGACAACCATCGGACAAAAGTTGAGCGAACTCCTCTCCAAGTTGCAGCCGCTGAAGGCAAGCTTGGCATTGTCAAGATATTGCGCGAGCTCGGTGCCGACGACTCGCTCATCGCTCCAGATGGCGCAATGGCTCTTCGCCTAGCTGCTGAAAACGGCCATCGAGAAGTGGTTGAGCATCTCCCAACTCGGCGCGGCGGTGCTTGGAAGAGATGGAAGGTGACGCACGAGAAACAGATGCGGCGCATTCGTCGCATCTTGGAGAAGATTGGATCGGTCTTCAAGTTTCTCTTGTGGACTGTCCCCAAGTTTCTTCTCTGGACAGTTCCGAAGCATATTATTAAGACGGTGCCCAAGGCTATTTTTGTGACTATACCAAGGGAAATCTGGCAGCGTAGACACAAGGTAGGACCTTGGTGCAAGCGGCAAATTACCAAGTTCCCTAGCCGTGTGAAGAGGGCGGCCAAACTTGCCGGTGATGGGATCAAAGACGCGGGAAAGACCATCCAAAAGATACCGGGAAAGATATGGCAGATCTTGAAGCGCATACCTGGCGCTATCTGGACCATTATATCATGGATTGGCAAAGGGCTTGGCAAGGTTGGCACCGCAGCTTTTAATATCCTGAAGCGAGTAGCCTCATTGATACATACGACGGTTCAAGCTATGGTGGGATTCTTCCAGGCCATCACCCTGGATGATATTGCCAATGGTTTCCGGGCCATTCTCCGGGCGATATTCATCGATTTTCCAAAAGCTGCTGCATACCTTGCCACAACTTTTGGGGAGACGAGTCTCAAAGTTCTCGGATATGTGCTGGGCTCCTTTGGGAAAGGAATATTTTATGCGTTTGCTCTGGTATTCTTGCTTCTTCGCCGGCTGCCTAGGAAGGTTTGGCAGATGCTCGTGGCTTGTGTGGTTTCGATGGGGAAGGGAGTAGAGGAGTTGTTGGTATGGATCAATCCAAAGAGAATGCAATTCAGAAAGGGGAAATGTGATTGTGCCGTCAGATGAGATATATGGGGTACTGCAAGGCGTTGTGGCGTTTTGAGATTCTCTTTCAACAAGCTTGTAAAATAGAAGAGAGGAAGCAGATTAGCTCAGTATTGCGGCCATTTCGCCGCCATAATTCTTACTGGATTGTTAGTATTTGAACAATTCGAGATCGCAAATAAAAGACCAAGTTTACAGACTTCTGATAAGCAGAACGAAAGCCACTTGATGGCGACATTAAAACAGGGCAACACGTCTCCAACTTCAGCTCGCTCAGCAACGGCTTTGCACGGCTACGAGCGGGTTTCTCGCTGCAACGCCGGTGCATTATTCCAGCAATGAGTGTCCAGATAATCAGTCAGACCGTTGCAAATCTAATTAAAACTGCTTGGTTGGTAATGGTAGTGTGCTGGGGAGTGGGATGCACTCTCCGATCTCGTTCGTGTTCGATATCTGGCGGACAGGGCCTTCTAAGCTGGCCCACTGCAGACGAGTCTTATTTATTTCCAATCCAATATCCACACAAAAAATATCTATAAGCCGATGTCATTGTGATGATGATAAATATCTTTTAAATCAAAGATTCAGGGGTATTGTCTTCAAGTTCATTCATAATCTACGCAGGCGGTGCGTAAATGAAGAAGTGGACATTGAAGTTGCTGATGGAGGCAACATGCATATCCGGATCCCAATCGGAGATCGATACACGGAATCATTGGTAGGCCAGCTCCATAGATCCCTCCCCCTACAGTAGTGTCCTGATTATCGGACTTTGACCGGGAATGCCTGTTTACTTCCCATTCGCCGAGTGCTGATGGACTCCTCCTTCGTTAGACAGAGTACATGTGTATCCCATACGGTGGCTAATAAAAATATATTAATACCATTCTTCTTCCCCTCTTTTGCATTTTCGCTGAGAAAGTTGGAATTTCGATCGGTTTTTGAGACGCCCTGATTTATCATCTCTGGACGGGAATCAGCATTGTAACCAATTTCGCCGAGTAACAGTCGGGAATTGGCCGACAAGATTCAACCACCAAGCGCCATGGTCGGCGATTCCTCATCGGGTTCTTTGACCGCTTCAGAGCCACAGCAATGGCACGATTCATCAAAAAAAGAAACTTTGGAAAGCGAGGTTTTCGAACAGGCAAATGAAATTGAAGCGGTCAGTGAAAAGACGGCAGACCATTCCAACGTGTCTCCCGTTACTAACAAGACACCCGCCAACTAGAATGATGTCGATGTCGAAGAAGCAGATGACAAGTCAAGGCGATCTGGCGTGTTCTCGAGGATATCATCAGCACGCAAAAGGAAGCTGGAAACAGATTCTCCGCCGGTAGTAATCCCTGTCACAGACCTTGAAAAGGGCATTGTCGGATGGGACAGTCAGCACGACCCGGATATGCCACTCAACTTTTCTCGTAGTCGCAAGTGGTTCATCACAATCCTGTTATCAGCCATTACGTTTATGACGCCCTTTGCTTCGTCCATCCTTGCACCTTCGCTGGCGGCCTTGGAGAAAGATTACGGCGTTGACGATGTTACCCTGGGATCGATGCCCGTCAGCATATTTCTGCTGGGATATGCAATTGGACCTCTGTTTCTGTCGCCCTTGTCCGAGATTTACGGTCGAAATCTGATACTCATAGCCGCAAGCGCCTGGTTCTGCATCTGGCTGGTGGGCTGTGCGCTTGCTCCAACGCTCAGCACGCTCATATTCTTTCGATTCATGACTGGCGTCGGCGGCTCAGGATGTCAAACCATCGGCGGTGGTATTATCAGCGACATGTTTCCTATAACTGAACGTGGAAAGGCAATGACTATCTGGATGCTGGGTCCCGTTGTCGGCCCTACTGTTGCGCCCGTCATTGGTGGTTTTGTGTCTGAGACAATTGGCTGGCGTTGGGTCAACTGGTTGTCCTTGATACCCGCTGCTATGGTGGTAATAGCCATGATCTTCTTCAATCGTGAGACAAATCATCGAGTGTTGATTGCACGAAAGACAGAGAGGCTCCAAAAGGAGCTCAGCCAGCCCGAGCTCCGGAGTTGCTATACTGACCCCGAAGCTCCCGTCCTAAGCAAGAGACAGATCCTGACGCTTGGACTGATTCGGCCATTGAAGATGCTCTTCCGTTCGCCAAACATCTTTGGGCTGTCGCTGTACATTGCCTTTGCGTATGGATGCCTCTATCTCCTCTACAACACCATCCCAACCACATTCGAGGGCAGCTACGGCTGGACCCTGGGTATCACGGGCCTGGTGTATCTCACGCTGCTTGTTGGATATGGCATCGGTTTGTTGTCGTTTGCTCTTCTCTCTGACAGTACAGTTATTCGCATGACTGCCGCCAACGACGGCGTTTACGAGCCCGAAATGCGTCTGCCCGATTGTATCTGGTTTGCCCTCATTCTGCCCACCACCTTTTTCTGGTACGGCTGGAGCGCTGACAAGGCCGTCCACTGGATTGTGCCCATCATCGGTATTGCGCCGTTTGGAATTGGTATCGTAGGAGTCTTGTTGCCCATCCAGACATACATTGTCGACGCATACCCGCAATATGCAGCGAGCGGCCTTGCTGGGTTTGCCGTCTTGCGAAATACAATCGCTGCTTTCTTGCCCTTGGCAGGGCCTCAGCTGTATAAGAGCTTGGGCGTAGGATGGGGAAACTCTCTGCTTGGGTTTATTGCGATAGTGTTGATTCCCATTCCGGTGCTGATATACAAGTACGGCAAATGGATGAGGCAACGGTTCCCCGTTGAGCTGTGAGTGAATGTTGTTTTCATTGTGCCATTCGGGCGTCTTTGGAGTTTTAGCTGTTAGCATTTAGAAAGTTGAATTGGGATCTATCAGGCAATTCATGGGATGAATGACATGACAGATTCATGGCATGGCATAATGTGAGTTGGTCTCGTAGAACACGTTGGTGTAACTAAATGCGAGATGTTGTACCATTATAAACCCCAGAAGCCAGATGGACTGCTTTATCACTGCTAGCATTTCTTCTGATAAAAAAAGACGATAAATAAAAAAAGACGAAGATGATGAAGGCGAAAAGGAAAAGGGTAAAAGGACAAGAAAGTCAGATAATTGATGAAGCTGTATGGGCAATAACTGCACTGAAGTGCTACCCTGTAGCTCCGTGGCAAAATCGAACGCGCCTGCGCGTGCAGTCAGCTGCTTTACGCGCTTCATACCTCGACGGCCTAAGAAAGTCCCAATCTGGTACAGGTACCTGCGCCACAAGCTTCGCTGATAGGCAGCCCAGTACCTGTACTGACTTGGCCCGCTCAGCCACCAGCTCACCGAACGTACCCGGGCATCTGCCACTAACAGCCGCCATTGGCACGAAACCAAGCATCGCCAAAACACCATCCCAAACATCATCGCCCCCAGCATCACTCAGCATCACCATCGCCAAAACACCAACATCATCCCGGATGCCCGCGCCTCCCCCGACATGCGCATCATCAAGCCCTCGTGGCTGAGCCACAGCGGCGAGCAGAAGGATTTCGAGGTCTACAGCTGCCACGTCTCGCCCGACGGCAAGCGAATCGCGACGGCGGGCGGCGACGGCCATGTGCGCATCTGGTCCACCGACGCCGTCTATCACGCCAACGATGGCGACTACAAGAAGCCGCGCCAGCTGTGCCACATGAGCCACCATCTGGGCACCATCCATTCCGTGCGCTTCTCGCCCAATGGCCGCTACCTGGCCAGCGGCGCCGACGACAAGCTCATCTGCGTCTATCATCTGGACAAGGGGCCGCCAGCCCCGACCTTTGGCACCAACGAGCCGCCGCCGGTCGAGAACTGGAAGACGTACAAGCGCCTGATTGGGCACGAGAACGACGTGCAGGACTTGGCCTGGTCCTACGACTCGTCGCTGCTCGTGTCTGTCGGGCTCGACTCCAAGGTTGTTGTCTGGTCGGGCCACACGTTTGAGAGGCTCAAGTCGATTCCCGCCCACCAGAGCCACGTCAAGGGCATCACCTTTGACCCTGCCAACAAGTTCTTCGCGACTGCTAGTGACGACCGAACAATCAAAATCTTCCGCTTCACCCCGCCCGCGCCGAATGCGACCCAGCATGACATGATCAACAACTTTGTCCTCGACGCCACCATCAGCTCCCCGTTCAAGAGCTCCCCCCTGACTACGTATTTCAGGCGGTGTTCTTGGTCTCCGGATGGGAATCACATTGCTGCCGCCAACGCAGTCAATGGCCCCGTGAGCTCCGTCGCCATCATCGAGCGCACGAGGTGGGACAGCGAAATCAACCTGATCGGGCACGAGGCGCCAACCGAGGTGTGCATGTTCTCGCCTCGACTCTTTCATACTGTGAAACCGGGCCAGAACGGCGCGGCCAACGGCCACGGTGGCCAGCTTGTCACCGTTATTGCGTCCGCTGGTCAGGACAAGACATTGAGCATCTGGAATACCAACACTTCCCGCCCTGTGGTCATTTTGCAGGACATTGCGGGCAAGTCTATTTCTGATCTGGCATGGACACCAGACGGCCAGACCCTGTTTGCTTCCAGCTTGGACGGCAGCGTGGTTGTCGCCAAGTTTGATGAGGGCGAGCTGGGGTGGGTGGCTCAGCAGGAGGAGAATGCCAAGGCGTTGCAGAAATACGGTGGCTCGAGGAAGGGAATGGGCATCGCCGAAGATGTGGATGGGCTGATGCTGGAAGAGCATGCCAAGGCCGGAGAGTCAAGGGCCGTGCAGTCTAGAATGGGTGCTCTCATGGGCGATTTCCAACCGGAATCTGCAAAGGAGTCTACTCCGGCAAGCAAGGCCGAATCCTCTGCGTCCGTCCCGGAAAAGTCGACTGCCAACGGAGGTGTAGAATCGGACAAGGAAAAGGAGAAAGACAAAGACAAAGACACCAGTGAAAAGCCAGAGGAGGCTGCAGACAAGACGGCCGAACGGGTTCGTGAATTAAAGTCTCGAGTTACCGTCGGAAAGGATGGGAGGAAACGGGTGGCTCCGCTCTTGGTCTCGTCGTCTGGCACGGGGCAGTCATCTCTACCCCAGAGTCAGCTTGTCGGATCAGCGGCGACAAAGAGCACACAAAACGAGGCACCACAGACGATACTGGATCTTTCAAAACCCTTTGACGGGTTGCCAAAGGGGGGCATTGTCGCCATGCTACTTGGCAACAAGCGCCGTGCTGCCACTACCGATCTCGACGAGGATGAGGAGCCTGCGGCTAAGCGGGTGACTGGCGGTCCAACGGCTGTTGTGACCAACGGGGCTGATGGCGTTGAGCATGCTGCGCTTGTTCCAGTCGAGCATGGCGTTCTTCCTACTCCCGAATTTCTACGGCCGGCGGTGCTGAATCCATCCATTTCATACGCCCAAGTCCGCCTGGCTGTCCCCAAGATACGGTCACATATCTTGCGGCCGCTTGAGAGGGGCGTGCTGCAACCCGACGCCGCCTCGCTGGAAGACGCAACCAAGCTTCCAGAGAACATCATCCTCGAAGCTAAAAACGACCCCAACCCGCGTGATCCAGCCCATGTCCTTGTTACGCAGAGAGGAATCTTGATATGGCAGGAATTCTTGCCACGAGCTGTCATCTTGGTGACTGCCAGCAAGCACTTCTGGGCTGTGGCCTGTGAAGATGGCTCGCTACACGTTTGGACTCGTGCCGGCAGACGCCTTCTGAACCCCATCATATTGGAGTCACAGCCTGTCATCCTCGAATGCAGAGATTATTGGCTGATGGCCATTACAGCAGTCGGATTGGTCCATGTCTGGGATCTCAAATCACAGTCTTCTCCCCACCCCCCCGTGTCCGTTGGCCCCATACTGGATATTGCGACTGCATCACTAAATCAGCATTCTGCTACCCCTGGGCCGGGTATCACGTCCGCCCACCTCAATTCTACTGGCCATATCGTCGTGACCTTGACAAACGGCGACGGCTACTTCTACGCGCGAGACATGTACACGTGGCAGCGGCTGAGCGAGGCATGGTGGGCGGTGGGTTCTCAGTACTGGAACTCGAACGATTCATCCATCTCGGCCCTACAGTCTACCGCTGTTGGACCCAACTCGAAGGACGACAAGGACAAAGGCAGCCAAGCCGTCACCGTATCATCGGGCATCATTCCGTTCCTCGAGCGACACACCACAAACGAGTTTCTTCTTAAGGGGAGGGCTTACGCACTGCAGCGAATCATTAAGATGGTCATGCAAAAATCCGAGGCCGAGGGCCTGGAGAGCAGCGTCAGCATTGCCCATCTGGAGAACCGCATCGCTGGCGCCTTGCAGCTAGGGGCAAGCGACGAGTTCAGATTATACCTGTTTATGTACGCCAAGCGTTTAGGCGCCGAGGGTGCTAGGGGCAAGGTTGAAGAGCTTCTCAACAGCTTGCTCGGCGGTGTTCTCGAAGAGAAAGACCCGGAGAGGGACGATAGCCGCGGCTGGTATAGTCGGGATGAACAGCTCTGTGGATGGGATCGGAAAGAACTCTTAAAGGGAGTGGTTCTTATTCTTGGTATGTCAATCCTGGCCATCCTTTCCTTTTGGATTCGAGCTAACATGAGGTAACAATAGGCAAATACCGGGAGCTACAGCGCCTCACGGCCCAATACGCGAGATTGATAGACTTGAACTTGGATGATGGCTCGGCAGATGTTGATACCATGGATGTTGAGGCGTAGACTACTTAGTTACACAGAAACAATATGTGTACACCTATCTGTATATTAGGGCGGACCTGCTGTGTAATTGTAATAATGAATATTTTCATTGAAAACGTTGATTCAATTAGCTTATGGGCATGGATAGAGTAGCTGCAAGTTGAGTCTGTTGAGGGTTAGTGTCTGTGACTTCTGCAAGTGACCTCCTGCTGTGATTTCTAGTTTCATGGACAAGATGAATGTCAAACAAAGGCTTATAAAGAGACTAGATTTAATCTACCGCCCGCATGAGTATGTGTTAAGTACCGAGGTGCAGATGTTGAGTACCGAGGTGTAAGTTGAGTACCGAGGCGTAGGATGTTGAATCGGTTCCTCCAAGGGGAGAGAATCGCAATATGCTTAACCTGGGTATGAGACTCAAAGACACGAGGATTGTTTATTAATTGAACCCCCTCTACACTCCAACCCTGGAGCATATGTTATCACCGCGAATGAACCAGGTTCACAGCCGATCTATATAAAATAAAATTCGTATCAGACTTGAAAGGGTGAACGAGAACGACGGGCATATCCCACGTCCCGCGGCAAGGCGCGCGGCTATAACAGGGGCCTCGCGCCCAAGGATTATGCTTAAATGGATCTTTTTTTACGAGTAGAAGCAGTCTCGCAAGGAAATGACCAAGCTGACAACGGGGGGTTTAGTGAGACGACGTTGAAAATGGAGGGGATTCCGACGGGGTATCCGCATCAAGTGCCAGTTTGAGTAGTTTCCGGGATACAAGTCAAATGTCAGCTTCGAAACTATCCTAGCTGGCGAATGGTGCTCCTGACCTATTCACGAATCAGGTAACCTAGTGAAGTTTGGTTGGCTGTATCATGACCCCCCTTTGTCTCCATCTTTGCATTTCTTTATCAGTAACCCCGGGAGGCTTACTGCGTAGGTATTAATAGATTGCTCGGGATAATTACCTGTACTTGTACACACATGCTGATCATCTAGTTGTCACCGCTATTCTCGCTATTATTACGTCTCAACTTCAAGCGTAGTCGCTCTTCTTGTCTCAAAACTGAGTAGCAACCTAGCATAGATAAATCGCGCCACATAATAGTATTATCTTCCCCCGCCGGATAGAAGGATTTCCGATGGACAACCAATTCCTACAAAACCTAGGAAAAAATTGTTTAGGAATATGCAATCGGCCTTGGTGGGTTGCTTACTTTGACAGGGGTTGTGACGGCTAGTCGTTGCGAAATGCACGGATATGCTAACAGGAAAACGGCGTATCATTGGACAAACAACATGATCTGCTCCGTTGTAGACTTGCAAAGCGGGTAGGCGGAAACCCGGTCGTTTCCAGTAACATATTAATAGAACTCGTCTAGGCGAATAAGCTGATGGTCTGAGAAACTGGCACATTGTCTCCTCCACTAGACTGCATCAAGATGTAGTTAAATATTGGCCCCATGCACAAATTGGGTTCCGATGCTGCCAAGAGGACCCGTTGAGGCTCTGGGGCCTAAGGCGGGAGTCTCCCACATGGCAGCTGGAGTCCTAATAATGGATCTCCCGCTCTCACAGACTTGTTTTTGTTTTCTCCCTTTTCTTTCATTGAATAGTGATAGATATAAGCTGGAAGCCCGACTCCTGATACAGGCCTCTTTCACTTGCGCGTATACATAGGTTGACATGCCGCGAGGCTCGCCCTTTCATCATGGCCGACACGTACCACAGATACTCGAGAGCGGATCCCACAATGTCCATCGACGGAATTCAATGGCAGCCGGGCGTGTGGAAGAGAATCCCATGGAGGACCGTCGGCTCCGTGATAGGGTTCATGGTGACGTGCGGCATGATGGCCCTCGTTCTCGCCCTGTCTGAGGATCAAGAAACAAACCAGTGGCCGACACACAACAAATACTTCACCGTTCCCGTTTTACTGTCTCTTATGGGCGCCATTGCTGTCCTGTTCCTGTCGGTAGCAAACTCGGAAGGACTCGCCATCTCGTGGTGGCTCAAGGCTCTCCGGGGGACCAAGATCAAGGAGCTTCACTATGACCTCGAGGTCAAAGGCAACCTGCTGGTCGGCATCTTCAGACCGACCCTGTTCAACATGATTACCATTTCATCCCTCGTCTCTCTTGTAGTGAGCATCGCTGTCGGTGCTGTGCTGCAAAAGGCTTCGGACACGACGAGCAAGGCGATTGGGCCGTACGCAGATCACATCGATATACCCGTACTCAACACAACGCTGCCGTCCAACTTTAGCGGCTGGGCAGGCGGTGGAACCCAAACCGCGTTGCTGATGCCGGCATTTGCAAAGGTATACAAGGAGTATTCGAACCATAGCATTATCACGATGCCGTCTAGCTGTATCAACATGACTTGCGAATTCCATATCGCTGCGCCGGGCTTCGATGTTGACTGCAAAGACAGCACGATAGACTACGACTTTAGCACCTTTGCGTCAGCCAGAGGTGACAAGCTCACGACGTTTCGAACGAGTGTCGATTGGAACCCGTCACAGGATCCGAATGCCCTCAATCATATGAACTTCTCCGTTCTGTATAAGCCCGAACCCACATGTGCCGGAAAGTTGACGCAACATAATTGCACTCTACGAGCCGCCACCGTCGATTACACGGTTACTGTTACAAACGGAAGTGTCACGCTGCAGCCTTGGAGTATCTCTCAGAACACAACGATTAGCATCACCAAGTTTACCAACTGGCTGCAACTGGGTTCGGGCAGCGTCGGGGCTGGAGGATTCTTGACCATGTTTGGAGGCATCGCCTCTGTTTTGCAGGCGCAGTACAACTCGAACACGACGCTCGCGATCGGAGGTATGAGCAACATCCCTTATATGGTGACTGCGTTTGGACAGGCAGCGAGCACATTTCTTTCATCGGAGATTGAAGACTACGGCAACTGTACCATGGCATGGTCGGATCCCAGGGAAGACATGATCAACAACGTCCGCGAGCTCATGTTCCGCAGCGCCCTTGCCGCGATACACTTGCCCGAACAGGAGATACTCCAGATCAAGCCAACAGAAGCCATCGTGACGAGAGTCGGAATAGTTTACAGGGCACACTGGAAGTTCTTCGGCATTGCGGTTGGATGCATGTTCTTCCAGCTCTTGATTGTTCTCTACCTCATCTGGGGCTGGCAGAAGCTCGGCAGAGAGGTTTCGCTGGATCCTTTTGAGATTGCAAAGGCCATGGGAGCGCCGCTGCTGAATCACGGATCTTCGAATAGTTCGGCGGATCAGATCCTGGATCTTCTCGGGAGCAGGAAGGTCAAGTATGGTGAGCTGGTTGATGGAGAGCCCAAGGTTTCGGGAGAGACTGTGGTGCCCAAGAATGGATATACCAGAGTTGACGGCAGTGACCCGGATTTCGCCATGGGACCTCTTCAAGCTCAGAACACTGAGTTGAGCTTGAATACGAGGAAAACGCTGGGCCTTGCTGTCGTGGAACAGGTGCAGGAGGTTAGACTTGGGGTGCATTACTAAAGGAGTTTTCGAAGGAGCGAAGATGAGGCCTATCTTTGTTCATATATACCAACAGAGCGTTTTGTTTATTTTCTTGCCATAGCTTTAAATTGTGTATTATCTCATATTCTTGTTTCCTTTGCGGTAGCTCATGAGGTGAATCTGCAAGGTTGAACAAGGCATGCCGTGCTAACTAATGTAATGTACGCAAGATATTCTCCTGTTGACTTCTCTCACCGCTTCTGGAACCTAGTCTGGTGTTTTATTTGCCTGTCTCAATATCTATATCCGCGAGATTGAATGAAAACTACATGGCTGCAGGAATGGCGTCAAATGGACGGCAATCGCTTACTGGCTGGAATTGTAAACAACGTCACCCCATGCTTTTCACGGCATCATCTCCGCGTTGGACGCGAGATCATCATCCCATATGCTCTAGTAGCGCTAATTCAGACATTTAGACAAATTGAAGAGAAATGGAAAGAAAAGCAGGGGTAATATGTAAACTAAAGTGAGTAGGGCCGAAGAGGATGCCGAGATGCCGAGTATTAAGAAGGCCCAAATATGGGATCCCCGGATTCTACACGCTTTAATAGAGCCAATGCCTCTACGATTTGCAAATCCGGGGATCTAGAGATCTTGTCATGCGGTTGAATGGCCTTGGATAACTAATTGAGAAATGGAGCCATGCCAAGTAACGTATCGTCGTCGTGCCGGTGGCCTCACCGTTTCCACTCTCGCGCGTCTGCCCTGTTCGTACACGAATCCACAGAGAAATAAAAGTCCAACTCATCCTCTCTCGTAATGGAATTCTTGGTAGAATGTTAGCAGGAAAGGATCTCTCCGCCTAATCCAATTTCCAGTGCACAACACCATGAAGCCCGTTTCGCTGAGCCTCGCCTCTCTCGCAGCGCTCTTGTCTGGAGTAAGCGGCCTTGCTCGTGTTTCCGAGCGCTCAGCGCCGAATCCAAACTGTTTCCCATTCGGCAGTCAGGCGAGACTCAATGAGGACCTGCAACCGCCTCGTGTTTCTAGAGAAAAATGGTGGTGTCCGCAGTCTGATTTCTATGGATTCCTTGGCTTTTCATTCCCCTTCCAATTCACCAATGAGGACTTTGAGGTTGCCAGTATCAACTCTCACATGCAGCAGATGAAGCGCCAATTTGGCGCCACAATGATTCGCATGTACATTCCGGAGAGCTACACCACACAGCTGTGGGAGAATGTGCTGGAGGCTGCTATTTTGAACAACATGGGAGTTGTGGTTCAAGTGGCATTCCCAATCAGCGGCAACGATGCAAGTCTCTTCAATTGCAATGAGTTCTATGCGCCTCTTCACGTTCCGGCTAACCAGCGCCGCAGCTCTCATGGGAAAAGGTTCTGGAATCAACACTCTTCGAAACTCTATCAAACAGCAAATATTCAAAAATTGCACCATACGTCATCTATGCCGCCGAATATCTCAATGAGCCAGTTGGAGATTGTGACATGTGCGCGCCTGGAAGCAACGGCAATGCGTCTGCGCCAGCTAGCCTGACGAATTTGACCACGGGCATGTCCAACTTCCGCAAAGAGATGAACAAGCATGGCATCCCGGCGGGAATCAGTGAAGATTGGGATAGGCCATATTTGATGAGCGGTGCACCTGGCTCTGATGGATTGGGTGTTGGATTGGGCGTGGTGGGAAAGGCGCTTGAGCCGGTGCTGGATTTTATTCACGCCCATGTCATGGCTTATTATCACAACATTCAGGTCGACGATGCTTGGACTTATACCGCCAATCAGGTTTTGTGGTATAAAAAATATCTCCCAAAGTTTCCGCTCATCATCTCAGAGGTAAAACAGGCATTTCTGTGGCGAAATTACGTGTATTACAGCACGCTAATTGCATTTCACTATTACAGATGATGTGGGCAACAGGCCACAATGTTCTACACGCTGGCGGCTACATCACCGGATTTGCCATTGCAGAAGTGAGCGTTGCTGATTACACCAAGTTCTGGAAGACGGTGGACGCAAACTGCGGATTTTTGAAGGAGCACAACACGGCATACTTTATCCATGCTTGGAGACAGCAAGGCACCCTCAACATGCTTCAGAACGATGGAAGTGTGGTAATTCCAAATTGGAAGCCGAAGAAATGGTGCTAGATCAGGTAGCTTGGCCAGCGGTCTGAGGCTAAATGTAGCTACATATATCTAGATACTAAAAGGGTGCAGATGGTGTGATTCATGAAAAATATTACTGAGAAGTGTGGTTAATAGGAGGGATTTTGGTCAATTCAAGTAAGATAGAGAAAATAGAAGAGTGTGGTATGTTGAATACCCGCTTAACCATATCCAGGTGAACCTTAGTTCAAGTTCTCAAAACCCTCTCCTTTAACTGGGCACTCTGGGATGGAGGTGAACCCCTTTAATATCCCGACATATAGTTCACCTTAAGAACACAACCCAAGACCTTGTGCGAGAAGCTTGATTCCATCATTGTCGATTTCAGTTAGGGGAATACTTTCGTCCAGAGCTCCCAAGGCACCCCAGCCTGTCAAGTGAAGTTTCAACCCCAGCTTGCAATTTGAACGATCGATCCGCGTCTGTAGATCAACGTAGAGCGACACTATCAGAGGAATATTCACTTCCCAACGATGGGCATTCGTCCAGTCGTTTTTGAAGTAAATGTTGACTCCATACGTCTCGTCCAGATGAATGGGGTCAGCATTTGCCTTGACGTGAGCGGGAAGCTCTAGGTGATCGGCCTTGCCCTTGGGCCTGAGATTGGCGCCTGGTATCTCAACTCGGATGTCGACTATGCCAAAATCATGGTAAAAACAAAAGTTGAGTGGGATGAGAAAGGTCTCGGTTGGTGGGGGCTGTATCATGCAGTTTTCGGCCATCACCGGAGCAAAGGCTGGCAATAAAGCCATCACTCCAATGGAGGTGAATAAGCTGTTGAAATGCATAATTCCTATAAATTTTAAGATGGTTTGAAAAGATGTTTCTAATACAGCGTAGTGTAGAAGCTGTTAGTTTCTCTTACTAGATGAAGGAGGGTTTGGCCCGGTATATGTACATTTATATTTTCAGAGGTTCACTATGACGGCATAGTGAAACTCTTACTAAAGACGAAGCAGAAAGACATCATTGGGCTTCAAAACTGTCACATACGTAACTCGAGGTCATTTGTCTCAGCCAATGTTCCATATCCCTTCCCGTAAGAGCGGCCGAAGGCGAACGCTGATTGGCTTACAGAGTCTCCCATAGGAGATGTTTTGTCGATCAAATGTAACGGCGGCATATGTATTGAAGCTGAATAGTTACACTTAGGTCATTGTCTCGGAACCAGTCAAGCTGCGGTCGTCAACGACTCTCTGAGCAATATTGAGTAGCTGGCTGAGCACTATAATGGCTGGTTGAGCTAGAGCCTTTGCCCCTTAATAAGTCCCCTCACATGAGCGGGTGAGACGCATTCGGATAGAGTTCTCCGCGGAACATTGAAGCAATACTGACTGTTGATATAGTAGGTCTTCTCAATTTTGCCAAACAGAAACGTATACTACATGGCTATGAGAAAGCATGCCACTAGCTGCGATTCTAAACAACATAAGAACTGTAGTTCAACTAACGTTTTCAATTTGAGAACTAATTATGTTATACCATGAAACTCGTGTCACTGACGCATTGCTATCGTCGCTTACAAAAAAAGTCCACAATAGTGCAGTTAGCCGATCTTTGTGGCTGCTAGGCTATTGTATCCCGGACCTCCTTGAAGCTATCCGATGTCAGGTAAATATAAAGTATATGTATATATATAACATTTATTTCTCTTATTGTAGAGGCCCAAACTCACTCTGTCGTTTCTTAGAAGGCGGTTTATCTTTTTTTCCAACGATGTCGACGCTTTTGTGAACTTGAATGCGATGTTGGACGGGAAACGTGACAGTGATTCGTCGCTGTTCGGTGTAAATTGTTGAAGCTTAGAATCGGCAAATACCTGACTCCACTCGGCGTGATTTTGGACCGGCGCCCTCCAAACAAGCTTGAGTGGGCTGTCAAATTGCTCTCTCTGGACAACAAATAGCGTCATGATCAGCTATATTCTTTGCGAAAGTAATTCTGTTTTGAGATTATCGGTTGTGCCAGAAGACTATTGCAGAGAAAAGGGCTCCCCTATCTCACTCTTAAGAGCAGCAGGTGTGGAAACAACCCATCTCGAATATTCCGTCCATAGTGTATATACAGTATAGTATTACACACTGCATAGTCTTCGAATATGCTGACAGGATCTGGTAATTGAAGCCCCACTCGTCGTTGATTTAGTCTTTAAGTCGGACTCACTCAAGGCTCCGATGAGAAGCTTTTTGGGCTAAGACACCTGATACTCTGGGTTGATCATATGGAAGCTCCTGATGTTTCATCAAGGCCCAAATTGCCTCTAGGAGATAGGGGCGTACCAACTGCTAAATCCGCTATTAATGACCCATAGAAGACGACATAGTACGCAACAAAAAGAAGTAATTGATGACTTAGTAGAGAGAAGAGCGACTTCATATACATCATGTCTACCATCATATTGCATCACTTTGACGCCTCACCATTTGGCGAGAAGATACGCCTCATCTTTGGCCTCAAGGGTCTATCATGGAAGTCCGTAAATGCCGAGCTCATCTTGCCGAAGCCAAAACTCACGGCGTTGACCGGTGGCTATCGAAAGACTCCCGTCATGCAGATTGGTTCCGACATTTACTGCGACTCCCGTCTGATTGCAGAAGAGCTCGAAGCGAGATACCCTTCGCCTTCGATATTCCCAGGAGGAAGCAAGGGGCTCTGCCTAGCACTGTCCACCTGGAGCGACACCGACTTTCACATTGCGAGCTCTGGGCTCACCATTGGAGTCAACAAGGACCAGTTCCCTCCTGAGCTCATGGCTGATCGAAAGGCCTACTTCAAGGGGTTCATGGACGTCGATCGTCTCGACGCCGACATTGCCCATTTGACTACTCAGCTGGGAGCCCATGCAAGTCTCATTGAGGAGCAGCTGTCTGATGGCCGACGCTTCTGGTTGGGCAGTGAGCCAAGTCTCGCCGACTTTCATGCCTACGTCGAGATCTGGACGGCGAGAGCCTATATTCCCTTTTGCGACAACATCTTTGCCGGGTTTGGCAAAATCGTGGAATGGGAGGCAAGAGTCAAGGCCATTGGTCATGGACAGAGAACTGACATAAGCCACGAAGAGGCGTCTGAAGTTGCGCGATCTAAGCCCCCAAATGTGCGATACTCATCAATCGTCCATGATGAGCTCGAGATTTCCGAGGGGGACGTGGTGGTTGTTACGCCGGATGACTATGGCCGAGAGCCTGTGACTGGACGCCTGGTAGCTTTGACAGTTCGTCGAGTCGCTATTGAAAGGGAACATAAGGTTGCAAGGCGGGTAGTTGTTCATTTTCCTCGTATCGGCTTCCGGATTGAAAAGCAAAAGTGATGACTCCAGACCGGACCAGTAGTACCGGCCTTTTGTAACTAGGTACAGATGAGATCATGCTAGAAAATGATCGCCTGGGAAGCGCAATGAACATTGTCTGGACCGGCGTGTATACTCCATTAGGTAGTAAATACACAAAATCCTTCGTTCCAATAAGGGCAGTGGAATCTCGGGGTATCCGCAGTCCGTGCCGGTGCCGAGCCATCGGAGGTAATTTAGACCCAAACCGGCAATCTGATAATAAATCTCCCCGAGGTTAATAATCGTTAATAATATCATTCAAGGCCAAATGTAAAAGGTAGATTCAAGCATATGGAATAGAATTACATTATGAATTCCCATGCATCCGCGAATCTCGTGTCCACCTCTTCCCTCGACTCCGCCAACGGCAACACACGTGAACAGTATCACATACACAGATCGCATTGATAACAGCGATCTCTGGAACTTCAAAACTGAACGAAGCAAATGACGCCTAAAAAGCTTCCGCGTACATGTAGATATGCAAGCTCCAAGAGCCTCATACCGGCGGTCCGGCTACCCTTCTCGACGCTTTTAAAAAAGATGTAGGAACGGAGTCATACATAGTAGGCTGTAAAATCGGATGTTCCGAGACAAAACCGCTTGTTAGTATCGTGAGGCTGTGCACAGAAGGCAATGACAGGAAAATGCTTGCCAATGGCCGTGTCACCATGCTCGAAGGATTCATGATAAAAGCTGCTAGCACGCACCATCTCCCTGCGTTCGCCAGGCACCAACGTCTTCCCCGCAACTCTCCATCAACAGCAATACGATATCATGTCTCAAGCAGCGTTCGGCATCACGTATGAGGCAGTAGATAGTCAAGGTGACGATCACCGCATCCGAGTTTTGGCTTTGAAGCCTAGTCAGGATCCATCTGAGCCTATCCACATCAGCTTGTCAGTTATCAAGCTCAATGATGACCCGTCCTTTGAAGCGCTGTCTTACTGCTGGGGAGACGCCACGGACAAGTTGCTCATCTTTTGCGATGGAGTACCCTTCCCCGTCACCAAGAACTTGGAGTCTGCACTGCGGCATCTGCGGCATACCAAAGACGAGCGAACTTTGTGGATCGACGCGATCTGCATCAACCAGAACAATATTCCTGAACGAAACCAGCAAGTCAGCATCATGAAAGACATATATCGAAAGGCTCGTCATGTCGTGATCTGGCTGGGAGCTGCAGACGAAGATAGTGACTTGGTTTTCCCACTGTGCGAGCGCATGGTTGAGAAGAGACTGGGTCTTCTCGAGTTTGACGATCTCTCGCAGGGGCACAATGACGTTTACGGTCCCAATAAGAAGAAGTTGATGAATCAGAGGCTTGCAGCAGCTAAAAGGCGTCGTGCACTGGCCAAAATCACGACGGGCATCGGTGAAGCCAGCAGCGACGCCGCCGTATCTGGCACGACCGCGCAGTCTCCATCCGCATCTGACAAGCAAGTGGACGCGACGGACGATACAGAAGAAGACGATGAATCTGCTGCTACTTCTGAAGAGATTACGGCTTTTTTCCGACTGCTATCGCGCCCTTGGTTCAGCCGCTGCTGGGTGCTCCAAGAGGCCTGTCTGGCTGAAGAAGCATCAGTTCAATGCGGCAAAAAGTCCATTGGCTGGCTCGAGTTCTGTGCGGGCTGGACGATCTCCGTCGTCATGGGAACAAAGGGACTTGAGGGAAGACCTGATAGGATTCTCAGAAACGGCTTGATCTTGATGATACTGGTCCAGAGCAAGATGTCGAGTGCAGATTCGACACAACAGGGCATTGACCTTCTTTGGCTTCTTCGAAAGGTGCTTCCACTCGATGCGACGGATCCGCGAGACAAGGTATACTCCATTCTGAGCCTTGTCAAAGGCGACAGAGCCCGGGATTATGGCATAACGCCCGACTATACTCTGTCGGTGGAAGAATGCTACAAGAAGACCGCCATGGCAGTCATGTCCCAGATGAAGAATCTGGATGCACTTATTCTCGATCACGCAACATCATCACCTCTCAACCTGCCGTCCTGGGTCCCAGACTGGAGTCATTTGCCATCTCCTGCTCCTGTCATCCTTGACCTGAACTCGGAAGAGATGAGAAAGTATGGGACTGTAGCACCACCCGTCTGCGCCTCAAAGTCTCAACAGTGTATTCCGGCTCTCAAAGACGATGGCCTGACGCTTTGCTTGTCGGGATACGACTTTGATCAGATCGTGGAGCTGGAGGATATCCTTACTGTCCCCCGGATGGACTACATGGACCTTGCCAGCATGACCTCGTCAGTAGCAGAGTTCAAGAACTTCTGGAAAACACTGTTGTTGGAGCTTGGCACCTATTTCGACACACTGATCAAGTGGGAACGGTTTGCAATGTCCAAAAGATACGCAACTTACCCGACTGGCGAAACCCAGGAGATGGTGTTCGCCATAACAATGTGTACTGGCAACATCGAGAGCCCCGAGCTTGTGGTAGAGAGGTTCAGGAAATGGCAAAAAGCTCTTTGGGGGCCTCGACTCATGTCTGGCTTCAGATACCTGGGTATGAAGGGCGGGTTTTACAAGTCGCTTGTCGCAGCCGCGGGCATAGGCTCAGCCATGGGTACCGCTGACGATAGGGTGTACGCAACAGGGACTGAAACCACGCTGTATCGTTGCTTGGCGAGGACCAAGAAGGGCTATCTGGCTGTTGTTCCGAGCCAAAGTAATGTGGGGGATCAGGTCAGCTTATATGAGGGCGGCAAGTTCCCTTTTGTCGTCCGGTCTAGAACAGGACAGGAACCGAAGCAATTGGTAGGGCCGTGCTATGTCCATGGAATCATGTATGGGGAGGCATGGGATCAGTCGTTATGTCAAGGCGTTGAAATTATCTAGACTGGCTTTCAGATTTCATTCAGCACCATTGTCCATTACAGTAAACGACTGTGTATGCAAGAGAACCGAAGAATTAATTTTTCATAAGGTAATAATGCATTTGAAGGAGAAGTTGGAAGCAACACGGATCAGGACGTTTGCTTTGTCTATTCTATAGAGATTAAGTGGCACCCTTTTCGCTCGTGGCTGTACCAAATGTCAATTTTTAGGTGTGGTTTTCCAGAAAGTGGTTGAGCTTATCATGATCATTAGTCTTGGGAAGTAGAGATACCTTGTCATAGTATTAAAATGGAATGATCTCTAAAGGGGGGTTTGTATTGCTAAGAAAATAGAGGATAGTTAGTTGCCCTCCAGTAACTACAGTAATATCAAGTGCTTCTGTTTTTAAAATGTTTCAGTCGATCTTCTTGGCATATATTTCGTTGAGTTAACAAGACCAATCATAACCGACATTTCTTTTATAAATGTAGCATTTACACGGTTATGAATATTAGATTCCAGCAATTTACAAGGATTCAGGTGGTGAGACTAAAAAATAATGGCTAAATAATGATAGGAGTATAGAACATATACTAGGGAGTTATTTCGTGACGATCTGGCCCCTCGTAACGACAAAATATTGCTTCAAACTAATCAGTTGCGTTATTATAATTACTACAATTGGGTTTGTTAACCCAATCCTTTGCCATGGTAGGTGTAATGATTAGAAGATTGTAACGCACTATGAAGCTTTAAGAAAACATGGAAAATATTGATGTTAAAGGTCGTTGTGTAAAACAATGTGTGGTATATATTCCAATTTGGAAACTGGAAAGCTAAATAACCTATTAGCAAGCCACTTTCTTTTTCCAAAATAGCACCATAAGAACTTGCAATATAAAGGTTAACACATTTAGTCGATATCGGAGTCTGCTTTCCTCTTTGGCATCTGCAACTTGTCGTACACTCTCACCGTAAGTAACCATATAAGCAAAACATTAACCCCCGTCATCGAAAGTAGATTGCAAACACCATATCTAATGCTTATAACTGTTAGTTAATTATTAGAGAGCAGCCATTTGAGCTTCGGATTGTTTGCCTCGCATTATTTTTCTCTAGCAACACTAGTCTCCAAGCGGTTCGCAAATAAAGACGAATAGCAACCGCAACATCAAAATTGATTTTGATACACAAGAATAACAATAGAGCTATTCCATATGAGTGTAGCAGAATCGCAATCCATTTGGGCTGATCATTTGTCAGCTCCCTTGGTTTATGCAAAATCCTTGTCTCCTTTCTCAACACGTGGTCTAACGCTTCCGTCCATAGGTTGTCAAAAAACAATATCCATTGACACAAATCGTAGACCCTTTCCATCAAACTAACACCATCTTGCGTATTAGGCAATATATTGGTTAGTTGATGTACAGCTTCGCGTAACTGAAGTTTAACTTCATCATTCATCTCTCGGAAACGCTCTAGTTGAATGATATCTCATCTTGGAGAGGAGGATTGGTCCGGCCGGGTTGCCCTTGTGGCTATTTCAGGTCTGTCCATAATCCTATTGTCCATCATTACTTCCAGCAGGCCATATTTTTGGATCGGATAATCTATATCTTTGAACGTGTGTGGACTTGTTATCCAGCTCGGCTTAACGATATTGTACCATTCCTGACTGGGGCGAGTTGCGATGGAATTAACAGACATGAGTAGGTTCATGCCCTCTTGCTCTGTATGAATCTAAGTGTCAAAACTTATGTCAGTAAGGAGATTCATATGATGTTTATTCTCAATTTGAGTGGTAGATGCCGTAATGTCAGGTACGGGAAGTCTTACACTGAGCAAACTGCAGAAGTCTACATCTACTAGCTGAATGTGCCTGTATCTGCTAATTTCATCGTCGAAAGCAATTGGATCTTTAAGCTTTCGAGATTGCAACGGCAGAGGTAGTAGGTGAGCCTTATCAATGGTACTATTAAGTCTTTTGGTGATTGTTGAAGTCAAGAAATATGTAAACATTGCTTCTTCGATGTTTTGAACCATTTCTATTCGACGGCAATTCAAGCCGCGGGCATGACTGTGAATTGGTCAGACGTATGGCTCTATTAATGTAAATGCGGTTGAGTTGGTGTGTGTCATGTATAGCTAAAGTATTTAGCCGATGAAATTGAGGAGACATACCACTGAATTTCGTGTAATACTGACCGGAAGCCTGCGGAGTGATATGATGGGCACTCCTTGCGGCAATCATTTCGTCTAAGAAACACCATGCGCATCTGTAGCACTGAAAATGGCTGCCCGCATACTTCAGTTAATTGAACTAATATACTTATCGAGCTTCAACACACCTTAATAACTGAAAGCCAAAGCTGAGACAAGTTTATTTCGACTTTGTTCTTGTGGTCCTCTAGGAACCAATCTCCCTTGTCGATTTTCCGAGTTCCGATATCCATGAACCTATTCTTTAAAATGAAAAGGAATGACTACCGAAATCTCAGCTCGATGTCCAACATATCAATAGGCTAATAGAATTCCAAACCTCCTTCGAGGAAATGGTCTCCAAATGGAATGGCAGCTTGCACCCTCTGGCGTCGATGACCAAGACTAGAGGAAGTGGAACTTGTTTCATTAGCTGTGGCTGCTGTCCGAATGCGAAGTGAATAGAATTTAATGCCCTCTCTCGATCGCCCGGACTGAGGGCTTGAAGGAAGCCAGTCAAAGTTTCATTTTCTGCTTACAATTGTCCATTAGTCAATTCCCAGAATAGCATGACCGTGAATCAACGAATTAACAGTAAGAAAATTGACCAAGACGGGCTCTTCGTTTCTCTGAGTAGGCCATGAGAAGAGCAGTTGTGGTAGCTGCCGCTGTGGCCGCTGCAAAATCTTGCCATTCGCTATGTTTGTGGCTATCAGCATAATCGCTCACACCTTTGATGACAAGACATGGGATTTCATCCCAGATTCCAGCTGCCTCCATTTCAAATGCGATGATTCCTTCTTTCTGGGCAATTTTATCCCGATCCATTCCAGACTTCATGACTGTGTCTCCTGAAGCAATGGACCCGACATGTATTGCCAGCATCTGCGCCCCTTTTGATGTAGAGAATTGCTGCTACACCCGAGCTCGCTGCAAGAAGTAATATGGGCTTCATCACAAACCGGAGACGTCATATCACGACACTCCTTGCATACACAGCTAGGCGATTCATGGTGTTTATGTCGATAGTTTGGCTCAAAAAGCTTATCTCTTGCAAGCCCAGGAAACGCATATTTTGTTCCACAACCACCTCCATTAGCATTGTCTTGCAACCGGTTTAGTAACTTGAATGCTGCTTGACGGAGCTTGTTCCGGCCTCGCATTGTCTCGGCCATGACCGCAAGCCCCCGAAAATCATTGCTCTGCGCCTCCATGGTTGTTTGCTTTCGGATAAACTGGTCAGGATATCGCTTGCCAAAATCGTATTGGATAATTGTCCTACTTATGATCACATCTCCCAACATAATGTCGGATCCGTTCTGAGTTCGGGGGACACCGCCGCATATACCGACGAGAAAGGCTTGCCGCAGCCCTGTATAGCTCAGCTTCATACTGGCTACTGCAGATGCTGCACTGGTCTTCCCCATCCGTTGGAGGAGAGCCAAAACAACATTCTGGTCTCCGATTCGACCAGTTGTATACGTGTTGGCATCACCGGGCGCTGTTCCATACGGATCTCCATCTTCGTCCCAGAATTCGTCAAAAGCTAAACATATGGCGTCGAATTCTAACGGTAGTGCGCAGATGATGGCAATCTTAGGCTCTTCGCGGTTCGTTGGTCTATGACGTTCCGGTAGCTCTGTATGAACTTGATGACTTGTGCTGAGATTCAACCCCAAGTCATCTGAACCGCAATTAGGCGATCGTCCTGGTGAACTGCTTTGCATCGCGTAGTCCCCGAAATGTTAAGATGGATACGCGCTCGACGCGTCCGTATTCACGTCGACACGAGTTTCGATATCTAATAGCGTAAAGATACAAGATAGAACGCGTTGTCAAGCTTGTTGTTTTGAAAAAGCCTTTGGCAAACACGAAATCATATATCATGCGCCACAAATTTGAGTATTAAGTATTTGAAGAACTTTCAAATTTTATATTGCCCACAGTCACAAAATTTTCATTATAGGCTGCTCCCCCACGCAAAGCCGCAAGTGTTGCATGTTATTGGCAGACTCCATGCAGGAGATGCATTGGTGTTGGTGCGCGATCTCAAGCTTTGCTCGATAAGCCTCAAGAGTCTACCAAAGGACCCCAATTATCCAATTGATGCTGCTATGGTTTTGATTACGGCATGTTTATCCCACTTGTGTACAATTGTGCCATTTTGGTGTGCTGGATGCGATAATCGTGGCTGTTTGCGTTTCTATTGTCCAAATTTGGGGCAAATTGCATGGTATACGGAGAGGGTCGCTAAACTAGTAGCCATATTTAATGTTTACAGCGGCGAAAGTCTACAAGTAAACACGCATATCAAAACAGATTTGATACGTGTATGTTTTCCGATATAGCCAAGCGCAGATTCGACAAGACTGACGTATCTGATGGCTCGGGGACTTATGACTGTATGTGCCTATCACAGCCTTTCGGTCAAATAAATGGTCTGATGCAAGGTTTGGTATAGCTCGCTCACCTCTCTTTACCACCTGATCCATAATTTGATCCCTTACTATCTTTCCTTTTCCTTGCTACATAAATATTGAACTTGTGATCGATCGAAGCAGGAGCTTGAATTGAATAGGTTAGGAAATCGAGGTATAGATGCCGCAATACACGGACGTTCCCCCCGAATTGTATATCATCCTGTGGGATTGTAAATTAAAGCTACATCTAAGTACTTCGAATGGTCTAAGATAGTGGCAATCCTAGTAAACATAATAATGTTCTCAAAATATGGTTTGTTTTGGTGACGTGCTAGAGTTTATCAATAACTGGTGGCTTGTCTCTGAAGCAACCGTTTGAGAATTTGCTCAGTATCCAAACAAAGCGCAGCATTGAAGAACTCAGCCAAACCTTGACGATATATCTGTGCTTTCAAGGTTTTCTAAAAATTTTCATGGAAAGTATAATATTCCATTCTATCTACGAGTATATAAATCCCCAGGAGTGCCGTCTTTCCAGAAATCTCAGATGCCCATCTTTCCACTTCTTACAAGACACCCATATTTGGACAGCCGCTCATTGTTTATTTCCATCTACATTATTCATCACTGTCATCAAATACCTATAAACAATAAATCTTCTGTTATTCTCTACGTCGGCACAGGTACGTAACAGAATGAAACAATCCACCTACTAGGTACATGTGAAAACAATGAAAAGTACTAACAATCTCCCAAGACAGGTCTGAAATCATATTGTGCAGTACCGCAACGTCTCAAGTCCCCACTTGTACCTGCTTCTTTATTCTATTTTCAATATCTGGTAAGTGTTTCTCATTCGATGATTTGATTATCAGTGTTTCTCTCTCGTCATATTAATATTTTGTACTAATGACACCTATAAGATTACAAAATGTCCAACGAGATCACTTCCATCTCGACCAAGGTTGCCCCTGAGGGCTACCTTGATACCTTTTTACCGTTTATTCAACTTCCTCCCGAACTCAGATGCATAATTCAAGAGTTCGCTATTCGAGACTGCCAAAGAGGTGCCCACTTCTTTTCAACTTCCAAGCGCCCAAGCAGAAGTGGCCGTACTACAGGTCACTCTCATCTCGACATTGAGGATATCTATGGATTCGAACTTACGGCGCCCAAGTCCCAAACCGAGCCGAATTCCGTCCAAGACTGGTTTGTGGGTAACCCATCGGCTTATGTTAAGGATGTCGCTCTCTGGACAATGTGCTGGGAATCTCGCGACATCATAATTAAACGATATAAACAACTTGACAAACATATGGGTCCAAGCTCAGGGTCAACCGAAGTCAGCCAATTTGTATCTTGTCAATTCACACGGAATAAGGACAAATGCCAGTTCAAGGTCTCACCAGCGCAAGATCTCTTTTGCATCCAGATACACCACGGTCGGGACCCATGGTACATAACGCCATTTTATAGGCTCCCAGGGAGTTCACGTGTAACGAAATTCACGAATACGGCAATAGAATACGATACAAATTGGTTGAAATCGTGGGAACCTGGCTTTGACGAGCAGTGCTTGGAGAACAGCCCCAGGGGGTGTTTTATCCGGACTCTCTGGGCAGTGGCAGAGGGGAGAATGCCCGCTGGCTGCCAATTTTGGATCATCGACCGCAACATTCAGAGGAGAGACAAGCCACGGTCAACGCCTATCCCTTCTGAAGATTCTGAAGACGACAATGCCGACGAACAAGAGAAGCCAAAGCCATTGGTATTCCAGGGCCTTGACAGGCGATATGTCGAGGTGCGAGGCCTGGAAGAGTGCAATTGGGACGCCTTGACACAGAATACGGTGTTTCACTTCCTCCACTGGCTCCAGATGAGGGCAGGCTTTAATGTTCACTGGATGATGAGGCATCGCGGCCGGTTTGAGCGGGACAAACCACGGCTTCAACACCGTGATTTGGATGAGATGGTCAAGGTTCTGTGCGAGGAGAAGCTATAGTGGCTTCTCAAGTATGTTGGCTGCGCGGTTCTTCTTATGATGTTCTGAGTGTTTCTTTATTCACATTTCTTCTTCTTTAAGATGGTCATGTTAGGTTTCTTTATTGTGGTCAATAAATATTCGTTGGGGTTGGGCTGGCATTTCTACCGTCAAATTCCGTTGTTCTCTTACGATTTTTTGACTCTGAATCATTAGGGCATTGATGAATGAATGAGGTTGCATAGGTACTATCAAGCATTGCACAAGCAGTTGGGTATAGACGGAACAATGAGTTTACCTGCGTCTGTTTCATAGGCAGACAACAGAAACGTATCGTCTACTACAATTCATGAGTTAAACTATGAGTGATTAACGGCACATTGATTTAAGCGTGAAGATTCTGGTTACCTTGGCACCGCCAGTGGTTGTTCTTGACCACGTCGTTGGGTATCAGGCGTGGTGGAGTGTAATATATGCATCATCAAGGGTCATTTGGTATGGCAGTCAGCATGTCACAGTCAATACGAAGTGCCAGCGCAATCGAATCGACAACCTTATTTGCACCCACGCAGGTAGATCTCAAAACCCGTGGCCAATAACGTGCCGCACATGTTATCACATCACCATATCTAAGCGCCGCCCAGAGTTGCATAGGATTCGGGCCCCTATAGTGCTTCGTTGTCACCTCGGTGTTATCCATGGATATGATTTCTACATAAAGTCTCCGTGCCCAATTCATGTTTACCTGCGCTGTTTTCGCTGTTACTTTGTGCGGTCTTGGCTTTACTCTTGGCTTATTATGTGCGGTAAGACTACAGCGAGTATATCTGGGTCTTCTTTTTTTCTTTTCCCAATTGGATCCTTGTACGTTTTCCCACCTAACTCTTCAGTCCATCCGCAAACGTCGGAGATAAACATGCTATTAGTCAATTCACATCACCCGCCAGTATCATCCCAACACTTCCCTTTCCCCCCAATGGCCAATCAGTGGAGCTTATTTACATAACGGGTGCGGATCATTGCGCCATGATTCTGCGGAGGCTTCGGCATTCATTTTCATTGCTGCGCATAGTTCCAGTTCTTGACCCAGTGGTAACTCCCGTCAATGTGCTAACAAACAACAAAAGGCACGATTTCGTCGGCTAGTCGGGCAAGCTAGCCGGGCCGGCTGTCTGTCTTTACGATTCATGATGCCCGGTTGCACAACTATGAGCTGATGAGGCATTCCGACGCCCGCAAACATGATCAGACGGAATCAACCGAGTCAATTGACGTCAAAGCTGGAGTTTCTATCAGCGTACAGACACACCCGTAGGTAGCATCTTTGGCTCGGAACAGGCGTATGTAACCTGCATAACTCGGAGGCGGTTTGCACAGATGACACCATAAGGGATACCACGACGATTCCTTTTCTATACCGCTAGTCACCGACCCCTTGTCCTCGGCACCTCACTGGGTCTTGATACTCGAATGGGAATCGGGCACGTTCCATTCTATTCTCGCGCCGCCTAGACTAGGATGTGTGATACGCACTTGGCTTTTCGGTTAAGCACCCCCAAGGGCTAAAAATAGGCGTCTCAATGCCGGCTGAGAATTGGCCCTCTCTAACCCGATGCCACGAAAATTCGCGGTGCTGCGTGAGTTGAATGTAATCCGCGGGCTCTTATTGGGCCTGCGGCAGCTTGGTTCACCCGCCGGCGCGGGCAAACTTTCCGCGTGCTGGCATATATGAACGATGACTGGCACCGTAACATCGAACCAAACGTGCAGGACGAGGATATCCTGGCCGGGACAGAAAACAGGGTACCCGTAGGTCAGAAAGAGAGAAAAAAGAGGCGTGCAAGGCAGCCAGCGTGGACTCGCACAGCTGGATGGGACAGGTGCGAGTATGTACATACGGAGCCGTGTAACTCTAGTCCGTAGACAACATAGTCTTGGTGCAAGGTAAGCAAGAATATCAGGGTAGCGGAGGCAAAAGCCGAGTCCACTTGCCTCGTAGGGACACATCTCCGCCCTTAGTCTTTGTGAAAAAAGTCATCGTTCTACTGTACGGCCGAACATCTGGCAGATTCCGGCACTTGGCGGAGGTTGCGGAGTGACGGAGAACCGCCGCCCGTAGAGCCACGGAAACGGCGTGTTAGTTTGGAGTTGTGACGGTGCCAGAGGCATGGTTTAGGAAGGAGAATTTCGGGTGGGATCGAGGGGGGGATCTCTGCACGAGTTTGTCAATCTTCTAGCACAACGCAGGGAGGCCTGGCGTGTAATCTTACAGCCCAGGGTCGTGGGTGATGGTGTCACATCGAGCTGCATGATGCCAGGCACGGACGCCTCAAGCCCGCATGAGGCCAATGGTCCATCGTGCCCTTGTCATGCGTTTGTATGGATACCTCGGCGAGCACACGGCGAGGGCATGGCGAGCAACACAAGTGGGCAGGACAAGCAAGGAGAAAAGAGACAAGAGAAGTAAAAAAAAAAATAGTATATATGGACATGATCGGCACGACTAAACACAGCTCACTCAACCAGACCAACAATCTTGGCCGCTCTGCTTCTCTCCCTCTCGACAATGCCTCTCAAGAACGTCTTGGCCATCGTCGCCGCTCTGCCGCTGGCCTCTGCCGGCGGCTGCCCTCACATCAACGGCAACACCAACGCCCACGTTGCCCGCAGCGGCTTTCAACACCCCGAGTCCATCTTGGAGACGAGATTTAGCCCCGATGGCCCTGATTTCGGAACCTGCCCCCGCAAGAGCACCGTTGCTGGTGGCGGCACTCGAAGCAAGCAGTGGTGGCCTTGCGAGCTGAACTTGGCTGTTCTTCGCCAGTTCTCTGAGAAGTCCAACCCCTTTGGCGCGGATTTCGACTATGCCAGCGCCTTTTCCAAGATTGATGGTGAGTTTATTGGTCCTCTCAATGCTCAATCTAATGAGTTCTCATGCTAATGTCGAACAGTCGCTCAGCTGAAGAAGGACATCACCGCCGTCCAGACTACCTCTCAGGACTGGTGGCCTGCCGACTTTGGCAACTATGGTCCCTTCTTCATCCGTCTTGCTTGGCACAATGCCGGTACCTACCGCTCCATTGATGGACGCGGAGGTGCCGGTCAGGGCCAGCAGCGATTTGCTCCCCTCAACAGCTGGCCCGACAATGCCAACCTCGACAAAGCTCGCCGCCTGCTTTGTAAGTTGATCTCCATCACCGAGGCCAGAAATGGCACGGCAATGATCGAATTGAGCAATAGTGTTAACCAGATGCAGGGCCCATCAAGCAAAAGTACGGTGCTGCTCTCTCCTGGGCTGATTTGTTTGTCTTCGCCGGTAACACTGCCATGGAGAACATGGGCTTCCCCACGTACGGCTTCGGCTTTGGTCGTGTGGATACCTGGCAGTCCGACGAGGGCATCTACTGGGGTGGCGAGCAGGAGATGTTCCCCGAGGCTGCCAACAACGTGGTCCGCTACAACGGAAGCACCGACTTCACTTCTCGTGCGGCAGAACTCGAAAGCCCGCTCGGAGCCGTCAGCATGGGTCTCATCTACGTTGACCCCCGCGGACCCAACGGTACCCCTGACACCAAGGCCTCTGCCCTTGATATCCGTGAGACCTTTGGCCGCATGGGTATGGATGACGAAGAGACTGTTGCTCTGATTGCCGGTGGTCACGCCTTCGGCAAGACCCACGGTGCCGTTGCTGGCTCCAACATCGGCCCCGAGCCCAACGCCGCTGGCATTGAGCAACAGGGTCTCGGCTGGAAGAACAGCTTTGGCACTGGCAACGCTGACGATGCTTACACCAGTGGCCTCGAAGTCATCTGGTCTCGCACTCCCACCAAGTGGGCCAACGGTGAGTGTCTTGCATCCTTTTCGAGTGATCAACAACTAGGGCACACGCTAACGCTTCTTGACAGAGTTCCTCTTCTCCCTGCTCAACAACAACTTCACCCTCACCAAGTCCCCCGATGGTGGTCCTCAGTGGGAGGCTCTCGATGCCAACGCCTCCTACCCCGACCCCTTCATTCCTGGCAAGTTCCGCCGCCCTACGATGCTTACCAGTGATCTCGGTCTCCGTGACGACCCCGTCTACAACAACATCTCGAGGACCTTCCTCAAGGACTTTGACTACTTTACCGAGAAGTTCGGTCTCGCCTGGTGTAAGTGACCAACCTCCCTGTGGACTCATCTGGGGAAATGACAGGAGGCCTAATTGAGTTCGATATAGACAAGCTCCTCCACCGTGACATGGGCCCCATCTCCCGCTACCTCGGCCCTGAGATCCCCAAGAAGGCTCCTCTCATCTGGCAGGATCCCCTTCCCGCTCCCGGCTACACCACTCTGGCCGCCTCTGATATCTCATCCCTGAAGTCGCAGATTCTCGCCGCCCCCGGCCTCAACGTCTCCAACCTCGTCACCACTGCTTGGGGATCTGCTTCCACTTTCCGTATCTCTGACAAGCGCGGTGGTGCCAACGGAGCTCGCATTGCTCTCCAGCCCCAGGCCTCTTTCGCCGCCAACAACCCTACTCGTCTGGCTGCTGTCATCAAGGCTGTAAGTGAAGATACATATTTCTGTCAATGCTGAGCAAGCGGTTTGCTAATACAATTTCGCCTGCAGCTCAAGGGAGTCCAGTCCAAGTTCCAGACCGGCGGCAAGAAGGTTTCTCTGGCTGATCTCATCGTTCTCGGTGGTAATGCTGCCATTGAGAAGGCTGCCAAGGCTGCCGGGGTTACTGTCACCGTGCCTTTCACCCCTGGTCGTGTTGATGCCACCCAAGATCAGACCGATGTCTCCACTTTCGCTTTCCGTAAGTTCTATCCCGTTATGGCAACTACATCGTCGCCTGCATGATCAAAGCTGACCGTTTTTGTGTTCTAGTCCAACCCCAGGCTGATGGTTTCCGTAACTTTGGCCATGGCACCGCTTCGTCTCTCACTGAGGAGCTTCTTGTTGACAAGGCCGCTCTCCTGACCCTGAGCCCTCCTGAGCTGACTGTCCTCATCGGTGGTTTCCGTGCCCTCTCTGCCAACTTTGACGGCTCCTCCACCGGTATCCTCACTTCTCGCCCTGGCCAGCTCACCAACGACTTCTTCGTCAACCTTTTGGGCTCATACGCCACCTGGTCCGTCGTCAACGGCACCAACGAGGAGCTCTTCCAGAGCACAAACTCCGCCGGCAAGGTCCAGTGGACTGCCTCTCGCGCTGACCTCATCTTCGGTTCCCACCCTGAGCTCCGAGCCGTCTCCGAGGTCTACGGTTCTTCTGACGGGCAGAGCAAGTTTGTTACCGACTTCATCGCTGCTTGGGCCAAGGTCATGAACCTTGACCGTTATGATGTCAAGGGACACGCTGGTCCTTACTAAATAATGTTCCTAATGCTTTCTCAACAATGTATATATAAGACAAATGGGGCATAGCAGCCGCTAAGATACATGATTTAAATTCAAATTCTTTATCAATTATTTGTATATTTGTTCCGACCAGTGAATCGTTGCTGTCATCTTTGAATAGTGTCTGCCTACCTCTTTTGCCCCATACAGGAAGCAATCTCAGCTTCCCACTATTACTCCATACGAACATGTAAAGTTCCCGGCACATACTAAGCTACACATCTATTGCCGGCCTGCAAGACAAGATTCGGCTCTCCACAGGTTAATTTGTCACTTGGTGGTGTATCTCCACTGGATCAACGCCCAGCAGGGTGGAATCACACAATGATTTTGGGGCCCAACGTTCTACGCACGTGCATTACACAAAGGAGGAGTAAAATTTCCGTACTGATGCTACCCAATTGTCCTTTGTTTATCCTCTCATTGGTCCCTTATGGCGACTTTGTACGTAGTATTACATACGGAGAGTTTTTGCCTACATGAGACGGTGGGCCACACTTTCTTGTATAGGCGATTTCCTGTCCCACGTTATGTAACCAACAACATGGGTAGCACCAAAGCTCTCCGTTCGGCAACACTTTGCGATGGAACTTTTATTTTTTCCATGAACATGAAACTCCGCCTCGGGGTTTACACAAACTCGAAATAGTATCATGCGGTCATGCCGCGGTGTATCCCTTGGCGTTTGTACGGGTAGTCGGAAAGTGGCACGAGAAGACAATTTCATGCTGCTTTCCGTGTTGTGTTGTATCAGAATAACAGCCTTGCATACGATTTATCTCATATATCAATTAAGCTGACGAGAGGACTTTTTGCACCTGTTGTCTTACCTGCTTTGTCCTCACCACCTCCATTGCCCGAGACATCTACGACCGCTGTTATGCTGTGGAGCAGCTATAAGCCTCAAATTGCTGCTCGGTGTTATTGCCTTCTATTGGAAAGAGGTTGTTCCATCGGGATATTTCGGCCAATGGAGCTTTGGACATTGAAAAACCACTGCAGTAATTCGAGATTCACCTTATTGAAATATCAGACCAAACTATGTCTAGTCTTAGAGTACCGTTCAATAGGTAGGCTAATAATAGATTTCCAAGGCTGACAAGATTTAGTCCCACCGAGGTGTGATTCGGACCGTTCCCGAAGAACGTTAAACATGAATATCGTGGAGTAGAATCGATATTGAACATTCTTACATCAAATCTTACTAGGTAAATGTATGTGAGTACTCGCACATTGTTACCTAATTTACCCCAGTTGCGAATCATTATGCAATTCCGCCTTGCAGCTTCGGGGGCGGTCGGCCAGATGATGCTCCGTGGAGCTCCAAAAGAAGCAGATGGAGCATGCGACAGACAGGGGCTAATTTCTGACAAGAACCACGGCCCTCCCCGTGATATTTCTAGCACATGGGGGCCCTTCCCGAATATCTCTCCTAGGCGTTATACCGGCGGAATTAATAAACAACTAGCTCAACTAAGTAGGTATAACATTCCAAATTCTTTTAGTTGCCTAAACGTTTTGGCAACGGATAGTTGTATTCGCCCGCTGTGCATAGCATCACCAATCCAGTCTGCCATTTTGATTTATGAATTGAATTAATAAAATTTACATGAGGAGGGTAATCAAAAATACCTACTGTAGTTGGTATACCCTGCTGACTTATTAGCAAATGAACCATATGTGCATTGCTGTTCCTCGCAAAAAGGAACGTTGACCAACTCCTCCGATAGCTCCGTGGATGGATGGATCATAGCATAGGTCGTGTGAAACCATGCAATAAATCTCATTTTACAATTGCTGAACATGTGGAGAAAACTAGGTACGGTCCGCTACCCCAGGTTCAATACTCCGGGATCAATGCCCCAGAATATCACGACTATTGATTATCTTGCAAGGGTCAAAATAAAGGAGTATATATATAATTGTACATGCTTGTTGCTGAGCAATTTGAGGAAGTGGAACCCACTTGTGAGTAAACATAAGTGTAAGCAATACTATAACAGATAGGTGAATATTCGCCATAGATCCGCATACAAAATGCTTCGCCGATTGCAATGATCCCCAGGCGTGGCCATAGAGGTTTAAATCATGTATCCATTCATATCTTCAAATGTTTGCATAGGATGACACAGAAGTGGCAAAGGTATGATTGTCTCGAAGGGTTATGAGTCCTGTAGGAAAACATGAGGGAGAAGCTTAAAGTCTTGGAACCTACAGGTCTCCAGATTCCTCCTTATGGCTCAGCGTAGTGGTATGTTTATAGTCATAACCTGACGCAGGGTATCTCTATCCATCTATTAGTCTTTTAATCCCTCGAACGATAGTGAATGCGAATACTTTTCCTCATTTGATATCCTGATAGGCTCTTAGTATTCTTCATTTGACCTATCAGCTATGTTATTCAGCCATCAGGGTATCGATGAAAGAGTGAACTAGAAGACTTGTCTATGCGAGGGGTCTGCTAATTGCACAAGCAGGTTTTGGATGAAGTCAAATGTGCAAATACAAATGGAAATAGGGAATCCCATCTCAGTTAGCTACTCTTGAAGTCGAGACCAATTGGCCTAGGATTAACTCACCTGCTGAGGCTGAATTATCTCATATAGCCAGCATTTGTGAGATATTGAACATTCCTGAGTCCACACTTATTCAACAGAGTCCATGAATGCAGCAATATAATGGGGTCCGTATCATCAAATGGAAGATGAACTCCTTCACCGGGTCATTCATTCCTGACCCAACTCCCCTAGTTAACTAACGTGTGATGAGCGCATCCCACACAGATAGATATATGCTATATAATCTTCACTAAAGTTTCATCACTTAATCGCCCTTTGAACACGTCGAACCAGTAATTCTTCGCTTCTGCAAGGACGGTGGGCGGTTTTGACAGTTGGACCAGCCCCAATCGTTGCCATACCGCGCAACATCTTGTGTCATCATACCCAACTTCCTTCAATATGAGAAGAATCAACGACCCTGAGTCAAGCCTAGTGGAAAGTATGAAGCATTTCACAGCTGTACCAGGCGCAATGTAGGCATCTCCTGGTGTTGACGAGTCGTAGTCCGCCCATACATTGCCCACCTGTCCTTGCATAATGTCGAGTTCGAATAACTCAAAAGTCTTCCTTTCGCTTGGCTTTACAGATGTTTTATACTGAACTGATGTCGGTATGAGATAGCCACGTAGTAGTAGATAGCCATTCTTAAGTTCTCCAGTAGGATCCGCCTGGTAAGTAGAGCATTTCACCTCTTCAACTTTACACAAAGCGCTCGTACCGGTTCCTATATCGAGGAATTCAACGTGACCTCGTACTGCTGCCCATGACCACGTCGGAGCTCGCCATGCCTTGGGACGTTGATGCCATTCGATTTGCTTTGTGGAGTCGCCGGCCGTGTTTTCTTTATGCCACGCAAGGTCGTCAATCAGTGAGTTTGTCCACATTCCAGCAACGTACTCGGATCCCAACGAATATTGGAATCTTTTAGCGATACCAGATATCGCTGGGAAAATATCGCTCTCGAAGGTTAGATAAAGTCTTGTATAATCTTCCACTATCATATGCCAGGCCTTGACTTGCTGGGTTCCGTATAATTTCTTCCAATAATTTTGATTGAAAACAGCTTTCGGGTTCAACGTTCGGAGCGCAGCCATTGTATGTACCATATGAACGGGATCAATAGTGGCCGTGGAAGCATAATATCCCGTGCACTGGCAGGCAGTTTCCTGTAGGCATTCCCATGAGAGCTCTTGTGGTCCAAAATGAAGTATTCTAGAAGACAAAAGCCGTTCTTGAAATATCCATCCACGGTTAAAGGTTGGGAGCGGAGACGGCTTAGCGAACTTTTGATCCATGTATCCAGGCATATGAGTCAATGACTTGCGAAAGCACACAACGGATCCTTGGCCTAGAGATGGAACAGGAATTATGCTGGGTTTCAGTTGTTCGTCGACCTCACCGAATAAGCTATCGCCAGAACCAGAAGATTTGGATGCGGAGATTACTAGATATGCATTTTGGTAGATTGAGGCCATCTTAGCGGCCTCCTTCCTCCAGTCTTCTTTATCATCTTGGATAATGCAAAGGCTGTCAATCCACAACAGAGAGATGCTTAATCTCCGCACGTATTTTATCGTATCTTGAAACAAGGGAGTCAGTGTACTCCAGGGGATTCCCCTTTCGTGTGAGATAACATTGGCCGTGGTGGTACTCGAAGGTTTTGACGCGCCCCAGCAGTGGCTTAAACAAGCATATTTGGGTATCTCGACATCGTCAGCGTCAAATATTTTCAGTCGGATTTGATCATTATCTGTAGAGCCAATATCGAGAATTCGTTGTGGCCGTGCCCCTGTTGAATCAGAGTTCTTCTGGCGGCACTCGTGGTTGTTGTCACAGTGTTCGAGCTTCTCTGCCACCCATTCGAGGCTAGCTCCAGAGTCTGTTCTGCGAGGGAGGTTTAAAACTCCGACCGGAATAGTAGGGAATAAGCATTCGAATCCAGGGGTTTCTAGCGGAATAAGGTGTGTTAGCACTGATGTGTGGCATGCCATACAATTTGCCAAGAGCATCGCCAGAAGCCTAGATGCATTCTATACATGTATGCAGCCCCTGACCCCTATATAATTGCACTTTAGGGAGTACAGGGAATTAAATCTCACTAGATTGTGGTGGAGCAAAAACAGATATTTCCAGCTCGCGTTTAAAGAGAGTTAAGTTGAGACTCTGGCCCGAAACCCCCATGCCCATGTCCATGCGGAGCCACTCGAGAGAGTCCTGAGATTGGGCATCTGCGAATACATCATCGCCAATGATACTCTTAATACCAGCACTTAAGACTGAGCAGGAAAGACAACCAGATTCGGCGCTTTTAAGCAGACCACCAAGGCTCGAGAGGGCCGCAGTCGGTCTGCCGTAACTTGGTGGATGATGGCACGACGAGCATGGCCGGGATTCGGGTACGGACTTGAGACCAGAGAGCGACATTTTCTAGTTCAACAATCAATGAACTGAGTGTCGTCGCAGGTTGGGTTGTACGAATGCCAACCACAGAGCTGCGGATATCGTCATTGCCCAGCATCGGAGTCTCGGGTTATTCGATTTAGGAGGGGTCAAGATCCCGGACCCGATGCTTCGCCGCAATTCAGCCTCCGCCTGGCAGGGCTAAACCGGCGAGTCCGCTAGCACTAGGGGGGCCACACGGATCTGGTTCGTGTTGCTAAGATGCAAATGCAAATGCCGGTTGAAACAAACTAGAGTAAGTTGTCATGATGTGTGTTGTGGGGAGTTGTGAATTTGTAGATAGTTGTAAATGTCAATGCAGTCGTACCTGACTGCTCATAGATTTCATGTAAATACATCGGCATATGGTTGCAGCGTGATCATGCCAATGTCATCTCAGCCCCACCAGTTCGTGGCTTTGCAACTATTCTCACAATAAAAAACTGGCTTGCTGTTCGCTCGTAAACAGAAGCGCCATACCGAGACGCCATTTCGCCACAATGGTACTGAGGCCACAGCAGGCGAGTCCCGCGGCCCAGAGATCCGATGCGTCTTCGGTACTTGGACAATCTACTCCATTGTTCGGCATGGATGCCGACCGTCGAGGCTGTCTGCGTTGGCACTGCCAAGCTCGAGCTGGGATCTGGATCAGTTCATTCCAAGATGACCCGCGCGGCAAAGGGCACCCGTCAAGGCACTCGTACAAGCACAATTACAGAGTTGGAATGGAGACCGGCGGCTAACAGGGGTCCACACGCCGGATGCATCGACAGCGCGATGAGGCCCAAACTCAATCTCAAGGAACCAATCCCAGGATCTCGGCTGGAAGCTGAACATCAAACAGAGTCAGCGCCGTCCATCAACTATCCGAAAGCCACAAGGGCTTCCTCTCTGGAAGTTGCCTAGCTGGAGGTTCTCCCCAGTGTACGAGATGAAGAGTTGAGAGCTTCGGCTGAGGCTCTAGTTGAACTGATTGCCCGAGAATCATGTGAAGCCCGCCGTCAATGCACGCGTCTGTCATCAAGAGACGCCAAGGTAGCCAAGGATTGGCTTTGAGACTCCGCCATACTGCAAAATCCACAATGACGATGGCTGTAGCAGTATTTTCCGCATGTACGGCGAACAGAACTCCGTAACGCCCAGCTCAGCTTTTCAAACTTGCGGATGAGGCAAACGGACTGCCGTGTAACCCCTGCTCCGGTCCCACGGAGGGCATGACGGAATAAACACTGGTGAAGCTCCGTCCTCCCCGGGAATTCGCCGGGCTTGCCATGGCGGGCTCTGTAAAACCCGCCAACCCGACAATCAATGACAATTTGTTGCCAGTCGATCAATTGATGTGCATTAGCATCAACACTGAGTTTTCCATCTGCTTCCAAATGCGCACGGTATGAAGGTACCGTGTTGAGACGGCCAAGCTCTCGACTCCGTACAAGGTTTTAGCTAGCTGCCGGCCCTAGGCATGGCCTACGACTCCGCGAACCCGGCTCCGGACTACGTCAAGATGGCACCGGTTTAAGGTATAGATGGTATGTCATCGGCCGACTACTTATACAAACTCTCGTCTGCTTAAGTTTGGCGTTTCCCCTTGGTAGCTTCACGGTTCATGGTCAGTCATTCTTCAAGCGACAATGGCTCATCACGAAGATGGAAAGGAAGTTGTCGAGGAGGGTTTCGACAGCTCAACGCACCGCCCGTTCTCCGCCATCATGGAAGATGAAGAAGGGAGTAAATCACCGATAGAGAGAGACCCACGCGAAACACACTCGAGAGATTCCGATAATGACGCCAGCACTTTCCCCTCGGCCCTGAGTCGTTCCAACACCTACAACGAAGAGTCGATGGAGCAAGAAGACAAGACCGAGCTCAAACGAATCGCAACTGCGCTTTCTCGCCGACAATCTCAAGCTGGAGCACCTCCTCGCCGTCAATCAACGGGTCTTGGCACTGTTGACGAGTACGATGCCTCTCTCGACCCTGATCGTCGCGAATTTGATCTCTCGAAATGGTTGCTTCGATTCATCCGCGAGCTTGGCGAAAAGGGCCTCGCAGACCGTCAAATAGGCGTCTCGTTTCGAAATCTTGACGTATTTGGCTCGGGTAGTGCCATTCAGCTTCAGAATACAGTGGGTTCTGTTCTCACCGCACCCCTGAGGCTTGGAGAGTTCTTCAGTTTCGGCAAAAAGGAGCCAAAGCATATTCTTCACAACTTCAATGGACTCGTCAAGAGCGGAGAGCTCCTAGTTGTACTGGGGCGCCCAGGTTCTGGCTGTAGCACGCTCCTTAAATCGATTTGTGGCGAGTTACATGGTCTGAACATTGGAGAGAAGTCGGATATCAGCTACAACGGCATCCCGCAAAAGCAGATGAAGAAGGAATTCAGAGGTGAAGCGATTTACAATCAGGAGGTAGGACTTTCTACATCAAAGTTGGCTCATTACTGGTTGCTAATTCAATTCCCAGGTCGACAGACACTTTCCTCATCTTACTGTCGGGCAGACCCTCGAATTCGCCGCCTCAGTTCGAACGCCATCCCATCGAGCCCATAACATGCCTCGCGCTGAATACTGTCGCTATATCGCCAAGGTCGTCATGGCGGCATTTGGCCTCACGCATACCTACAATACCAAAGTCGGCGATGATTTCATTCGCGGCGTGTCTGGAGGTGAACGAAAGCGCGTCAGTATTGCGGAAATGGTCTTAGCCGGCTCGCCGTTTTCTGCTTGGGATAACAGGTTTGTCCATTATTACTTTGTCTACTCCGCGATTCCTTGTCTAACTGGACTTGCAGCACTCGAGGTCTCGACTCAGCAACAGCCTTCAAATTCGTCAAAGCACTTCGAAATGCTGCCGACCTGGGCAATCTCGCAAACGCCGTTGCCATTTACCAGGCCAGCCAGGCCATCTACGACCTTTTCGACAAAGCGACCGTATTATACGACGGTCGCCAGATCTACTTTGGACCAGCGAGTAAGGCAAAGGCCTATTTCGAGAGACAAGGCTGGTACTGCCCTCCACGCCAAACCACGGGCGATTTCTTGACCTCAGTTACCAATCCGGTGGAGCGTCAAGCTCGTCAGGGGATGGAGATGAAGGTGCCTCGAACTCCGGAAGACTTCGAGCGGCTTTGGCTAGAATCGCCCGAGTTCCGCGCTCTGCAGAAAGATCTCGATCGGTACGACGAACAATTCGGCGGCGAGCACCAAGGCGAGAGTCTTGCGCATTTCCGCCAACAGAAGAACTTGAGGCAGGCTAAGAGAATGCGACCCAAGTCGCCGTACATCATCAGCATTCCAATGCAAGTCAAGTTCAATACCATACGAGCCTATCAGCGCATATGGAATGATATCTACGCAACAATGGCATCCACCGTGGTCCAAATCGTCATGGCTCTCATCATCGGCTCCATATTCTTCGACACCCCTAATAATACAGATGGATTCTACGCCAAAGGCTCGGTTTTGTTCGTAGCCATCTTGCTCAATGCATTGACAGCGATATCGGAAATCAATAGTTTATATGCACAGCGACCAATTGTCGAGAAACATGCCTCGTATGCATTTTACCACCCGGCCACCGAAGCAGCTGCGGGTATCGCCGCCGACATTCCCATCAAGTTTGTCACTGCTTCGGTCTTCAACATCATCCTCTACTTCATGTCTGGCTTGAGGAGAACGGCATCGCAGTTCTTCATCTACTATCTTATTGGTTATGTCTCCATATTCGTCATGAGTGCCATTTTCAGAACGATGGCTGCAATCACCAGGACAGTTTCGCAGGCCATGTCGCTTGCTGGAATTTTAGTCCTCGCGCTTGTTATTTATACAGGATTTACCATTACAGTACCAACAATGCATCCTTGGTTCAGCTGGATTCGATGGATCAACCCCATTTACTACGCCTTTGAGATCCTAGTTGCAAACGAATTCCATGGCCAGGATTTCCCTTGTGGTAGTAGTTTTGTGCCGCCGTACACCCCAACTGTCGGCGATTCCTTCATCTGTCCCGTTGCAGGCGCAGTTGCGGGTAGCACTACCGTCAGCGGCGACGCTTTTATCGCGACCAACTACGAGTATTATTATTCTCGCGTGTGGCGTAACTTTGGTATCTTGTTGGGGTTTCTCTTCTTCTTCATGGCGGTGTATTTTATTGCTACGGAATTGAACTCGTCAACCTCAAGTACTGCTGAGGCTCTTGTTTTCCGGAGAGGCCATGTTCCTGCACACATTCTGAAGGGTGAAAGCGGTCCTGCTAGAACCGACGATGGGGTTGATGAGAAAGGTCTCCATGTCGTCAATACTAACGCCAATATCAACGGACTAGAGCCTCAGACGGACCTTTTCACATGGAGAAATGTTGTTTACGACATCAAGATTAAGAGCGAGGACCGCAGACTTCTGGATCATGTCTCGGGTTGGGTTAAGCCAGGCACATTGACCGCACTCATGGGTGTTAGTGGTGCAGGAAAGACGACCCTCCTCGATGTGCTCGCCCAGCGAACTACCATGGGCGTCATTACCGGCGATATGCTTGTTAATGGCAGGGCACGAGATCTCAGCTTCCAGAGGAAGACTGGTTATGTCCAACAACAGGGTAAGTCAACAAGGGTAGAACAACACTTTTATTTGTTAACCGGGTACTGACGAATATTAGATTTGCATCTTGAAACTGCTACTGTCCGCGAGAGCTTGCGGTTCAGTGCCATGCTGCGCCAGCCTAAATCTGTCCCCAAGGCGGAGAAGTACGCGTTCGTTGAAGAAGTCATCAAGATGCTCAACATGGAGGAGTTTGCCAATGCCGTTGTCGGTGTTCCGGGTGAAGGTCTCAACGTTGAGCAGCGAAAGCTCCTCACTATCGGAGTAGAACTCGCAGCCAAGCCGAAGCTACTGCTCTTCCTTGACGAACCTACTAGTGGTCTCGATTCTCAGAGTTCGTGGGCCATCTGCTCGTTCCTTCGCAAACTTGCCGATTCAGGTCAAGCAATCCTCTGCACCGTCCATCAGCCCAGCGCCATCCTCTTCCAGACGTTTGATCGCTTGCTCTTCCTAGCCAAAGGCGGAAAGACGGTGTACTTTGGTA